ACAACTTTCTGATTTAAAAAATAAAAACACCCTCGACGGGTGAAAAGTAAAAAGAAATCCAATTTTTTTAATTCCCAGGGTGTAGTATAAGAGACGAAATTCAGACAACGGTAGTGGGTTATCTAAAAAAAAAAAAAAAAAAAATTCTCAGCTATCGGATCCGGCATATTGTAGAAATTGAATGCGAGGAATTATCTGTCGGTGTGGGTAGATAGGTATCTATGATCGTGCACTTAGAGCGACCGTTCGCGGGAAAGCTAACAAACTGACACGTTTCTTATCGTGTTACGGAGCGAGAAGAACGAGCAGATCCAGACGAGGGGTAGATTCGGACGGAAACGAAGGAGAAGGGCTGGTTAACTGGCTCCCTTCGTCGTTCCTGTTCCCTGACTAGCTATGCGTCTCGCGTACAATAGCCAGACCCTGTCATGTTTCATGCCGTACAATGATACTCGTCGCCCTACCACCGATACCGAACTACAACTCCAAGTACCGCGTAATACCGTTTCGGTATCTCAAGATAATGCACGGGCAATCGCGTGCTCCTCCCCTGCCAAAGTGACCCAGAGTACCTCCTGATTGCGACACGATGACACTCGTCCGATTCGTTCCTCTCTACGGTTATCCTGATTCAGGCAATCACCGTACGGAACAAAGGGAGAGCCAGGCTTTCGCCAGGAGTATGCCTGTTTTTAATTGGGTTTATTGCTATTTCTGGAACACGGTGGCTCATGATTCGGATCGGGAGACTTTTGGACAGGTGGAACTTTGCACCTGGATCTGACACGTGGGAAGAAGTCTTTGGAGTGGAAATAATTTTACTGCTTTCCCGGGGGGAGGGTGGTGGTAATTACGATGCAAGATTTTTGGGATAGATTGAAATTTTTACAGAATACTAATTAACGCTTTGAACACCCTCGGGGGGTTATTGATAACTGACAAGAAAAATATGTTTCCAAAGATATGAAACATATTCGGCAGGGTCGTTATAAATGACTCACCATAGGTCGGCTATAACTTTGCCTCTCAAGGATTCCTATCAAAATCATACGACAGCCTAAACGTGCTAATATATTCATTATTCAAATTCACTCTGATGATATACGATGGGGTGGTCAATAGACGCGGAACACGCCATCGTTTATTTCCTAACTCTTTCACTCTCGCGATAATACCTGTACGCTACACCCTTAACAACGTTGTAAAAAATGAACATTAGTGCGATCAAACTATCTGTTAATAAAGTCTAATTAAGCTTAATAACAATAGTCATATGCTGAAAAGAGTAACAGCTCAATTACAAATGAAGAAAAAATGATTACATTTCATAAAAAAATCTGAAATATCTGATAAAACAAGAAACGATCCCTAAAACCGTCCCAAAGCGACGCCCGTTTACGGACGTCCATCGACAGACGTCGAAGGCTGAAAAGTGGCCAGCGAATCCACACCGTTAGCTCCCATTATACTCGTGATTCAGTGAGACGGGACACCCCCATAACCAGTCTAGGTAAGACAGTCTGTAACTCTGAAGAGTGTTGGTACTCCTGGCACACGCACACGCACACGCACACGCACACATCCCGTGCAGCTTACCTCGGGCATCCTTTCCAATGGGAATCCCCTCGTAGGATGGCACGCGCACGCCACGCGACCGCGTACGGCCAGCGGCGCATTTAACGCGCGATCGCTCTCGAGTGTCTGCGTGTATAGGGTCGAGCAAGGGGGTTAAGTGCGCCCAGAGGGGGGTATCGCCACCCCTGTTACGATTTTCCTTTCACCTTCGTCGCGGTCCACGAACTCGGACCTCCACGGTATCTTCGTCGATGGGAGCCGATTTCAGGCCTCGTAGGCCTTCAGATTTATTATAACGCAATGAGGGGGAAGGGGGGTAAATTATTATATTAGAATCTAGAAAAATTCTATAGCCTTCTTTTCAATGATCAATTATACAAACCACTCTGTATAGCGCGTTATTATCGATAGAATTTCAATGGTCGTAAATGCAAAACATTTGTCGGGAATATAAAACACGGAGCGTTCACGCGAGCGTACGATATCGTAAACTTTCTTTGTCGGAATTATAATTGCGGTAAATAATTAATTAATTAAGACAACCTCATGTTTTGCCGTTGCAAAGCAGATTTTATGGAAATAACGGCGGGGCATTAAACGCCGCCAGAGACACAACGGAGTAATTGCAACGAAATGCAAATCGAGTTAATAACGGGGTCATCGCGTAATTCTCTGAAACACAGGCACGCCCACCTGCAACCGGTGTATAATTATTATAATTTGTCGGCGAAAACGCCGGTATTAAATGATACTCATTGACAAGAGAAATCTGATCGGTGGCAAATTTAAACATGATTTCTGTATTTTGCTTGAATATCGTTTACCTCTTTTACATAACGATATAGAGAAGACAGGAATTTTCAGGACCTTCATTTCGACGATATTAGGTAATACTGAAAATGATTTAGAAAAAAGAAGAATGTAAAATAATTCACACAAACATCAATATTCTATTCGTAATCAAGATCCTCGCGTATCTAACCCCTACCCCTCCATTATCACCCCACTTCACCGAGCAAGGGAAGCAAAAGAAAGAAAGAAAAGGTTGGAAAGAGGGAAACGGAAAGACGGATGAAACGTCCAGGCCGAAGAATAATGGAAACACCTTGGCCCATTACTGCCAAAATTCCCTGACCATTCTCTCTGTAAACGGGCGCCGTTACCACAGAGGGTTTGTTCCGGAAGGGAACCGGTGGCACGTCGTTACCGGGGCAAACTACGTCGTCGACAACGCCGGTCGGTAAGTGCAGGAGGTCCGGTACGTCGTTGTGCCCAGCCACCTAGCAACCTGGTGCGTCGCGTCGTTTCGAGGCATCCGCGAGCACCGACTCGCAACGACTCGCAACCCTCTGCTTCTCGTTCAACGCGCAAGCGTTCGTCCGCCTCTTCGTAACGGGGGTGTAAATCCGTCCCTAGACTCCGCCTTCGTCGTGGTGGAAAACGAATCGTGGCAACCCCTGTTACCGCGTCCCTGTCCACGAATGTCTGTTCCGAGGGCGGAGACAGGGTTCACGATCCGGTATCAACCCCCGAAAAGCAACGTTCGAGGGCCAGTGTCACTCAGAGCAGCGGGTCACCAAGATGATCGGCGCCCTTATCGCTCTGCACGCCACGTATCGTAGATTCGAGACCGTGATCCATCGTGTCGCGATACTACTTCCGTTCGCAGTAGTTCGTTAAACGGTCAATCGGGGGCTGATATGACCAGCTTTGTCTCATCGTCCACGCGGTTACCTGCGATCCGGGCGTTGACAGTGCCGTGACAAGCGAGACCAACGAGAGATCATATCCGGTGCAGGCTGCCGTACCGAACGGCCGCTCGCACACGGCACAACACGAGATGCTCGACCTCAAGAGCAGCGGGACCACCGCCGCGGAATTACCACGAACCACCGCGTTCACCAATCTTTCCATGCTGTTCGCCGGTACGTCTACAGGTTCTCTGCACGGCACAAACAGCCGGAAGATATTTAAGTGACGAAATTTTTAATAGGACCATTCCAATATACAGCTTTCCATCTTCCCGGTTAAAAATCGCTTCCTTTCTATGATCTCAGAAACCAATTACAGTTTTTTAACCCTTTTGTTACTTTTTCAAAAATTGCCAACTCTCTAGAGTGTGTAGTATTGCTCGGTTGGGTCTGAGAGTGTTAATGTTAAGCGATCTGGTGGACGATGGAGTGGATCAGAGATGATCGACGATGAGTGATGATGATCCCTACTGGGACCACGTGGCATAAGTGAACTGCACACCGAATTTCAGGATGAACCGATGTGTTTAATGAGCATCGATGAGAATAGGACATAGGTTTATTTTGTTGTGCTCCGTGCGACGGATGGTCCTTCTTTTATTTCCTTAGAGATAAACTACTTTTCTTTTAATTTGCGGTAGATTTCGAAGATTGCTCCAATAATGAAAATATAATCCTCATTTTCATCCCTTTCTATCTCTATACTTGCAAAAGATTCTCGCCTATCAAAGATTAACCCCCGAGAGGTGTCGATGCTCGAGACCCCTCCACTTTCCTAAAACGTGAAATCCGAGGCTGTATTAATGGACCGTAGGCTCTAGATCAAACGAAGGGGGCAGTAAACGACGAAAAGGTCGGGTCGTTTTGTACACGAAAGTCGTTGTTTGCACAGAAAGACGACGACGACGACGGCGACGTTGGACTTTCTGCAGGAGCATGACGTACCGCTGTACGTATGTACACACGGGTGCCACCCTCGTGCCAATAACTGCCAAATGAAAATATATCTGTCTGCAAACACACCGACACAGATGGAAACACTACGGGCAAAGATCGAGAGAAAAGTCTATACCACTATGTGTACCGTGTTTTTGAAAGCAATACCATGGTACACGGAGGATCAACCAGATGAATATTTCATATAAATATTTTCATATGATTCATAGAATTAAAATTGGAATGGAATTTCTATGCATAAGATTCAGGAAAAAAAGGAATTCATTGATTTCCAAAAGACATATTAAAATTTGCAACAACGTTCGTGTTCAATAATTAAAGAAGAAAGATTAAAAAGGAGAAATCAAGGAGTATTTCGCGAACGCGACCTGTCATTAGGGTGTCGTAAAGATTTTCCTAAGAAATTGTTTTCCGACGAAAGCAGCTCGAAAACCAGCTATCAGATATATTTTACGACCAACCGCGATTCTTGGTACTGATTAGCTTGCAATTGCAAACGGTATACGTCTTCTAATAACGTGACCTAAAAAAAAAAAAAAAGTAGTAATCTTTGAGCGAGGATCACGAAGTGCTCGTAACACGTGCCATGTTTTGCCCAGTTTGGCTCGATCAATGTTGCATATCTCCTTTCAACATTCTGCGACTCGTATATATGTACCGATTTTTATATGCTCCATGATTGTTAGTATTTAATTGATTGTTTTCTTATCGTTACAGATGCCAGCAGCTCGTACAAAGGAGGCTGGAGCCACGCCACGTCACCAGCCCCTGGACAGGGTGAGTTTACTTTTGAAAAATTATATTTTATGTTTCAAGCGATTCTTATCGAACCTTTTAAGGGCTAAAAATAATGATTCAGGGCTTGAAAGAAATCAACGATCGTAGTTGATTATAAATAGTATAAGTATCGACTACCGAGGGGTTCCCTGGGGCAAGCCAAGAGGCTAAAATTGAAAAGTAACTTCAAACTATCCTGCCATAAGTTTCTAAAGTGTCCAAAAAACATCCCTAAGAAAAATTCAACACCGTTTCACGCTATAGTGGAGCCAGTCGCTATCGCGAACTGGTCCTTCCTAAAAATAGAGCAATCCCAGTTTTCAATCGAAAAGAAACACCGCTAGAAGGCGGATCGATGATTCGTTGCCATCTTATCGGGTAGTATGCTCGGATACGAAGGTGGTCTCCTTCTCTAGAAGATTTTCCTTCTCCTCGTCCTCGATTCGCTACATACACCCGGCTAAAGGGTGCTCGGAGGCGCCTCTGGGTGCAAGTTCACGCGTCGCGACTCTCTGGCTTGTTCGAGAATTCGCTTTGTGCTCACGTGTGTGTGAGTGAGAGAGAGAGAGCGCGGGGGTGGTTGGGCGTCCCGGCGCTTTGTGGCGCGTTGAACCGCGACCCCTTTGTCGTCGAGCGAGATGGAGAGAAAGAGAAAGAGAAAGAGAAGGGAACAAGCCCTGGGGGCTGTGTAGAGACGCTTGGCCGCACAGCGACACACGGAAGAGAGAGGCAGCCAGGACCCCACCCTGTGGACGCAAGCAACACCGACGCAATCGTCTAGCAGAGATCACAGGGCCTGCCCCGCGGGCAACTTGTTATAAACGGCTTCTGGTCTGGCCTCGCCACGCCTGGCCAGCTTACAACCAACGCCACGCCATGGATCAGCTAGCAAAGAACGAATTAACGCTTTGATTCTCGCCTCTCAACCACCTGCCTGACTAGACTTTGTCTAACCGGCTGAGATGAAGGTACCGTGGCTCGTGATTGGCTCCCTTTGCTTTTCAACGACGATTTTGGGAGATGGAGAGGTGGTACACTTTGCTTTTCAGCTGGGTAATTAATTTCGAACACGAGGAGGACTCGATGGATTTTCTTTTAAAGATGATCAATATTTCCTTGAGTTTTTAAGAAGATTTTTCGAAAATATAGAAAATTTGCTCTTAAATATTAAACAGATGTATAATAGTTCATAAATCAGTTTTCGATATGGAAGGTGGAAAGAGTATTAATACTCTGCTGATAATTAGATTCTCCAGAAACAAAAGAGTACGCTAAATGATGGTAAATTATGCTATCTCTGACAGTGGCGAGATTAATACAAAGCGACAGAATCATTTCGCGGAGTTCAGAGGCCTAGCCCGGGGCAATTTGATGTAAACGGTTTGTGGTTTCGACGCCTCGTTAGATTGCAATCGTCATGGATCAGTTATCAAAGAGAGAATTGACGGTCTCCTGTCGCATCATTTTCAAACGCGAATTTCAACCAGGGCTCCTCTTTTAACCACCGCAGACACGTTACAGTCTGTTCGTTTATAAATTTAATGAAAAATTGTAATTTCTTCGTAGAATCGCGTGAACGATCTTGGTGGTTCGTTTCATCGATAGAAGCATGTAAGAGAGTGTAATATTCATCCAGTTTCGAGTAGGAAACACGCGAACAACATTAATGGCCGTGCTCGAATTACCGGTTCGCGGATATCTTGAACGTGTTAATTCATAGCTCGCGGATCCGCGGTTTATCACTGTCTCCTCCTATGACAGCGCCGCGAAAATATTAGCACCCATTCGTGAATTAATACCAACTGACTGGAAGACCAAACGCGCCGTAAGATTCAACTTGATCACCCAAATACGCGAATAGTGAACCCCGTGAGGCGAGGGGTAAGTTGGTCGGATAAAAGGCAGACCCGTCGTGGCTGGAATATCGACCTGGCTTTTCAACGGGTCTGCCCAGTGGCCAGGAAAACCGGCTAAGACAACTGGTAGAACAATAAAAGTACTCCTCCCTGTTTCCACGTTCGCCGCGAGTGTGTACCTCGCGTGACTTCCTGACCCGAGTCGACCGACCCTCGACCTCCCTTCCCTATGTGTGTTACGTGTACGTGTATGCGTCTGAAGGCAACCCTAACTTCCCTATGATAATTACGTGCTCCGGCACGGCGCGTGCCTTGGCAGTTGCCTCACGCGCCTGATCACGTATGCCGTGACTATCATACACCTCGACACCATAGGTAACCACCCCACCGCGCCAGCCCTATTCCAGGACCTTCGGGGATAATAAACGTTCGAAAGAGTGCGATCGTAACTGTTACCACGATTCGCGGCTGAATTGAAATTAGGCTGTGATTTAAGGGTGCGTGGGTGAGTAAACAGGGAGAGGGTTCAGCTTTGGGATACTTATTGGGAATTAGGAATGGATTACCTTCGAGAAGGTGTTAGGGTATGTTGGCCCAACTTTGATGGGTGTTTCGAGGTAATTGGAGAAGAGATAGAAATAGAAATAGTATAATCCTAATTAAAACGTACCGTGAAATTGTACCATCAAAAGTGAAAGGTAATTGCAACGCAATCGTTCCGTCAACGGGCCCTTTTTTATCGTTCCGAATTAAGCGTTTTTCTTCGGTACGCTTTCGTGCTCGCGGCAATATGTTTTTGTTCATCAGATAAGCCTCGGCTGTAGCAAATCCTGTTTGTAACGACGTGTTACGCCGAGTGAAATTAATCGTTTCCTAATTATCGCATAGCGTGAACCGCGACACGACGAATGTACACTCGAAGAAAAAGGATTCTTGTCTCGAACGAGGGATCTTAACGCGGCAAGGATTTCCTTTTGCACGAAATTGCGTTTTCGATACAACGTTTTATGTTTATCGAGTGAACTTAAAAAGAAATTAAAATTTCTGAAAATATTTTCAATGTTATTTTACCGTGAATCAAAAGTGACCCGTTCGCTGACGTTCAGTCGTCCAGAGGGTTAAGTAGCATGCAGCTCGTGTACCCTTGATAGACGTTCAACGACGCACGGTTAAAGTGGAAACGCAATCCGTGCACACCCCAACAACGAATCAGAGATGAATACGGGCCGATACGAGGGAGAGAGAGTAGAAACCCAGGCAGCGATGCGTGAACGTGTCACGCATAGGCACGTGGCCGTGTATGTACTAGCGAGAAGACACAATACGAGCCGCGACAGCGACTTCGACGTGTCCCTTCGACCCTTCCAATATGTTACAGGGAAACTTTCTTCCATGCTTCCTACTCGCATCGGCATTGTAGCCGCCAGAAGAATAATATTGTGGCTAAATTCTACGCCCTGAGACAGTTCTACTCAGAAAAGACTATTTCCCAAACCATCGAGACCGAATATCAGACAATGGTACCGATATCGTCGGGGATTCGATTAAAAAATTTTTAAGGTTTATAAATGTACTCACCGTTCGAAGGCTTCTTTAAAAGGGGGTAGTCTGGAGCTGAAGTAGATTTACCAAGTCTGAAATTTGTTGATGTGTTCTTTTCATTGTTCTTCAGGCACTGCAAAATATTTGTATATTGCAAAAAAATAGAAGAGAGTTATAACAAACATGAATGAAATTCAATCTGCTTCTCACCTGATTCGAATTGAACTAATCGCTGAAATCCTCTATACAGAAGTCATTGTTCGAAGAACAAAATAGAGATTGGAGTGTATCGATTTCCAAGCTTGTAGAGGGAACAATAGGATTCGTTGAAGGAGAACGCCGTATGGAAAATCGAAGGAAGTTATAATTTCATCAGGATCGTTCGTTGGTTGTAGCCCATTTTTATTGCCGTAAATCTGGCAGCGGGAACGTGTTGGTCACGCGCCGTTTCTCGCTGACTTGTTGCCCACGATCCGTGTCCCCCGGGTTTTCGTGGCCGTCGGCGGCCACCCTGTCGTCTAAACCCGTGCCAGAACTCTGGATCCGCTCGGTTTTCTCTGCTTCCTGGATTCTTCGTGTCTTACGATCAAAAAATCCTCTTGATTCTTCAGTCTTCTAGCCAGACAGATACGCAGGAGAATTGTGCAATCCCTGATACCTTACAGCGAGCAACACACTAAAGGGTCGCGTGCTACGCTCGCTTGCTCATTATTACGCACCGCACGGGCCGGCCCGTCGCACGACACCGCTGATTTATGCCCGAAATAGGATCGACGATCTACACGGGTGTGCGTATGAGTCAGTGATACCACTTAAGGTCAAATCGCAGAGTGATGAATTGACTTATTGTCGGATGTAAATAAGAGCGGCGGCGGGTGCCACTGTTTTAATCTCGTTCAGAGACGATTGAACCGATCGTTTTGGCCCGTGTTGCACAGTTCTCTCAATTAAATTATTCCATTGGTCCGTTTTCAACGTGACTCGTTCGGTCTCGACCGGATGTTCCAGCGACATGCCTCGAAGAAGATTGACAGCGATCATCGTTACGCTGAGGAAAGAGATACTTCAATTAATTCATGTAGAAATTATTCTAGAGAAGAAAATAATCTTTATACTCGAATAATTTTTCATCATTTCCATTGACCCGTAACATGTGAGACCATGCGAGCTACGCACGCAAAGTAATTCCAACGTCGAGGAAATGAATTTAAAAAACATAAGGAATTGCAACAATTTATACTACCCTGTTTAATCAACATTTTCATAATCCTCGTAATTTTTTAATTATTTTCATTGACGCGCGACACGTAAGGGTAGACGCATACCGACGGGGAAAATTCTACACGAAACGGCAATTGCTTAATTATGATTAATCGCGACTTTACCGGGAAAAAAAGATCGAGCTGTAACGCGCGAGGCGATTACGTATACGCGATGCAGGGGCCGCAACGATTCACCTTTAAAGAGCGAGTTGCGTGCCGCGTTCGTTTTCTTGCTTTCACGCATCCTACGAAATAGATGTAATCTTTCGACGTTTCCCGCGATTCTGATCCTTTCCGCGATAACAGTTCAGTCCATCCTCCCTCGGCTTCTCGTAAATAACTTTATTGCGGTAATGAAAATTATCGCTACACTTTAAGTCTCCCTGTTATGCCGCTTCGCGTACCCAGTTTTCATCTTCTCTTCGAAACAATTAACGGAAGAAGAATGCTGAATGTTCCCATTTTTTTTAAAATCATTTTCAAATTCCCAAAAATGACGCAAGGATAACGGATTTGGAAATTACCCAAAGGTTTTTCCGAGTCAAGGAACGACTCGTTCTCTCCCTTCTTCAGGTCCTGCTGAGTAGCATTGTGTACGCGGCCAAAGAGTGCAGCAGCTCGGAATAGCGGATCCTTTGATCCTCCCTCGAGAAGAGGAAGCTGTACGCTGCGTAACGGGATTACCCCGCCCCGAGTAATTGCTCGTGAATGCGCAGATATACGCGTGACAATAGGAACACGTCGATTCGAGGTGACACAAGTCCAATGTATATGTACGTACGTGTGCGAACTCCGCGCGCTACTGACCTCGACACTTCAGCGAACAAGTTTATATGTACTTACATCTTGCCTTTACTTGCTTTCATTCGTAAACTTGTTACAAACAGAGTTGTACTCGAGGGATTGTTACAGGTGACACGGTTGATTCGTTCAGGAAAATTTTAATACCTACAATTATTATTAAAAATAATGCTCATTAATGAAAATGTAATTTAAAGATGAATTATTAAAAAATTTAGTTACATACCGATAATTTAATGGTTTATGAATTATAATGTAAAATTTGAAAGTGCACGTGCCTCGTTCTTTTTCTTTCAGTTCATACATAATCAATGCACTTATGCGAAACACCTGGAAAAGGAATGCAAATCAGTATCCTGAGCAGGTGCTCGCTTGCCTTTTCCAAACCTTAATGCCTAACAACAATGTACCAGCTGTTCCTTATATTTACAATTAATTTTTAAGCAATCATAGCTTTACCGAGGAAAAAAAAGAAAAGAAAGAAACTTAGCTTACATAGACATTCCACGTTGGAACTTCTTGTTATCATAATGTCAGAGTTGGTCTTCTGACAGGGACTAACTGGTAGCCCCGCGGCTGTACTGATTGCGGAGGACCCCACGACCTGGACCCGAGGCGTCGCGTTCCAGACCCTCGATCAAGGTTGTCCCGCGTCCCAATCAGACACGAAATCAAATTGTTTAACACAGCGGACACCAACTGCTATTTAGAGGTAGCATCTGCCTTCTACAAACTAGCTCCTCGAATGTTCTTATAGTGACGACTGAAAAAAATTAACAAAATCAGTACAAGAATGATGTAAAATTTAAAAAATTAAATTTTCCACTATTAATGGGTTAATCCTTACTTTCATATGTTTCTCTCGAGTCTTCTCATACGAAATAGTTGCTTCTCTATCTCTGACTGTTTGATTTTCAAAATGATCAGTTTTCTCGATGGAACGGTAGGATCAAACCGATAGCACGATTACCGAACGACAGAGGGGATTTCCCGTAACGAGTGTATATAACGAGGCGAAATTAAGGAGCATTGTGCCTTAAACAGATTGCAGAGTGGCGCGAACGTGACCAGTGGGCATGTTTCCACGGTTGCTCACACGTACCAGGCGAAGAGGAGGCAAGCTTGATAAGGCGAAGGAAAGGAAACGAAACGTCGATGAAACGTGAAGCAGGGGAGAAACGTATACGGACCACTCAGCCCCGTGTTTGCCTACACGGAAATCCTCTCTAACGGATTCTAACGCTCGACCGAGCTTGTACTTTTTCATCTTCGACGAACCAACGATTTTCTCGGCACCTCGCGCTTCTGAAATTGCAGAAGCAAACGTTACAATGAAAATTAAGAATGTTAAAAATAACAGCGATCAATGCAATATTCCTTTTTCGAAATAAAGGCCAAAGACAAATTGTTTATTAGCAGAGTACTAAACGATATTTCTATAAGAGTCTATAAATTACGAAAGACGAGTCGTGTAAATTCGTAACTATTCTTTTACAGGATACGGAAGCAGCTTATCCAAGTCAGCATTGGACACGCACACCCACCTCAGGCAGCCTGGTATGTAGTAGGTAGATATTTTTGAGAAGTTAAAGCACTACACCATTTTTTAAATGAAACAGCCATACGAATATCACTCTTGATGTTCCTGTAAATAATAAATAATAAATTTAGTTACGATATTCTGAAGAATTATAACGCTTCGACAATGAAAAATCTATGATCTATTAATCGTTTAACGTACCATTGTCGGTCAATTAGGAAAAGTAACGATAGGTATACAGAATCGTGCAAAAAGGAAGAAAATGATGACAGCCTATACAAAAGCGAGCGTTCATGCGTGTCCCAATCGACGACGATTTTGCCAAAGCAATTGCACGGAATGACCTTCACGATTATTACGTTCGTCGCTAATCACGCAGAGCTCCCTCGTTCCCGGTCTGACTTTTCAACGCCACGCCCAAAAATTACTCCTTCCGACTGATCAATAGCTTCAAATAAGTGGCTCGTGACCGGTCTCCACGAAACCGTCCCTATCATTAGAAAAATATGAAAAATTATGAACCGATTACCGAGGAGGAACCTAATTTACTTAACATTACAAAACATAATTACAAATGGTATTGATTATATTATACTTGATTGAAAGTCAGTATCTTTCCTTTTTTTCATCTATTATAAACCTAAAACCAGCATATCATTATCATCTAATTCGCAAACGAAAGTTTACCACGGTTTAGATTTCATTTGCATAGAACAGTGGGTGAATAGAAAATTCATGAAAACCTGGCTACCATGCAAATGGCTGTAAATTCTCATTGGAATAGAAGGAACGTTGAAAAGAAAGTTCGAACAGGGTCAGTGATATCTCTGGCTGTTTTCTTGGTCGGTTGATTCGAGGAAACAGTAGCGTTTCACGATTCCTCCGTTCGATTCCTCCTCGTCCAATGGATAAATGGGTGTACCGCGCCCCTTTGCCATTATTAACTTGTAAGTGAATTACCGTTCGATCGAAAGGCGATCACTCCGCCACACGTTTCAGGGGATTCATCGGGCAAAACGACCTTTGAGGTCCGGCAATTCACCAACCATCCCCATACGTCTGTCCCCTATCATAATCGGTGAAATGTATTTTTATGGGAGTCTCGAAGCAATCGTGGTTGAAATCTCGGCGATTCTATCCGTCCACTATTGTTCCTGGTTGATGATAGCTGCTTCCTACTTCGATGCCTGAAAGCATATTTCACATTTTACAAGAACGAATCTGAAAATGCGAATATTGGATGATATTTTGAGAAAAGAAATCATGGATGTGCCATATTTAACTGATAGAAAAAATAAAAGAACGCGATGCTCAGTTGAACAGTGTTCGTTCTCTCAGAAGACATTCGCGCACGCCCTTTGAACCACTCCGTCGTTCGTTCGCTCGTTCCTTCCTTCAATTGAAATTATTATGATCCAAACGAACTCTATTCTATTGTAGGGTTGCGATTATATCCTTTTGTACGGTTGTAGGGCACTCCAGGTCTGAGCAGTAGCGAACGACGGTGATGACGCATTGTAAGGCTTTTAAAGGGTGATACAGGGAGCACTGGGAAACAACCATGTAATGGATAGGTATATGTTCGAGGGAAATACGAGAAAAAAAAAGAAAAAAAGAAAAAGAAATTGCATTCTCTCGAATGAGGAAGAAAAAAATTTACCCTGATGTTGTATTGTTTCGACAAACAAATGTTAAAGATGAGATTAAAATTCCAAGGTCCCCGTCTCAACGATCTTAAAGTCCTACAATTAAAAAAAAAAAGAAAATTAAATGAAGTAAAAATGAAACGAACAAATGAAGTAGCTGTTCATCTATCTTCACTGTTTCCATGAGAATATGTTTCTTGTTCGTATGCTTCTGACATCCAAATACGCGGATGATTTTCTAGATCCCTACCAAATGTTTGGAGCGACGAGCAGCCGTCTGGCGAGCTCCGGTTCCGGTCAGATTCAACTGTGGCAATTCTTACTCGAGCTACTGTCAGATTCGAGTAACGCAGCGTGTATTACGTGGGAAGGAACAAACGGCGAATTCAAGTTGACTGACCCTGACGAGGTGGCGAGACGTTGGGGCGAAAGGAAGTCCAAGCCTAACATGAATTACGACAAATTGTCGAGGGCTTTGAGGTGAGTACAACGTTTATATTTCAATCTATGATTTCTTGAATCCTCACACCCCGTGGGCAGGGTCATACTGACCTAGTGAGTGTCACGCGGAATAACCATCCTCCAAGGATTAATAGTAGCTACCTGAAAAAGAAATTTTGAAAAAGATTAGATACATCGTTAATAAAATATCAATATGTAATTCAGAATACTCTTTCTCCTCTTGTTTTATAATTGTATAATGAAATGACGTTCGCGTCGCCGGTGGCTGGTGACTACCGCGACAGTGTACCTGTCAAACCTCATCGTCGAATGGCAGAAACGTGGCAAAACGTCAATATTTAACGGGCAGACGTGGAGGATACCGAGGAGAAAGTAAATTCGTTGAACGAAACGGTACGAGCAACCGTGGAGGGTAGGAGGATGGAAAGCAGGGGAGAGAAATTTCAATCACCGACAGTCAGACCGACGGCAGACGCGGCTATTATTTTTCGATCAGATCGACTGATTATATTACGCGAGACTGCTCGACTCTCTCTCTATTTTCTCTCCGTCTCTCCACCCTCCACCTCGTGATGGGTGAGAAGTTTGCAAGCCGCACGGTAACTCGACGAAAAAATAAAAAAAAGAGCAACAACAAAAATGAAAAGCGTTTCCGTCGTTGCGGAAGCAGAGCCGTTATCGACTCTGGCAAATGGAATTTATTAAATAAGACTCCGTGGTTGAGCGGGATTTTTACGACTCTCCCCGTTTCCCGGCGGCTTCGTAAATCGCGACTTTATGGCAGAACGCGTCCGCGGACTTTGCTCGATCGTATCTCATAGAACGCGCAAAGCTTCGTGGTAAAGTAAGGGTTCGCTTATGGCATATACGAATATCCTTTCTCCTATACGTCTTGACTTTATGTTTCGTTGCTTCGTCGATTTTTCGTTGAAAGGTATGGATGACAAGGATGATTGTCCTATAAAAGATTATCGCATAATACTATGGATATTATATTATATTATATTATATTAAAAGTAAAAGATTACGCGAGGCGTGGAGACATTGATTTGTACCTTTCACTTGATGCGGATAGACACTCTGATTATAACGCTTTATACTACTTGGCAGGCTGCTGATTAAGCGCAACCATTTACACACTCCAGCCTCTTCGCGTACATAAGAGTGTAACGGCTCCCTGAACGCTCCTCATGGACCTCCGTGTCTACCCAGCCCGCAACCATCCTCTTCTTCTATTTGCAGGTACTACTACGACAAGAACATCATGACGAAGGTCCACGGCAAGAGGTACGCGTACAAATTCGACTTCCAGGGTCTGGCAGCGGCGACTCAACCAGCAGCCGCGGACCCAGCCGCGTACAAATACCAGAGCGAGTTGTTCATGTCCGGTTACGGGCACGCTAAATTGAACCTCATGCCACCACCAGCCGCCTCGGTGTCGGTCTCCGTTCCAGGAGGACTGTTCCAATCAGCCTCCAGCTACTGGTCCACGAGTCCAGGTGCGAACCTGTACGCGGGACACCACACGGCCTCCGGCCATGTGCCGCCTCATCTGGGCACCTATCCCCATTACGCATGACCCACCGCCGAACACTGGGGCGCCCTGGGTACGCCACGTTAAAACTTTCTACCAAGAGAATTCAAAGACCGTCGCCATCGCGGTCAACCTGTGCCGTCGGCCTGTGTATCCCAACAATGATCGTATTTGGGAATGGGATCGTCCATGAGTCGTTCGACGGGTGTTGTTGATCGAGTGTCCTCTGTTATACTAAAAAAAGATTTTCTTTTTTACAATTTCTTTATCTTTTAACTGTTGAATTTTATTAAATTTGTGATACCTGTCACCGGTGCTCCTCGTAGCATTCAATGCGTCACAACGATTGATATTTCTCATTTTAAATGTTCAATGTAATTTTCATTTCTGTGAGCTTCATTGATAGTCGACGTGCAGATTAGACCTGGATAAATAAACAGTGACACTATGAATTGATTGTCATCTACTAAACTTGCAGAAGGAACAAGTTTCAAAGCGCAGGTGGACAGATTAAACGACAGAACCGATCAACGCAAGCATCCTTCCTGTCGCGATCATTCGATCCACTTCCTTGGCAGCAAGTTGACCAACGTGGATCGACTGTTCCAGATGCATCCGTTCATGGCCGACGGTACGCTCGAATTATTGTAAGAACGTTGTACATACAATATAATGGATTACGTAAGTACAGGGTACGTTCGCAAGACTATTCTCGTCAATCGTTTTGTCTCTTCGGCGTTTGAAACGAATATCAATTAGAAACTATAAATGAATTACTTTACGCAAACGGAAAGAGTCTGTCAAAAATTCACGAACCTTGATTTTCTATTCGTTTCTGATCCATTGCAAGAGAAAATAAATCGTGTGTCGAGAATTATCCTGTCCGAGAAGACGTCGCCTTGTACACTAATAACAAACCGGCGTACTTCCGCTGAGGAACGTCGGCATTTCCGACTGGATGGAATCGAACATGTTCATTTTGACGCGTAGACAACTCGTTTTTTTTTTTATCGTTCGATCGATCTAATCAAACGTGACAATTAATTGAACTCCAAAAAATCAAGAAGAACCTTTCGTTGATAAAAATGTGTCCATGTTCGATTCGGGCCAAGAGTAATGCGTGTATTATAAACTCTTTTAACTTATTTGTTACATAACGAAGTGTAGATAGAGAAACCGCATGTCGTCGTTCGTGAAAATCATCGCGAGACACGCTGCTCGTAAATAGTTGGCGCACATTCAAAGGACACACTACGGTTCTCATACGTTCTCTATGCCACGCGCAACAATTTTACAACGAAGTTCGCGCTAACGTGTTTCAGTGTTACTCGGGACTGTGTGCATGCGTGTGTGAATTAACACCTTACCAATCGACAGTTGAAAAGCATTTAACAAACTCCTGATTCGCTTCTGACTCGATGAAAATAATAAAATTAAGAAAATCTTACTTTTATTTATATAAAGGTAGGTAAGGTGTTAACCGCGAGCGACCAACGAAATTTCTACGTTGATTAGAATTCAACCAGGAAGTTTCATTTTCTCTTCATCTTGCCCCCTATTTTTTAAGAATTCTTCATTTCGTCGAGTTCGTATCTAGTACCTGGTAAGAGAAGCAACAGTAAAGTGGCACAGTATAAACAAAAAGAGAAAATTGATTGAAACAGAATGCAAACCTGGATCGAGCCGCGCGTGTCCGTCGGTCCATGGCGAGGCTACATTGATAAAGTACAACAAGTCGAGTCATATCAAAAATCCCTAGCCGCGTTCACCGTCGTTTCTCACCGACCATAGCCAAGAGATGCGGTCGCTCTATCTATGTACAAACGCAAGGGGTAGGTCTCCAGGAATCCTTGGAAACCGCAACGGTGGATCGAGAGCAGACGGCGATCCATCGGGCACTGGTCCGACGGCGACCTACCCCGTTGGAAAGGTGTACCTCTGTCGAAGAAGCAAGTTACTTCTTAAGTCGTATACTGTATCATACCATTCGTAAGCATCCCTAGAATTACTCAAACGATTTAGTATACCAACCGGTCGGCCGTTCCATGGGGTACACCGTAACGATGGTTCTCCAAGATGTTGCTCTCCAACGGGATGGCTTCATGGAACGTCGACGGGCTCTAATGTAGATAGGGTGTTTTCATGTGTAGCGTAGGCGTGTAGGGATTATAGTCTTAGCGCGAGGATGTATTTCAACGTGTGATTCCGTGTGCCTGCGTGTGCAAAAGAGTAACGCGAGATTGAGAAAAATGGAACGTACAAAGAGACAGAAAATTGGGAACGAGTGTAGCGTGTATGGCAGAGGCGTGATTCTTAAACTGGAATACAGACGATGACGAAGCTGAGGATGATGGATGAGAGGGTGGACGAGGGGTGTCTGGCTCTAGCATAGACCGCGTTAGGCTAGGTAGATAAGCGACCCCTTCGAACTGCGAGAGATGGCGAAGACCTTGATCGAAAGATGCGGGCTGTTTTCTTTCTGCGCGAAGAAATTTGAAGATGATGGAATACGAACGAAGAGCAAGCAAGATGGCGAAGAGGCCGAGCAGAAGAGTGCGGTGGGTGGGAAGGGGCGCTGTTGTTGTTCTTGTTGTCGTGCGCTTGTATTAAAGTCGCCATGTTCTAATTAAACGTGCCGACGGGGTTGTATCAGTCGTCGGCAAAATCAATGTGGCTCTCTATGGTATCTGTGCACTCGTATACGTACACGGGTCGCGCATAGATTCGTGGGACAAGTAGGTGCACAAGCTTTGCGCCGAAGTTGAAGAGGAAGACTCTACTTCTCTTTCATTCTTGAAGCGTAAACGAAACCTGAAAAAAAAAAAAAGAGACAAAGGTAAAGGAGGAACGGACACAAAGGATGGCAACGGAACGAGAAGCGGATTGAGGGACTGCGCGGAAGGGAAATAGTGGACGGAGGAACGGGGTGTGAATGGAAAAAATAAAAAGGAGGAAGAAAAAAAAGTAAGCAACACACGGTAGGTCATCCTTGGTTGTCGGCGGTTGGCGAATTGGTCGGGTTGCCATGGTGAACGCCGGGTATTCCCTGGATTCGGGCCCGCCCCAACGGGAAACCCCCATTCGGGAAATTCGTGGCGTCGCCGAAGCGGTGCCGGTTTAGCTCGGCTCGGCTAATCGATTCTGCTACCAATCAGCGCCCGCGCTGTTCCTTCTCGTCCTCCACCTCCTCCTCCTCCTCCTCCTTCTCCTCCTTCTCCTCCTTCTCGACCCCGAGCTTCTACCCTCAAACCTTCTTCGTCCGCTACCACCGCCACCTCCACTTACACCTACACGCGTCCTTCACGCTACCACTTACCTAAGCGGTACGACCCTCTGATCTTCTCTGTGTACGGTTATTACAGTAGGTGAAGAGTCGGGTCTTGATAAAGGCACCGGCTGAGCGAAACCAATCGACGCTTTAACCCCTTTTCTCTTTGTACTTTTGGGAAGCAGCAAATGGTAGACTGTGTTTTAAAAAATCTTGATGAGTAATTAAATAGTGACTAGTATTGTCAATTTATTTTGTTGCAAATGGCATTTAAATTGAAGATATAAACAAATTTAAAATCGTGGAAGAAAGATTCAATGATATATTTCTAGATGCTTGCCCTCCCCCTCCCCCCCAGTAAGAATTCTAGGTCCACCTCTCATATATTTGCAGTAACATTTAGAAATACTTCCCAAAATGAATTTTGTTTATATTGTAAGTTACTATTTGAATAATTGTAGAATTACCATTTCTTTGCAGCTTTCCTGTAAGTAGTAGTTTATTTATTAGTCACGCGTGATTTCAGCCACTTGGAGTATTTCCTTCCAAATACACCGCCATATTTTGAATAGATTCTTCTTGCAAATGTTCTTGAAGGTACGGATCTAATAATACCGATCAGAATTAACAGACGTATAACGATCTAACATAACTAATTACTTGTAACTTTGGAATAATAACGGTAATATGCGATACCTGACTCGATCCATGGTGCGATAATCGAAAGCAGCAATGGTTATCCGCGCAAATCAATGATATACGTAATTTCAAAGCTTGCAGGTCTCCCAAAGTACAGCTATTCGAAATTATTATCTATTTAAACAATAAATGTTTCATTTATTAAGCAATGATCAACAAAATAAAATAAAACAAGAATTATTGCATACCTTTCAGGAACCACGTTTTAAAAGTACACGAGGGCACTACTGTTCCTTAGTTCGAGAGCCAACACTGAAATACTAGAAGTTCCTATATGCATGAAAATATGACTAAAAATTTTTTCTCAAAAGTTGTCACTTGTGAATCGATATACATACATATGTAATTTCAAATTTTCACAACTGAACATTTTCCGATAATTGGAAAAGCGCGGATAAAATTATCAGTTATGAACAGTTATCTCGATCATTACTATTGAGATGATTTTATGAACGCCTTATAATAATAACGATGATATCTTTTTATGTAAATTATGGAAAGAGATCTTTCCAGATTAACTGCAGGTAACCTACGCCTGTATAGAAAGAACCTTGAACTACCGCTGATGTTTATTAGACCGTTTAGGTTACAAGAAAATGTGAAACATTCGTAGCGAAAGAGAAATTTGTAAAATTTTAGGAAAGAATTTTTGCCAAATTTATAATCAACGGGACAACCAGAATGAGTTCTACACATTTATCTTCCGGTAAGAACATATTCTCGATAGAATCGAGTGTAATTATAAATAACTCTATTTATTTCATCATATTACAGGATCGGTTGCCCCGCCCGTTGTACCTGGAAAAATACGTTTATATAGCATGCGATTTTGTCCGTACGCGCAAAGAATTCATTTAGTACTGGATGCAAAACATATACCGTAAGTTAATTAATTTAATAAGATATAGTTTCATTAATCGAATTTTGTTTTATATTTTGGATATTTACTTCTCCTAAATAGGTCAGTTATATTTGTGTTGATATCTGTATCCTTCATTCTCACGTGTTCTTTCAATAGTTATTTTTTTAATTATTTTGTAATTACAGATATGATGTTGTTTATGTAAATTTAACACATAAACCTGAGTGGTTAATAGAAAAAAGTCCTTTGGCTAAAGTACCTTGTATAGAGTTTCAGAGTGGAGAAACATTATATGAAAGCCTTATCATTGCTGATTGTTTAGATGAATCATATCCACAAAACAAACTATATCCTGATGACCCTGTGGCCAGGGCTAAGAATAAACTGTTGATCTCTAGATTTAATACTGTTATAAATATTATGTACAAGGTACATACAATTGTAATATACAATTCCTGTAAAACAAATATTATCTGTGTAAATGTAAAATTGCAACTATTTTTTTATTGTAGTTGTATCAAAATACATCTGCAGATCGTGACGTATTTAATGAAGCATTGACTGAATTAGGTCTTTTTGAGAGAGAACTTACATTAAGAAAAACACTATTCTTCCATGGTAACTCTCCTGGAATGGTGGATTTCATGATCTGGCCATGGTTTGAAAGATCTGATATAATTAAAGTCCTACGCGGGGATCAGTTTACTATACCTCGCGATCGTTTTAAGAGACTGGTAAATTAAAAATTTATTTAATGAACATAATATAAAACCGTTTTATAAAAATTAGTGTATACATAATTATAAATTTTTTATTTACAATTTCAGATGGAATGGAAATCTGCTATGAAAGAAAATCCTGCAGTTCAATGTAGTTACTTAGATACTGAAGTACATGCTAAATATATCCAAAGTCGTCAGGCGGGTACACCACAATATGATTTCGTTGTTCAGGCTACAAAACTAATGTAATATATTGTATTTAAAAATATATATTTTTATATTGCACTAATAGTTTAATGGATGATATTTTTCAAATTGTATAAAAATATTAATTGTAAAACTGGTATGAATAAAATCTTATTCTTTGTCTCATTTGTGGAATATTTATGAAAGTAATGTTTTATACTATAAGTTCTCTTGTGTAATGAGTTAAAGAATAAAATATTGCTGCTTATGTTGTTGTAAGTTTAATACTGATCTCATTTGTATCATTTTGTAATCTTATTTGTTCAATACAATATAAAGCATAAGGTGAAAAACATTTTCCATTAATATAAAAGCAATTGATATTACAGTATAAATCTTATCTTTTACTTGTAACAGTCCATATGCATGTAATTAATATAGTATTCCCTTTAATATACAGGTATGTAAAACTTTTAAATTATATCTTTCCATAAATCATCAGGTACAATCCATAAAGCAGGAAACATATAAAAACTAAGCTTCCTGCTACCATGAATGATTTCGTATTTTCCTTTCTTAAATGTTTCAGTTTTTCTTCATTTTTTTTTAATACCCCTTTGATTTCTTCTAACTTTGTCTCTAGTTGTTCCCGACTTTCTATTGTAAGTAATTTGGTCCTAAGTTTTTTTTCAAGGACATCAACCTTATACATGGAGTCTTTCAAAGTGTCTTCCACTTTTTGTATCTACAGAGCATAAAATAAGCCATGAAAGGTATCACAGACACAGGTTAAGATAAGATAAGCATATTGAATTCGAATAAAACGTACAAAATTATTGACCTTGTATATACCTTTGTCATAATTGTTTCGTTTCGCGCCATTTTCTAAATGAATATGTATTCTTTTCTGTTACACTATACATAAATTCCGAATCACATTTCAAGTAAACGCTCTGACACTTCTGAACGTCAGATGCACGTGTTCGTTGAATACCTCATCAAATACAAAATGGCGGAACTAACCATATAGCCTGTAAACTCATATGATAATTCTTCATTTATATCTTGAACTTACAGATATTTATTCGACCATTTTATTTATTTAAAATATAATACTTAATACTGAAAGCTTATCAGTATCAAATGTCCAACTGTTCATCTAGAAATCTTAGAATCAAACCATAAAATCAAAGAAACATTACAGTAACTTTGGTATCAATTGAAGGTTTAATTTTTCGAAGATCACATATTCTGAATTGTATTGTACTTTTACAAAATTATATTTGTCGTAAAATTATATATATATATTAAATACTTTCCAGTAGAGAAGTTGGAACATAAAGCTAATACACTTTACAATAATATGAAAACGATGAAATTTAACAATATATGTACATCTTACGACTAAACGCTGATATAATGATCGCTATCGTTAAATACGAAGCGAAGAAATGACATAAATATAAGGATTAGAGATTAAAAGTGCTAATTGTATAAGTACTACTTAAAAAATGATTTAATTTGTAGTGCACGTCATATTATACATAGAACACAAGTCTTTTTTTGCAGGTTCACTCATCATCTCATACATACATGTACTAATAATAATTTCTATTAACTTAAATAAAATTTATTCCATTTTCTCGCTTAGATTCTCTTTCACATATAGATAAAATTAAATCTGAAACATAAAATGAAGTATTAGAAGTATTGTATATTGTATTGGGTATATTTAATGATTAATAGCTTTCTATATTTAATGTACCTGCAAAGTGACTGTGGTAAAGATGATATAATTGGTCCGTACCCTTGAGAGTTATCATACAACTCGAATAATGGTGCAGCAACTAATTTGTAGTTCTTAGGTACTGCAAATAGGGCTAAAAATTCAAAACTTTGTTATGATCTTAATTTATGTCGTATTTGATTTCTCAGTAAACGAGCATATTACCTTTCTCTTGTAACTGAACAAGAAATAGCCTTTTATGCTCTTTTGGTTTTGTAATATGTGGTGGTACATAAGGATATTGAGGCGGTTCAAAATTTGGTCTCCACCAGTTTCCAATGGTATCTTCTATCACCCATTCCTGTTTAACTCCGTCTTGACGTCCAAATGTCTAAAAATTATTTTAATATTATACTACCTAATTTTTTAATGTTTTTATATTTCGTTCATAGATATTACGAGACAGTCTTCTTCGCTCAGTCCACTAAGAACATGGTTACAATACTTTTTTTTTTTTTTACAGATTTAAAACGGCTGTATAATCTTATCAATTCTGTTAACAATCTAATCAACAATTTCCTTACATGTTCCTGTAACTTCTATATAATCAACAACACGGGCCAGAAGTATTTGATTCAAATACTTTCGGCTTCCTTTGCTTACAGATACCTAATTAAATGAAACAGCTGTTGTACATACGTTTGTCATTTTAATTAGAAATTGAATAAATGTATAAAGGTATAAAATCTGAAAATTGCCTATTAATCACATTAAGAAAAATTACGAGCCTGCGTGTTTTAATTATTTTCTAACAAGAATTTTAAGACTATATATTATTTAATACATCTTTTTCCTTTTGTTTTCGTCAACGGATGACAACAAAATGTTAACAGATATGTACGATACAGTCTTCTTGTTATAATCATACAATCTTCACCTGCTGCCCCTTTCTGTCTGAGTTAATACATATGAGAGAAATAAGAACAATGTTCTTAGCTAACCATGATACATATAATGTAACACATTATAAATGTATTATTATGAACAACAAAGTGTCCGGGCATGCAGCACACTAAAAGTATAAATTCTAACATAATAAATTAAAAACTCCCCTATTTTGAGCTACAGGCCCGGTTACATAAGTTCTACAAATGTTTGTAGGAATGATACAATAGATTCCTAGTCAGTATTACAATCTAACATATCAAAGTGCCACTCCTAGCTACCCTGTAAGGTAGCATAAGGCGTCGTGCTAACTGTTACCTCTGTTAGGAGCCGTTTTAGGCCCTCTACCTCGTCTTCTCCTGCATTTAATTCTCCTCCAGGCCTAGAAAATACAAAAAAATATACAAAATATTTAACACATGCACGTAACATAAATTTCGTGACATTTTTACACAGAAAATTTATGCTTACAATTTGAAGAACGTGGTTCCCAATTGTAGAAGGAGGACATGTGGTAATCCATGTTCATGTACCAATAAGACCCCTTCTACGCTGCGCCGCATTCCAATTTTGTCGAATTCATCTCGCATGCGCTGAAACCTTGCTGGTACTGATGGATCTTTCTCGAAGAGTGGCTCTTTTGTTCCAAATGTATAGTTTGTCAAAGGATATCTATGATAAATGAGTTTTATTTTTGTGTTAGGTTCTTATTTCTTTTATATAATCCTTCAGTAACTAAATCCGGTTTCTTCAACATTATTCTCACAAATAATTTTACAATATATAATTGTAAAGATTATACAGGTACTCACAATGCACTAGATTGAGCATGTAATTTTGCACCCAGGTACCTTATATTAAATTCCACATTTGATACAAAACAGAAAATATAGTTTTTCATGCAAGCAATTAGAATAACATACAGATATATGATATAAAAACAAATATTTTGTTTAACATTTCTGTGTTTAAGAATGTATATATATATATATATTGAACCAAGGTATATTTATATATGTATATAATTGAGAATAAATGGCAATTAAAGGAATTTACATCTGTAAAATTTACAAAGCTTGTATGTAAATACAATGTTGAACAGTGTACATCAATGTACCATATAAACAATATTCTTATATAATTGCAAATCTTTCAGTAATAACCACATACATATGGTTTTTAACTATAGTAATTATACATACAAAAATTGACCTGATATGTACAAAGCATTATATTACTTATAACATTACATCTTTATAGGATGTTTATCAAATGTACTTATACCATTCATTTTGAAGTACACAATACATGTATTTATACTACTCTCATATATTTGTAATTTTTTATTATTATAAATAATGTGATCTATAGGTTATATATTGATATCTTCCAACAACTTTTTTTTTGTATACAAATATCTTTCTCATTCTTTCTGGTACTTTTCAAGTACCGTATTCCCAAAATGCAAAAGTGAGATCAAAACAATTATATAATTGACTTGTTAGATTATATATTATTATCCACTTATAAGTATCAAATAGTGCTTTGTGATATGTTTGTATATATGTAATAGATATAATACAGTTTTTAATGTCAGATGAGATATGAAATATTAACAATAACGCATTTTTAAAAGATATAAATCTTAGAATGCAATATGTGACACTTTATGACTACTTTAAATTAACTTCATCATTTCATGAAGTATTATTCAAAATGTTCATATCAATGCACATTTCATGATTTATTAGATTAACAGCTAGATACATTTATGAACTACCTGAGACAAATACATTCATGATAATGTAAATACAAAAATGTTTTCTATTGCAAATTGCACTTTACATAAAAAGTGAAAGGCCAATTTACTAATGAAAAAAAAAAAAAGAAAAATACAAAGACCATTAATTTTTAAGTATTACAGGTTGTGTACAAGTCTTAGAGCATAACAATTTAACTGGCGGAATTATTTTGTACATTTTTCATTTTATACAGGACATAAAAATAATTCATAATGTACAAGTGAAAACAATTAACAGTGATGATACAACTGCTTTCAAATGTATACGCATTACAAATTAACAGTCACGCTATTACAGTGACTGTAAAAAAATAACAGAACATGTTTTGTACGCAAACATACATTCAGTATATAAAAAAGGCCAGCGTACATTACATATACGATGGCTACAGCCTTTATAAATTGACAAATAGAAATGAAATTTGTTTCTCATCAGCTTCTCTATAACCAAGATTGTATACTTTGTGCAGGTAAAGCACAAAAGATATAACTTTATTCTATATCAGGAAATTTTAAGCAGTTAAAAAAAATGTACTATAAAGAAAAAATTGTTTATTGCAATGTATATAGATTTCAGGATACAGTGAAATAGTTGGTTATACCACATGATAACAAACAGACGTAAATAATTACGGAATGATATAATAATCGAGGCAATAATTCAAATGCGCTGCTTAAAATTTCCGTAGATACTTAACGAAAAGATGAACAGCCGTCTCATGGTTGTACCATGTAAGATGTATCGAAAGGTGTTAGGAACATAATTTTAATTGCTAGCGTCTCTTAACCGGCCATAGTTGTTCTACAGGAGAGGCAGTCAAAACATTAACTCTAAAAAATAATGTAATTAAGTCACATACTGATTATCACTTACAAATTCACTGTCCTGTTGATAGTTACGGACTGGTTCTGCACCACCTTTCCTTCAAATGAACTATTACTTGCTCTTCGCGGCCAACCACTTCCCTTCACCTGAGTTGTTGCCATCGCCATTTTTCTCTCTATTACCTTCTATAAACTGAACGAACTAACGTATACCCGCGAAATCGAACCACTTCGTGGCTTCTCGAACGTCCAGAAACTATTTCGCGGGCTACACAGTGTTGTCCAAAGAGTGTGCTATACTAACGCCCTCTTTGTATTATGTATAAAAAAAACCATATCGAGGATGAAACTATTTATTTAATTTTGTACAAAATGTGATGCATATTATTCAAGACTTATTATTTATTTATAAGACTATTAAGGTTTAATATTAGGGATCTAATAACGAATTTTATTTTATGCTATTGGCAGCACTGAACGACGCTTCTACGGGGTTCACTCGAGCAAATGCACGGAAAGCGGCAGCCATTCCAGAATAGGATTAAGGAAGCATTTGGCGTTTATTGGGAAAGAAAATTTCTTTGTTCTCGCGTTTAAACTTATTTACGACGCCTGAAATCAGCATTCTCCTTATGAGATCCGCCGTTTTTTCATAGTAAGTTCGGTGAGTCAAATATTCTGGTGTGCTTCTCAAATATTTCCATCAAAATTTTTAAGCTACGAACATGGCGAACGGGTAATACAACGTAAAAGAAGTCTCTCTTGTCTTATAAGTTCACTGCTTATTTCGGAACTCAATTTCATATGCATGAAATCTTTAAATTCATATATTTTTCTGTAGTATTCTGATATTATTAACGACGAGTTAAGTTTCTTTGCTTTGGGCGATTGTTTTATACTTAGAGAACATGGGCGTCGGAATTCAATATGGTTGCTTTGTATCAAATAATAAGTTTATGAACTGTAACTTAAGTTGTTATTTTTCATGTTATTTACGTTATCTCAAATATCGCAGAATTATGTAATAATGACAAACCTAAACATTGATTTAATGAAATTGTTAAAAAATTAAAAGCTATGTAAGTGAGATAGCAACACACTTAAAATATATCTAGAGTTTATAGTTACAGTGTGTATAATATGTGGTTGTAGGTACAGTATGGAAAAAATGGTGTGTGTTGCAGGATCTTAGGCAAGTCAGTGTGTGTTAGGTGTCAAGATCAGGTATCCGCGTCATCAGTGGACTTTTATACAATGACACGGTGCAGTTGACTCCTTTTCCACTTCTCCATTTTATTGTCCTTCGCTGATGGACTGTTTGCTGCTTGGTCGTCTTTATTCTCATCGACTTCTTATCTTTCATCGTACATTTTAACTGAGGGTGAAGAAGGAAGAAATTTCTGAAGTATCTAAAGCCGAAGGTAATGCTTCATAAGTAATGTAATAAAATCTAGCTCATAATCGTGGAGGGAAGTGTTGTGATTTTACTACAGGCTCATTTAGTTCTTCATTATCTTGGAATGTTTCAAGATAATTCTTGATAATTAAGCATTATAATTTCACATTTATATCTCATCCAAAACAGTTTTGTTTTTATTCTATATTTATTTCATGTAATAAGACATGGTAAGTAATTAATGAAAATAACAACAGCAGGAATAATAAAGAAATGAAAAACAAGATATTTTAAACAGAAATGGAGAACATTCTACATGTTTGCATGATTATCTCATGTTCTTCATTTTTTAAGAATATTAATCATTATCAGTAAATCCTAGCATTATAAACTTACCTTTATGAAATAAAGAAAATTGATAGTTCTTCACAAAATATACATGTCATGAATTTCAATGATATAGAGTGAAATATAATAGAGTAACTTTTCTTATATAACTCATAGGTTTTATTAAGCTTTAAATATATATTTGCAGTCTTTAAAACATCAGAGTTAAGCTCTTTATTAAACCTTTATTTTGTTGCATATATTTGTATACCTTGATTCATTAGTTATCAATGAAAAGAGGTAAGTTTATTCATGGTAAAGAAAGCTTTGCACAAATAAAATATTTAAATATTTTGCAAAGTTTAAATTAAATTATTTTATATCACAGTAGCTTGTTCTTTAAACAAATTATTGAATATTTTAAACAGAGAAATTTTTTAAATATAGGACATAAGTTTTATATGATTACTTTACTGATTAAAAAAAAAAAAAAAAAAAAAAAACAATATTTATATAAACTTCTGAGAATATCCAACATGCATACATATTCAATTAAAATAAGCAAAGTGAAAATTACGAGAAAAGGTCGAGTAGGCATCGTTCGTGATTTTCATGTAGTGGTCAGATAAATTAACAAAAAAAAAGGAGCCAAAAATGCTGAAGTGGAATATCTGCCGCATCTCTATCTCCTGACTCTTCTTTGCTGTGAAGTGCATTTTTCTTGCGTGGTCCTTGAAAGCTGGGAGTCATCGCCTTCTCATTCAAGTGCATTTCTGTTGCATGCTCTACGTGGACACAGTGGTCATCGAATTACTCTACAAACTTTTCCAAACACTGTTCCTTCTGTTGCACTGATACTTGAAAGTGCAGTATACCTTTTTGTTTGGTTTTCATTATACAAGAATAGTAATATACATATATAATCATATATGAATCTCTATTCAGCACTATGACTCCGCGTTCGTAAACGATTAAACCGTACCGCATTAATGATAAAACAATCGTAAAATAGAATTTTATAAAAAATTAAATTGCTAAATATGAAAACGTAAAACGCATAGTAAACAGCGTTGAATCCATCATCGAAGATGTTAACATAATCGTTTTACTGCTCGTCGCAAGAACGGAGTATATTTATACGTGGACAACAGCAATCTAAGAATTACCTTCCGCCTACACAGTATACGTGCTTCTGTTGTGTCGTGCGCATACAGTTCTATATTTACAATTTTTGATGACGCATAATTAGATCGTGCACACAACACAGAAGCTTGCCATTATTATAATAGTCATGAGTTGTATATTTTCGTTCGTAATCGTGCTGAGCGTTTCGACGCGACCTCGTTCGCGTAAATTTGAGGTTATGGATGCGACAGCATTCGAAACTTCTTTCGCTCGATTCATTTCGGCGACATTTTAATGCAACTTTATAGTCTAATATCGAGGAAGGTGAGTGCAAAGGAAGTTTCGAGCATTGATAAGGCTTATCTCGAAATAATAATCATGGGAGAGACAGAGAGACACGATGTCTTGGTCGTCGTGAATGGTTGTAAGTTGATGCAGCTACAGGTTCAGAATGGCCGCATAAAAGCCTGGTGAATGGAATCGAGTTGGAACCTGTATTACATCTGTAATGGTACTTCGACCTTTCTTTTGTGCTTGAGCTGAACGTGCAGCCAGCTTCGAATTACGGCGATTTTGGACCGACATCGACCTCCTATCCCTCATTCCTGCTTTCGTAAATGTTTTTTAAAAAAAATGGTATCTTCAAAACATTCTAATGGAACGTATTAAAACTATACGAATCTAATTTACAGTGACATACTAGTAATATAATTTCTTTTTTTTTTACATTACGCTTTAACAAATAAGGTAGTTCATAATGAACTTCAGAAGGTGAGGAGGGAAATTGGAAAACGTCGACCATTTTTTTTTTTTTTAATTATGTACGATTTATAAGTTCTTCAAGAAAGAATTTTTTCTCGTTACCTTATTTTCTGATGTATGCTTAGGAATTCGAAATCTGATCCTCCTGAAGCAGAACAGATTTTGAAACGAGATTCTCCCCCTAGATTGGAGAAACTACCCCTAAATCGATAAAAGAAAACCGGTAGGCTCGTCGCTGCTTCAGCACTTCGTATGTACCTCAAACCGGAAGTATACTTCTGCCGCAGTTTATTTCTCCGCTAAAAAGTCCAAAGTCTACAATAAGAGTTCATCCACGTTTATCCAAGCGTGATCTCAAATTTCGAAGCATCGCAAAATCATGATCGTCCTCGACGATTGAAAAGGAGACAGGAAACGATAGGAAAAAAAAGAAAAAAAAATGGGGCACGCATTTGAAATCTCCTTCTCCGGAGTTTCGTTTTTTACCTTCGACTACGTTATGGACACGTCGCTGTTTGGATGGAAGCTGAAAAAAACTGGCAATGAACATCGTCGTTGTCGATTTTGTGCCTTTTTGTTTTTTCAATTGAATGATCGGTGCTGACAACGATAGGCGGTCCCGAACCTCGGCAGACTAGCGATGATCGATGCTCTAAACTTTATTGATCTTTACCTGATCAGAAAGTTGCGACACTTAACTTCGTTAGAAACGTAATTGAACTCTACTATTATTTGATAACTTTAGAAGAAATCTTGACTAGTTAGAACTTACTTGCTCTGTGGAGTGATCTCTGGAGTCTGTCGAGTGATCCTCTCTATAGGCTCGCAGCAGGAGGTTCCAGCTTGCGAGCGTATAGAGAGGGCTTGCTGTATTTCAGGCACGAAATTAAGATTCGAACACACATGGTGAAGGATTACGTTTGAAAAGCGTCTGCGCTGTTAAACTTTCGATCTACCGGCGGTTCTATTTATAAATCAACCAATCTGACGAATTTCTGAAAAAGCGTGATTACGCTGAATTAGGGTAACCAGACCCCGGTACCTTAATTTGCATTATCGTTACTATTAACTTTAGGAAATTAAATCCAATTTAAAACACTTTGTACTCTATAATTTCTCAATATCTAAAGATTAATATTCTGAGTAATAATATTTCAGTTTTGATTCGCTGAAAACACAAGAAATTTAATTTTTATCTTATTGATTGCTTAAGATAATGCGGATGTTATTTCTGCTTCGAAAATTTGGCAAAAGTTTAAACAAGATGATTTATTCAAGCAATACGTTCGTTTGTTTGTTGCTCGACAACGCGTTTCACGGATTTATCGGCGTTAAACGAATCGTTGGAGGATCTACGCTCGTGGAATTTACTAAAGCAATAAACGTTCCTGGATACACGTTGCTTTGGAAAAAATCGTTCGAATCTTGTAAGATGAAATAGAGATACCTCTTACCAATCGGAGTATCTAGAGAACAAGTTTCAGACTTGTAATCGCTGCAAAATCATCGTCGGCGCTACAGGATCGCGAAACGTTTGATTCATTGGATGCAGATGCAGCATAAATGAGACACCATCGCATGAGAACAATCATGCTCTGATCGATTATACGGAGACTGTCCTGTGGGATCTCTTTGTGTTTTTGCATTTAAATTCGACTAAATCTTCAATATTTATGCGGATAATAGGAATTTTTAACATTTACAAAATTACATACGTATATCGTGCTATAATTAATTACTTCGTTCATCATAATATTTTAGCTTGAATAATCTATCTTTTATGAATTACACGTAACTGGAACGTTAAACACCACTTTGAACACGTGAACTCCAAAAATAAAAAAAGATACTGTATATACACCTGTACAGGATGATTAAACACGCGTTGTTTCGAAAGAAAATTTTTATTAAACATTTATGAACATACCTGCTGATTGGAGTACTGATAATACCGCAAAAGGTTATCATAACAATGTTACTTTTATCGTGTTCTTAAATGATCTTATTGAAAAAGAATACTTGGAAATATTCCACTAATTAAACGATAATTTATGCGGAAGATTAACATCGACAGATAGAATGGTCGACATGCTTTTAATTAGCTGATTAGTACTTAATTAGTGGGGTACCCTGGTATCCGAGCACAATGCGAATAGAGATCTAGGGCGATTTTAAAATACTCCAATGGGAGCATAAGAAATTCTTCAGCTTTATTATAGAACGGTTATTAACACAATGGAAATACGAGCTGAGATTTGAAAATAAAAGTCTTCCTTTGCGATTCCTACTTTTCCATCGTCGTAGAATGAAGCGATCGATGAAACCTTTGAGCTTCGTTTGCCGTCCGAAAGCTTAGAACATCGGTACTACTGTTGTACTTGTACTTTAATTTAATACCGTTTTACATTCGATTTTGGTCTCTCTTATTCTTGGAAATATTTAATTTCTTCATTTGTGTGATATTTTCTTGAAATACGCAAGGGATACTGTTGGAAACTTGGAGCATTTTGAAATTTGAGTGAATTTTCCTGTATATAAATGAAACATTTGTTATTTAAACTAAAAACGATAAGAACGATATTGTATATACTGAGATGTACGTTAAAGAATTGTACAAAAAAGAACAAAGGAAATAAAACATCAGAAAACTTGAATGTTTTAGTTTCATTCTACAATTCTCCGTTTCCTTCATGTGTATTTAAAATAATTCGCTGCCAAAAGACTCTTTCTATCCTCGTTTAATTCGAATCCTTCGGCTCGGTTGCAGATCTCTTCGAATAACAATCGAAAATGAGCGTGATAATCAGGCTACAGAATTTGGCATGGTCCGCCAACGCTTTGGACATTCGCCAATTTTTCAGAGGCTTGAGCATACCGGAAGGAGGGGTGCACATTGTCGGTGGTGAGCTGGGAGATGCATTTATAGCGTTCAGGTAATACAATGAAATCTACTAATTGAAGAAAATTCTTCTCCCATCGTTCGTTCTTAAATACTCTTCGAGTATCGATGTTGACGATGTTTGGACGGAAGCTTGAATTCGATGCAATTTCCAGCACCGACGAGGACGCCCGGCAGGCGATGATGCACGATGGCGGCAAGATCAAGGAGATGAAGATCAAGCTGCTGCTAAGTTCCCGTACAGAGATGCAGAAAGTGATAGAGGCTGCCAGACAACAGACTCTGAGCCTTCAGTCGTTCATGCAGTCGACACCTGTCGCGGTTCCTCCGGTTGTTCAGAAGCCAGGATCTCCCACCGACAGGCGAGAAAAGGAGAAGGACAACGACAGCGAGTCGAGCAAAGATCGCAAGGATAGGCGGGACAGATCGCGATCCAGGGACAGATCACGATCCCGTGATCGCGATAGGGATAGAGATAGGCGAGACAGAGACAGAGGTCGGGATCGTAGACGTCGAGACAGAAGCAGATCGCGAGACAGAGAGCGCGATAGGAGAGACAGGCGTCGTCGTCGCGATCGATCCAGGTCTCGTGATCGTACACGATCCAGGGACAGAGACGCTAAGCGTAACTCGACCGGTGAACGTCGTAAAGACGCCACCGACGATGATAATAACGACGTCGTTTGCGTGGGTCAGTTCCACAAGGACAAACCTGTGCCTGGCGCGAAGAAACCGCTGGAGAATGGCATATGGGAGGTCCCACCTCAGACTCAGATGCAAGCCGCCATGCTGGCCCCTGGAATTCTGGGCGCTGGCGTGGCTGCTTTGTCGCAGGATGGCGAGCAACGATCCATGATGATCAGTAGTCCCGTGATGGGACATCCGTCGCTGCTTCAACAGAGCCAGTTCCCCATAAACGGGATAAACAGCGTTGGATTGATGCAATCGCACGTGCAGACACTTGGGCATACCGTAGGCATGAATTCCTTGTCTCAGAACATAGGAAACTCGAGTCTGCCGAATTTAACCAGCGGAGTGGCCTCGCTGAACCGATCCAAGGAGCCTTGGAATCAGAATGAACAGAGTAGAATGGATCAGGTCAGGTTTCCTGGTAGATCCGGTCAGTTCGGGACCGATATATACGGTTCAAATGGTTCCATAAACTACAGACCTGGAATTCGACCCAACAATCCCTTCCTGAGTAAAGTGCAAGAGTTGGAGGGCCGTCGCAATCCGCACGCGTTTCAAGCGAACAGTTCTCAGTTCAATTTCGACAACGACAGGCAGTCGAGCCGCAGCACGACTAGCAATTCGAGATTCTCCAGCGACAGCAAGAGCAGCAGCGGTAGCGGACACTGCGTGGAAGTCCGTAACATGCCTCTGAGCGCCACGTACAACGATGTACGCCACGCTTTTCAAGGCATCTATATCAGGAAAGATGGACTGAAGCTGATCAACGATAATCACGGGAACCGTGTCGGTATCGCTTACGTTAAGTTCAGTAAGGCTGAAGGTAAAGAACTCGCGCTAAACACGCCAAGATACGTCAGAGGATCCGAAGTGGAGGTACTCCACCTAGAGGAGAGCCTCTTTGACAAAGCCGTAGACTCTTATTCGCCTGAAAAAGAGAGAGACCGAGGGGAGGATGGAGTCGAAGACGTAAGAACCTCCACCTGTATTCTGCTAACCGACCTGCCGTCCTTTACCAAAGAAATGGACATCGCAAAGCTCTTCCACGACTGGAAGATCAACGATCTCTTCATCACCAGTAGCAAAGAGTCCGGCAGCACTCAATACATGGCCTACGTGCAGTTCGCCAGAATAGAAGACGCGAAAGCGTCCGTCAGCACCTCGTTAAAAATCGGCAGTAAACCTGTAACGGCGACAGCGATCACCGAAGAGAAGTTTGCTCAAGCGAAACGCGAACACGAGCAGAGCAGCCTGAACCAGACAGCCAGCTCTGACTGCGTGATTATGCGGGGTCTTCCCTTCCAGACGATCGACCGTGACATCCTGGACTTCTTCTCAGACATCGGGATCGTTCCCCACCGGATACACATGTTGCTCAATCAGAGTGGTAAACCTGCGGGCGAGTGTTTCTGCGAGTTCGACACGACGGACGAGGCTCTCAGAGCTACGGCAAAGAACGGTTTACCTTTTGGTAAGAACGTACCAACTATAGAACTGGTCCCACGAGCAAAGATGCTCGAGACCCTCGGCATGGTGGATCCTCAAGTTATGGAGACGCAACAACAGCACTTCCCTCCGCTTCAAGAACAGCGACCAAGATTCTCAGGACCCATGAATCATCTGCCTCGTTTTGGTAACTCTGCATTCGGACCCAGGTGTCCCCCGGGTCTGATGGGTATACCGAGACATTTGCTGGGTCGACACCCAGGTTCCATGGACTATGTGGAAGGTTTTGGCAAACCTGGCTGTGTCCTGTCCCTAGAGAATGTTCCGTTCAAAGCTGACATCAATGAGATTATAGAATTCTTTGGAGATTTTGATGTGAAAAGGGAGAATGTTATTCGTCGTTATAACGAGAGGGGTATGCCCACTGGTGACGCCAGGGTAGCGTTCGCATCGCCCAGTGAGGCACAGAGGGCCCTGAGGGAATTGAAGCATTGTAAAATGAGGGACCGCACGATATACATGAAACTTGCGTGAACACTTGCACCAACTACCAGGTCAGGTGAATGACTGCCTGAGGATCGTCGAGACAGTTCTGAGTCACTCTCAATGTGACCAAGGAAACAGGCCCGCGTGATCGATGGATCATGTAGGTCAATGACACTCATCGATGATGTGTTTTGTAAGGGAACAATCATATGTAGAAGCTGCGTTACAATCAAAAAGGAAAACAAAGGAATGAACGCATGCGAAAAAGAGAATGGTTCTTTCGTCCACAGTGTATTATATTCGTTTCTTGAAATGTTTGTCATTCATTTGCAACCTTTATTTTTCTTTTTGTACATAGAGGACAGTGTAGCTTTTTAACAAGATTGTTCTTGTTTCTTAGACGACTTGGCGGTCGTTCTTAGGACGTTAGCACAATTATTAAGGAATGTTTCGTTTGAAAAAAAGAAATGCTCGTTTTTCAAGAGATTTAGTGACAAACAATGCAGATCTCCTTTCTGAAATAGTGGAATTCGTTTTGTTCTTTTTTATTATTCTGATCAAATACGTAATCGTATCTCGACTGTTTAATTTCATTATCATATTAATGGGATGATCTTCTGTGTCATCGAGAACAGCATTGTTGTATTTCCATATCCATTAATTAGTGATTAAGGTCTGTAAATATAATTGTAAAAGCATCTTCAACTACGTTAAAGCTAACTAGGAATCACTTTCGTTCTTCACATAATTACTTGAATATTCTAAAGAAATCGCAATAAAGAGTACAATAAAAGACTTGTTCGTCACGATTTGAGCAATTTTATCATTCGATGCTCATTTGATCTTATTCCTGACGAAAGTGTATTGTCGAAAAGGCGGAACTGAGAGAAAGACATACGAGGATGTTCATTCTTGTCGCAAATAAAACATTTCGTAACAATAATACAATGTAAGCGATACACGTATGTATACAACAGTACAAAGATCGAGTATCAATAGAAAATTTTGCTCTACATACGATTTAAAATCGCTTCTGAACAAATGGTTCATCAAGACTAAGTCGTATTTTCTACCAACAATTATGTATGTACATTACATATACTACGTTATATCGAATTGTATATAAACTATATATATATATATATATATATATAAAAATGATAAATACAATACAATCTGCATAGATGTAAAATATTTATACGGCGAATTTAGCGATGAAGTTTAGGTGTACTTAATTGTTCATTTTGCCGTATTCTTTCTGTTCAGTATAAGCACTTGAAGACTTCAATAAATTTATATTTACAACGATGAATATTGAGTTATCGATATTCGTTTTCTTCATTTTTCGTCTACTAAAAAAAATCCCACATCGAAACGCTCTTTTTGTATTCTTCAAACAGACCGCCAAATCAGTGCCGCTAGCGCTGCCTAGGCGTAAGCGCAGCAACTATCAAGGGGGAGTGTTTTCTCCTTTTTTTATAAAATAAATTACTTTTACGCTTCATTATTAGTAATAAAGTGTTTTACAATGACAAAGAGCTTTAAATAACAGCGTCAGAATTCAGTTGAAGTATTAGAATTAATAATTAATTAGTTTCTTCGCTAAGCGTGGGATGGTGCTAAAGGTACCATTTGCAAAGCGCGCAGTGGTATAAAATAAACAATGCTCGCACAGTTATTTCTGCATTGCAAATTAAATATTTTGCGATAATATGGTATTCTGAGATAGTATGGTAGATTCTAAGAAAGGTTATCTAATTGAACCAGATACAAGTATGTACATTCCGTTTTACAGACAGTAGAAGTTTGAATAACTGTATTAATGTTTTACTAATTTGAAAATTAAACTCGTAGATGTACAATTCAGCCTATACTTCATCCATGGTACAAGCATGCAGGTACCGATTCGTAAGATGGATTTGGATCGCGACTAATTTATCAGTCAGTCAATTTCCAATCAATTTTCACGGTAAATATGTCTGGGCATCCATATTGTATTCAAGAAAAACGATTTTAATGGAAATCAATGTCTGACAAATGTCACATCTTGGATAGGCTAGCTATGGTAATTATTGTACGGTAATCAATTCTAGATCGCAAGGAGTGACTGTGATCCTGCGAAGTTATTGTTGCTAAATGTACTGTGGCAAATCAGTGCTGCCTAAATATTGAGTCACAACCTATTCCTGTAACCGTTTTCTGCTTCTAAGCTCGTAACGCGAAGTACATACGCGTTTAGCTTGATATAAACGATTTGTGAAACTCCAGAACGTGACTAGTTCGCTAACGAGTCAGACAATGGCTTTCCACGATGAAAAGAATAAGTCTAACGGTAACGAGAGGTTGTCAATTACAAGCTCCTTTGCTTGATCGATCTACTTGTTGGGGTCTGATAGATCCCACCTTACTGGTTACTTTAATGAATAGAATTTATCTGATCAAGGTCTTTTTGTTTACAACTGTAAATTGTATTAGAGTAATATCGACGACTAGATATTATTTGTTTCAGAAACATTTATCGATTTAGTTAATCTAAATCGGAAGTACTTCAGAATTTTTATCATTTGCAGGGTCGCGTCGTTCTGTTAAAAGGAGTACATTCAATATAAATAGCTTTACGTAACGTTAATTCAATGCCAATTACGATTTTACGGTGCAGTGTTTGTCAACGCTGCGTTATGTCAACAGGAGACTCGAAACGCATGTACATGGTATACGCAATAACAAGGAAATACGTTCGACGTGTATTTAGAACGATCTTGGTGTTGCGTTTAAATTTGTTTGCCGCCATTTTTACCTCCGAAATGAATAATGCAGTACCTACGCACGGAACACAGTAGAAGCATGCATGCAATGCCAGAGTTCACAGAATCGTACGGATTTATGAGTTTATGCAAAAAGGAATGCACCAGCCTCTGACACGGACCTATGTCATTTATCGAGGCGTTTATTGAACAGTTAATGATAGTTTATGGGCTGCGTTTCTCGGTAAAGAAGAAATTTCTGTCAGGCCCCCCCGTTGCCGGTACGAATTTATATTCATTGTTAAATGATATGTTTATGTAATCTGTTCTTGGATAGTTGCACAGCTTGACATTGAATGTCATTTGTTCGTTCAGTCAGGCATAACAAAATTCTGTTATTTATATTATAGTATATACAGTTTCTAACTTCTTCTAAAATACACTGGAGGAATTTTTGTTATATTTATAAATTTTAGCTTAGAAAAGTTGTCATTTTACTTTTACATTTTCTTCTGTATACAAAAAATCCAAAAAACATCAGATTACTACTGTGTCTTTTTGTTTAAATATTACAAATTATATCTGTGGGTCAAAATTTCAACGAATGACCGAAAAAATTGTTTTTTCTTTTTTTGCCATTTCCGGTGTGACCGGGAATAGCCGAAAAAGGGTTGACTCTAGAGCGAATCTCGCTCTAGTTCACTTTAGCTTGTTCAGTAGGTACTCAAGAGTGTATAATCAGCACAATACATAAGCACCCAAGGCCCAGTGTTCGACAGCCTCAGATTAATATTAGGATCAAAGAAGTCCTTGGCCCAGTGAGAGGGTTCAGATGTTCAGACTGTACAAAGAGGCCAATAAATTAAGCATCTGCTCATCCAAGAATCTGCCAAAGAAGATGGTAATCATACTTGAATTCCAGTTATCCTTTTTCAATGTCAATCAATTATTCATTGACAATCAAACGGCAAACATGACAGAACGTACTATTTCGTCACGGTTTCCATCATAATTATGCGATCAACACAGGAAGCTAGCTATTAACCTTGATCGATCGGCTCTTTATACAGGAAGCGTAAATTTAACGTTTCCGAGACCCGTTTATCCAACGAAATTGTATTGCAGGTATCGACGTTTACACATTTCGACGGTGAATTACAGCTGTATCGGGATCGTTCTGTTGCCGAATTGATTGTCATTGTAATTGCAGAGCTTCTCATTGTCAGAAATCGACCAGGTGCCTCTATGGACTATGAACGACGACGTCAACCTTTAATTTACTATTGCATGGTGCCGCTTCTTTGTCACGTGACACGTGTCTCGTGACTTTGAACGAGATTTCACTCATCCCCCAAGAAAGAAGTTGGATTCTTTTTTATATTTATTTCAAATTGCCCGAGGTTTTTACCGTGTTCTTCCACGAAACACTTGTTGCAGCAAAGGAAATAGCGTAATTTTGTAGTTAAAGACTCGAATGTTGTCCTCGCGATAACTACAGTCTTTCTTTGCGATGAGTTGTACTCGAGGATGTGCTGAAATAGAGGCGCCAAACAAAGAACGGAAGTCTCGCAGCCGTGACGGATGAATCCGTCGTCCTACAGCCTAAAAACGGACGTTTAATACGAGACGGAAACTTGAGCCCTTTTAAAATGTTTATTGCTTTTACATTAAGGGACCTCTGTTGTTTTATTCCAATGGACAGCGTATAAAAAGAAGAGATCTTGTTTATGTAATTTAGAGTAATTCTAATTGAAACGATCTTTTTTTTATTAGTTAACCGTAAGTCTATTTTTAACATTAACGAGCTACAATTTTGTTATCGATCATTTCATTTTCGTTACTATTTCAGGATCAACACAGAACAATCTAACTAAACACAGATGCGATCATTTCTAAGAATATCCAATTCTCCTTCGGAAACACCCGCACCGTCTGAGATTATTAACAAGGGAAACACGGTTTCGTGCTGGTTGATGTAACCAACGATAAGGCGCAAAAATACGCATCGATCGGAGCGAAGAAACAAAACGGTTTTCGCACGAATCAACATAATTTATCAGTTGCTACGATTGCTATTTGCAATCAGGCCATTGTCGTGAGTTGCGCAACAGTGCGTTCGCACCGTATAAACGAGAAATCGATTCTCATTTTACCTTTCACATCGACCAATCAAGCTGAAACAGCATTTTTTTTAATTGTTGAAAGGATATTTCTCATTAATTCACATTCTTTGTCTATGTACACGATTCTCAATTCTCTGAACAATGAATGAGTCAATAGTTTATGAATCTTTTTTATTTCATCATGCTTGAAGAAAATTGTTAACTTGATAACTTGGCAAAGATCAAGGATGAGAGTGCACTGGGATAAGATTTGCTAACGTGAATCATACGTGTTGAAAGGAAGAAATAGTTCTCCTGTTGGATGACCAACCTTCTCTTAACTCTCTAGAGCTTATCTCACTGATGTATCATTACGTTCACTTTCTATTTTCACTTTGAATTTGAACACAAAACCTCAACGTTTATACGAGCTTCGTTCCGGCGAAGCTGCGAGCGCAAAAACGATCAAAGGATGTAATTTTTATGGAACACCGTTGCACCGGGACCTTTTACAGAAGGAGAGCCCCTTGCGAGCAACGCGGACCATCTCCATATGCGTTCCATATATGTCATGGTGATAAAAAGAAGCTTCGAATGTGGGATGAAGGTCGACAACGAAGTGCATAAGATTTAAGTATTCGCCTTTTCTGGTTTAAAACTTTTGTCAAAAATATTTCGAATATTTTATAAACCAAAAGACTTGCTATGGTATTTTCAACATTATGTAAAAATGCAAAGTATTTAGACAAAATTATATTTCAGAAGGGAAATGAAAGAGGAGTTTTTCATGAAGCGGAAGCCAAGGGTTTGCCAAGGCACGATACAAAATGGATACCGCATTAAATAGTCGTCCTTCCTGGCGCACGAATGAATTAACCGCAGATTGAATGGCGCGGGCAAAATTAAATTTCAACTTTATTTAATTATTCGAAAAGCACAAATTAGCTCTGGCTCGATACTTCAACCGAGGTCAACGAATGTTTCGCCGATGCATACAAGAATGTACGATTCACTGCTACGAATCGTGATTTAATCCGTGAAACCGTGTTATTAATAGAATTCTAAGAGATCCAGACATTCGTGGGCACCAAGTATCTCATTAATGCTGAAACAGTGCCTTGATGTTTGTTTTGATACTTAATCAAGATACACCCATATATTTTTATATGTATATACATTTAAAAAAAATATTAATTAGGTATTATTATTTTTTTAAAAAACAGATGGAACGACTACGTAGTTTCATTCATTTTCAGGTGGAAAATTCGCAGTAAATTCTTTCACTGTAACCATCTACCTCAGCAACTCTGAAATGTTAAAACAACGTTGAAACTGCAAGCAAAGCACGATAATCCATCGAGCCAAAATCAACCCGAACCAACAACGTTCCTTCCAAACGATTCTCGTTCAGCTAGAAATGGATCATCGACAAGGAAACATTGCGTAACCAGCGAAAAATACTTCTCACGTACTTCGTATGATCATCGTAGGAAACGTGACTTCTTCTATCACCGACAAGGCGACGCATATAAACGAACAAATTTATCCTGTTTCAGGTTGATCGTCGCGAAACTGTCCCTACCTCCGAGATGCTACCCAAAGTTTCTTGGAAAACGAACTCTCGTTCGTTTGGAATCTTAGGGCAAATATCGAACCTACTTGCAATATGCTCGAATCCCATCTCTAGTGATCGATTCTCTGGAGATGCAAAAAAAAAAAAAAAGAAGAAACGAATTTGACTTGCTGATGGAGCCGTATCACGGGCGGCGGTATCATGTAGGTCAGCGTTGGTCAGCGGTGCACCGTCAGCTACGAGGAGGAATCTCATGATGGATACGTTCAGATCACGTAAAGAGAGACGAGGATAAAGTGGATAACAGAACTGTGGAGCAAAGAGAGGACTAATGAAATCGACTGAAAGGAGCTGTGATCGAGGGAGAAAGAGAAAGGACTGGATCTCTTCTGTCGGACGAAAGGAGACAGTGGAAATGGGTTCGCATAATCGATTATGCACCGATGCACATGCGGTTCTCTCTTTCGCAATGTTACCTTTGCAAGCAACTTCCTAAAATATGTAGTCTCTTTGTTACTTTCTGGACGAACATCTTGGTTTCTATTTCATCTCTTCTTTGCTGAGATTCCGGTATCCTTCGATCGTAATGCATTTGTCGAGAAGATGCGGGAAAGCGTGAAATGTGGGTCTACAGAGAGAAGAACCCGTTGAATTGATGAGATTGTGCGGGCACTTGCAATGCTGGAGAAGAATTTTTATCCGTTTTTATATTCATCATCAAGTTATCTAGTAATTTACTTGACACGACAGGAGATTAGTAAAAGATAGAGAAAGTTGAAATATTCTTCGGTATCTCTACTATTTCATTTTATTTTGTTCCAACATTTTCAGAAGGATTCTTAGAATTTATTTTTAATAAAGGTTGCTCATGTCGCATGTAACTGATCTTCACTTTCTGCCGTTTCAGGTTTACCGTACTGCTTTATTTGGGAGTCACTGATTTACAAGGACATCCCGCGGAGAAGAAGCTATTCCAGTTATTGGTGTAATCGGATTGGTCTCCCTGGAGTGTCAGTGATAGAAGAGTAAGGAATCGATGATATAGCACCGACGTCGTCTACGAATAGCTTGCCGACGAAAAAGATTGATATTAATACGACAACGATATTCGGTGAAGTAAGTTTATCCTGGTCCCGATGATGATTTCATCGGCTTCCATTAAAAGTGTCCAGATCGAACACAGCTGTCCCTGTCGATGCTTATATTAATCATCATTATATCTCTTTAATGTTATGATGGTAAACGACAGCTTATAAGAGTTCCTTGTTACTTTCATGAAAATTAATTACCAAAAAGTTATCCTTTGTTCTCTCTGTGTTTCAATATTGATTTCTTAAATTTTTTGATATCTCGAGGCCTTGTATCCAAAATACATATATTGAAGTAGAGGTAAATTAATTTTATCGATTTTCTAACTATATTTTTTTAACGTGATTTAACTACGCTTTAACCCAAGATAATTCTGTATAAAAAAAATATTATCAGGTTGGACTACAAAGGGTTAATGAAACAGTTTTCATCAATTTTAATAGAAAAGTATAATCGATGATTGACCGATTGAAGCCACATTATCGCGTTCAAAGCAATCCGACAATATTAAACGCTATCGACCGACGGATCCTTTGATTGCAGCCGCTACGACTGCTCGCCATTTAAGTAATAAGGTCAATGAATTTTCTTCTTTTGCTCCGCGGGAAGTCAGACGCGCATAAACTTTCATCCGAGACGGTCATCTTCAGCTCGAGCCTTAATTTCAAAGAATTAAGATGTCAGGGAGAGCCGGACTGCATCATACTGTTCATTTTTTTAATAATCATGGAAAAATTTGCGCGATTTTAATTCACAGACTTATTCAAGACAACTTACCCTATATTTGAATTCTTATTTTAATGTTATTTAATATAATATTAATCAATTATCAGATATATCGATAACAATAGATTTTGTTCGTTTCGGTTTCAACATCAACCCCGTTTGGCATTTTCTTTCGATCCCTAAGCATCCGTGTTCTAATTGTAGTCGGGTCTAGCAGCCGGTGACCCAGTATGTTAATACTTTCTCTTTCGTTAAGTATTCTTTTGTTCTCGGTTCCAATGCACCTGTATTGTTCCTTGGTCACACAGCTGTTCCGTGACAATGTGATAACGGGTCACGAAGGTAATGACCCCGTTTTTTATTCTCTTCCTTCGTTCGCTTCGAGCTGTTCGTTGAATAGAACCGAAGGTATCTACCAAGTATTTTTACGACAGCTTCCAATAACGCGTTCCCAACAGACGAGCATTCTTTGGCGTAGATACACACCCTTGTCTGGACGGAACAGCTACAGGACCGTCAAGATTCTTCTTTGAAAACAAAAATGATATGTGAGTAAATAGACTATAACGGAGAGAATCTTTGTTGAAGAGTACATAAAGGCTCTCCATTGCTGATAAGGTAACATATTTGGGTGACTCATCAGTTTTTATAGAAATTTTACATTCATTTTACATTTGATGTACTGATTGAAAATTAAATTGTTATTTAGGAATTGTCAAGTGGATGAAACTGAAGATGTTGAAAATTTACCATGGATGGTATTGAAAGGAACATTGCAATAATACTATAGTTAATCCTGGAAATGAAGATTTTTATTGCGATACGAGAAGCGTCACTCTTCATCCTGTTTATTTCTCGGTAGCAATCTTTATTATCGTTTCTATCAATTATACGTACTGTTAGCCTTGCGTAGGCAAAGATCGGCTCTTGGCGCCGCGGTCTGTTGCTCGTTGAACTTGCACGCGGCCTGCATGCGTGCACGTTTCACGCTTGCGACTGCATGTAGATAGCACGTATGCAAACGCGCCCCTGCATCGAGCATTCCACTTATCTGCCTACGGATTTCATACGGAATGTTAATGGGAAATGTACGAGAACGTGCATATGCAATCGATAAATATCAAATTACACCAAATATTGCATTTATGCGTAATGCATCCTGGCGAACAATTAGAAGTTAACGGTATCAGGATTCCCCGCTTCTGATAACTTATCATTTTGATTGGTACTCGTATAATTTAGTTTGTATTTCTTATACTAGTATAATTAGTAGAAATGATGTAGTCGAGCAGGTTTAGACCATTTGTTATTCATTTTTTAAATAACTTGTAAGATATTTTATAAGTCTATCAATTTTATTTTTTTTATTTATAAGGATTATATTTTTTAGGGTCGACGGATCTTTGGCTCGTTTTTTTCTACATGGTTCAGTTTACAATTGTTGAAGAAATTGAAATAAGGAAAGAAGCATGTAATAACAGTTGTGGCTACGCGAGAACAGTGTCCCATAGAAGGCGCTCGTAAAAACATTAAAGTGGACAGATACAAAGCGGCCAATTATACACCGACGGTTTCCTTGAAACTGCAAGCCGCAAAAAGGCCCTTACACTAGAAGCACTGAGTTCTAAACAGCAATCACGCTTCATAACGTTTTACTTGAATGCACAGTTTTCTGCGATATGCATATACCGAGTAAGCAAAACATCAGGTGATATATTCTTCATATTTTCTTATAGTCATCATTTCTATATTGAACATAAATCGCTATTTATTGATTTTAAGTTCCTCGTCAATTCTATAATATAAGTATGGAGTACACGCGTTCATTTTATTTCATTTCTTTCTCTCAATTGTATCATGCCCGCGTTACAGTGTAAACAAACGAAGATCATGTACGGTAGATCGAGAAAGAATCAGGAGAGCTCGACGCGCGAAGCAGCGTCCAAAGCGTGCAAGGAAAGTGGAGTAGAGACACTCGGTCGAGGAAAAGCTCTTTCGCACTGCCGAACGAAGCGCGTACGCTCGATCTCCAGGCTATCGAGCGCTCAGAACGGCGTGGAGGAGTTCCAGTAGTAGCTGAGCCGCCGCGACGAGACGAGAACGCAGCGGCGGCGTACCTCTGCGCCTCTTCCTTACTTCGCCGCCGCCGTTGCCTTCGTTCACCGCACTCGCAGTTTCTGTGCCGGTCGAAACGGTCCCGAGGCTGGTCCCAGCTTCTTCAATCGCGTGTGTACTCTGAAACTGTAAAGAGGATTTCGGGGGATAGAGATTCTTGTAAGGGAGATCGTTTTTAAACAGATATCAGTGTATAGCATGTTTAGTTTAGACATGTACCGAGGAGGATATTGAAAAAGAATTGTATAAAATGTGCTGAAACAATTTTATGCGTATAGTTCGCTCTTGGTTCTGTGTTGATTTATCGGTACCGTTCTCCCTGTAACCAGGTGATTTATTACTTTGCATACCGAGGCACGTAGAGATTGATGAAGCGATCCAATAGCTAGGACTTGGATCTCTTTTTAGGAGATTACGATCCTCGAACACGTCCAAACTAAACACGATGCATAGAGGGTGTCAGATGATATTGAGACCAAACTTTGGCAGCACGTTTTGCATTTATTAGAATCTTTTAACAAAGCACTTATCATGTGCATATCTGTTCTACCTGTAGAACGTGCTGCCAAATTCCATATTCTCCGACACCCTATATAATCACGAACGATCGACCCTGCAGACGAGATTCCGGCTCGGGGACAGCAAACTGCAAGCAGCAACCTCGCAGGAGCCGCTGTTGGATCCGAAGAAGTGAAAGTACCGCGTGTCCAAAGAGAACCAGACGGAAGAAGCGTTTATCTCGATGACCAGAACCACGTGCTAGTTCGAGTAGCGTGATTAATGTTGATGTGAAAGGTCATAGACTGGATCAGAGACAATGAGGCTGCAATTGATCGTTGTATCTTTGATCCTGGTGATCCTGCGAGTGTCCTGGGCGGTTCAGTCGCAGAATGGGAGGACCGAGTGCCCCCATAAGTGCATGTGCTTCGGGAGTACCGTGCGGTGCATGTTTCAGAAGCTTAACCGTGTACCACGGGTACCAACCAACACCACGGTCCTGTAAGTGACTTAATCGTTACTCTTTCATCCGTATTGCTTCATTCTATCCCGATCGATGGCCTCTGAAAGTGGTGCACAGTGGTTGCATTTGGAAATTTGGGGGTATCGGGTAGTCACGGTGTAGGTTGAAGATATTTCTAATCCGTAGTAGTACACGTGGGCCGTATAGAATTCTACAGGGTGCACCAGCCGATGGAAATGATGTAACGCGGTCGTAAAATCGCGGGTGGGAAGTTTTATTTATGAGATATTTAACGATAGCTTGGAAAGTTTCATTTGGACTCGGTTAGGCTAGGTGAAGATAGGGTCAGATATTAACTATGGAAAGTTAGTATTTTGTAATTATATTCATAGCTGATGGCGTATTTACTCATTAATTATATTAAAGCGAAGTTATGATACTTGTAGATAAACTACTTTTTTTTTATTTTATTATATCTTATCGCACTGTATGTAGTTTTAGAAGTGAACAGTCAGGGGGACATTTGCGAGAATGGATTAACATTTAGGGTACTTGTAGCACTGAAACTGAATTGGAAAAAAGCAAGTAGGATACATTAGAAAACATTGAAGATGTATTTAATTTTATGTATGCATTTAAATCTTCATTTTGTTTGGTATGTTTAATTAAACAGCAAAGTCTGGCTCAGGCAGATGTTACAAAAGACAAAAGGTTTCTGGTTAATTGAATGTTCGCGAAATGTTCTGATCTTCTCCATTCTGTGGAAGCAATAGCCTTCGATTGAAGATGCGCCGTTTGAAATATAATTGGAGGATCGTATTTCGCTAAAGATGAAAGGAATTCAAGTAATGCTCATATCGGATGTCTAATTTGTTCTTAAAATTATTATATTCATCTTCTCATTTATTCCATTAATGAAAAATGGAGCTTAAATCATTCCACTCAGGTAAAATATAATTTTTCATTTTATTAAGAATTCCAATTATTCACTTGGACAAAATATTATAATTATCTATATAATATTTAAAACTGAATTAAGATTTCGTTTCTGTAAGGATCTAGAAATCTACTCGAGTTCTACTTTGTTTTTCTTCATTTTTCAATAGAATTGTGTTTCTTTCAGCTGTATCGTCCATCGACGATATTTCCTCGTACAAGATCGAGTCTTCGAATACAGTTAAAATAGGCATGACCGTGTTGCTTAAACTATATATAAGATACGACGAGGCGGACGAGGATGAATCTCTGAAGAGAAGAACAAAGGTGGAATCGCGTGAATGCAAATTCTTGGCTGCACGTGTGCATACTTTGGTTCGCTTGTTGTTCCTAGCTTAATACTAAAGCAATCAGACTCGTCATAAAAATCATCGATCGCCAAATTTTTATTTCGATATTGATATTGATTCACTAGGTATTCTAAATTTATTTTACGTCCTCTTTATCGAATATCTTCTAAAGGTCATCCACGAATTATATTTATTAAAAAAAAAAAAAAAAGCAAATTCTTTTTTTCATTTCTTACTTTGATATTTTCAGCCTGTTTCGTAAGAAGTGTCCTCGTTCTTATCAACATTTCGAAAGGTGACATCACGTTTATATACGATCCATCGAAGCGAAGACACTTGTGGACATGGTTTAACATTTTTCTCCGGTTTTTCTCCTCTTCGCAAAGTTGATTTTTCTCTGGAAACACGGGCCAAGAGTGAGAAAACGATAACGCATCGTATCTGATGATAATATTTACACGTCGCGACGTTTTATCGTTTTAGTCACCCTTCGATCCGGTTAAGGGACTTCTTTTTCACGATTTTATCTTCTCCTTGTACTCTGTTTACAGATTTCAATTCGTTTTTGCCTCAAAAAGTAAACATTAAAATTTTTTTCTTCTTCAGAGTCTCCAATCTCAATCGATAGTTCTCCGGATAATGGAAAAGGAAGAAATTTAATCTTCTTATCGAAGAAATGACAGGAAATGTATCAAGGATTGCTTTTCATTTATGATAAGGGATTAACGGGAGATTTAATTGCATCGGCTATTTAATGACAATTAAATCTTGTTTAGAGAAGGAATGATTAAACTCTGCATCTGCAGATGAGTCACTGCCACAAACGACTGTGTAATAATTCTTATCCGAAGACGTAATTAAGAGAAATCGTTGTTAATTGAACCGTTGATACTCGGTTAATTCAAACAACGTTCCCATACTGATCTATCTCTGGCATAATTGTATTCAAATTGAATTTCCTCTAGTTCAACGGAGCATACGTATACACCCACGATTCTCAGTTTAATCGAATCGCCAAAAGTTCAATTTCAGAAGTATAAATATTAATGTTACAATTTTACCGTTTCACAAAAAGAAGCAGCAAGCAGGCATGGGTTTAATCTTCCGTCGGTTCGCATAAACAATCCTCACGGTTTATATTCTAGCCATTTGGTGCGCTTAAACGAATTCTAGATATTTTACTGAGAATTTGGATCTTTGTTTACAGCCAGTTACAGACAAAGGGTGCTCGACGAAGGTCCGTCGTAAAAATCGACGCCAAGAAACGAACAGGTTCAGTGTTTTTTTTCCCTCCAAGGGTCCTGGTAGACGAACTTAGAGGCCGAATCGAAGATAGATGAATAAAAATGCTGTTCGTTACGAGACTGAATGTTTTCATTAAACTGAACAGATTAAATTGCACTTCGATCGGAATATCGCGGATACAAATGACCCTTGATGGTGATCTTCTTTTCGCTGAGAGAATCCGCAAGGATAAAACGATCTCGTTAAAATGAAGGACCCTTGTGGAGACAACGGGGGCAGGCTCGCTTGTTACTTGGATTGAATTAATTCGAACGTGGGTAGGGGGGTTTCTTGAGATAACGATCGTATTGTCAAGGTAAATGTTTTCTTCCACTTTTTTCTTTCTTGGTAATGAAAGACAATATCAATATACTACAGAGGTAGTATTTTACTTAAAAATTTTTTAAATATATTCTCTTGTAAAATAGAATGAACATTTTTTTATTGAATTACAGACTGAGGAGAAGGTAATTTGAGGATGAAGGATTCTTTAAAATGTTGAAATGAACGGTGTTCATGCGGACCGACGAGAGTATACCTATTATGGATATTGACCTGAATATCGAGTACACATAAGTGGGGTTTGCCCTGGCTTCATTGAATAAATACACCTTTGTTAGATCATCGATAAATCATTCTGATAAAATCTCTCTTTAAACAATTAACTGAGTACACATTGCAAAAATCGTGGTTTGACTTTTTATTATAAATGAAGTGCAAACAAATTTAATGAAATTATGTAAAAAGTAGAACTCACAAGCAGGCTTTTTAATTTCCACTTGAAAAGGTAGTTTTATTTATATTCAAAATATAATTAGGATGGTATTCCAAAATTCGAAAAATTTCCATTGTTATTGTTATCTCAATTTCTTATCTTATCATTAACATTTCAAACTGCTAAATGATCCTAAAATTAAATTTCAGAAAATTTGACTTTGTAACCAACGGGTGAGGTGATTGTTTTCCGGAAATGTAAAGTAACAGGATCACAGAAAAGCAGCAGAATTTCATAACTCCATCTAAAGATGCTCATGAATCAGTGAAACAAATGACATCATAGTGGTTTCCGGATTTTTCTGAATTAATTCAAGAACGAGTTATCAAATATTACTCAACGATTCTAAAAATACAAAAGGATTGTTCGATGGTCGTTGGTTTTCTCAGAAATACTGTTTACCAGAAGAAAATTTTTAATATGCCCGATCGTAATGCCGTAGAAGGAAATTCTTATCTAGGAAGTAGCGAAATCCCAGATCGAGGTGAAAGTAAATTTATTTCCTATTCATTATCATATTTTTTTTTTTAATCCGATAGCGACGAAACGTAATTTAATAGACTTCCACCGGTGCATTTTAATCGATTATTCTTTTTCAATCTCCAAACGGTGAACAGGCGACGGTTTCCGGAAATGACGTTAAAATACGATTCGATTGAAAGTGAAAAATGTTGCAACTTGTTTCCAAGAATATTACAAGCAGTAAAACAACTTCGATCGCGTTACAACGCGTTCGATGTGAAACGAATCGCGGCGAACGAATATGAACGTCGACAAGTACCCGAGGAGAGTTACTGAAGCGGCTCTTTGCAAATATCACGTGTCATTATTAGTGACGCGTCGAAATATATGATCGCTAGATCTGGTGAAAGGGAATCTCTCCTCTCTTTCGCATTTTCCATTCGTTTCGCATGGTGTTTCAGTCTCCTGTAACTTATACCAGGTTTAAGTAAAACATAAAACGTGATAAAGTATCTTCAGAGATACCTGTATTTTCAAAAGCTCACTAGGTACGATTCAACTAAATTTCTATTTTATATAATTACAGATAAGAACTGTAAAACAAAATATTCTGCTATTCTTAACTTTTCAACACAGTTTCTATTATACATTTATACAGAATAAGTTACCCGAATGTTAAGCACAACTTTACAAAAATTCCCTTTTTTTCCGTAGGAATAATTTCTCCGGCTTCTTCGTCGTCACCGGGACGGAACTGGGAAATCGTGAAAAACATGAATGAAAAGTAGCACGCAGACAAAAGAGAAAGGGCAAAAAACGATTCTGGTTTCACGCTAGAGCTTTATATTCATCGCGCGAAAGCTTTTCATTATTTCGAAGCTGGATCGCGAGAACCGCGGGAAACATCGGGGCGGGGGACCAGTTCGCAGATTTTGTTCCATTTTTCTCTACTCGGTACTCCAGCACGGAACGAGCCACTGGAAGATCAACCGGAGCGATAAAGAGGTTAAAATAGCGGCGCGTCGAACCGAGAAACTAGCCCAGCAATTTAGAGGGAGGAAATAATGTGCAACGAGTCGAATGAAATCGTTAATTAAGAGCTTCGCGCTTTATGACTCCATGCGATCTTTGCCGCGGCGAACCGTGTAATACGCCCTACCGTTTCGATTGCTTTTGTTATTCAATCGTATACCTATACGCCAGATGAAAAATCTGCATTTGATTCTATTCAGGCGATTATGCTTTAATCAATAATAAGAGCTAGATGGGAGCGTAAAATCAACCTACACGGTGATTTAATATAATTTCAAGATGATAGAGTGTGATTGAGTATGTAAAACACCTTAATAGAAGAGTTTTCATTGTCTCCTCTTTGGAGGCCTCGATATGGGAGATACCTCGTTAAATGGTGAAATTTAATTAAAAAAAATATTTAAAATTTTCCAGGGACCTACGGTTCAACAACATAGCCGAACTACGTCCAGGCTCGTTTTACAATCTCCCAGAATTACACACTCTGTTGCTTAACGACAATCGCATCAGACATCTGCCTCCCAGGATCTTTGAGGGTGCACCCAAGCTGAGGATCCTCTACCTGTACAAGAATCGTCTTGAAAGAATTTCACCAGGTGCATTCGCTGGTCTGCCGAAATTAGAACAACTATACTTGCACTACAACCACCTAAGAGAGATCAAGAAAGGAACGTTCAATGATCTGCCCTCGTTGGAGAGGCTGTTTCTGCACAGCAACATGCTGCATCATATTCCCGCCGACGCGTTCCATAATGTGGGACCCATGACGCGGCTCCGTCTCGACAGCAATGCTCTCGTTTGCGACTGTAACTTGGTTTGGCTATTGCACAGACTTCAGAGCAAATCCTCGGAGATGGCAGCCATTTGCCAGGCACCCGTTGAGATGAAGGGACGCTCCCTGACCACCATGTCCCCCGATGACTTTCATTGCAGTTGAGTAATTCGTGGAAACGATAGGGAATGTTCATTATATAAAATAACTGCGCCTCTCTACTGTGAACGCTGCTTTATGGCTCTCCGGAGACACATTAGTTTTAATAATATTAATGGAGAAACTTTGTTCAGTGACAAAAAGAAAATATTAGAATGGCACGGAGTTTTTAGAAAGTTCATTAGTTACAGGGTAGACCTCTGACAATGAGAGTAATCATTGCATAGTTAGTTTTTCTACAGGTACGTATTCTGAATTTTCATTGAATCCTTATCTTTTAGCCAAACCACGCATCATGAACGGTCCTGAGGACGTGGAGGTCAGACTAGGCGGCACCATCACCTTCGCCTGTGAGGTGATAGGCGACCCAGCTCCAGAAATCAAATGGATGCGAGATTCTAACGAGGTATCACCCGACGGGAATCGCTACGTGATCCAGGGAGATGGAACATTGATAATCTCAGATGCGACCGAGCGAGACAACGGCGAATACGAATGCGTGGCTAGAAGCGAAATGGGCTATACTAAATCGAGAAAGGCTAGAGCTATCATAACGGTATCACCGTCGTTAAGATTCACCCAGTTACCCGAATCTCAAACTGTTCAAGTTGGAACAGACGTCTACTTCAAGTGCAGAGTCGAGGGACAGCCCACGCCAGAAATTCAATGGTGGCGAAATGGTCAGACGTTGAATGTAGGTGGTCGTATCTCTATTGAAGACGACGGTAATTTGTTGAGAATCATTGCCGTGAAGGAGTCTGACTCGGCTAGATACGTTTGTCAAGCGAGGAACTCAAATGGTGAGGCTGAAACTAGCGCGGATTTGAGAGTGGTTGATACCTCTTACAGTCCACCTAGGATGACATACGAGCCTCACGACATGGAGGCGGAACCCGGTGCCATTATCGAGGTGCCCTGTAGGGTTGAAGGTGTTCCGAAACCAGTAATACAATGGAAGAAGGATGGAACAGCCGTGGAAGGGGAGAGAGTACGAATATCCCGTGGGGGAAGCTTGTACCTTTATAATGTTACTGCCGCGGACACTGGCAGGTGAATTAATTTGCTGTCTTGGATAGAAATTGATTGCCTCGTAATGACACAACTCTAATTATAATTCGCACGTTCAAGGATCGCTAAATGCAAAGTGTATTTCTTTATTTGTCTTCGGATTAATAATATAGCTTTGACATACGTAACAGCTAATTTCAACGTCCAATTTACTGATAATAATAATAATTAACAATTGTGTTTGTTCACAGATACGAATGCTCGGCAATGAACCAATATGGGCGTGCAACTGCTCAAGCGTTGGTGCGCGTTCGCCAGCCTGAAGCGACAGATGTACTGGTGATAAGAGCGTTCAAGGATGCCACCGAGGAGATTGATCGTGCCATAAATAATACGTTGATAAGTCTCTTCACAGGTGACAGCTCGCGAGTGAATCCATTCAGACTCGCGCGTTTCCCAGACGCCGTTGGTCGCGCCGCGGCTAGGCCAGCGGAGGTGTTTGAGAGAACGCTTGTTAATATAAGGCGTATGATAAACGCTGGTATCAGCGCGAATACCACTAATGAATTTCGGTATGAACAAGTCTTGACAGCGGAACAGGTGTGTCTTCTATCCTGCATCCATCCGTTTATTACATTATGTATAAATACGGTAATATCGTATCGATGTTCTAGGTCAGAGAAATTGAGAGACTATCAGGATGTACTGGACACAGGCACAAGCAGAACTGCACGAACATGTGCTACCATACCAAATACCGTAGCATAGATGGTAGCTGTAATAACTTAAGACACCCCACCTGGGGATCCTCTTATACCGGTTTCCGTAGAGTTCTGCAACCAATTTATGAAAACGGATTTTCATCTCCAGTGGGATGGGAGAAAGGACGTCGTTATTACGGCTACCCAAAACCAGCCGCACGACTGATCTCTACCACCCTAGTAGCTACCCATAACGTGACCTCCGACGAGAGGATCACCCACATGGTGATGCAATGGGGACAGTTCTTGGATCATGATTTAGATCATTCTCTGCCATCGGTCTCCAGCGAGTCTTGGGATGGTATAGACTGCAAGAAATCTTGCGACAACGCAGCGCCCTGTTTTCCTATGGATGTTCCTCCAGGTGATCCTAGAGTGACCAACAGAAGATGCATCGACTTCATAAGAACCAGCGCAGTCTGTGGTTCTGGTGCAACTAGTCTATTGTGGGGCAGTTTCACTCCACGCGAACAACTGAATCAATTGACCAGTTACTTGGATGCTTCTCAGGTATATGGTTATGACGATGCTCTAGCCAAAGATTTGCGCGACTTCACCACGGATCATGGTTTATTAAGAGAAGGTCCTACTATTCCTGGTCACAAACCGCTTCTTCCATACGCTAACGGTCAGTTCGTTGACTGTAGAAGGAATCCTCTGGAAAGCTCCATCAACTGTTTCGTAGCTGGTGACATTCGAGCCAACGAGCAGGTGGGTCTCCTGGCGATGCACACGATATGGTTACGAGAGCACAACCGTATCGCTCGCAGCCTGCGGGAGATGAACCCTCACTGGAACGGAGAGAAGCTGTACCAGGAAGCTAGAAAGATCGTTGGAGCCGAGATGCAACACGTCACTTATCAGCACTGGATACCTCACGTATTCGACGGAACCGCGGAGGAGCTTCTCGGTCCCTACCGAGGTTACGACCCCAATTTGGACGCCAGTATTTCCAACGTATTTGCCACTGCGGCTCTGAGGTTCGGTCACACGTTGATCCAACCTCGTCTGCAGCGTCTTAACTCATCTTTCCAGTCTATACCTCAAGGCCCCCTGAAACTACGAGACGCCTTTTTTTCACCGTGGAGATTAGTCGAAGAGGGTGGCGTTGATCCTCTGATGAGAGGGATGTTCGGCACAGCGGCTAAATTAAAATTACCCGAGGAGAACTTGAACACAGAATTGACCGAGCAGCTGTTCCATACTGCTCATGCGGTAGCTTTGGACTTAGCTGCTATGAATATTCAACGTGGCAGGGATCATGCGTTGCCAGGATACCTGGAATGGCGACGAATCTGTAACATGTCGCATGTAGAGACCTTCGAAGATCTGGCCGGTGAAATACACAGCGCCAGAGTCAGACAGAAGCTAAGAGAATTGTACGGTCATCCTGGGAACATAGACGTCTGGGTCGGTGGAGTTTTAGAGGATCAACTACCAAACGCCAAAGTGGGTCCTCTTTTCAAGTGTCTTCTGTTGGAACAATTCAGACGCACCAGGAACGGCGACAGGTTTTGGTACGAAAGTCCCACTGTCTTTAAACCTGACCAATTTGCCCAGATAAAACAAACGAGCTTAGCTAGAATCCTATGCGATAACGGAGATAATATCGACAGAATACAACCGAATGTATTCGTGCTGCCAGAAGGTGACAACAAATTCGTCAGTTGCGATGAAATACCGTACGTGGATCTGAGAGTTTGGTCCGATTGTTGCGACGGTTGCGAGGAACAGGGTAACACGATCTCGCGATTCAGACGCAGCGCAGCCAAATACTTGCCAGCACAAAATAACTTTGTTTCGAAAGATATAGGTAGGCACGATCAAACTGAAAGGATTAAGTATCTGGAAATAACGATCCAGGAAACTGAGCAGGAATGCAAGAGAGTTAAGGACCTTGCCGAGTCTCTATCTGATAGAATAGAAGATTTAAAGAGCCTCTTAGAGGATGTAAAAAAGTTACAGTAACAGAATGCTTTGTTAACTTTACACATTTATTAATTTGTACATACACCACGGATCGTAAAAGGATCGAGTGGAAGATTGATTCTTTATTGTCCTCTTTCAAACTCGATTTGCCTATTTAGGTGTCTGTTATTATCTCTAGTCTTGTATGCGATATCTTAGACACCCTACCAAGGAAAGTAAGTACATAGTGCCCCATCTTACTCGTTTTCGGTTTTTACCATTTTTATTTTTTACTTTGAACATTCTTTTACCGCAGAAAATGACGCTTCGCTTTCGTAGCATAATGAGTAAGTATATTTTAACATATGTATAAAATTATTTATGTAATCGACTTCATTAAAACACGAATGTATAATGCACAATTTAAATTTAATATTTTGTGGTTAATGAATTCTACATATTATTCGCTGCTTTCAGAAATTTGAAATTATTTTTTATATAATATGTTTTTCCTCATTAGCAGTACAAGATACATATCACTTTAGTTGTATCTATTAATTATTAACAATGTAAAAATCTGATTTCTAAATAGGTTCTATGTCCAGTTTGAGCAGTGAGATTCTTTTTGTTAAAGAAAATAATAAATATGTGTGTTAATAAGTCCAATTTTGGTATCACTGTTATATTAAAGAACAGTATGTACATCTTTTATAATATTGTGCCATTAAATATTATAAGTATTTGTAATGTATACCTGTAGTAGTACATGTATATGTAGGCCCCTTGAAATTCTTTCAGAAAATTGTAGAAATAATGTACACCATATTAATATGTTTAACAAAAAATTATATTCATCTTAATAACAACATAAATATTACACACCCACTTAAGGATGTTAGATTATCTCCAGATATTAAATTCCTTCATTGTCTAAAATTTGCTATTGCTTTCCTTGTAACAAAAATTTTGTGTGTCTCCCATGGGCAACCATATCTATCCCATTATTTTTTGTTACATCTACCGCAAGGAAAGCTAATGACTTACCAGCACGTACAGTTTTAGCATCAATTGTTATTAGTTCACCAGGAAAGGCTGCTTTCATAAACCTAAATATTGTTGTTACATATCTTTTGATTATTTAGAATCACATATATATATATAAATAGATATATTAAAAAAAAATTCATACGTGACGTGTAGATCTACCGAAACCCCAGGTACACCAGTTCCTTGGGTCATCACAGCATATGTGGAAATGCAATCAATGAGAGTACTTGTAAAACCACCATGCAAAGTACCACCTACATTCAAGTGTTCATCAGAGATAACCAATTCTGCTTTACAGTTTCCGCTTCCTGCTGAAATTATTTTAATCTATATGGGAAAGAAGCAGTTAGAAAATACAAATAAACTTTGATCAAATAAAACATAATTAACTGTCATTAAAATGTGTTAAAAATAAATGAGATAAAATATTTACTTTTTTCATACATTGTCCAAAATTAGTCTTGGAAATTAAATTTTCTACAACTGCTTTAATAAGCTTAGTTTTACACATAGTTTCTTGTTTATATTTTACGTTTTTTAATTAAAATTATGTACATAAGTTACTTGTCACTAACAATTATATAATTTTAATAGTGCTTTTCTTCATGCACTATGTCAGAAGCAATAATCAACACTATTTTCTATTGCCGACGCCAGTTACTTGTGCAACTGATATAAATACAGAACTCATGGTTGACGTAACCTATGTAAATTAATATGTTAAGTAGTTTCACTGTCAATCATGAATCAAAAAAATAAGGATATGATAACGGATTCTTAATACAGAATTTTGAATACAATTCAAATATTAAGTAAAATTATCATTATCTAAATACTTGAAATAAATATCACTGTATTATCTGACAATGAGATAAATAGTGCATAAGGAAAATGTATTTAGATAAACAATGTTTACAGATGAGCCCTTTTTATTATTGATGAATTCTGTCTTAAAAAAATAAGTTACAGACATCCTATCAATACATTTAAACATGATTTATAGGCCATCCTTGACTATTTAAAAGATGATCTTTGGGATCTTCAAGATATTTAGGGCCATCTCCAATCTGTGTATGAATAATATACTTGAAACATCCTAATGCATGTTTTGGTACATTAATTTTCTTTAATAAATCCTAAAAAACAATTATTTTAGTTTGGAATAAATAGCATATTATGTTTATACAAATACAAACATTTACTTCTGAAGGTTTAACTGTATCAATAGGTAACCCTTTTTTATATTCAATTAAAACATCTTCTGATGGTGGAAAGAAATAATCCAATATACCCATAACTATTGGTACCTCTTTCTCCAAAAGATACAAAGTTGCATTTGGTCCTGCATCAAAAGTATATGCAACCTAAAATCAACAGCATTATTTTAAGCTGTCAGTTTAAGACTTGATTATTAATATTACCTTTACATCATTGACAGCTTCATTATATGAATGTACAAGTTCAACAATTGCATGTGAAACATCATTCATATAAATATTTGGTGGATATGTATCTAAGTTTAATGCATGGAGTTGATTAGAATCTTTCATTGTGATTTCAGCATATGTTTTGAAATCTTTTTCTATAATTGCTTGTTGCATTCTATTTGCTCTATCAGGAACAACATGTTTTACTCTATGTTTTAGAAGCTCAGATGTTTCCATAGTTCTTTTCATTCCAATTGCACTGGAAACTTTTTTCTTTGAGTCATTTACCTACAGAAGAATATACAATTGTAAACATGTTTAATAAAACAACGAATAATACATACAACTAGTATCAAAATTCTCATTTCTGGCCAGTGAGTAGCAGGTGCAATTTGTTTTACTATACTATCAGTTCCATTTGGTTCAGAACCCATGTACCATCTTACAAAACCTCCTACAGTGCTACGGCATGCTGATCCTGAACCGAGACGAGCTATTGCACTAATATCACCCTAGAAATCAATATTTAAACATACAGAAATTGTAAGAAATTTTGAGTACTAAATAATATAAAAGAATACCTCTACTTCATATAATTTAGCAAGAGTTGTAACAAGACACGCATATCCTGCTGCACTAGAAGCTAGACCAGCTGCAGTTGGGAAGTTATTTTCTGAGCAGATGTGAATTTTCCATTGATTTAATTGTTTGGAACCTCCTGCCCTTTTTCTAACTGAAACAGTATACTTTATTACATTTACAAATCTCAAACCTTTAGCATAGTTTTATAGATTTATATACTTTCTGTTAAACAATTCTGTAGCCTAGGATTCTTAATGTCTTCTTCTCTGAAAAGTTATAAAATTATATTGAAGTATGTTTCAATTTTTAAATAAATCTTTCAAACTTACTGTCCATTTAACCATATACAATCTTCTTTGAAGTCTGGGCTGATCATAACAGTAGTTTTTGCACATAACTAAAAATTAAAGCATGTAAGGATTATAAGTATTTCTTTGCATATACGTAATGCTATGTATATTTACCTGTTCAGTATCTATAGTAGTACTAATTGAATCATTTAATGGCAAAATTAGCTTCTCATTTTTTTTACCCCCTGTAAAAAAGAAAAATGTAAATTACTGATCTATGCTGCATAATCTCAACAATTTATTCTGTTAACACTTGAGAAAATCTATTTAAATTCAAACTGCTACCAAAGGTCAGGTATGAAAGAAACTTATGATACTTTTAAATATATCTTCTTATACGAGTGTAGAAGGTTATTTATTAATAAAATTTAAAAAAGAAATAATAGAATATTTAGTAATACAAAATACAATAATTTTAACAGTGATTTAAAATTCTAAAAATGGCGGGCATTTGAACGCGAAACAGGAACTGCAAACTTTTCTTAAACTCTGTTACTTATTTAATTGTTATTCTTCTTAAGCATAAATAATAATATAATTTAATAATTCAACATGTAATTTATAGCAATTTATGTACTATAAACCAATAAATTGTCCATGTACATTATCTAAAAAAAATGTATTAAATATTATAATAATCATGACAATTGCACAGTAATAATTGAAAAATAATAAAAAAGATACTTACAGTATTTTATAACAGCAATATTGACGGGTGCAAGACAAGTAACGGTACTCATTTCTCAAACTTCTGTCTATCCTCTTTCTTCGGTAACTGTGCGCTAAATAACACGATTTCAACCTGCACGTAGCATTTTTATTGGGAAAAGCACAAACTACGTATAAACTAGATTGAAGATCTTATAGTATAATTTGTTTCTATCACCACAACTCAAATCAACAACTTCTTTTACAATTCAAAGTTATCTTTTTCTCAATGAATATCTATATTCAACGTATTTTAATTTCATTTATTTAATATTAATTGCCGAGTACAATGATTAAAATTCTTGCAGTAACATTTATTTATATGTAATCACATAGTTTATTAATTTTATACATTTTTTAATGTATTATCGTTATCGATTAAATTCTCACTGAAAAATCTGTTTTTGAATTTGTATCTATTGCCCGCCAAAAATTATTTCCGCTTTACCGACAGATTCGGCGACACGTTTCACCGTTCCTCCGATAGATGGCGCTGCAGTCGAGAAGAATTCCCGCTCCTCCCCCAGAAGACATGTACCGACTCAGCCGGTTTTCAGTATGATGCCGGTCGCGTCCACGGTGGGGGTGATTCGCACGTTCCTCCGAGGACCATACGTACCACGATCGTGTACGGCGTGCACCGTGTTTCTAGGAAGCGCGCGCTCCTTCTTCGCAATAGGACAAACAGAACGGAGAACGAAAGGACAATATGAGCGTCACTCGTTAAGACGGAATCTCCGGAAACGTAGAACAGAAGAAAACTAATAAAGGAACGGTGAGAGGAAAATGGTCTGTACGAGGTACCACGATCATTCCGAGGACGTTATTAAAAGGCAGTAGGAAAGTAATGGTGCGGATTCGAATGCTAGTGGCCGCATCCCTCCCCTGTTATCTCGCGCGTGCTTACATTGTGAATCTGTGCGTCGTTTCCTTTCTCTGAATCGCTCGAGTTAACACGCGATCACCTTGGCTCGTATCGTAACGAATTCTCGTGGTTCGCCGTAAAAAGAACATACACGCGGCGAATCAAAGACGAAAAGAAAGAAGAAGAAGAATAAGAAGAAAGCGGGAGAGGCGAATGGAGCCGGTGGCACGTACATACACGTACAGTGATCAAGTGGTGGTCGCGTTGGCTCGAATAAGATCGGAGACGTAAAGGTGCTCCCGTGGGACGTCTCGTGGGTTACGGTGACCGAGTCACTGTCATCTGTTTCCAAGAAGGAGAGAGGTCGACGGTTTCTGTGTTAGTGTATAACCGCGCCATGGGGCGTCAGTGTTGCTCCTTCACGAACGGCCGGACCTGAATGTGTGCATATTTCTCCTGGCTGACTGGTCTGCCTTCCATCGTTAAGCTGCATTCACAAAAGGAGCCGATTTTCGGGCAAGGACCGTGTTTCGGTCGTTCTTGCCAGGAACACGATTCGAACCGGTTAATGAAGACTATCCTGCAACGATCGTCCAATCGGCTAGCAGGTAACTATGTATTTCGTCAGATATAAAGTGAGACCTGAATTATCGTGTTTATTATTATTTTTTTTTCAATTTACAGGAGTATTGTCAATGGATATACATACATAGTCTTGAACTCGGTACTGGCACCTTTATTTCCTTCGTGCATCTTTTATTAGACAAACTTCTCCCTAACTGTTCAATCGTTTCCCGCTGAATAATTTATTCTTCGCACAGTGTTTCAGTATTCCTAGCTATCGTAACAGAACGCCTCGATTTACCTGCAGCTACTTTTTTTCATTCTTCCGCGATTCTTGCTTCCTGTCGTTTTCTTCGCGTTGCATTAGCCACTGCGGCGCTCCCTTTAAAGTAGCGTCACGGATCGTTATAAATCACGAAAAACCGATGAATTTTTCACTGAAATTAACGACTCGTGCGAAAGTAGCGGGATACATGCTCACAGGCCGTAAAACACGTTCAATAGCACACGTGGGGTGGTTAAATGAGGTCCTTCACTTTAACTCAGTTTCCAATGGGTCTCTTCGCTGATGCTGACGAGCAATATTTATAAACAGTTAAGCTAGTCGACTGGCAACGTTACGAACTGCATCGAAAATAATTTTTCAAAAATTATATTATACGTTTTTTGCTTAAAATACTTTTTCCACTTACCAATTTTTCAGGAATTTATGGATATTCATTTTATATTTTATTCATTTCAACTGCTGGCGTAAAAAGAACAGATTACACGGGAGATAGAGCATTTCCTTCTTAGGTTCTATTCACGATGGATGTCGCATTACAAACAGATCAGACACTCGTACATACAATGAGTATGCGTCCCGCGTTTACCGTTCTATACTTATTGCCACCATAGGTGGACGCGATTGTAGATACAAGAACGCTTTTCTTTGTTCGATTCACGCACGCATCTGTGAATGCCACCTTGATTCAGGTGTGCACAAAGATGCACCCTTCGGCGGTGCTTGAACTCTGCGTTTCGACGTGACCGTGTACGCTTCTCTTTAACAATTACTTATTTCAATTTTTAAACGCCATTATGTCCTTTGAATTGCGTAGTTATTTTCTGGTGTACTGCGCATGCGTGTGTGCCGTAGTACAACGCACCACTTTTTTCAAACTTTTTAATATGTATATTTAAATTACTATGAGTTTTTTTGTATACATTATATTTAAAATTTTTATACGTTATAATTTATTGAACTTTTACGTTTCATATTGTGGATCGGTGACAATTTTTTCCCCTAATATATTGAGGTTATTTTATAATGCATCGCGCATGCGCGTACACACCACTTTTTAAAAATTTGTGTTTAAATATTTGTCTATTTTGCATGGTATATCAACGCGTGTATAGATAGTTTGCTTTTCTACTTGTTGAAAAATAGCGAACGGGTGTAACGGTTTTTTTATACGCGTAACTTTCTAGGAATTATTTATGAGCATTAAATGTTTAGTAGGATATTAAGAGGCAGCATGGGAATTCAGTGTAAATTGTATTTGCTTTTTAAACTAATTCAGAGATAGGAACGCGTTTGAAGCCGAGTTAGCGAGCATATGAGCAGCAAAACTTAAACTTTACGGTTTTATGCGATCGTATAAGCTCTGATCGTATACATATAATGACGAACTAAAAACATTCTTAATTTTTATTGGTACTATATACACTAAATGTAGACATTTGAAAATGAATTTCCCATTAGAAAACATTTTAGTCATTCTTTTTTTCTAGGAACGATAACTTTTCATAATTCCATAGAGATCTAAACTGATAAAACTCATTCCACGGAATAGTTCCGATATCTTCGGAAAGGTAGGAAGCGTTTCGGTTTCAATAAGTTCACTTATTTGCAAAGTTTTCCAGAATCTACAAGAAGGTTGAGTGTTACGTAGGCCAGTTGTCGTGGCCGGGCCACCTGGCAATTGGTTCCCATGAATGGAGAGGCGTCGGAATCGGGAGGGCGCAGGAAATCGGTACTTATTCTCGGCCTCGATGCTATCTTCAGGCTCTCCGCGAGCCTTTTTCTTCAGCCTCAGCCGGTGTACCTTCGGACTCGATTAAGAAACACGTCAGATGTGCGTCAGCTACAGGCTGTATAGATCGTAGCTGACCTTGAACGCGGGTACCAGTTGCATCACGTGTTTCTCGAACGGGTTCAACCTTCCACGGGTTCTCTAGGATGCGAGGAGGGATCGTGTACTATTTTCAGAGAGCTCTTTGCAGTCTTTTTAATCCTTTATAAAAACATACGAGCGTCGACTGTGCGCGTTTCGCGCAGACAAAAATTGAGGAATTTAACGCTGATACAAAGTTTAATGTTTCAGCAAGACTGGACGAGGATAATCGGATGAAGCTGGGCCAAGCATGCCCTCTAAGAAGCAATACAATCTCGTTCATAATGACGAGTACGACACCAGGATACCACTACACAGCGAAGAGGCGTTCCATCGTGGAATCGTCTTCCACGCCAAGGTAATCATCGGCAAATGCTTTCTCACCTTTTGCTGCAGCATCATTTGTTGTTCCTGTTATCGTTAGTGTAAGCTTGATGAATTACTTTAACTCTTAGCGAGTGTTTAAGCACGCAGGATAATTGCTCGGATTGTAAAGTTTTACGCAATTTGAATGAACAGGACTGGTTTAGGCTTCTCGAAGTCCTACAACTGGAAACATAGGACTGCAGGGTAAGAAAAGGTACTATAGACGACTTCATAAAGTCGTAAAAATCAATATCGAGAAGGTGGTCTAATTTTGTTTCATCGTGTATCGAATGGTTTCCAGTAGGACGAATTGACCTCTTACTATCTATAATAATCCATCTATATCCTAGACTTATTCTTATCCTTTCTGTTCATTCCAGTTAATACCAGCTATACGACTTTGCGGCTTTTTGAAGAACCTTCTTCCATTATATTCCCAATCGTCATGATCCCATTATTGGACTTCCTATCTGTGGATTACTCATGAAAGCTGTAACTCTGGCTCTCGAATAAGGAGAACGATCAAACGTTGAAAAGAATCGATCTAGTCATCTAGTCATGAACGATCTGTTCGTTTCGTGTCTCTTCCGGGAAAATAAATTCTGAAGGCAGTAAGCAAGAAATTTTATCGTATCGAAGGAACGCCGGGATTCTGGAAGTAAGCCTCGATGGATTCTGAATACTAGCGGTTCTTACTTGTCCACGAAACTGGTACAGGACAGTTATCTCGCGGGAGGTAAACTTTAACTGTTCGAAATACGATTACTGGTAGAGGCGTTGAAACGAGAATGGTTACATCACGGTATAACGAATCACTGGATTATATTCAGACGAATTCTATGCTGAAAATTATATCGTAAACGTAGAGCTCTCTTGTTTCTTTTCATCAAGGTTCAAACGATATTAATATTCCTCTCTACGTAAGCGTTGAAATTATTGGTTTATTTTAAAACGGAATTAACAAGGGCACCGACAGGTTTCGGAGCAATGATACTAGGAAACAAACGGTAGGAGCGATACAAAAGACGGATAGGAAAACAAGGTATTTTCAAAATAATTTTAAAACGGTTACAGTTTATTTTCTTCGATCCATTATAACTTTTTATTTTAGATGCAACGAGTGATATTTTCGTACGAATGTGGATTCAGTGAAAACGTTTGTTGTATTCTCTTTAAACTTTCCCAATTGCCATTCACCAGGAGGATCCCGTTTTCCCGAAATACTTGACGAGCGACGCTGTAATTTACCGCACAATTCGACCCGACAGAATAGCCACATAAAACCGCAAGTGTTTCCACGAATCTAAAAAGTATAGCATTGCTTTACGAAAGTGGTTGATCCGTTTATTGAAACTGTTCCTACAGTGGATGTAGGTCGATCCATGATAATTGCAATTTTACAATACGTTGTCGTAGGAGAAACTTAACTACTGTACTTACGATTAGGCAAATGGTTGTTAGCGTATTAAGCGGTACCACATGATCAAATATTGAGAGATGACAAATGATCTACGATGGAAATGTCGTTGAATGGAACAACCCTGTGTATACACAGCACCTTGTACCCAGTAGGTGCGCGATCGATGGGTGCGTGGCAATGCAACAATCGCGACAGGGTGAGGTATTTTTGGTCGACGGTCGCCAACGGAGAACCGTGACGTCATTCTGCACATGTTTATTTCAGCGGTGTACGTTTCTCCGAAAGGTTAAAGCTTTCGCGCGGACGCCGGCGTCTAAGCTCGTAAAGCGTACGCAAACGCGGTCACTTTTCCGAGGGAACGGAATGGGTTATTCGCGGCGTACTCATTTTTCTCTTGCTGACGTTCGCGTTCCCTCGCCAGTGGTCGCGTTCAATTTTCAAAGCTACGATCAATTTTCATTCCACTATCTATTTCGCATCTCTGTTATATTTTCTTTTATAATTCTCTATTGCGGATAAGATGGAATATTCTTTCTCATTTTAAAGGGGAAAAGCGTGCTGGATGGATTCCGCTTACACAACCGTGTGCGCTTCCAAAGATTTTCTGGAACACCGATTAATCTTCGTTCCCCGAGCTCAGGTTCCGTGGACTGTTCATTTTCTGCTGGGCTTCGGCTTCGATGAAAGGGATAATATTGCTCAAAGGCGTCCCCTTTCGATCCGCATACGTATATCTAAAAGTTGGATTTTCAGTCCATTCAAACCAGATTCAGATTTCAAACGTGTTCAATGAACAGAACTTTTGAAATTCTACATGCTTCTGAATAGAAGAGAAACATAGTTTGATAAATGCTTCTAATTATTTTTAAAAATATTTTTATTTTCTTTGAAGCGAAAGGATTATAATTATTAATGAAATAATATTCTTTTGTGTGTTGTAGGCAGAGAAAGAATAATTTTCGCCCTAGTAAAGTCGCAATAATTTTAACCACGGATGATCCTCTTGGCAAACGCGACGTTCGCATTGCTTTTGTTTCGCCTGGGTCATATATTCAGCCGCTTGTTCGCAATCTCGGTTATGCACCCTGTATTTATGCAACCACGTGCATCCATTGCTCTACAAAGCAAATTCCATGCTGTTTCGCTATCCTTTTTATAGTTATTTATAATTGTCTAATGAATCATCGAAGACAGCAATTTTTTAGAATTTAATACTATCATAGCGTGATATTAATTATAACGATAATACCTTAGTAATGAGTATTTTAAACGATGCGACTCTCGGCGTCCGGAATGGGTTACCGTTGCATCGGTATATCGATCGTTAGAAACTCGATCGTCCTGCACTTTTACATAGGACGCGTGGGAGATCAGCACGTGTGCAACGACTCGACTAAACACGTGGCCAGGTTATCGTTTCAATGAAGATTTTCTAAATACGGCTGCTAGCTGGCTGCGTTCCTCTATTCACAATTTATTTTCATTGCCTCACTGTCGTTTTGCATGGGAAACCTTGCTTGGTTGTTTTCCCTTTTTTTTTTTTTTTTTTTTTTTATACCATTCACGGTCACCGATCCTTTGATCTTTTTCTTGGAGGACCAGTTACCAAAAAAATAGCCCCGCATCAAGTTGAAATGAATTCAGTCTGTACGTTCTCGCAAGTCAGAGTAATAAATCGTTAAAGTAATTAAGAAAATTACTTTGCGTCGTTGGAATGATTCAACGTCCGTCGGTGACGGTGCAAACAAGTGGAAAGCTTTTTAATTCTGTCTGCCCATAGTTCATCGGCTCTATGGAGGTTCCCCGACCGACCAGCCGAGTGGAGATCGTGGCGGCGATGCGAAGAATCCGCGTGAGTTCACACAATCTCTAATTAACTACGACCGATTACACCCTCCGGGCGATCTTCGTTAATTTTAGTCGTCTTACTTTGTCCTCAGTACGAGTTCAAGGCGAAAGGGATCAAAAAGAAGAAAGTGACCCTCGAGGTGTCGGTGGACGGTTTGAAAGTGACCCTTCGAAAAAAGAAGGTAATTTTTCTAGTGGTTAGGGTAATTATTTTCAATTTCTATTATAGATGTAAAGCGTCGAGTATGGAATTGAGGATCGGAGAATTGAGTACCGAGTGTAAAACACGATACTAAGTATCAGATAATGTATTAAGTACCAAGTCTTTCTATGAAAGCTGGTATTTTCATCTTCTATAAAATTAATATCTGTCTGTGAATCTGTTTGAAATCCAACGAGATACTAAATACCAGTCTCGACGAATCAAGAGTTCATAATATTTCAATGTTAACGCGTCAATTACTCAGGGATTTCAGTCTCTGATTTATTGCGCCAGGCTTTTTGGCTTGTTGCACCGACGTACATGTATGCACCTGTCCCAACTATGTATTTGGTACTCGTTATCCATTATTAATCAGTAGAAATAACGCATTCGGAGATGGAAAAGCGTTCCAAATTCATTCGCAAAATATTTAAAACGTGTTTTTTTTTTTTTTTTTTTTTTTCAACATTCCTATGTGTTTCATTTGTGAAATACTATAATGTTACTTGAGACGTGGTATCATATGATTGCACTTACTTGGTAGCAACCTACGTATCATGGATTAATGAGTCATTTATTCTGTGTTTGCGCAGAAGAAGCAGCAACAGTGGATGGACGAGAATAAAATATACCTGATGCACCATCCCATATACAGGTAAATACTCTGCTTCCATAGAAACGTTTTTCTCCATGATTTTTCTTGAACCAAGTTTCTGTAGCTCCTTTAATTAACAGCAACTTTTGTTCATTTTCTGTCTACCTATTAATTCTAAATTACTAAATTGAAAGAGAGAAAGAATTTTGTTTTAATGAATTTGTTACAGGATATTCTACGTCTCCCACGATAGCCACGACTTAAAGATTTTTAGCTATATTGCCCGCGATGGAAGCAGTAACACATTCAAGTGCAACGTTTTCAAATCTAGCAAAAAGGTAAGCGTTCCATATTTTAATTATTTATGTCGTCAAACTTCAAACATAGCTATTCAAATAAACATTAGATATTAACAATACAATCAAACATGGTGAAAGATGAACAGTATCGTGACAAACGCTTTTATAAATCTTCCAATATAGTTGACTATATTTTTTAAGGCGTATTTTCAAGCGAAGAATCACTTTTGCGAAAGTTTGTATGTTTTGAAACGAAATACAGTGTGTGTCTTTCGATGCAGAAGAGTGATCCACGAAAGCTTTCGTTGTGTACACAAATTGTGACGCGATGCGAGAAGCTCTAAGCTTAGACGCCAGTTTCGTACGCTTCTATTTTTTTCTCTTTTATCTCTTCTTTTTTTTTTTTTTTTTTCTTCGTTTTATACGACGGGTTTCGTAGAAGTTATTTTAACAACCTCTTGCCACCGGACCATTGTAAACAGATGACCGACCGATCAACCACCTTTTCAATCTCAAAATAATTCATCATGATATATGATAATTTTTCGATAGAAATTTTTTTTGCAAAGAAAATGAAAGAAATAATTATTGCAAGTAGTATAGATCAATGCGCAGTCAGGCGACTGGTGTAAGTAGTATGGGTTCGAATGCGATCAGGCAAGTGGTATACGAAAATTTTTTTTTTAGACGCGTTTCAAAAGGATTTCAAATCACTGTTCGGTAACATTTCATCGTTGAAAGTTCAAGGTGTACGCGTGTCGCAAAGTTTTGTGCGCGAAGCGCAATTTGTCATTTGGAAAATAAACGTCGATGCCTCGCAGGCTTCAAAGTGATCCCGACTTTCGAGTAAGCTTTTCGTTTGAAGCGTGTTTAACTCTGAAAATAAACAATTCCACGAATGAATTAAGCTCTGTGTACTTTACGTTACTTTGTCAGGAAACTTTTTTCCCCTTCCTCGAGTATATACAGTTGATCGGTCAATTTTCTTTCATGCTTTAAAGGAATCTATCATTTTCTTGGCAGACTTTGCGTTTCACAGACTCGCAATAAATTATTCTGACAAAGTTTCATAAATATCACCAAATGTATCAGTTTTTTCAGTTATAAAAGATACAGAAGCAACTATTTATAAACGCGATGCTATAACTATTACAATACAATTTGTACACCTATTTTTAATCTCGCAATTCTTAATTTTTTTCTCTGCCATCGATCACTGCTCGAACAACCCTTCCGGCAATTAACGCGTTAATAAATGCCTCGTTACAACATAATTAACGAGGTATCGAGGTGTTCCTCGGAAACAGATGTTGCGTTACGTAAATTTGCTTATCGGAGCAAGGGAAACGGAGGAAAGGGGTCTCGTTGAATTCCTCGACCGAATTACCGGTCTCGTCTGGGTGAAGGGTGCTCGAAACGGAACGTCGGAACGCAAAGAGACGTGGCTGGTGAAATTTCAAGCGTTGCTTTCCGCGTTCTGAAAGCTCTAGCCCTCGTGCTGGGCCACTTTAAGCTTCTACCGGGAAGCATCCTCTCCTCGAGTCCCGAAACGAGTCCGGGATGAGACTAGGCTCGTCATTCGACGAAACGCACCGACACTGGTCAGCTGTGACGATGGACAGAAGAAAAGAAAAATTTTTCATGATAAAGAAGAGGCACGTTGGCTGAAGAAGCTTGAAAGAAATCGTACAATGAACGAGGAGAAGAATGTTTAAGCATTGTGTTTGTGACGTGAAGATGTTCTAGACAGCTCGAGACAGTTTTAATTCGTCGTTCTTCAATTTTCTTCTCTCGTCTAATGGAACGTTGATTAGGTAACAGGGTTGATTAGTGTACCTACCTATCGCAGTGCAACGAATGGTAAATATAATTTAGCAAAGACGAAAGAAGAATACTAAAGAAGCCTAAAATAATGCTAAAGATAGGAATGTTTCCATAGGATATTACGCTCGGCAAGAGATCCCAGCACGCCCACGTGTGACGTAGAAGCGGGCCGCGGCGGCCGTATCGAGGCCGAGAATCGAGAGACTTTCGTCATTAGCTGGTGTTTCGAGACGATCGGATCGCGCTGAGGAAATGCCATTCAGCCACACGAAAGCGAGAATATTAATGCGCTTATAAATAAACCGGAGGAAAAATCCAGCGGGTAGAGGTGGCGTCGCGACGCTTCTGCTTCACCATCGGACTGCTTCTCCGCTTTGAAACGCAGCATTCCCTCGGTGGCACAAGCTTAGTTCCGCTCCACCTGGCCAACGCGTCGAAATACCAGTATTTCTAGTACAGAACACCCGCCGTATTGTGATTCATCCTGAAAGAGCAGAGAAATAGATGAGTTATGGTGGTTGAGAAAGGTTCGAGTAATTATTGAAAATTAGAAGTGATCCAGACTGTTCATTGAAGAGGTTTCAAGAATTTTGTGATTGTGAGAGATTGAAGGAAGTTTGAAGAGAGTAGTTTTTAAGTCAGTTGAAGAAAATGGAAAATGTTTTGAAGTGAAGAATAAAGAGTTTCGTATAATTCAAGGGAAGTTAATTAAAAAGTACCTTTGGAGAAGTTTAAAAGATAAAAAATCAAAGAACCAAAGTGGAAACTAAAACCAGAAGAGAAACAATGAAGAAGAAACTTGGAAAAGAAGCTTTAAGAAAATCAACAAATAAAATTGAACAAACTGTTAAGATCTCAAGGCCAACTAAAAAGTGAAAATTTCAATAATTTTAAAAATACCGTAAGTACCTTAACGCTCACACGTCACACGTAAACGTCAGGCCCGTCAAATGACTGGAAATATAACAAATGATTAATGTTACTGCCGAGTGATCGATGCAACAGGATCGCATTTAACAGTAAAATTTATCATTGTCTCGAGCGTGCCGCATTCCTTGCTCTTATCTCAACAGCGTGCTTTTCATTGAAAACCCTTGAAGATCTTACGGTAACGAGGTCGCAGAGAACAAACTCTTTCTGCCGGCGAATCGAATCCCAACATACACCTCTTTCTGGCTGGCAAATATTTACCGAGAGCTTTCAGGAAATGAAGTTTCCATGGTGAGCCGCTTCTGATTTCTCGCGATTTCTGTTTTTGTTTCTTCGTTGCCTGAAACAATACGCTGTTCAGAGTAACGTTGTGTTTTTCCGGTTCTTCTCTCTTCACAAAGTTCAGCGAATTCGTACGATCGTACGCTTAATTTTCAGATTTAAGCTTTCAAATTAATAATTTAATTTCCAAATTTAACCCTTCAATTTCAATAATCAGTAAATTAAAAAAGTAATAGGGAAAAACTGAAGAGTACTTCTAATTAAGAAGGAAGCAAGCATTAACATCAATGAATCTTCGTTCTTGTCGTTCATAAATCTCGAACTTGACCCAGACGAGGAGTACCAGTGATAACGACGATGTAGCTGGTCACTTTGATTAGGCGAGCGTGTGTAATGCGAGTAAACACGCTCTCCGGTGATTAAGTAGCGACGTGATAACACGCGTTCCTCTCGATCAAGTGCACGCGATCATATTTATGATCCACGCGTGTTCTTCCTCATCATTATAAGCGTCTAGACGTAATTCATCATTAAGTTTTTCACTCCAAATTGTGTAGAAGAAATTCCTTTATATTGTAGAGCTAACAAATTGAAAGCTTAAAAATTAACTACTCATATTGTTAATGATTCGAGCTTTGTGTATTTATTTCAAATACACGCGGTGAACACGATGTTCGTGGCCGAAAGAATCGATATTTACGCGCTGTAGTGTTCCCGGTCGATTCCAATTATAAACAGCCGCCGGTGGACCGACTGGCAAACTCCCCGATAAATCTTGCTCGCTTTAGAAACTATTACGGATCCGCGTCGTCGTTTACGGGCGAGCTTCGAGCAACGAGCGCAAACGTTTATTTGCCTCGAGGCGTACGCGAAGAACAAGCGGTGTTCCTAACATCGTGTCTCTCCTCGCCGACGAGGAATTAATCTTGAAGCTAATAAATTTTCGTCCACAGAGAGAGAGAGCCAGTTTGTTTACCTAGTACAATAGAAAAACATTGTTTCACTGATCTTACACAAGAAATTTAAAAAAAAAATTGTAATTTGGATTTATTTTGATGGACTTAAAGAATGTGGTATACTTTGGATAGTTGCTAAATTCTCTTGATGATTTCAATTTCATGGGATCTATGAAATTGCAATTTTCTATTCCTTTCGATATCTAGAAAAGAAAGAGGATTAGTCAGTTGAACAATGAATAAGAAAGCGAACAATCAAAATTCCAAATACGTCATACCGACCATGAAACAGTGATAAAATTCCATCGAGTACAAGACACGTAACCAGCCATGCTGAAGAATTCAACGAAGCAAGTCAATTCAGCGGATGCTTCCGCGTCGTCTGCTTCCGGTCCGGCCAGTCCATCCGCTGTTGAGACCACCCCGAAGCCAAGGAAGAAACTGTCGTTCAAGGAACCTGAAATATTCAACTATCTGAAGTTGAGGAAACCCTTTGGAAAAGCGAAACCTCCGCCCTTGCGACTGACTCGATCTACCGGCAGTGTCGATTTCAATTTCGACGAGAACCCCTTCGAGGAGGAGAACGATGACCTCGAGGAGCTCGAGGTAAAAGTGACAACTATATCTGGGGAATAATACCGTTTATGGGGCGGGTGTATGGTGTCGCAAGGACAACGGTCAAAACGAGGGCGGAATAAATTACGTATGCTTTACATATCACCCCTTTTCTCCCTTTCTTTTACGTGTTTGTTGTCAGTATTCAAATGGAAATTATTCTATCGTGTATATAGGTACTAGTTTTTAGATTATAAAGTGATTTTTATTGTGAATGAAAAGTGATGTCCCACCAGTTGTACCATCCATTCTGACCCGTCCTCTATTATCAAACGTATCAAGGTAGAATTGAAAGAGTAATAGTTTAATTCGTTTGTAACGAATAAAACGCGTATAATTCTTAGAACGATCGTGTGGGTGGGTAACGTGGGTGGTAGGGTTGAGATTTTGTAGTCGTTTAACGAGAACGATGAAGCTGGAATGGTGATTTCGGTGCTTGAAACTGAACGTTTGATTATTTTGAATAACGTTTGGATACTTGGAAACTCGGCGATTAGAATTTTCTCGGATATCAAACTTGAAAATAAAATCGTTTCCTTTCCTTCAAATGTTTGAAGTTTGATGACTTTTGTATATAACAATTTGATTAATGTCCCTTCAGTTTCTATCATTCTCTATCATAACCACTTATCTTTAAATCTTTTTACTTATATTGTTACGTTCAATTGAAAAAAAAAAAGTTGGATTTCGTTAGAGTCAAGCGATGAGGGTGGTCAGAACGGTAGGACAAGCTTTCGAGGTGTGCCATAAATTAAGTATAAACAACGCCACGGAAGATCGGGAGAGAGAGAAAGAACGGGAGAGAGATCACGAGAATCATCGTGACGTTTACGAGGACCAAGACGAAATACCGAACGAGCAGTCCCAGCCATCGCCGTCTTCTGTGCACAAAGGTTTAGTATCCTTCTGGTTTCTCTGTACGCAACCCTTGCCTCGTGTCGTTAACCTCCTTCAAATTCAATGAACTCTATTTCAAGCTGTTGTAGAAATTCCTTATAAATTTCCTGAAAGATTGAGAGCTAAGTTTAATATTAGGTAACACCGTCGCGTAGCGATTAAAATATTATATTCTTCGTTACCTCGTATATTTTTATTGCAAATTTTAAATATTTTTCAGATATATCACTGTTAGGGGACACGGAGGACTCGGTGGCGGAACAGACGACTGTTCCCTGTCTTCTCAGGTCCCATGAGGTTCCAGCGACCACTGCCTCTACCTCGCCGATTAGACAATCGCCATCGGTAAAATTATTTTTAGAAATAAGAATTAAAAGGAAATTTCAATTGTATCATGATGGCGATTATGTGGTTATATAGGGCATGGTGACCTCCGATTGTGGAGGATTACTGGTTGGAGGAGAGTTAACCGCTCTGAAGCATGAGATTCAGCTGTTGCGAGAACGATTAGAGCAACAAAGCCAACAAACCAGAGCCGCCGTTGCCCATGCGCGACTTCTTCAGGATCAGCTTGCGGCTGAAACGGCAGCTCGCGTTGAAGCTCAAGTAAGTGACACCTGATACTTGTCATTCCAATAATTCCTTATACCGTGTTCATGTACATGGTGTCGTGAAGGTATCTGGAAAATAAATTTATGGATATTGTGTGTTACATGATAATATGGTACCATCTGCTTCTTCTTCTTCTTCTCCTTGTTTCCATTATAGGCCAGGACACACCAATTGTTGATGCAAAATAAAGAGTTACTAGAACATATAGGTGCATTGGTTGGTCATCTCCGAGAACAAGAACGCATCTCGAGTGGTCACGTCACCTCACAGTCTCAGATTCCTGGCTCAGCAACGATGCAGCAAACTACTACCGTTCCTGACTTATCGAACCTCGGCCAGGTAACGCTCTATCGAATACCATGACACGAGTGTTCACCAGCCGGCAAGCCGTATGCCTGGAAACATAGCATTTCAATTAACATTTAATGTATCTTTTACCCTTCCCAATTTCTTTTGTACCACCTTTTGTAATATCACCATTTTTTATAAACTTCTTAATAAAATGACATTGTATGCACCCTTTTATGTTTTGCATCCGAGTTGTTGTTGTTGTTATGAGTATCTTTCTTTTTTCTTTGTTTAACATAGAATTTGATGTATGCGCGTGCATTCGTTTGTCTTTATATTTCTTTCATTATCTGTGCAGGTTGATTGCGTATTTTGTTTCCAGACAAGACCTGACAAAATGTCTGCTCAAAAGTACTTGCCAATATCAAATTCAAAATTGATTGAATAATGTGAGAAAAAATTGTATATATGTATATTGTATAAATCAGAGTTAGGCTGTAAAATCTTCAAGTACACATAATGAGTTTGATATAGGTTTCATAAAGGACTCTTAATCCTTCTGAGGAAACTATGCCTGCAGCGAGACTTTGCAAACACTATCGCTTATGAGTGACGCGTTTCGCCTCTAAATTGACCGACAGGAAGATAACAATTTAATGCTGTCATTAAACCTAAATCGCTAATCCAATAATCGTGCTAAGCGCCGGTGTGACGATGTTATGTAACAGGTCTTCGCACGGGACTTTGGACTCTGTGCAACCAACAAATGCTAGGTAAAGTTGCCAATTTTAAACCACCATGCGGCATGTATCAGAATCTGGTTCTTCAGGTTCTATAGCACCTTCCTGATTTTCTTACCTTCAAATATTGATTCCATTAATCCTCTGCACTTTTATCTTCATGTTTGCAAAATCAAATTTTCTAATATTAATTTTCTGGAAATAGTGTCCACGAACAGGAGGTCAAAGTTCACCATGGGAACTGGATCCACCTTCTCCGTACTGCTCTTATCCACCAGAATCGCTGTATGCTGGGAACCTGAATACAATAGGAATTCAAGGGAACAGTACCTCGGCGGATCAGTTGCAGTTTCAAACGCAGCTTCTGGAAAGGCTACACAACATAAGTCCATATCAGCCTCAAAGGTCGCCTTACAATACACCTTCCCCTTACGCGATGGGTCCTAGTCTTCTTCTACCTCCTAGTAGTAGACCATCTGTATGTAAATTCAAAATTCTTTCCTCTCTATGCGCATCGTTCAATATTTTTAATGGATTTCTTCTCTTTAACTTACAGAATTCAGCTCAGTTGTCTCCAAACTCCATGTCATTAAGAGTCTCTCAACCCAACAGTTTCTCATCATCACCTGTAATGACACATAAATTAGATAGTTATGGTGTAAATCCGGATATCATAGACTCAAAGTCAACGTTCATTAAACCACTACCGTGTACTGGTGAAAGGAACACTGTTCACTTGGTTCAGGAAGCAAAGGGTAAGCAGGATCGAATCAATCCTCATGATGAAATACCACCAATCGTACTGGATCCTCCACCTCAGGGTAAACGTTCAGAAGCTACCGCTAAGCAGGCAAAAGAGAACAGGAATGGTATGAACAATAAAAAAAATCCAGTGAAGCAGAAGACTCTGGCAACTATTTTGAGAACACCTGGACCACCTCCGTCGCGTACAACCAGCGCACGATTGCCTTCGAGAAGCGAGCTGATGTCCGAGGTGCAAAGGACTACTTGGGCACGTCACACGACCAAATGAAAAGTTTTTCCTGTAAACTTCAAGAAATATTCTTAACATATCATCTCATAGATAGAACAACTTTTAATAAAAATAGATCTTTTTTTTCAAATGTTGTTTCAAATATTTAACACGTTTTTAGGAAACTTCACTGTCAGTAAACTTCTGAATTTTCTGATCAACGTGTGACCAATGAGTGTACATAAAGAGCGTGTTATTCTTGTACATACTACTAAACCTCAATCATTTTACATGATTAATGCTGTGTCGTTATAAAATAAAATAGATACAGCTTAGATTAGTATTAAATCCTTATAAGTTTTATCCAACATATTTTTTATAATCTTCAAGAAGAAAAAGGTCTGCGTGTAAAATTTCTTTCTACAAAATTTGTCTTAAAATTACAAGTAAAATAAATCAAGACTAGGATATAAAAGTTAATTTATGATGATTTGTATAACCATCGGAAGGGTCACTGAATAAAATGCTCTGTAAAAATCGATGAGTCTAATTGAGCCTTACAGTGAACACCCATTTGCAATCATCATAAATAATCATATCCTTTGAGCTGGTAGAGTAGCCGCTACTATTAATGGCGTGCAACCAAATGCGTGTTACTTTTTTTTTTTAACAGCCATAAGGTAATCAAGTTATGAAGTTCATTATTCTGAATGTGCTTGTAGTTTTCTACCTTCGTGGCAACCAGTATAGCGGTAGACCGTGGAAAGATCAGAACAATTTGCCTGCAATAAAGGATTAAATATTATTTAACTTTTTTTAACTGTAAATTTTACAAACAATATTTATTATTGTGATAAATAAAAAGCATGAGTGAAGAGGGTAAAATGTCTGGAATTTTGAAATCAAACGACTCATCCGGATACCAACCCAAGGTGGCCTCAGGACTATTATCTCCTAAGCAGGTAACATTTGATTTTTAATCAGATTAATATTCTATTAAAACAAGTGATTTGTTATCTAGAAAAAAAAATGATGTAGTGAAAGTAATCAACAATTATTTATGATTATCTCGAGCCTATTTAATTAGCAAATGTATCGACAAGAACCAGGCATCGCGTGAGAGGTGAAAACTGTTATCGGGTTCGATTACTTCACAGAAAATTTATTAATTACTATTCATACGCACCCGATATTAATTAAAAAATTGTTCTTACGAAATGACATTCCTGGACATTCCTCCTCTTCGCTATAAGTTAGTCATTTTTCCAAAGTGTGCTATAAAAATAAACGACAACGATTAGCGTTACGTTTCGTGACTTTTTTTACGAATCACGTTATAAGCTTCATTTAGATGGACAGCACATTATGAAGAGAGGGTAGAAGAGCGATTTTCGTGAGCTTTGGAAACTCGCGTGTAACACGACGCAAGAGTTTGGAAGAGAAATGATTATGTGAGGTGGGGTCACATGAAAAATGCGAGGTATACGTGAGGCACGATGCCTCTTCAGGGTGCGGCACGTACACGACCTCGAGCTTCTGGATCATTTACACCGACATGGTGTCAAAGTCTTTTTGTAGATCATTAATCCCGTAGATGCATACTTCCTAATTCTTTTTAACTTGTATTGATTACTTTAAAATTAGATATTGTCCTATAATAGTCTCACTATTATTTTAGGCAATTATTTATGCCTATTCTGCAGCAAAGAATAATTATTTATATTATATTAACGAAATAAAACTACCACCTTTGGCCAAATGAAATCGTCACATAGAAGCTTGGCTGTCGTGTAAGTTACACGGTGAGTAAGCGATCGGATCGTAAACCGAGGTATCCATTTACCCTGTGATATACGAGCTTTCGTGATTTCGAAGATTTCTGTCGTCCACGAAAACACGATGTCCCTGATATCGAGTGAAACAACCATTAAAACGAGTTCTGTACAGGCGCGGTTTTACTAGGGGATGAACATTGGACCTTGTTTCCTATCGACAGTTCCTTCCACTCCATCGACGTTGATTCATCACCTCATCTCTTCAGATTCTAATTATCAGTGTCCTCTTATAATTCATAGAATCATTATTATCTTTATCAAATGTGCTGTTAATTGTGTTTCCTCAAGTTCTTCATTTCATTTTACAAGTTTGTTTCTTCTTACAAAAGCAAGGTAGGTACTTGTGCCCTTATTCTTCCTGTATGCTAAATCATCCATGGAATCAATTTGGAAATCCTAGAAAGAATTCAAATACTGTTAATTGCAACCCTTTCTCTTATTGTTCAATGAAAAGTTACAGGCTTTATCGTAGAGGTTCAGAATTCAATAAGAATGGTACCACTGAAATTAAGTCCAGCCTTCTCATTCGACACCCCATGTGGCGTGACGATGGATGATGTATGAGCGAAATTCATGCACCTAATTGCTTGCTTTCACCTCTTCCTATAGGTGGAACCTTCATCCCCTCAGCCGTCGGTCGACCGACTGTCAGTTACTTTTGCCATTGTTGAAGACAACAACGTGCAGGATAATCAAAAGGTTGCTTCAAACGAAAAGAACGACGTCGATATGCAAAGAATATCCATAGCTGGTTTGTTTAATGTTAATCCTGGATTGTTGTTTGATCAAGTATTCTACAAGTTGGACCGAAACAACTGTTGGACTTTTGGTGTTTCAGAGGAAGAGGCGGATGAAGACGATTACTCAGCGTCAGCTTGCGCGATTATGCAGCGACGGAGTTCGAGTCGACGACAAAGTAGACGGAAACGGCGCCCCTCGTCGCCTTTTAGCGTGGAGGCTGAAGCTACCCTTCGTCGGAGGTCGTCTATTTACACCATCAGCTCTGGAGAGTTAGTATATCAATTTCCAGTAATTTTTTATAGTATTCCTTAGTACTTCGATGATGCGTTAAAAATCTGTAGAACCGCAATCTCGATGGAAGAAAGCGGTAGTCAGGAACAGATATTCGAGAAGCTGAAGCTGCACAAGGAAGTCCTCGGTGGAGTGAAGCAACAGCCATGGCCTCTTCGTCGTAAGATCAAACTGGTACGACAAGCGAAGTCGTACGTAAGGAGGCACGAAGGTGTTCTTCAGGAACGACTGGCTCAAACTCGAAGTACCAAAGATGCCATCGCGCGTATCTCATTGTTTGTTACAAAGGCAAGGATCAAATTGAAGCCTAAAAGTATAATCTAGAATTAATATATTTGATATTGCGTTCAATCACTTCTTCATGGTTTAATCATAGAAATGGCAATACTGTCGAAGGGAGATGGTAAACCTTCAAACATGGTTAATCCCATGGGAGTTTCGAATCAAGGAGATCGAGTCTCATTTTGGTTCCGCGGTGGCCTCCTATTTCACTTTTCTTCGCTGGTTGTTCTGGATCAATCTCGTTATGGCAGCCATTCTTACAGCTTTTGTAGCGATTCCAGAGGTATAATACTCTGATCGAGAATCACTATAACTCATCTATAACTATTCTTTTTACTATAGATGCTCACAGCAGACCCTCTAGCAGCTGGAGAAAGAAAGATCATGCTCAGAGAAGAAAAAATCAAATCAAAGCACTTGTTAACTTTGTGGGAGTTTGAAGGAGTCTTAAAATATTCCCCATTCTTCTATGGCTGGTACACCAATCAAGATTCTAAAAGTGGCTACAGATTGCCTTTGGCATATTTTGTTACAAATTTAGTGGTCTACATATATAGCTTTGTCGCCATACTGCGCAAGTAAATCATTGTACATGTAAATGTAATATCACCTGAAACTCAAAGAAGAGATCAATGAAAATTGCAATGGTATTTACAGAATGGCTGAAAATTCTCGGTTGAGCAAACTCACAGAGAAAGAGGACGAGTATGTGTTCTCGTGGAAGCTTTTCACAGGATGGGATTTCATGATCGGTAATACTGAAACTGCACATAATCGAATGGCCAGCATCGTCCTTGGATTCAAAGAAGCTTTGTTGGAAGAAGCTGAAAAGGAGAAAGATGAAAGGAAGTAAGATTACTTTGAAATATTGCGAATAGTTGAAAGCAAAGATTTAAATTCAGTTCTTTGAAATACCTAATCTTTAAAAATCTATTACTGTAAATAACATGAGTCATCGAACGTTTTAGTTGGAAAGTAATAACGATGAGAATCTTTGTAAACATCTCTATAATTTCATTATTGGGATTATCAGCTTATGCTGTGATAAAAGTGGTTGCTAGAAGTGCTGAAGAACTTGAGCAAACCAGTTGGTGGAGACAAAACGAGATTACCGTCGTGATGTCTTTAATTACATACCTCTTTCCATTATTCTTTGAGATATTGGGTCTGTTAGAGAGCTATCATCCGAGGAAGCAGCTACGTTTACAGCTTGCACGGTAAGCAATTAACATATCATTTAATTATGTCCCTAAATATGATCACTGTGTTACAGAATAATGGTGCTGAATTTACTGAATCTATACTCCTTAATTTTTGCATTGTTTGGAAGAATAAATTCAATGGTAAGTGGAGTGATATGCAGTGATCTATTTACTGTTCAATTCTAAGTACAGGTTACTTGAATTTTAGAAACAAGACCTAAGGAATCTTCAGCCAACAATAAAGAATTGTTCGTACAAGCCAATTGTATGCGACGAAGAAAACATGACAAAATCGCGGCAATTAGCAACATTAGCTTCTCTAAGTTTAATTATGGTAGCCGGTAATGCTACTGGAATGCAGAGTCAGAATGAGATCCCAGAAGCAAGTACGTTTAGCAGTACACAAGTTACTATTTAACAATAATAAATAGTAATATTTATTCATTAATTAAGCACTGCCATACTTCTCAGTGATGCCCAATTTATACCTGAATCCAATACTCGATGAAAAATCACTGGAAGAGATATACAACGTTGGAGATTATCCTCCCTTAGATTACACCTATGACAATTATGATGGGGAAGAAATAAAAATTAATGAATTCAATGAAACGTCTTTTTCTACTGAAAATACTACTCAAGTATTTAATCTTACCTCAGACATGTTTCAACAAAATGATGCTTTCAACATGACCACCACTTTTGTTATCGATAATGAATTCTTTTCTAATTCAACTGAAGAAATTAATGATACCTCTATAACGAGTGTTCCTTTCATTGAAACTTCTACAGCTTATAATGAAACATCTGAGGCATTTTATAACACAGATGATACTAGCGATGATACTCATGATTTTACTACAACTTCATTCATCATGGATACAACATCATCTACAACAGAAGTGAATACATTAGATAAATTGATCACTGTGTCAGATACAAGTACAGAATCATCAATCATAGCATCTAGTTACGCTGAACGATATACTGACGATACTACTTATAAAATAACTACTATTGATAGCAGTTTATCGTCAGTAAATGAAAGGGTGATTCCCCTCTCTGAAGAGAATTATATTCTGAAGTGTTTCGAACAAATATGTACTACGACCACTCGGGATACAGGTATGAATAACATGTAATTTGTACAATCTATAAATGTTACTTAAACCCAGGTCTATGTTCTTTGTCATAGTTGCTTCATCAAAATTGTTGGATTTGAAAACCCGGAAAAAACTTCGTCGTTTGTGTTGGGAGACAACGTTCGGTCAAGAATTAGCCAAGCTTACAGTTATGGATTTGGTAAATTTGTTAAAAGCATTGTCAATATTCGTGTTTCTATCTTAAAACAATTTTTATATATTTCAGGTACTTTCTATTCTAGCCACGCTTAGTATAGATTTTCTTCGCGCAGTTTTCGTTCGTTTCATGAACAGTTTCTGGTGCTGGGATCTTGAGAAACAGTTTCCTGAGTACGGAGATTTCAAAATAGCTGAGAATATACTTCACCTGGTGAATAATCAAGGAATGATTTGGATGGGTATGTTCTTCAGTCCTGGTTTAACAGTACTGAATCTCTTGAAGCTTGGGATTCTTATGTATTTGAGGTCTTGGGCTGTTCTCACCTGCAATGTACCCCATGAAGTGATTTTTCGAGCATCTAGGTAATTCAGAAATCATTTCAGTTTCATCAGGTATCCTCTAGAGATCTAATGAATTCAATAGCGTTATTTGTTTCAGGTCCAATAATTTTTACTTTGCCCTCTTATTAACAATGTTATTTCTATGTGTCTTACCTGTTGGCTATGCAATTGTGTGGGTGGAACCATCCTGGCACTGTGGCCCTTTCTCTGGTTACAATAAAATGTATCATTTAGCAACCAAACAGCTGACTGATTCCCTCCCAGGACCAATTCAAAGGTGTCTTTGTTTTCCAACATTTACTTAACATTTTTGATAATAATATTAATATTCTTCTTTTCACAGATGTCTCGATTACATTGCTTCACCTGGTATTGTAATTCCACTGATTGTTTTAATGACTCTCATTATTTATTATATGGTATCATTAACTGGGTCGTTGAGAGAGGCTAATAACGATTTAAAGGTATTAATTTGTACATAATTTTCCATTGCATTAAAATTGTCGAAAGATAATTATTTCTTCTTTAGATACAATTACGTCACGAACGGACAGAAGAGCGACGTAAATTGTTTAGAATAGTTAAAAAGAGGGAGGAACTAACAGATACGTCGTTTTTAAAATGGAAAAAGATGTTACCAGCTTTACCCAGAAAACCAATAAAATCTGAAGTTTCCAAAGGTTTGTCAATGACATCATTTAATTTGTAAAATACGTTCTATCGGGGAACTGGGTAAATTGCAGGTGAGCCAGAAGTTGTAGTGACCATGGAAAACTCTGTCGAAGTGGACGTGGAAGAAAGGAAACGTTCAGCTTCAGAGGTAGTTGAATTGAGAGACATAAAACAGGATGTGGTACCACAGGATCACGCGCAGAACTCAGTACCTGAAAATAATTCCAATGAAAAAGGATCAATCAGTAACAGGTAATAAGAAGAAAGATGTTTTGTTTCCTACTTAATTCAAGATGTAATACGAACAGGATGGCAAAGTTTCTTCATGATTCTTGGGAATCACAGACCAGTGATCATGCCATGATACCAGAGATTCGCATAAACGAGGCAGGGGGAAAGTCAATTTCTAAGGAAAATAATAATGTAAATCATAAGAAGTAAAATAATGTACCAGAAACTAAAAGATCAAGGAACATGTTACCGTATCATCTTTCATGTTTTAATAGTGAAATGATTTATTTTGTATGAAGATTTGACAAAATGGTCCTACGAGATAATTTATTAATCGTAATTAAAAATAGCTTGTTACGTGATCACTTCAATGAGGTATAAAATCGAAGACACTATTTTTCGAGCGAATGACAAAGTTAAAAAGCTTTCACTCATAGTCCTTATCTACCCGTTTACTCATACTTATAAATACGTACACGTACAAACACATGCTCACAAGACGTTCATTTAATTTCACTTATAAATTACACCTAAAATACTGATGATCCACGTGCAAGTAAATCGCACGTGGAATGACCCGTTATTCCATCGTAATAATAATAATTACCCATTATTAATGGTATTCCTCTCATTCCTATGTTTTCAAAAAAAACAAAAATTCATTTCCCCCTCGTTAAACATGAACTGATGATATGTAAAAGCGCCCGTGATTTATTTTTTTTTTAAATGCAACTATTTTTGAGATTCTTATATAAACGTTAAAAAATACTTACACGATAATATACAACATACGCGTCGCTCACAGTACAATAAATATTCAGAACACATCGTGACAGTTATTATCTGCCATCCTTTAAATACGATTCATTCGAGAATCACTCAGAGATTTATTCATACACCCGAGAGACTAGTTTATGCGCACTTCAGGCACTTGCCTCCAGTATCTTCAGAAATTATAATTCATTAGTTCATTGTTAGAAAGTTCAAACCATAAAACATTGTTTAACTCTTTTCAATCAAACAGAAAATGATATTCGTCAATTTCAAGTGCTACAAACTGAATCTTTTCATGATATTAGTATTAAAAGTCTATCGACCAAGTAAGGGATTTATTTTACATGAAAATTTTAGACCGTAGAAAACACAACCATGAAATCATATGAAAGTTTGATTTTCTCCGAGGCTCGTCAATCTAAAACACCCCATCGTCCATCGTTAGAGAAGAATAGCGAAGGTACGAGCTATCTTCGTCCATGTCGGATAAAAACTGTCATCGTTCGTTTAGATTCGGATTGTAAATCGGTCTACTGCTCAAGAAATTGTTTCCACTGGTGGGACTGGTTCTGACTTGCATGTATTTAGGCCTCTTATGCCTGGTGCTCCAATGGAGGTAGGTGTACCAACCAGCTACTAAAGCTCCCAAAGCGTTGCAAGTGGACGAGAAGATCAAAAGTATCGTCAGGATACTCTCAACTTCGGGACAGTTGAGATCCATGTACCTGACCGCTGTTTCCGTGGAATTCGACGCATCTTCGCGAGGCCTGCACACGCAGGTAGCGTTCAAAACTCGTGCCGGGTTGCATTCCAGTCGCATCAGGCGCGCCAGGTGTATCGCTGAGAATACGCAAGCAATGGAACAGGTCACCGTTGCCAAAATTGCTAGAGATACGCTTATTACCTGACCAAAGGAAGAAGTCACGATTAATATTGTTAAGCTTTACTTTCTAAATCTCTTCATTGCCACAATGATAAACACCTTCGTCGACGCGAGGCAGAATCCAGGACTCATCCCAGGGTACTCTTTTTTGAAGCAGCACAACAGGCAAACACCAAAGCTACCGGAGAGTAACAACTGTAAATAAAAGAAGGAAGGTAAATGGGCTATTCTCTGGGTGCTTTTCCAGGAAGATCATTTACTGCGGTACTCACCGGCATACCACTCCAGTAGGGATTATCCGCAACGGGCAGGTGAGGTGCCCAAAGCAATAACCATAATGACAACGAAGTGACCGCGACACCAAGGATTGTTTGTAACGCTGCCAGGCATCGTCCTAGTCGCCAGTGGTAAACCAACGGTGGCAGGAATTTCTGTGGCCCTAGAAACAGGATACTTTTAATTTATAATACAAGTACAAAACAAATCATTACAGATTGAATGAAATACGTTCAGAGAAGCACAAGATTTTTCTCTCAACCAGCCACGCTTCTTTTTGTCCGAGGGGAAATGATGTTATCTGTCTATGTTTTCTTGAGGTTTGCGACACACATTTCCCATAGCTTCGAAGCGAGGATCAACAACCGATATACGAGTGATTCCAAGAAACGAATGTAGGGCCGAAAGAAAGGAGAGTTTCCGAACGAAACGACCTCGCTGTCCCTCCTTACAAGGTATCTTAACCGGACGATCGGACGTGTCGTCCTTGCCGTATCGAACTGTCAGGAAACTCGCCCACTAGGATCGTTTGCACAAGATTTCCAACGGGTTGCAAGTTCCACGGGAATTCGAGGAGGAAAAAAGAAGGCTCGCCCACTGTCGAACGGTGATAATACTGAATGTGGATTAATTGCTTGCTGATTTCATTAGGATCTTGCGAAATTAGTGAGAGGTTGAAGATATTTGAAACGAATAGAAGACAGAAATCGATTGAAATTTGTTGGATGAAAAATGTTTCAAATGTTGGAACAAGATTCTTCCGCGTTCCTTCATTTCCGTTTGCGCATTCGTTGCTCGCATCGATTCAAACCAATTCCTCGAAGGATGCTGGGAAAATCTAGTCACGAAAGAAGGGGAAATAATCCCTGGAAATAATTCCCTGTGGCTTAACAACCGGAGGTTCCTGCGTTCAGGAGAGAATAACGATCAGAAGAGTAATCCTCGTCAGATCCAGACTTAAATCCTTCTTTCTGACCACTGAATAACGAGCAGGGTACATACGTCAGTACCTACGGTCGTTTAACACTTTATATGTGAAACTTTTTTTAAATCTATGCCAAATGCGTGCCAGTTATCGCTTCTTCATACGTGAAACGATTCGCACGGTGTAAGAATGCGGGTCTTGAATGCGTGTCATTCCCATTGTGTACTTTCCTCACATGTCTGCGTGTATGTCGCATTCGATACAAGAGAAAAGAATGCCACTGCAGCTAGGACAGAGTCTGCACGGGTCAGATAAAAATAATCTTCATGTCAGAACAATAGAATTCTAAAATATTAATCATCTTCAAATATTTTCCCAGACGTATCAGACTGACAATGTGTTGAACGTAGAATACGCCTCCTATAAAAAAATATAAGGTTAATACTAATTTATGCAAAATTACAATCTGATTGTAAATAAAGTGGCATTACAGGTATCGTAATGCTAAACGAACGGTATATGATGAAATATTTTTTTTTTTCAAACAAACTCGCCTAACTACGTAAAAAACTAATGTAGAAACATACTAGGTGGTACGTTTTCATTATCCGATGGCCTCGATGCATGGATAATGACGGAGTGTTTAACTTGCGTAAGAAGAAACGCGGCACTTGTGCAACTACATTGTATACAACTTTTATACCACCTATCCCTTAACTCTATCGCCATAAAAAAAAAAGAAATATGTACTATTTACATTCCTTATGCGTTTTTTTTTTTTCAACGTTGAAACTGACACAACGCTGCAATCGTATTCCTTTTGAAAGCGAATATCATATGACTCCAGTTACGCAAACTACAACCGGGAATTGGCTAATTGGAATTGAGCAAGGGTGATAATACGAGAGAAATCTTTTTCCTGTAACAGAAAAATTCACGATATAGAATAGTAAAAGTTTGCGACGAACGCTTCGTGTCTGAAACACGAGTGTATTCTAAAAAGATCACACGATGTATTTCCGGCTTGCCGCTTCCGCTGTTCAGCCACTTCAAACTGGCACAGTGGCCAACAGACCAAGAAGTATGCACCAATTTGGATTACCTGCCCTTTATGCAAAATTTTATACTAAATTCCGAGCCATCGTCATCAGTGACCCATTATATTCATTACGTTTTCCTCCATTTGAGTGATCAATGACCTAAACAAAACGAAACCTGCTACACTTCATACATCATCTAGATACGGGTGACAAGATAGTTAAGGTGTTAAACTACTGCCAGGTAAATGGCGCCACAAGTATTTAAAAAAAAGAAAGAAAGAAAAGACCGGAAGAAAAGTTGACCTGTTCTGGGCTGGCTGCATTCCTAACTTGAATTATCCAGCTGAACACCTGCCTTCCTTCAATTTGTCCTTCAGAAGAAATGATACTTCCAGCAGATTTAGTCGATCACCCTGGTTGAAAATGATTCAGCAAAAAAGTTGAACGCACTGTTCAGAATAGAATGAATCTTCCAAAAATAGAATCAAAAGATAAGAATACAAGAGACAAGCAATTAAACTTTAGAGAATTTCGATTTCGAAAGAGCTTACAAATCTAAATTTGTAATCCATCCACGTTGAATTTCATAAGGGAGATAAATCCAGGAGAAACGCTTCGAACACGATATAAATTATTAATCGTTTGCAGAAACGTTGTATACTGTTACGGGGAATGCTTGTTCATTGGCGTAGCTAGAATTCTTATCTGTGGTGGTTGTGCAGCTCCCCTAGATTTATTCAAACAATTACGTTTTCATTGAAATATTTTAATACCGTCTATGGGTCCACCTTGGCCCCTACCTAGTTACGCCAATGCGCTTGTTGCACCGTGAAAGGCCACACGGTGATATTCGATGACGTTCCCGTTCCGTTCCTCTGATTCTGTTGATCGTGGCGCTTTCGTTATTTAACACAAAAATCTGAATGTTATTTCTGATATACCTGTTCGATCGAGACGCATAGGCAAGGAAAGTGGTTGCGTATACTTACGGTGACCACTCCGATGCAGCACGATCATCCTGCTGTGCCTGAGGGAATTCCTCGTGGGCGTGTGACGGCCAGCAATTTGAGAGGCTGCCAGATTAACGGGAACCGTGGTTGACAAACAGTTGGCCATCGATGGGGCGCGACCGAGTTCCTTTTCCTTATCTGATCGGTAGATTTTCCCGATGTTCCCCGTCGACACTGCGCCTATCGCAGCAAATTGAGTCTGACATAAATTTCTGTAGCAACAGGTAACGAGTTTGGAAACTTCTAACATGAATCATCATCGCTCATTTTTTCTCCCTGTATGATCGGGTGAAGTAATACAATTTAGTTCGTCTGATGTATACATATAATTAGAAAGCGCGCGAAATTTTCAACGCGGCTTTGTTTTGCCACGATATTTACATCGGATGGCTGGTGCAGGAACAAAATGAAATTCGAGAAAGTTTGCTCGAATACCGGTGCTAGCAAAGTGACGACCGAATTTCACCCGTGACCGTTCTATTTTCAGCGGAATAACTTTCCTAGGATAGTGCAGCGCCCCGCGTCTGATTTCGTCTCGCGCCAACAATAATGTCGGTCGTTTTTAATTAATGATGCAAAATGGATAGAAAAGAAAACAGAGTTTCGTAACGGCCTCTCTTCAGTTTCAATACCTAATTCTAACTAGTTTAACTAACAGTTGCATTACTCTGTTTGTTATTAAATCGCAAACAGTTCATTAAACTGACCAGTGACTTTGGTGCTCTGGATCTTCGACACGTTACCAACACTGACGGCGTTGCTCACTCTATTATTGTTGTTATTGTTGTTGTTGTTGGCCGTAGCCATCGACGGATTGTCACGGACTTGATTTAAATTGTCGGCGCTTAAGGCGGAAGTCACGCAAGGTGTCACCATTGGCACGTCCTGAAGAATGAAATAAAAAAATGCCAGGGATTACTTTAAATGGTTTCAAATTCAAGTACTCTATCAGTATTCAATTATTCTAATTGACGAACAAAGAGAAGAAACTTCATGCGTCAAATTTCTTCTTATCATCATGCATGCATATAAATAGAGCTTTTACTCGTGTATGTACAAGCGTCGATAATTCTCATACATCGAGCGTTGCGGTTTGTTCCACTCTACTTTTTCATTCGACTAAATCCCTGGTCAGAGTCAATTCAGTGCATTTAATCGGTAAACGATCTATCTTCGCGTATCATCTTACAAGACATTCAATTATGCAGTAGCACAATTTTAATTTACAGCCTAACGTGGAAGGACGTGATAAGAAGCTTCTGGAATTAAAACTAGTACAGGACATATTAACTGAAACGTTAACATGGTTGATTCTGACTTAAAAGTTCTTCAGTTGACCATACCTTCTATGTATATCGATACTGTTTTAGATGTAATTCACCGCAGCACTAATTCTATGAGAATATTTGAACGTAAACAATGACACGTGGTAGGAAATGAACCCGAACCTTAAAGTTGTCATAAAAGCTAACAGGACGGCTCCTTGGCGCATACTGAATCTCCTCGTCGGGCTGCATCATGCTGCTACCACTGTACGTTGTCGAGTTCAAGGGCTGCGCGCGCACCTCGCCTGGCATCCTGTTCGTTTTCCTTTTTTTTCCACTTCCGGCGGCTGCGAAGGCGCAAGGAAAATCATGAAAAGATTCCGCATTCAGATCAAGGACGACTTTACCGCCATTCTTTCCGCGATATTAATTGATCCTCAGCAATTAATTTTCAAGGAATCTCTATAAATCATGTTCATCCCTGCCCTATACAGAAGCATTTCAAGCTAGGACAAGATAGTCGAGAATATTACAGGATCGTTTAAATTCTAATTAGCATTCACACCTGAATCCACGTGTCACCTCATATCAAGGTTTCACTTGGCGACCAGCAGAGAAACTACACGGTGTACGCTCCTCTGCTCTTGAACCCCAGATCTTCAACTTCCCGGAAGCACACCTGCGCCTCACGTAGTTTCGTATGAGTCACAGCAGCTGATTCGTACTTTAAAAGGGGAATTTCTCTTAATCCTCTTCAACGTGCCGTAAGTCACGCGTCGAATTCCCCAGCGATCCGGGACGAGGGTAATATATATATATAGGTAATCGGTATTCGTCGATTTCTTTGATGTTCCATCCACGTGATCGGCCACGTGCGCCCGCTATCCGTCACCCCGTAAAAGTCTGAAAAACGGAGGGAAATCGTCAACATGGGAATATCGCTATATCGGTTTCCAATCAAAACAATTTGTATCGATCACTCGTGTGAAGCATTACCTAGCACGATGTATCAATAAGTAATGGAACAGTGATGGACCCCTTGAATTAGGAATATTTCTAGAGCCCTCCATAGGCAAAATCCACCACTGTTCTTTAATAGAATGTAATTGATAGTAGACTAAACTGAGCAGCGGTACACTGGTGTGTAAACATTTACTATCATCGTTGTACTTAATACCAGCGAGGCGAGTAACCCTCATAAAATCATGATTCATTCGAAATTACAACGTAAGGGAACGTCACACCTCGTTGCGCAGAAAATGTTTCCTCAGGAGACGAATAGACCCTTTAAGAAGAAAAAGAAGTTGGTGTTTTCTCACGGGAACCACGATACTTGCTGCTAGCATCATTTATAGTGGTTGATTGGATTGCTTGACCTCGTGGGAAAAGAAGCTTGGTCAATTAAATATCCATTTCGTGGATCGCAACGTTTGAGTACAAAATCTGGTGCCGAGATTAAAATGAAAGTTACATGAAGAATTAAATGCACCTTTACAAGTCTCTGTAAAATAAAAGGTAGATGTTAATGCAATAGTTTGAGAACGTAAAAATAATAATTACCAGGGCCCCCGTAAGACGATTTTGATGACAATGATAAGACGAGCGCCTGTCCCATGGGACCACCGTGGCAGCGAAAGGGTTAATGATTGCGATGACAGAATGCATCAGGAAATTTTGTTCTTTTTGATACTCGAGTGTGAGCGGGGCTTTACTTTCACAGACACAAAATCCGAAGTTAATGCCGCCTGGTGTTACGCAACATGGTACGCAACGCAATGGAACCGTGGCATGTCGAGGGCTCTGTACAATGATGTGACCTACCTATGGCCGGGCTAGTGTTCGGGTTACGGCTGGAAATAAGTCATTTCTCCATTAAGTCCCTTTATGCGCAACTCACAGTCACGTCACCGTGACCGGAGAGTTTAGTGAACTCTTTGAAAGATTTACAAATACCTAGAAATTAGGGTCATTCTCTTGTTTCAACTTTTACTATGAATTCATAAGTATCAAATTAAAGGAACTTAACTTTTCATTCGTGTATCTTTACATCTTGAGGGCAGGAACGGTTCCGGAAGTCTTGCTTACAGAATACCAGGTGAGGAAGGGGAAGGAAGAACCCTTATACGGAAGTAAAATTTTTACGCAGGCGTGCACGGATGAGCTAACCTTAAAACAAAAGAATTCGCAATGATTCTAAGACTCGGATGATGTCACTATATCGTCTATTTCTAGTTACACGTCTGTTTTGTAACACCGTGTTCTTTTTTATAGCAAATCATGCAATCGTAAAAGCTTCCCTCACGTGTTTTGCGTTGATGTTTCTTTAAAAATGACGTGGCTCGATTATTCTCACGCTTAATTATAGGAAACAGGATGGACGTGTTGCGTTCTATTTGTGCTTTACGCGGCACCGTGGGTAAGTCTGCCAAAATCTAGAGCTGCCAACTATCAGGGTGGTAAGAAATTCATAACATTACGTAACACGAATCGACGGAAGATAAAATCATTTAAATTCCACTTATCCCAAAGTGTAAACTAATAAATTTATCTCACGGAAACTATATCTTTATTATCATTCGGATAAGTTCATTCCTCTTATCTATAATACGTAACTGAACACCCAATATTGATCTTTTTAATAAACGAAAATATAACAAAAGATTTTATCGTTTAACTGAAAGGAAAAATAAGGAGGAACCCTGTTTGCAAAGTTGTATCGTTTCGCACGCTTTTGCATATTCAACAAAAGCGGCAAAAAAGTGCGATCGATGCAAAATAACCGTGAAATAAAGATTCACCTTTTAACTTGCATAATTTATGCAGAATAATATTTTTAGTAAATGCTATTCAGTTCAATAAGTGCCATTTGAATTTAAAAGAAATTTAAATTGCTAAAGCTGAAAATTAGACGAGTACAAGTCCATAATTCCACGCCTAAATACCGTGCGTCGCTGTCCTGTCCGGAAGGATCCTCGGTGTCTCTAGGGAAGCATAGCGCAAGGGGCAAAGAGAAAAATTTTTAAGTCCCTGGTAAAGAATGGAAATTAGAAACCTTGCGAGGTGTTATCTTTCGCCAGATTGCAAGATTCAGAACCTTGGTGCTAAAAAAAAAGAAGAAGGAATTCGAACGTTCGCAAATAATTCGACGAATTCCAGATACCGCGAGACAAGAATTTATCACGAACGAGAAACGTACATACAGCACGTGTGACCCGCGCGTTGTTCTAATTAAATTCTCCAGTTACAAACCGTTCTCAGGGTTCATGAACGTGTGTAAGCCCCTTATCGAGAGCTCGAACAACGATATCAAACCATTGTGCCGCCTCTTTCATTCGAAATAAGCTTTAAAAGAGTCAATATACAGCGAGGACTTCGTCCTCGGCCTTTCAATACTACCGACAAAGAATTTGAAGATTTGACTCTCGATTCTTTGAATAACATTCCACGCGTTTATAACTGTTTTTCTTTTCTTCAAAAGACACTTTTGCATAAAGTTCGCATTCATCGATATAGGTTTCACGGAAACAGCGAATTATTTCTTATTCAGATTCGTACACTGTGATTCAAATCTTTCGCGCTTTGTTTTCACCAATTACCATAAAAGTTTAACTCGTCGAAGCGGTAACTTAAGTTTTAAGCAAATTCATTAAGCTTCGTGATATTCATTTTTATTATACCTTTATTGCCTCGCTGTTATCGCAGACAAATATTTTCTCGTTTGAAACGAGTGTACAGCTGCTCGATATTTTTGCTCTCTTTTAATTCTATGCACTAACCAGAGTGTATTAAAAGAAGTTCCAGGTAAAACATACCTCCGGTAAGAACGTGAACGTCCTCCGTTGATTTTCTTCAAGGACCAGGGATTTCCAAGACTTATTATGCTGCTCGAGCGACGTTGCTTCGGGTAATAAGAATACAATACAAATTCACCGATCGCGTGTTGTTATATAATTTAAGGAAACACTGATCAATTCCTCGCGATTCCTCGATTCTTGGATCATCATCACCAACTGTAATCGACAGAAAAAGAACAACGATGCACGCCTTTATCTTTCATCGAGTCGCTCGATGCGTTTAAAAGGTAAGACATGATATTCTTGTTGATTAAAATTTTAAAGAATTTGTTTTAAAAAGAAATAGAAATGAAAATTACACGAATCACAGAGAAGAAAGACGAGAGAAGGCTTCTCTAAAATAAACAATTGTTATATAATAAACAACGCAATGTTGCTCCGCTGGTGTCGCGGTGACAACTGAAGTCTCCGGTTTGCCGCGTCTCGACGAGTCTCTGGAGACCCCACCAATGTGTTCACCAAAGTCGAGAGGCACCAGGTGTCAGAGGGACTCAAACTGAACGAATCCCGCTCGCAGGTGATGACCGTCCGCTTCTGCAGACCGAAACACTCCTCTTTCGCATGAATAAATTGATTTAAGTGGCGTTTGCGATATTATCGTCAGCGATTCTCATCGTTAATTCTCGTGACGCTATTATTGCGAGCGTTAGGTAATTTCACAGTCGCAACTGCGACTCGTCGGGAAATGTTCCCGAGTACCATTTGTGCGATTAAATTTATAAAAAATTACAGTCTGTAAATTTTCTCAATTATCGAGATCGAAATGATTCCTTTTTTTTTGTAGACCTGAGCACCACTGCCTCCTCACTTTCACGTCGTCCGACGTTTCAGAAGGAGACCCGATGAAGGAAGTTGTCACACCGAGAAAAAGGGTGAAAGAAGAAGGGGAATCGGTCATGCCTACCGGTTGACGTTTACCTTGAGCGATTTCTTCCAGGCTTATTATCTGTTTTTTTCCCTCCCTTACTCGCCTATTTTTATTTCCTGTCGATCGTCGATCATGGTGTCGCCTCGCAAAGTCTCGTAAAAATTTATAATCGACGATGTAATAAGATTCGACGTCACCGATGAAGGTAATGGAAAAAGAAGTTGTTATCGTCTAAGAATAAATGAAAAGAAAAAATGAAACTAAGATTAGAAAGAAAAATGTATGATTAATCTTTGAACAACAAAGTCAATATTGGTGGGGCAGCAGTGAGGACAGTGAAACTTCTTAACTTCTCGGCTCTAAATGGAATTTCGCGGATGCTTCTTTTGCGGCTGTCGAGTTAGACGATTTCGAGAGACCGGTTTCATCCGCAGGTATTCCTGAACTTGCCGGTTGCTTTCGCGCTCGAACGAGCCTCTAACCACGGGAATAGAAGTCCGAGGAGGGCTTTATTACATTCCTTTCGAACGAAAATGAATCGTAATTTATTCCGAACCGGTCGTAGGTGGCCGCGTGTCATTAAGGTGGCGGAAATGATCGTGGATGAATGAACGGCGTCCGAGTGGGTGGTTGTAGGTTTGCTTGATATTACGCTTGAAACAAGAACGAAAGTGAAATTTATATTAGGTTTATATTAGGTTTATATTAGGACCGTGTAATATTTCCTTATCATTATTAGGTATAGGTATATTGTGCGAAAAATATAGTACTAGACGCATTAATGTTTGCCGATCAAGTATGAGTCAAGAGATAATTTCTGCGCATACATTTTGCGTTTTAATTTCTGATTCATGCGAATCAATGCGCGGACATGCTTTGCTGTTAGCGTCGCATCAACGGTACAATGAGACAGGATGAGCTGGCGTTCAGGAATTCGGCAGAGATAAAACAGGACTCCGCGCGTCAACGAGGAAGGGTTGGAAGCATCCCTCCCAATTATGCGTGCTTTATCTAGCTTCGAGTGGGCCACGTTGATCGAAATAATCGTGCCCTCGACGTACAGTCGCGTGTAATTCGGACTGGCCTTAATTAAGGGAAGAAATTATCTACCATTTATCTATATATTTTCTCGATTAGTCTCTCCCAGTCTCTCCCAGAGTTCTTTCAAGAAATAATAATTCATTAAATAATTAATGAGATGCAGAGGTATCAAACCACACCCAGGGACGGGACAATGGACAAAGACGGGGGAGAAGGGAGACATTCCTTCTGAACGCGTGCAGACGCATCGAGAATGCTCAGAGAACGAACACGATACCTTTAGGATGCTCGCTTTAAACGTGCTAGTTGAAGCATAGCCACTAATTTGCTGTGCTAATGAACTTCGCGGAGAAAAGAATATCTTTTCGCGATTTCTCTTGGTGAGTCAACAAGATGCAGTCTGGAAAACTGTATTTAGCTGGTGCAACGAGAAGCCAATGAAAAGAACAATATCGGGTCAAGTTGAATTAGATTTTGTACATTACGGAATAAAGTAAATAACATTAAAATATTGAGGCTGACATTGAACCAAGAAGATTCGATTATTTAAATCAAACGTTAGTAGAGTTAGTTGTTATCCTCCTTTATGGGCCCCCTGGGGACCGACATCTCTATCTTACATACCTGCATCCCTTATATCTCAGTAATTAAATTAAATATAAATTCACAATCGAAATTGGATAAATTATAGAATAACTCAATTGCTTTTTTAAATTTATTTTATTACAGAAACGTAAAATGAACGCAAGTTTGTCAAAGTATTATGTCACTGCGTGTCACTGGTATAAGTTAGTTGCTTCGCGCCGAAGCGCTTCAGTCTGTCTTCGGACGTCAAAAGGATAGGATGTATTTTTTTTTCCTCCTTTTCGACAGTACCGCCATCTAGACTAAAATGCCGCAAACTACTCAACAATTTACCGATCGATCAGTGGAACACTGGCGCTCCCTATGGGAAGATAGTAGAAACTACTTACCGACTTACCCTTGCAGTTGATCTAACCTGATCTTGGGGTGTCTGGGACCCCCAAAATCTTGACCCCTCTAAAACAAAGGCATGTCCAGTCTTCTACATCTGTAGTCACTGCTGTGGCGCGAGAAACATGTGTGGTCGAACTGCTTGGTGAGTAATCCGATCACGTAAGTTTAGTAATTAATTCATGACACGCAAACATGATGTACCTTGATCAACGACAAAAATCTACGAATGATTTCACAGTTCCCTGAATCCAGACACTTTGAGTCGTGCATGCGGCTATAAAGACGCAACTGGCAAACAGCCCATAACCTCCTGGGCCAAGAACGACGTTCAGTATACTCCTTCCTGTAACATCGGTCCAAAAGATGTTCTTCCGTGTCTCATAGCAGGCTCGCATGTCGATCTGGAAGACGAAAGAGCCCTATGCGCTATGTTTTGGAGTATGATTCCACCTTGGCACGAGGTCAGTGTTTACAAACAAGGTTAAGTTGACGTTTCATAAGTGGGGGACGCTCACGTGGTAGCGATTTAATTGTCAACATACCGTGTTGACGCAAAATGCTGCCAGTCAGATGTAAACATACTGAACGTGTGTCACGTTACGAGATAACAATACGCTGCCATTAATTGTTATGCTAATAACAAAAGTCGTTTAAAATTTAATAGGGCGACTATAGGAAGTTTAATTTATCAACGCATAACGCGCGGCTGGAGAACATCAAAACTTCCAAATTGTATGGCCCACCTCTTCGCAAGGGACAAAGATGTGTTGTAGTATGCGAAGGATACTATGAATGGAAGGCTGGAAAAACAAAGAAAGATCCTAAGCAACCATATTACATTTATGCTACTCAGAAGGAAGGTGTGAGGGCAGATGATCCCACAACATGGAAAGATGAATGGTCAGAAGAGTTGGGTTGGCAGGGATTTAAAATGCTCAAAATGGCAGGGCTATTCAGTGTATTTAAAACTGGAGATGTAAATGAATAATATTAAATACATAGATAGATTTTAATGGAAGATTGTAAAAGAATTATATTTCAGGGTAAAACAATACACAGTTGTACAGTAATTACAACAAATTCAAACGATGTTATGTCTGGGCTACACGATCGTGTGCCTGTGTTTCTAACCACAGAAGAAGATATACAGGTAAAAAACGTTAATGTAGGTATAAAAATATGAATATTTTCATATATTTCCAACTTTTATTTTGTGCTGTTAGACCTGGCTCAATGAAGATTTATCAGCAGCTGAAGCTGTTGACAAATTAAACAAATTAACGTTATCGCCCGGCGATTTAAGTTGGCATACAGTCTCCACTCTTGTAAACAATGTATTATGTAAAAGTGACAATTGCAGAAGAGAGACAAAGCCTTTGTACGTATACATACATGCAGTATCGTGTAATTAATGTTTTACTACTGGAATTATGAACTTCTAATCCCATAGAGAGACATGTCAGATTATTGATTTACTAATTCTATTATGTACAGAGAAGAGAAAAAAACCAACCCTTCTGGTTTTATGGCTTCCTGGCTGCAAAAGGGGTCTACAGAATCAGACAAAAGAAAAAGTACCGAAACTGAAGAAACTGACGAAGTTCCTTCAAAAAGTACAAAGAAAACTTGATTTTCTTTACTGAAACGTTAAATTTAATGTTAAGGGAATTTTTTTTATTACAAAAGTACATACAACTATACGATATATACATTCCAGACATGAATTTCCAAATAATTGTATTTATTTATTTAAGTTACGAGGTTTTTATATTTTTGTATTACATCTTTATGTCACATATATGAGTGATAATATTGAATTTTACTAGATCTCCATATTATACACATACAAAATACTATAAGCAACACAAGTTGCATATTCTGTTAACAGTTTTGAGTTATATATCAGTAATCGTAAAAAGGAACAAAATAATTTCACTGTACCCTTTGTAAACTTAAAATAAGCTTCTTCATAATGAATACTACTCGACAAGTAGTAAGTCTAATTATAGTGGAGTAATATGGTGATGACATTTGTTTTAATTCATGGACCTAGTAGTAAGAAAAATAAATTCTATGTATATTATAATTTGTATTCATTGTTTTATTCAAATTTCCCACTATAGTTCGAGACAGTGACTGACAATGGTAGGGTATAGTCGTTGATATCGAAGGAATCTGCTGTTACCGTCAGCGTGTATTAGACTGGTGCAGTGCAAAGTGTTTCACATTTTCGTACCAGGAAAGAGCAGATGGCGTCCGTTTTTTCCCCTTGAAAACAAAGGCACGTCCAATCTTGTTGGATCTGTAGTCACTGCTCGTATTTCGCGCTGGTTGCAGCGGGCAGCAGTGGCGGCGAAGGCGTAGGTGATCGGTGGTGGTTGGGTGCCGCGAGTGGTGCAGTGTGTACAGAATAGAGAGTGGTAGTATACGTACTATCTGGAAAGTTGTGGTTGCGCGTTTTCGTCTCCCGTGCGGCGGGGGCTGCCCTTCGCAAGAATCCGCTTCACGCATGGCACCGCTTCGTGCCTGAGACGCCTTTTTCTCGGAGACAGAGAGAGCAAGATCGTGCGCGGCCGGGGCCCAGCCTCTTCGCGTGCTTCGTCTCGTTTTGCCGTTTTCGAGCGCCGGAGAGACCGAGTCGCGAACGAGCCGACAGAATGACCAGTCAAGAGACCTGCGAACAGGGTATCAGCAACGTAGAAACTGAGTACCACGAGATCAATTCGAAAGAAGCCTGGCCGATCCTGTATCAGGTAAATTCTACGCGTTCCGTGTTTGCGTCTTTACGTCCGGTTTCCGTCGCGAATGTGTCAGTCTGTTACTCATGAATGCAACCGGATTGCGAATTGTTTCACACTGACACGGATGTTAATCGTTTTACCCACGATTAATTCTCCTTCTCTTATCCTTCAACATTTATTCACTCTCCTGTTCGTTCGTTAGATTATGCTTGTAACGTGGACACTCTGGCACCCTATCATCTGTCGTGAGATCTCGCGGTACGCTAGTGAATTTTTAACGGTCCCATTGAATGAGAAACCTGTGCAGCGTGTATGTCACAACTACTATCGCTGTTTCATTTATTTATCATCCAGGCTCGTTACAGTGGCGTTCAACTTCCTTCGTGAAATTTTTTTACCCGATAACGCGTGTTCGATTAATTTATGTTCCACGGATAAATTTGATTTACTACACTACGATGCGATTCGATACGATAATAAAGCCAGAAGTTCTTCAGCGGCGTTTCTTCTTTTATCTCTTAATCACGCACATTCCCTTTTATTCTGCTATTTACAATGCACGGATTGTTTCCTTAATTTCCGAGTATCCTCTTAATTTCTCGGAAAGCGATTTTCACAGAAATATGTTAAATGCAGCATAGAGTATATGTTGTGATTCTGTAGTCAAGGTCAAATGTCTCTTAGGTTCAAAATATACATTCTAGATATATATGTATATCTAGTGGTTTTATTTGTATTAATAAGCAGACATCTGACATTTGTCTACCAAGTATTAGATAAAATTTATTTTAATAAATTTTGCAGCATATACGCAATGAATGCAGCAATTTCTCTTATACCTATAACGAATCAAGGAAGCCACAGAACAAAAATTTAAATCGTTATAGAGATGTTTTGCCGTACGACCATAGTAGGATTGTCCTTAAAAGGGGTCCATGCGATTACATTAATGCTAACCTCATACAGGTAATTATTACATTAAAATATGTAATGTACATCCAAAGAAAATATGGTAATAGATTTGATTTTATTGTAGGTAGATCGTGCTCACAGACAATACATCCTTACTCAAGGACCATTGGAAAATACTGCTGGCCACTTTTGGCTAATGGTATGGGAGCAAAATTCTAAAGCGGTGTTAATGTTAAATAAAATAATTGAAAAGAATCATGTTAAGTGTTATCAGTATTGGCCTCTGGGTGATTCAGAGAATAATAATACTATGATGTTTCCGGATGTTGGTTTAAAAGTAACATTTGTCAGCAAAACAGAATCATCGGATTATACGACTAGAGTATTAAAGTATGGGAAAAATAAGGAATAAGAGTGAAAAAATTTCTCTTATGGAAGAGCACGTTTGAAATAATAATTAATACGATATTTATATTTTATACAGATTAACTGATTTGGAAACGAATGAAAGTAGAGAAATATTACATTTTCATTATACCACTTGGCCAGATTTTGGAGTACCGCAAAGTCCAACAGCATTTTTATCCTTCTTAACGCATGTTAGGCAGTCGGGTGCGTTAGATCAAAATGTTGGCCCTCCTGTGGTGCATTGCTCGGCAGGAATTGGAAGATCAGGGACATTTTGTTTAGTGGACACCTGCCTTGTTTTGGTAGGTATTACTTCTGTTAAAAGAAGAAGGTAAAAATATAAGGGTAAAAAAATAACTTGCTCGTTATTTGATTACAGATCGGAGAAAATGGGTTGAATTCTGTAAATGTTAGAGATATACTGATCGAAATGAGAAGATATAGAATGGGTTTAATCCAAACACCGGGTCAACTTAGATTTTCGTATGCCGCTATCATTGAAGGGGCAAAACAATTACTGTCCAACAACGTGGTAACTAATACCAATTCACAGTGGTACAATGTTATTAGTTTCTTTTTATTTCGAATTAAATTAAAAGATGAATTTTGAAATGTCTATTATCCTGGAAAAATTGTATTCCGTTTAAATTAATAACATTGCGCTGCTGTGGTGTACTATAATCTTTGACTTCCGCTAACTTTTTCACAATTTACAGAACATTAATAATGAGGTGGTAACAAATCACTACGATGTGGTAAGTAATCTTAATAACTCAACAGTGGAAGAAGAGGATGAACCACCTCCTTTGCCGCCTCCGAGAGGTGAATCTTTAACGCGTAGCATGATGGCAGATTTAACTTCAAATCCAGTAACTAATAAAAATGGTAAGTATAAGAAAATTAAACAGTCTTCAGGATATAACTATGTTCTAACTTGAATCTTAGATGAATTGGGTGGACCGCCTGATAAACCGTTACCCAGAGAGCCATCAGCTCCCACAGAAACCTCTACCAGTTCACCAGTTGCAAACTCTACAGTAATTACAAACAATTTACACGAAAAGAACTCTGACGGTGTTGTAGTGCCTAATGAAAACACCAGTGACGGTGAAAACTCTTTACAAACAATTAGCCCTCCGTCCAGTCCCGATACGTAAGTTAATTTCAGTCGCGATCGGATGTTTCGACGTTGACTCCTCTTAATGATGTTTATTTTCTGTCAATAGGAAAAACGAAGTACGTCATCGTAATAAAGAGAAGAAGGAACGTTTGGCAGCGCAAGTACGAGAGATGAAACGTCGACAAAAGGAAACAGAAGAATGGCAGAAACTCAAGAGGTCATTATTTAAGCCCCTTTCAATAGGCATAGGCGCCGCAATTGTTGGTGGGGGTATTATAGCAATCTGTGGCTATTTGTATATGCGAGGTTAGGACAGAATTGTTTCTATGTCACATGTGTACATGGACCTTCGCGTTAACAGTGATAATAGGTGATTCGCACATTCAAGAATAGTTACTTTCGTCATGAAATATTTAACAGTTTCATTGCACGCGTCATTGATTGCCATTGATCGAAAGAGTAATTAATCAGGAACGAAGTATTTTTTGTTACGTAATTTGAAGCGAAACAGTCATCACGAGCCGTTGTATCAGTAAGAGACAATTAAGGAGAGACACCGGTTAACAAAGAAACGTTAAAGAGAAGTAACTTATTCTAACGAAGTGCATTTGTAAAGGACATTGTTGCACGACAAAGAAGCTACAAACGATAAAAAAAAAAAAGAAAAGAAATGGGTACTTTTATGATGACAGAGAATGAAAGAGAAACGGAAATATTCAATTTGTATTTTTATATTGTGATTCACTCAATGAGTATGTAGAATACTAGAAAGTACACATTCTTTTGAAAATCTATTGATTAGGTTCCCTTGAAAGTCGCAGTTCACGAAATGAGTAGATTCTTTGGTAATCGTATTTCCAATTTATAGAATAAGAAGTGCATTGAGTTAGATTTTTACCTTGTGACCTTTTTTTTTTTTAATCCTAATCAGAAAAATATAGGATATGTTTTTTATTTGTTAGAGAATGTTAATAATTGTGTGTCTTGTAAATTAGAAGAGAAAAGAAGGCACGTGTAAAAATCTAATACGGAGGATGAATCAATGTCTTCTTATTCGTATATTGTAATAACTGTAGGTTTTTCATATATATTAGGTATTACACATCAAATGGGTGCATAACGTTCCAATAAGTAAAATCAATGATTTACTTTTAGAGAGACAAACGCAAGTATTAATTTGCCTCTTTTTTTTTTTTTTTTTTTTTTTTTTTAATTTTTCAATCACTTAAATAGATTTAGTGCTTTTTCTATTTATAATTCATTGCTATTCGACGTTTAATTCAATAATTTTAATAACCATTTTAAGAACAAACGAGACGAGTCTCTTCGATTCTTTTTCTTCGGTGAATAATTCTCGAATAAATTAGTCTTACTGTTAGCAATTGTTCAGGGTACCAAAATCATTCTCCTAGAGTTAATAAGCACCCGATTCCCTTGCTAGGATCTAACGAGTATATTCGTGATAGGCGTAGAAAGAAATGTTAACAATCTTAATTATAGTACACCATGTAAATGTTTTTATAAAATAACTTGCCCATCGAAGTAGAGTCCATTCTTCTATAGAATATTCACGATCAGGTGAAATGGATTATTAGAGTTAGCATAAGTCATGCTTGTGACGTACCATATGGCCCATTTCTTGATGTTATTTACTTAGAATCGTTTAATTCGTTTAGAACTTGTTCCTTGGGCTGTTGGTAAACGACAACTAAATCTTTTTCACTATCTTCTATGAACAAACGCAATTGACCGAGATATTTCGTTTAAATGGCAATTTGTGCCTTCGATTCTGTGTACTTGGTAATATTTCATGCAAGTCTCTTTAAAGGAGTTTTTCTTTTTTGTTTCATGCCTGGTATACAGAAGACACTAATAATAACGAATTTCGCAACGTATTGAAGTAATTAGCAACGACTTAAAAATAATTAACTTGCCGTGCTCATCACACTGTTCTCACGCGACTGCATATTATTTGTCTGTTAATTATTGTGATGAAGTAATCCATATATAGTAGGTGCCAAACGATAAGAAGCCAACAAGAATTTTGTATGCCATGCATAAACTAGATGCATAGAAATTGGAATCAGTTTCTGACATTAGCCTTGATACTGGGAGACAACGATGTTTTAAGTACCAAGTACCGTATTAACTAATTCTTGGGAATTAGTTGATGATTCGTAGGAACTTCCTCGCATTCTTAAAGATGAGAAAAAGCATAGAATTATTGATAATAATTCTATTCGCTTTGATCTAAAGGTACTTGATACTATTCATCGGATGTTGATATTTTCTGTACAACCTGGGGGTGTAAAGTATCAAGGTTGATATCAAAAATTGATTCTGATCAGTACGTGTTAAATTCATGAACCATGTCCATGGTTGCGTTAGTAGATTTTATTTTGTACACTTTTAACCCTCTTCACAGAGCGTGTCCCTGCGCATCGATCAGCTTAGCGAGTAGACTTTAAGACACTTAAAAGAGCCGAGGGGAACAGAAACAGGGGGTTAAAAGAGCCAATCTCTTATCAAATGCTAACTCCAACTGACTTGCTCAATGGTAACATGTTTAAGTACACGTTGAGCATCGTGGAAAGACTGAATATACGTCTAATTGCTTCTAGAAGAAGCAGAGTTGAACAAAAAAAAAAAAAAAATGAGAAAAAGAAAAAAAAAGTTAAATCTGTACTCTTTAAGTCGAGCTTTCATGTAAGTCACGATCGTCAAAAAGAAACAAACAAAAAAAAAATTGAGAAGAAAAGACTTGGATCGTGTTCCAAAAGAAAAAAAAAAAAAAGAAAAGAAAAATGCAGTTTGCGTTTCGATATTTCTTTAGAAGAAAATGCACGTGATGGGCAAACGTATTTTGTACTTTTTTGTACGTCGTTGGCTCTAAATTTGGAATACGATCTTCAAACAAAAAAAAAAAAGAAACGAGACATTTCGGGTACGTGTTATTGCATTAAATATGCGTCCGTGTAATTCGTTATCTTAGAGATGCATTATGTTAACATGTTCGAATTTAATACAGTATTCTGTCGTCGGGTACAGTTGTTCACCTGTGTATGCACCAATTGTATATCTCGTTACCTGATTTTTCGTCTAGACTATGTTTTGTGTAACTAGAGGTGTGTCCGTGTTGGACGAATTCTCTGCTACGTTCGAGAAGGTGCGAAAAAGGATAAAATGGTCAGAAATTTAGCCTCTGAACAGAGGGGAACAACAACAAAAACAACAACAAGTGTACGTGCCTTCATTTAGAGCGATCTCGTTCAACGAAAGAGATGCTAGCGTTCCTACAGAAAATCAACAAATTCGCTATTTTTTATATTTTGCTTTTTAGAGACACACCGTTGAAATACCTTCAGGATGTCGCGAGGATAATTGGGTTCTTGCGGTTGAAACTGTTGAGAGGCTTCTGGATATTGGAATAAACGTTTCATCCATGTAGCAGCTGGATTCACAGTACAATGGACGCATTGAGAAATTAAGGTTCTCAGGATGATCTTGTTTATCGAATGTCCTGGTAAACTGTTATTTGCATTTCTATATTGCATTGTGGCATTTAGAATTCTGAGGATACTATAAATGGAACAACTCAATTGGAATTCTAAATGTATTAGCTTGTTCTGTATCAAATGATCAATTTTTAAACATAGAAAGTCTGACTTGAGCTTCAAATTGACACGGTATAAGTGTGTGCCCCAAAACCGTTCATTTGATATATGCAACAAACTAATAGAATGTAATCATAGTTTCCTCAGTTTGTGAATAATAACCGCAATGTTCCACTTAAGCTTATGAAAGTACTTTGAATTCTCAATGTTCCTAGATCGCTGTATGGATGATCCAATATATCCAAGATAGTATTAATGTGTCTTCAAAAAGAAAAAGAAACAAAAAAGTGACATTCCAAAGGGACACGGTATGTAACCAGGAAGCCTTGAACAGTTCAAGTCAACTTCATCGAAGAGTCAATTACAGAATGAAATTCGTTCGTGGCTAGTCTTTCAGTAAGAGACGTTCGTTCCTAATGAAGGTGGTTGCACGAGTTTGCCCAGATATTCTTGAATAACCGTAAACAATAGAAGGATGAACGAACAATTCACCTTGAAAGAACTCCCCTGTTGTCGTTGATCGCGGGAAAACTTCCTGACGAGAATGAGAGAGTGCGTGTGAGAGGAAAAGCTTATTCTCGAGAACTAGAATCCACGAAAGACACGGTGCTAACTTAAAGTTCCAGAACCACGAGAAGAAAGAAAAAGAAAAAAAAAAGGGGAAGAAGCGTAAAATATATATATGTATATATATAAAACACGCTTTGATTGAATGCGTGAGAGAGCGAGAGAGAGGGAGAGAATGAGCGTAATAAAGAAAGAAGAGAATGATTGTTCTAAAAGAAAAGAAAAAAAAAAGAAATATTATGAAGAAATCGAACGATCGAACACGAAAGAAAAAGACGAAGAGGGGAGGCTTTTGTACGCAAGTTTCTGTTCTCTCCACCCCCCCGGGTATACAAATATATTCTCACCGTACTAGCGTTCTAAACTACAAGGAACCGCAGAAACATAGCTAAGTGCCTACTCGTACGAAACAAATGGAAGGGATCGAAATGGGAACCACATCGAGAATACGACCGATAATAGCGTTAATAATTACAATAACGTAAAGCAAAATCCTCGCCTTTTGGAAGAGCGTAGCCATCGAGCAAGTGAATCCTTTACCATCCGACAATATGCATACATACATACATACATACATACATACATACATACATATTATTATTATATGTTAATAGATATTATCGTTCCAGTAAGTCTGTTATCATATAATTGTCGAACGATCGAATCAATGGATATGTTTCAATCGAATAACAAGAATGTTTTTTAATGCAATTAATGCATTTGGTAGAAGGTGTTAGATGCAATAGTTTGTAATGCTAACATTCTTCATACGTTCTGTCGGTTCGATCGACAATTTGTGGCAGATAGATTTACCTAAAAAGCTAAGGATCGAGTTACGCGTGCGAGAAGCGAAAGAAAATCAGAAATAGAAACGAAAGAAGAACAAGGATCGAAAGTGTCACGATTGGATTCAGCTTGATACTTTTCAAGTTCAAATGGTTAATGATAGGAAAGTTACTTCTCTACGAAGTCAGATTGCATCTCCTTGCGACTCGACTTAAGCACAGTTAACTATATTCGCAAAAAAAAAATAAAAAATTGTAGCGTCGTAGAAGCGTATCGAATGCGGTGTTTGAAATGTAACAGCTGAACACGAGCGGTAGAATTTAGAAAGAAAAGAATCTAGAAACGAAGGGGCTAAAGAAGTGAACTGAAAGGAATATAAAAAAAAAAAAAGAGAGAGAGTTTCATCTTTTGATCTCTCTTCAAGTTGGTTTCTTACACAGAAGGTCATTTCGCTTCTTCACCCGTTAGAGAAAGAATAGATCCAAATCGAAGTAACTACGGATAGAATAATGAACGATTTGCATGTAATACAATGTTATTTACACGAACCGGAACGAAAGAGAGCGAGAAAGAGAAAAAAAGAAACAATGAATTGTGCGGTGAACTCGATGCCCTCACGACGCATACATTTTTCTTTCTTTTTTTTTCCACTCGCAAAATGTAGTAAGACTCGTAGACGAGGTTCCCCGATTGCATATTTAGATCGATCAATACAGGAAAGGATTTTTTCGTACTTTCCAACTTTTTTTTATTCCACTCTATCCCCTTTGTTTAACTAACGCGATCGAACGACTGTTTTCAGATTATTAAATTTGCTCCAATTGAATGTTCAATTTTTCACGAGTAATCAAAGTAACCGAAGAAATTTTTGAGCAAATTTAATATCACGACAGGTCGATCGATCCATCCGCCCCTGACTTTCACCTAACAATTCTAATGTCTGTCTCGATCCCGCCACATTAAGGCCACGGATACATTAGCAAAGCGATGAGTGATTAGTGAAAAATGTTAGTAAGTTAATTTAAGCGTTAGATTGCGATAGTCAATCTCTGTTTACAGCTACTTTGCTAGAAATATCTGTGTCACCTCGTCGTTCTCCAATGTAGTCGTGGCCTATCACCTCTGACCTCAGAGACCTCGTGTTTCTAACAACAATGATATTAGGTTGTTGCATATCAAATAACTGATTTCTAAGCACAGAGAGTCTGACATGATTTCATGACACAAAAGTAGTACAAAATAACACTTGTGGCATAAAGTTTAATGAAACTTACTACATCAACGGTTCATCAATTATTTCAATACAAAATGATTGATTCTCCATTGAAGTCAATCAATTTACAGCTGAAAATAGAATTATCCTAGCTAGTTGTAAATTTTTACTGTTACTTTTATGTTATTTAATCGTGTCAATCTTTCTATGTATCAAAATGAGTCATTTGATAAGTAACAACTTAATATGTACTACTAATCCATTTGTTAACACATTCGGTGCCGCTCACGCGACATCGCGTGCAATGTCCATACTGTTTAAAGGCTGTGGCAGACAGTAATTGAATCGACTCGTTTTCCGAGCTGGCATCGAATGTGTTTTAATATTCTCGTACTTATTCATCCCAGCAGCCACGAAATACCCTCATCTGGTGATTTCTTTCAGATCTAAAAGCGAAACTACTCCTACTACTACCGAAAGCAGCGAAACTGTGCACGAGGAAGCCGAGCCTGAGATCTAATATATCCTAAGAGTCGCGTGACAAGATTGAAAAACAGACACACAAACACACATACACGACAAACAGTGAAAAGAACAAACTAAAATGAACCAAAAAAATTAAAGAAAGAGGAAACGGTTTCCCTTTGTTCCTCGATTCGTTTTTACACGAACAATTTCGTAGAAAAGCGAACAGCTTTATTATTTATTCGACAAGATGAGAATGATTAAGTGAAAATAAATCGATTTTGTTTGGTAAATACCTTGATTCAACATTTGATTCGATAATTTCAAAAACCGAAGATGCACAATTTTCTAAGATTCATCCTTTCCCTGTTTTTATTCGAAGAACATATTCTCTCCTTCGTTGATGAAAAATGCGTAGAAAACCTTGAATAAATTGAAATTCTCTCATTAAAAAGTTTTGACTAATTATTAAAAAAGAAAAAAGGAATAATCAATGTTCAAATGTTAAGCTTTGAAGCTTTTAGTTAGTTAAAATACTTTATATAGAATTTGAATATATAGTAGGTCTTCTATAGCACTTTTTTAATTATTATTTCAAAATATATTTCTAACGTTATCGACTAAAATACTATTGATATTCAAATAGAAATACTTTGACATACAGTGGTATTAACAAACGGGATTAATTAACGCTTTATGCAATCGTAGCGTTAATTAAAAGAAGTTAGTTCGTTCTAATTTCGCTCGAGAATATCTTATACCTAATAAAGCAATATATAAATTCGTGCTTTAATCAATTAAAATTCTGACAAGCATTTCTAATTATCTACCCCAATACAGAATTTTGCACCAGTATATCCACCAATAATCTACAAACATACTAAACTTAAATAATATAATAACAACAAATTGATTACGTATAAACTGATTGACGTTGGTTCTTCATTTCTTCTTAAAATATTGCCAAGTGTATTACAGCAGAACGCGATGATCTATTCTAAGAAACAAACTCGTGAGTAATAAATGGTACGTCGTAGTATTTTTTTTACCAAGCTTGTATTTGATTGGTGCAATTGACGTGAAACGCGAACAACGTCAAGATCCATGCGTACTCCCTGTGCATCCTGTGATCTCGGGGTCATAGATGAGGTAAAAAAAACAAACTGCAGAGGATTCATCGATGTTTCTGGTTTACCAGGTCAGTTATCACCTGGTACGATACGTCACTATACGATTAGCGTGGCCCCGTTTGACGCCATTGTTTCGTATAAATGCTGGAAGGATGCTTTGCTAGGCACAAAGTAGCCACCGAGCGGTTCCGCGAATCTAACAGCTCCTGTTGGAACATCGTGATCAGTCAAAGATACTTTCGTGGATATTCTATCAGTTCATAACTTACGAGAAGCTGGTGTTTCAGATCATCAGAATCATCTTCAATTGTCCTTCGAGAGATTAACTTGGTGCAAAGATGGTAAGGTGGTACCTGAAATTCATAGATAAGCGTTAGATTGATTTTTTTTTTTTCTGCTGTAAAGGCTTTAAAATTCTTGTTAATATCATTTTTTGAAAGTGAGAAGTGATAGTTAATTAAAAGCGATAGTACAATTATAATGGTTTGGTAATTTCATATTAATTGTATCTGCACGCACATAATTAATTCATTAGTTAATTACATAGATTTTACAAAGATCACACGAGAATCACAAATTGATTATCTTCTTTCAGACTCCCCTTGCGATCGCCTTCTTCCTGGCTGTCTTCGGCTCCTCCATCGCACTTCCGGTCAATCCCGACAGCAAGCTTGGTCCCGTTGTTAGAATTCCGATCCTCTTTGAGAAGTTCAACGACGAATCATCTCCAGCGCTTTATACTCTTCTCTTAAGCAAATTGAACGAGCCGGAGAATATTATTGATGATAAGTTGATTGAAAAACGAGAAGCAAAGGAAGAGGAACAGGATGATCTTGAGACTGCAGCTGGTAACTACGCTCTGCGACCACTGTTCGTTTATAGACAACAATTAGCGTACAGACAACGCGTCAGGGACGCTTATCGTCGCAGGAATGGCTTCTGAAACGTTAAGGACATCGCCTGTGTTGCTGACAACCAGACAACCAAGAGGACAATGATTTGGAAAGTAAAAAGGACACGCGCGATTCGCATTCCAGCGATTCGTTTAATTTTATATTTATGGTAATTTCGACGCAGGAATGTCTTTGAATTGTTTCAAACGAATCAATAAGGTATTCGGTAAAATTATCAGAGAAAAAGAAAAATCTGAATATGATGATTAAAATTTTAAAAGAATCTTATAAAAGATGGATAAGTAAGACTTCACATTAAAGTCAAAAGAAGGAAGATATAAGTATCCTTTCACAAAAGGATATTGAAGATTCTTGAATGAGATTAAACTATCCAATTTTTGAGGATGAACTTCACTCAGAAATACGATAGATAAATTATAAACATTAATTGCAAAACTGTAAGAAAAGAAGAAGTACCGCCGGAGACGGAAGTAGACCGGTTTTGAGAAAGGCTGTGCCATTTAGTAATCTTGTTAATGAACAAGCTGTAAATAGCAGACCTGTTAATTAACAAACAAACCACGTGCACGTCGTTTCAATAACAAAATAACAACATGCTCGATGTTTATTAATAGCTTGTCAAGTAATTTAAGTAACTTAAATAATTTTGTAAAGTTAAGTTAATCTAAGACAACGATTAGTATTTTATTATTCTTGTTATTAATTTATAATAATGAATGAGAGCACGAGTGACAATGTACGTATTTTAATAATACTCTAATGTTTAAGGAGACGAAAAGCTACTCACCAAAGCAAGCATCGTTAATGATACAAACAAATATTGTTAATTTAAAATCTTTTTTTTTTTTTTATGAATGCTATTTACTATGAATTTCTTAAAATAACCAAAATAAACATGTGAACTCTTTCATCCTTGATTTATTGTAAACATTCGTTAGTCATACGTTTATAATTAGTATAAGACAAAGTTAGGCACTTTTTAAAAAAATGAAAAATTGAGTATTGGAGATAAAGCGTTATTTTGTTCATCAAATAACACTTTATTTTAAATAATTGCTTGTTCAAGTAATACTGTAATTAAAAAAATGAAAAAATGATTGTAATAGTAAATTAAATAACGAACTGATTTATAGCGAGTCACTCTATTCTATGAAGGAATATTACTTCCCAGGAAATATGGGAATCTTTATGAAATCACGAGATGATTTTCTTTCATCGCTGGACCAATATCTTCTGATGATGGGCTGACGATACCAATATGGATGTGTTCTATAACGATATTCACCTTCTTCTAAAGTTTCTCCTGATTCTCCATTTCTTTTTTCACGAACCTCCTCCTGCATTGAACTCGTTCCATCATGTTCCAGTTGTATAGAGGACTCGTGTGATGGGTCATTATCTTCATCAGTGTCATTATAATCGCTTTGACCTTCGTCTGAATTTTTAGTTTGAGCAGATTCATTAGAATTTCCATCTTGAGCAGTTTCATCTGAATTTTGATCTTGAGCATCATCAGCATCTCTTCTAATACGACCCCAGGGTTCAAAAAACATTTCTTGAATTGTCTCTTCAAGTCTGCTTGATGTCTGATTGGTATCTGTAGAATTCACAGTGTTCATCGCAGAAGACTCACGTTTGGGACGTGTCTCTATTGTTAATCCAAAAGGTTCTCCCAAATTAATTGTTGAATTTACTTCATTTTTAGTAGTATTTAATTCTGTATCATTAATGTTGCCTATTATGTGCATCAGAAATTCGGTATCAATATCAGAGACATCTGAAGACTGCGGTGTTGTTTCCAAACTTTTGCATTCAGTTTGCAATATAATCTTCAATAACAAAATCGAGTTGAAAAGAAGCACCGAAGGCACCATTTTTTTTTTTATTATAGAATCACTCAAGTAGTAAATTTCAAGAAACCCTGAATGTAGAGCTTTGGATGTCAATGGAAAACTAAGAATGCAGAATATATTGGTCCCTCTTTTATAGCTTGGGTTATGCAGAAGTTGCTAAATCGGTCGCTAAACATTTCAATATTGTTAGCGACCCACTAACTACGAAATTAGTCCCGGAAGAATTTTAACGCGATCCAGAACTGTTAGTATACTTTGAGTGCAAGAATTCGAGAAGAGAACAGGTTGTTGAAGAATCTTCAAATACCGTACCATGGATTTTCCATAGCATTATAACACTCTATTATAATAATGCCATAAAACACGTAGAGTTATAAAATACGATCAGAATAGTGGTATCAAGGAGCAATCACAAACGACAAATCGAAGACGAAACAAGCAGGTTCAAGGTACAATTTGTTAAAGTGGTGTACCGCAAGGTTGATACTCACGTCTGTTAGCAGGACAATGATAATTCTTTCGGTAGCTGGTATAAAACACGAACAAACCGTTATCACTAGCCAGACTTGAAAAGACGTTAGCGAAGTTTCAGTCGAAACGTCGAAGATTGAAGAAATTTGACGCATCAGAAGTTGAAGGATCTTGAGTAACACACTTGGACTGCAAGAATGAAGCATAAAATGGTATCAATATAAATATTAATAACAAACAAAAAATGAATGTTCTACAATACTTAAGAATAGTGCGTAGTATATATTCAGTCGTTAAAAACCTTGATCTCTAATTAATTAAGATCAATAAGTTGGAGCACTTGTTAGCACTTATTATTGATTTTATTTTACAATTACCTTCAGATCACCACGTTTCAACTTATTCTCTGTTTAATCCTGATACTTAATGGAGGAATCTCAACTTGCAAACCATTAAGTTCAGAAGATGTGGAAGGTTTATTGCCACCGACTCCACGAGATAAGAATGAAACGATTGCTGCAGTAGTCCAGGATCCTGTTGTTCAGGATGCAGTGCAAAAGGTAGCCAACAACGGGTCATTAAATGGTCTCGTGGTTAAAAAGAACGTTTTCATAATGCCAGCTAGCAATCCCAACATGGTATGATTTTGATCCTCATCAGTTTTTCTTCGACTAAAATAATAATTGAATTAGTTTTAATCTAACGGTAAGTGGATGCTTATTTAATTGTTAATAATTTTGTCGCTTAAGATACTCTCAAAACGAGAACATATTCTTGTGGTTCCTACGGAAAATTTGGAGGACGTAAGGAAAAATATTACAGAGACTAAACAAACAGAAGCAGCCATGGAGACTTCTTCACCTGAAAGTGAAATGTCCATCGAAAGCGATGCTGATGAATACATGCCCGTGGTAAAGGACAATAATTCAATGAACACATTCCATTCAATCGGATGTCTACGATCGAGCAAAAGCATGTCAAGTTGATCGTGTTCTTTCACGCATCATTGTTAAACAATTTGTGTATTCTGCTAATGATCATTGAACAGTTGCAATTGAGTCTTAGAAAATTCTGTGATCTAAAACTATGTTAAATATTATTTAAACAAAGTTAAGAGAACAAAACAATAAGATATATTTTAAGAATTCTCTAGCCACGTCAGTAAATTAAAATTTAAAAAGATAAATCTTGACAAATTATTAAGGCCAAAAAAATTATATAACACCGATTTAGAAATTAAAAACAGTGAAAATAATACTTTCCTCAATTTCCAGGAAATAGAAAGTGGACCTCAACAAAATATAGACTTGCAATCCTCTCCTGTAGAGAATCCAGGCCAATCAATGTTAACAAATGAGCAGTTAAAAAGCAAAACCGAATTCTTAGAAGATGCAATTAGTCATGATATCCCGTTACCGGAAGATCAGCCGAAGAAAGTACCTGTTCCAATAATTGCGGTCATTGACCCTTCAAAAGCAGAGAAGGGCAAGGTGAACAGTCCCATTGTGGCCATTTTACCAAATCAGTTAGACAACGATGCCCTGAAGAATCAGGTTCAGTTCCTGAATGACAATAACGATGTTATTCAAAAGAAGGCTCAGGATTATATTGATCAAAGTTCATTCACGATTGTTCCTGATTACCGGAAGTCATCAACTCCTTCAGAGGTAATGATGCAGAACCGTTAACGTTAATCAAACATTCTCTTCTCAAAAAATCTTAACAATGTCCTCTTCGTTATAAAAGAAAAAGGAAGAAATTCTCTCTTCTTTCTTCAACGACGGTTGAACAGGAAAGAATTCTTCATGATAATAAATCCATCACTTCCAGATCACGCTTGATTTATCCTCGATCCAGGAAACCGTTCCAGTACCAGTGTCTTCATGGTCGTTCCAGCAGGATGATTCTCTGAAACCAATAACGATGTCAAGATGGGAGATGATAGTTCCAGCCTATCAGGATGACAACATGGATCATTCTAGAGAAAAAGGTGACATGGATGTAGCTGAAGACATTGTTTTTAGACCTTTGTTTAAATATCGACAACAAATGCAGCAGCGGTCTAAATACTATGATGAAAGCAATCGACGATACGGTGGTTATTCCAACAATTATCCGAGACGCGCTTATTTTTACAGACCACGATACGACAATTATTAGAAACGAAGAGGATTAACGCGAGGAGGAAACGCGATTATCCTGGAGTGGACGTTAGACAGGCTACGACACTCACGAACTTTGCGTCTGTTACGATCCTGACGGAGACAGACATTTTGGTATACATGTATTTTTATAGTAATAATTTTATAATCCTATAATATACCGTATCTATGCTCGCTTTTGACTTACAATAGAATATGTATCTATAGGTAACATGTTTAAACTCTGTGATAACAGTTTGTTTACAAATGACTATGCAATTTTAATAACTTAAAAATCGTGATAATTTATAACATTTGATCTTAATTATTAAAAATAAATATTTCAACAAACAAGATATCTGTTCGTTCGTCTGTTACTTGGAAATTAATGTCTCTGATTAATTAATGATCGGATTTAATTGTCGGAAGATGTTCGACAGACCATAAACCAGTCTTCTACGAATCTATTTCAACGATCATTATCATAGACTTCAATTAACACAGCATCGTTAATGTTTGCAGACGGAATTTATAGTTAGTCATTCAGTTTTCTATCGATTCATTCATCATCATTGAGTATATAATTACCCAAGGGTGCGTATGAATATTCCAATAATTGGTGAGTGGACATTTAACACCTGTGAAACGTCATAACTGGTCCCGGAATAACTAGTGCGAAATTCTTCACCTTGATCTGTTAACCTTTCAGTGTAAATAAGGAAAGAGAAGGACAGTAATAGTTGCAGAAGAATGAATTAAATTTTTTTTTTTTTACCTTAAAGATAATACAGAAAATATTTCCAATGGGGTAAATAAATTTTGGAGGAACTCCATCAACTCTCCATCAACTATCATCAGCTCCAAATGTAATAAAATTCAATATCTAAAAAGGAAAGAAGAAAATTTTAAATAACAATGATAATAATATATTCCGTGAAACAACAAAAGATAGTAAATTAAAAACTTACAAGAACATATCTTTAATAATTAATTAGAAGAGAAGGAGATAAAAATAAAGTGACGGAAACCACAAACGATACCGCTATCACTATAACAGGTTGGCAAAAAGAAAAAGATCACACAAGTTGATCCAAGGTATCGAAGCTTTCGCCGGAAATATGTGTTCAAAGGAGAAGAAGAGCAACAATCTTTCTCTTCCTTTTTTTTCTCGAGGAATACTCGTAAAGGTGACTCACTTCCAGACTGTGAGTTTCGCTAAAGAAGACTATTTCCCTCTCTCTTCCACCACAGAGAATCTGCATACCGTGTGTGCGGTAGCGGTTTATAATCGCCTTCCTCGAGGATCGTAAACGTGGTGCGTATATAACCGATGCTTGGTCAATCTCTTCCTTCAAACGTGATCTAAGTCTTGCCGGGAACGGGAACTGTTCTGAAGCTGATCACTGAATACCGTTTTGCAACCATGTGGACTGTACTCGTGGTAAGAAGAAATGTGCACACTAACGGGATCACAATTGTCTCTGGAAAAAAAAAATTTTAATTGTTAGAAATATTTGGTGCTACGTGATTTGTTAAAGAGAAATATGTAGCTTGAATTGTTGAGAGTTTTAATATTAGGATTTTAATTTTTGATGGCTTTAATGTTGAAGCTTCCACAATCTGAATTTTAAAGAAAAAGTAACTTATCAAAAAAAAATTCTTTCACAGAGATTGCAGCTAGTTCGATGATAAATCATGAACGTGACATTAATGTTTATTGCAACACATTCTTCAGTAGAAAGCTGCATACACATATCAGTGACATTTTTTCTTTAACATTACTTCAGAACTTTATCCAGTTAAGAACGCAATTGGAAGCCTGTAATCTCTGTTCGATAACATTTATCTGTAAACCACAATTTTGTGATTTTGCATACAATTACAGTGCAACTAAAAAAATTCCATTTCGTGATTTATGTTTTTTCAAATTGTTTCAGCTTATCTGTTTCATATCGTCGTTCGATATCGGCGCTACAAAGGATCAATTACATCCACAATCTTACATAGAACACCCTGACTCTACTGAAACAACATTAAGGAAGCTAGAGGATCCATCGGTTAGACTTCCCAGAAGATTCAGGGAGAACAGTCGCACGAGGCGATTGCACATTGAAAATCAAACTGGATTCGATGGAAAGGTAGAGAAGATTCATATCAATTCTGAGGAAGACCTTCCTGGAATACGCGCCTATGGATTGCAGAAGAAGAACCTAATGAATAACGGGTACATCGAGAGGATGATAGAAAAAGAGGTTAAAGAAGATCTTAACGATGCTTCTAGAGTAACTCGTTCGGTAGGTAACGCAAAAAATATCTTTAATACCTGTGCGGGCAATCAGGTATTCAAGTAGTTTTAATAGTTCAACATTTTTTGTCTTGAAACATAGAAATGGATACTTTAATCTTGAAACGATTCCAGGTGGAGGCGTACGGAAAATCCAAAGATCACCTTGAGACCAATGGAAAAATTGAAAGAATACAGTCTCCTGTGTCACCTCGAGCAACAAGCGAGCCAGGAAATAGAGTATCCAGATCCATAGCAACGGAAAGCAAAGGAGAACCGGATGACCTGGAAGCCCAAGACGCGAAAATCTTCAGACCGTTGTTCGTGTACAGACAGCAACAGGCGAAGAGGCAACATCGTGCGAAGAATCGTTTCTTGCAAATGAACCAGAATTCTTTCCACAATCGACGTCCATTCTTCTGAAATCCTCTCATCTGACCAACGTGTTCGCCTCTCGAGTGCCTGGAAACAAAATGAAGGATCAATCGTGTGATCAAACAGAAACTACAGAAGCTAGTTATTACAACATGCAAACGAACATCGAGCACACTGTTTGCGTTACGGTGATCCTTGAGTCGGCTAATTATCATAATAATTAACCAATCGAGGCAGAAGTCGTTTTGTGCCATAAAAGAAGAAAGCGGTTCCCGCGCGTCCCTTCCCCGAACACGTTTAGCCTGTCGACGAGAATGACTTATGACGATCGAAAGCACGATAAACGCTCGATAATGACCAAGAAGGATGCACGGGAAGAGAATATTTCCATCCTGTGTTATTAATCGGCGTGTAACCAGCGCGCGCCATAGGCGATATATACCAAAAAGTATTACCGATAAGCGCGAAACCAAGATTTATGTAATTAGATGCCGATGGACTATTAACATTTTGTAACGTTCTTGCTTTTCCAATATGAATTATAATTATTACTGTAAATAAAGAATCGACAATATTATAGCTGCTTTAATTTCTGAACCTTTTATTATTTATTAAAATTTTGACTTTTAAAACTTGTACTGTTGGAGCTTTGATTTTTAAAGTTTTCACCATTTTAAGTATCTACTTTTGAAGCTTTTATTATTTTAAAACCTCTACTAGACTATCGAATACTTTTTCTCCACCTTGTATCCACAGAAAACAAAACAGATGAAAAATTGATGATCCATTTCTTCATCCATTTAATGGCGTTTTTCCCTGTCCAACTTACCAAATTTTAATAGAATGAAACTGATTAACCATACTCCCTCGACGTTAATTCCCTTCCATCGGCAGAAACACAATTTCTTAATAAACTTTTCTTCACAATCATGGTTCAACCATTAACCATTAAAAGCCAAGCGGACAGTAGCAATTTCAATGAGCTGGTTGAAATGAAAGAAAATGAAAAAATACAAAACAGGTATTTGATGATTAGTGAAAAATGATAGGTGTCATATATACCATGTAAGGGAGAGCTTGATATTTTAGACAGAAATCACGTAGGAAATCGGTAGTGGTGCATTCCATATCGTTGATCGTGTTGCATGTGCTGGATACGCTTCTTCTGATGGTTCTTTTACCATTTATGATCTGGCAATGGGTATCTTCCAGCAGTCGTTTCAAACTCGTTCTGAAAGCCGTTATAGAAGTGAGCTTTCTTAATTACTTTGTAGACAGATTTAATGTTAATTAATACCTTATTCACATACGAGTATCTTCTCTTCAGACCACCCTACGAAGAAGAAATTTTTACTTCTCTTTTCTTCTACCAGTTTTAAACATTTTTATAATTCATGTAACAGGTCACATTAGAGCTGCTCATGTGGGTAATCTTCGCCGGAGTGTCCATTCTAATGACCACTGCATTCGTCCTGGACGACGCGTATTTTCGAAATAACGACCAGGAGAAATTGACGCAATTAATAAAAACGCAAAACGTATCTACCTCTGGTCAGGATAACGGCGCACGAATTTTAGAAACGTAGTCCTTTGAAAAAACAGGACAAGACTAAGGTCTTTTGTATATGTGTTTGTTTTTATACTCGGTCCTTGAATTGTCTTTAAATGTTGTATTAATATATAATATTGAAAATGATGAAGTATATTAACACGTTGAACGCCACGGTGAAAATGGCCATTTGTTATAGGACGTATTGATTTCATATTTCAAATTTTAAACTTTCTATTTGCCATTTTACATTATGCGTACCATAACAGTATTACTTAAAATAATGTTACTCTATTGTTTTCTTTTAATTATTCAGGCATGTGTAATTTGCAGTGCCGGTCACCGGTGAATCCCCATGGCGTTCAACGTGTTAATTTCATTTCACTTGAAAGCTTCAAATTCTCGTTAACGATCAAAGAATCGGATAAGAAATACCGTATCGAAAGTGAAAGCTTGCAAGGAATTTCAAGACGTAAGGAAACATTTCAAAAATGCTAAAATTTTAGGGTATAATCAGTACCGCTTGTAATATATATAAGTGAACGCGCGAGTTTTCGTTACTCGAGTTTCTATTGAATCCAGAATATGTGGACATTAAGGACAGCCTGTCTCTTGGTAAGTTTCAATCATTTTCTAAGACCACAAGAACGTATAATCCCAGAAGCTTCAAACACGTTGGATTGATTCTGTATTTTATTTCTCGCAGATCACCTTGACGATGGTGGCGTCTCAAAAGTACTTCCACAGACCCGTAAACGATCTCTCTACTGGAGAGAGATTTCTGAGCGACTTGCACGTGGTTACACGCGAAGTACAGGAATCTGCATTGTTGCAAAAGAAGACTATGGTAGATGCCATGACGGCGGTGTCCAAAGCGACGTTCGGTGTCCTCGGGGACCTGAAGAGATCTAACAGTGGAATAGTGAGCACGTTGGTAGACATTGAAATGGCGAAATTGGAGGCAATCAAAGCGGCAAAGCGCGTCTTGCTGAACATGTTAGCCAGCCAAATCGCGTCCCTGATGGAGGAAATCAGTAACGAGGACATCATTGAATTAGTACAATCACCACCCTTCAATCACTTGGTGGACCTACTATTGCCTCTTCTATCCGGCAGTTCCAAAATGATGGATACAGTGAATATTAATAACATTCGAGCGCAACAAAATCCGGAAACAGCTGCAACTCGTGAATATTCATCGAGAGATACTACGTCGTCGATGCAACGTCCTTCTTCTACGACCTCGTTTCCATTGTCTCGCGAATCGCCATCCTTGCAATCTGTGAAAAACTTTTCGAAATTATAGCATTCCTTTTTTAATTCAATTCAGGTGCTAATTTGAAGTTTTACCTAGTGTTTAAGTTAACGATAACAGAGAAGTTATAAGACAAAGGGTTAATCCACTTTCTAAATGTTATATATGATCTTTTTTTAATTTAAATAGAAGGTATTCTCAGTTCAAAGTCAATTAACTACTCAAGGCCACCAAGAAATGATCTCACCATGTTCCATATCCCTATTCAGTACTCTCCAAAATATCTTCCATTCAGTTTGAAAATAAAAAGAATCTCCTTTATGATGTTATTCTCAACAACCTTAAAAAATAAAATAAGAAATCACACGATCTAACATTATTATGTTCGATTGATACAAATCAAAAAGGTTGCTGACTTACAACGACCTCTCCCACGATAGATGTTCATTGTTAACTTCGCATAAATTACAATAAATCATTGGAGGCTAGCGCTTAAAATCCGTGCGTTTGCAAATATGCCATCATCGCACCGCCGGTGATCGCCTCGTAAACGTACAGGAGAAAAAAAAAGGAACGATAAAGGAATCGCGTTTGATTAATGGTGTTTGCTAATCAGAGTGAAGTCGAAGGCCTGATTGCGTGTGTAAGTACATAAAAGTGTATGCCGTAAAAGGCATCATCGTTTCGGCGTTCCACGGTTCCGGATCTCTTGGCTGTTCTAGGCGATAAGTTCGGTGAACGAGCGTCTTTACCCTTTGCAATTTTTTTCTACGGTAAGCGAATTACGTCATTTTATCCTTGGTCGTCCATTCAAACGTGTTTATATGTACATATGTATCTCACGTAGCTCCTTGACACGATAATCCTCATCCTCGAGCTGCTCCTGATGGATTCCTCCGTAGCTGATAAAATTCAGTCCACTAAAAGGAAAATAAATGAATGTAAAAGTAGACCGTTTGATTTTCTTTGTCATAAAATATAATATTTACATACTAATTTCGTCATGGTTCGCGATTTATTAGAAAACCATCATCACCAACATGAGTCAGACTTTAATGAACGGTCCTCTCGTGATTTTCCTGGTTTTACCGAAGAGCATACGTTTTACCTGTTTTCTGTCTTCCTTCGAACGATCCCTGAGAATCGGTGTGACACAGTGTGCCGTGACTAGTCTGTTACGTCGCTGCTTTGTTCAATTATACGTTTCCGGAGGCACGTGATTTGATATGTTCTCAAATTAATTGCTTAGCTTGGACACTGTTCTCCTTGTTTAACTAATTACTTGTAACAGCGCTTGTTCGTTGCTGGTCACGCTTCAGTTGAAATTCGGGATATACTTTAGAGAAGACGTTAATTAATTCCTGTTACTATTATTTCTTAGAAGATGAAGAATATTCTCGCCGTCTTGATGTTAGTGGCCATTGCCAAAGGTAGTCCCGTCTGGGGAGACTACCAGGTGGGACAGTGGAACAAAGAGTATCAACCACCTGGACAGTGGTACTCTTCATCTGGATACTCGCCTCCTCTATCAGGACCTTCGTTCGTACCACCAGGACAAGGGTTTCTACCTCCAGGACATTCACGTACACCTCCAGGACATCAGCACATACCACCAGGGCACATGTACTTAAAACCGTGTCAGATGTTAGAACAAGTGCTCAATCTTCAAGCGAACCAACCAAGTAACTCCCTGGACAAAAGCTGCAACGTTGGATGGATTTGTCGGAATCCAGGAACAGATGACATGGTACGGTGTTCTTAGTAACATTATGGATGGTAACTCTTGAGGATATCTAATAGCTATAACAGTTGTTCATTCACACGATTGATGTTGACGCAAATCTGTAGAACAGAGTGTAGTTTTGTTAAGGCACTTTTGTATCAAAATATTTTTTCTATAGTTGAATAATTGTTTACAGACTATTACTACCATCGATGGAACCCAGATAATAATCGGCAGGCAAGAGCAGCCGAATAATTGGCCAAATCAAAACGGAATTCAAAGCAATAATAAGAATCCCATGAGTGATGATCCTACTCAAGGAAGAGCTGATAACGCGAACTTACCTAATGAAAATTCTACTCCCTCTGTAAATAATCCTACTATTCCACAGACTAACAATGAATCATCCCGTCGAGAAGGAGGAGAAGGACTCATTGATGTAAGAATAGGAGACAAATAAACTGTAGTAGAATATTGCTGAATAAAGATAGGAATGAAAAATTAACTTTTTGTTTATTTTTTGTTGTGTCTTCAATTATTTTGTGATACATAAAGTATATATATATATATGAAAACTATATATGAAAACATTTTTTTTTTTTATCAATTATCACTGTAATGATTTATCGTTGAATTATTTGTTAAAATATTATCTCAGAATCAAGCATGATAGGATTTTCTACGAAAAATTTTGAGAACTTCTGCTTTCTCTATATCATCATTTTCCCTAGAGAAACCTACTTGATTCTGTACAAGCATACATTTAGATATTTTATCACTTGTAGGTATGATACTTTAATAAACAATCTGAACTTCATTATAATTCCAAACAAAAAAATCAACGTTAATGATAATATTATAACTGAAACTCAAACTAAAAATTAATGCCAAACTCTCATGTTTCAGCATAGACTTACATGCACTGTTTTTGTATGTTTTCCTTTGCTTTGTTCATAAAAACGAATTAACAAATAATTTAAAGAGAAACTTTATTTATCAAATGTTACTATTTTCTCTACTCGTCCCTGTAATGTTAATAAAAGATGTTTAATTGTATACTATAAACTGTAATAGTAGTAGCTATGACATTACCCTGATAGCGCCATTTGATGTTGATGGAAGATACTTTAAAAGATCATCTGCATTTACAGTGACATTGGGATCTTTCTTTTTTATAAGTTCTACAGTTTTTTCAGCAACTGCTCTAACTGTTTCATTATTTATGATAAGATTATCGCTCCATTGTGGACATCTACCAGTGCTGAAATAAAAAATTTAGATTTGCACATGTAAGTTATTTCTAAGTTATTCTTATTAATCAATGATCGCTGTTATAAAATTAAATACCCGAAATGATCATAACTGTATATTGGTATATCACAAATATAACACATCATAGCTCCACAGCTGCAAGTAATTTTATTGCATCCATCATCTTTGAAGTACGGTCGACTGCATTTATAACATTTACGTACAAGCGCTTCCGTCATTTTTTCTTCCAAAAATAAGCGTGCTTGGTCAGATTTTTCTTCATAACATCTGAGAGGTATGTGATTCGGCTGTTTACACAATCTATTTAAACAAGATTTTATATGATATGGTAATTCAAAACTTTCTTATTTTACAAACTAAAGAAGTTTGGTTACAAAAGGAAACTTGCCGGCACGATTCTTTCATGCATTCAGGATTAAGACATTTAAAGACTTTATCCTCCGGAGGTGGTACAGATGCAAAATGACAAAATGGACAAGAAACTAAACCTTCTACTTTAGCAGCCATTACTTCTGCTTCTTGTTTCTTGCGGATAAAAATACTGAACTGTGTTGGAGGTAATATCTTCTGGAGCGTAGGAATGGTAAATTCTCCGTCACAGTTTGAAAAACATGAAATGCGCGTCTCTCCTTGTGACAACTGTGATTCAGTGCCTTTTAAAATACACGAATTACAAAATATATGTCCATCATCACAAGTGGAACATTTAGAAGGCATACATTCGTTATCGTAACAACACTGGCATTCCAACAGTTCATTTTTTGCCTGTAAAACATAAATAAAAATTGAGTTTCTTTTTTCTTTTATCTATTTCAAATATAACACGTTACCTTTAATTCCGCGAATTTTAACATTTCCGTTTCCTTTAATATATCTAAATGCTCTACAATTTCTTGTCTATGTGTTATAAATGCAAATTCCTGTAATAAGGGAATATCCAAGGTTAGACATTTATCCAATGAGCGTATATTTCGAGTCAATTTGATATAAGGTGTCGTATTTTCCAATTTTTGCACAGTTAAAGTTAAATTGTAATTGCTCCATTTGTACACATCCTTCAAATATGATTCCTACAAATTTCACCTAATGTTTTACTTGTCTCAAACAAATGATAACATTTTAAAAACATACCTCAAAGTGAGTGAAATGAGACTTAAGAAATTCAACTGCATCAGAACTAGACTTACAAGTTCTCTTTGGATTTGTAAAATGTGAAAGAGGATCTGGAAATATTTCTAAAAACTGTTTCACGTCAAATTTACTAGTATATTGTATCTGTTGCTGTGTTATTGTTTTCTTCCGCAATTTCTCCTCTTTTGTGGGGTAAGTAGGCTTCTCCCATTGAGATTGTATAAAATTAATTATTTCAGAAGGATTATCTTGTGTTCGCGCAACAACTTTTTTCAAATATGTAGGATCTGCATCAGGAAAGATACCTAACAAGTAAATATACTGATTATTTTCGTCCTTTTCCGGACACAATGATCTGACATCTATCTCAGCTGATTGTATCTCTTTATTTTGTAGCGTATGTTCAGCTAGAGTTTGTAACTGTTCAAACGAACAAACACCTTCCACCTTTGAAACATTTTTACATGTTTGCCTAATAAAATCCTTATCCATCTGGGGAAACATTAATACTAATGTTTCGTACATTTCTTCAAATTTTAAAGGCAAAACGATATTCTTCTTTTTAGCATTTTTGTTACTTTCAGAACCTTCTTTTTCAATAATTTGCTTTTTCCTTGCCCCCCCAATCACTTTGTTTGTTGCAGAATAAACTGCAATAGAAGTTGAAGGTCTGAGGTCAAATTTGTTAATTAATGACTGTTGCCTTAGTGTTGTTGTATTAGTTGGTACATTTTTGTTACTTTTAGAATCTTCTTTTTCAATAGCTTGCTTTCTCTTTTCCCTTTCAACCATTTCAACCGTTTTCAACCACCTGGTTTTCCATAGTGACTGTTGTGTTAATATTTTTGTATTAGTTGGTACATCTTTATCACTTTTAGAATCTTCTTTTTTTTTAATAATTTGCTTTCTCCTTGCCCCTCCAATCACTTCGTTTGTTTCAGGTGCAGAATAAACTGCAGTAGAAGTTGAAGGTCTGCAGAGATCAAAGGTTAATGACTGTTGTTTTGGTGTTGTTGTATTAGTTGGTACAACTTGATGCAATGAAGTATTGGAATCAGTTATTGCTGTCACTGGTGTATCAGCTGATGTAGTGCAAGCTTTTATATTAACAAACAAATTAGCAAAGTTTATAAGAGCAACTAGTGTATGTTCTGCTAATGTTTGCAGCCTTTCCATTGATACAATATTTTCTAACTTTGAAAGATTTTTACATATTTGTCTAATGGAAATCTTATCTGCCTGAGGAAACATAAATACTAATCTTTCATTCATTTGCAGAAATTTGAAGGGCAAAGCAATATTCGTTACAACAGGTTTGTTCCTTATCAAATTTTCTTTTCTTTTATTCTTCATTTTACTAGTACCTCCACATACTGGCTTTTCTTCAGATACAGAAAAATTGACACCAGAAGTTGAAGGTTTAGCAACATTATTTGATGTTTCCTGTGTGTCAATATTAGTTAACCAATCTGTTTTTAAAAATATATCTCGTGTTATATTGCGTTTTTCAAAATCAAAATTATTGCATTCACCAGTTAATTTCTGCTTTTTAATATTTTCCATATGTTTGAAATATTCCATATATTTATGGAAAATTTGCCTTGAATATTTATTTTTTATTGAATTAAATACAAAGACATTCTGATTTGTTAATTTATTGTTTTCGTGTTTTTCTACAGAGGCAGATGATTTTGTAGCTTTTCCACTCATTAATCGTTTTGCAGGTACACTTGTCAATTTTGACGGAGCCATAATAAACGAGTTGCGTGACGCAATATCATCTAAACATGACCATTTATCATTAATTACTAATTTTGCTGGACGTAATATTCCACCCCCAGTGGTGGAAGAAACTTTACCATCTTCTACTGAATATTCTGGCACTCTGTTTTCACAATTTGCTTGGAATACAGTTTCCCTGTTTCTGCTACCGTTACTACTGCATGCAGTCTGTGAATTTAATGTACCATTTGATACAGGTTGCGCCATGTTATTGATCCGTGTATCACTCTGTTTAAGACGTTTTGCCTGTGTTGATAAATCTTCAAAATGTTTTACTCTTGGTCTTTTATTTGGTAATAAATCCCATAAACTGAGCTCTATACGATTCTTTGCGTTGCGATTCTTATGCAGAACTTTATATACTGACTCATAGTTAAATGTAGGTAAAAGATTACATATCTGTAGAACTTCTTCTCTTATCTTTTTATCAAAATCATTAGAAGCACTATCTTGTAAATTATTACTGCCATTTGGCGTTAAACTCCTTAAGCATCCTACAAAGTCTGTTTCATGGGTATTATTTTGTGGTACTGCAGTTAACTTTAACTGCCTTTGAAAACTTTGGGTAGAATTTAAGTTGATGCCTGAATTGCTATTATTTTCTTCTAAAATTATTATGTCAGATTCATCTTGTGTTGAATCAAAAGTAATGGATACAGGTGTATCATCATAAGTGTCTATTACAGCAACTAGATCTGCTGATAAGGGTGAAACGGACTTTTTAATGGATGCTTGTTGAGCATTTAGATAATTACATATAATATCATCGTCATCATCATCAGTATGTGCACTGAAATTGTTTGAAAGTGAATCAGAACATGATTCACTTGAAAGTAATTCTTCTACATCCATTTCTTCTTTAACAATTTTATCTTCTGATCTTTCACAATTTATATTAGGAGGTTCGGCTTTAACAAAATTACATATATAATTAGAATCTTTTACTTACAATTGATACAGATTAAGCAAATTTATATTTGCAACTACTTACCTCTAATTTATTTACTGTAAAATCATTGCTTCATGACCTAAAATTATTTAACAAATTTGTTTCTGCGAATAAAATACTCGTTATCTGCTTTACAATTAATAAAAATATGAATTCCAGAGCTGAAAGCAAACCTAAATATCATAAAGTGCGAAATGAATCTCAAGAAAAACAAAGGACAATTAACGTACAATATGGGGATTCCCACAGAAATATCCTACACACATTCAAATATTTGCATGTATAAAAATAAATATTATTCAGAAGGTTAATTAGATAGACATATTTTATGTTCTGAAGATATTTTTACAGAATTTCATTTAACTGTTTCATGCAAAACTAAAAATTATACAATAGTTCTGCCTAAACCAGTCAATCTTACACTTATTGCGCATCGTAAATCGTATGTTTAACGTCAGGACTACCACCTAAGGCATTATAAAAACTCTTCTCAAAACGTTGATAGTAAATTTCAACAGAGGACGCTGCGATAAAAATTGCAAATTTGCACAGTAGATTTCTATCTAAAAGAACATAACCTTACAAGGGTGCCTTGATAACCCGCCGTAGGCGGATAAACTGTCAATTCTGGTGTATTTAGAAAAAAGTGTTGTGTATTATATTATTAGCCAGAAATTTGGAAAATTCGTGTAGACTGACCAGAGTCCACGAATTTTCAAAGGTTTTCATACAAATAAGTTATTTCAACAATTGAAATCAGTAAATTGATGAAGTACCTTAACACTTGAACGGCGGGGCAGATGTTGATAGGCGTTTAAAAAAGCTAAATGATTGATGCAAATTATATCAATATATAAATTCGGATAATTTCTCTCATTTATTTGAGAGCGCAGGTAACTTCATTAGTTATTTTTTTTAATCATAGCATTGGTACTGTATCGGTACTAACTGTTTCAATTTCTTTCAAATGTTTCAAATTTCATTAAAAAATGTTAAGAATTAAAGAGGTTTCAAAGGCTTTAACAACTCTTACTTTCTCGCTCAAATATGTTGACAGTTGGAGAACAACGCGATTAACGACCAGCCGTTTAAGTGTTGATACGTGACCGCGCCCGTACATATATGAGCGATTAGCTGCGGAATCATCGCATGTTTATTTAAACGATATCGTGTGTAAATTTATCGAATTCTTCGTGAATATTGTTTGCAAAATGACCGAGGTCCACAGCTTAGGTGTTGATGCTATCAGCTGTCATGCTTGGAACAAAGACAGAAAAGGTATAACCTTTGTTTAATACAATTCATGTATGAATTAACAAACCCTTTTAACATCCTCTTACAGAAGTTGCTATTTGCCCAAATAACAATGAGATTCAAGTTCATAAACATACATCAGGCGGTTGGAAACTATTGCAAAACTTGCAAGAACACGACATGCACGTCATGGGTATTGATTGGGCACCAAATACCAATAGAATAGTGACATGTTCTGCGGATAAAAATGCGTACGTTTGGACACAAGAACAAGATGGAAAGTGGAATCCTGCGTGGGTACTTTTAAGAATAAATCGAGCAGCAACATGTGTAAAATGGTCTCCATTAGGTACACAATAATTTTGAAGAAATTAGATGAAATTATGATGGATGAAACTAAACTATATTTATTTTTTTATAGAAAACAAATTTGCCGTTGGATCTGGAGGTAGAGTAATAGCTGTTTGTTACTTTGTATCAGAAAATAATTGGTGGCAATGTAAACACATAAAACGCCCGTTAAGATCCACTGTAACTACAGTTGATTGGCATCCAGACAACAAAGTATTGGTTGCTGGTTCCACAGATTATAAAGTTCGTGTTTTTAGCGCATTTATTAGCGATATGGAGGATGCACCTGGAAATGGTCCTTGGGGTCACAGTAACACATTAGGAACATTACTCGCCGAATTCCAAAATACTCCTAATGGAGGTAAAAATGTTTTTCTATTATTAATGTAAATTATACTTGCTCATGATACATACCGTCTCATTCACGTCCAGGTGGATGGATACATTGTGTTGCATTTAGCCCTTGTGGTAATAAAATTTGTTGGGTAGCACATAATTCATCCATATGTATAGCAGATGCTACTAAAGGAAATGCAGTTATGAGACTGTACACGGAGCATTTACCGTTTTTAAGTTGCGTTTGGATGGGGTCCAATTCCATTGTCGCTGCGGTATTTATAGATTTTTTTTTTTTTTATTATTTCCAGTAACTTCTAAAATAATCAGGTACCAACAGATTATTCTCCTTCCTTTTAGGGCCACAGTTGTATGCCTATGCTGTATTCCGTAGACGACAACGGACAATTATATTTTGTATCAAAATTAGACAACACTCAAAAAAAAGAAGCTGCCGGATTATCCGCTATGCGTAAATTCCAATCGTTAGATCGCCAAGCTAGAAGTGGTACAAATGATAATGCCTTGGATAGTATACACCAAAATACTATAAACTGCGTCCGCAAAGTGTCGGATAACGAGTTCAGTACGAGCGGTTTGGACGGTCAGCTCGTAGTATGGGATCTGAAGGTAAAAATCTTACAATACCATGCCATACTATATTTGAACGAATATGGAACTTCGAATGATGTGTTTTAGCTTTTGGAGAATTCCATTGCTGGTCTGAAGATAGCATAAGATCTTTTTTTTTTTTTACATCGAAGGAAGATGGAAGATATTACATCAAACGCAAAGATGTATAAATGTTAAATCTAAAAAGAAAAGAAAAAAATATACGATTTCTCATTAACCTTTCGATGGTATCAATCTCCCCTGTGCTGTAACCATACCTTTCTAGAATGTTTGTCGCTTTACGGTCACGGTGTATGCCGTTGTACGAGGAACGGCGGCGGCTCCGTCGATCGAGCGGTTTGCATAGTTTCAGGCGTCGCGCCGTGTACGACGGTTCACCGATCGTCAGGCGTAAAAAAAAAAAAGGTGGTTCGCGCCTGGAAACCGTACGGTTGCGTGGCTCGAGTGGGGAGCAGCCAGACAAGTTCAGCGCGAATATCGATTCAGTCTCGCGCAAACCACCCCCATGTACTGTGCCCGTTGCAGCAGCTCCACCTTCTAGCTTTGTTTTCCGCTCGGTGTCATGACTGACACATAAACAGAGAGAAAGACACCGTGGTAAAAAGCTCTCGGTTACATCGCGGGGAGAAGAGATACGGTGACGAGTACGAAAAGAAACGATCATCGTCGATAAAAACCACTTAGCCGATGATGCTTATCGATTCGCGTAAATTATTTTTCCAAGAGTCATTCTGTCGTTTGCAAGTGAGTTTGGTCAAGTTTGTTAGATAAATTCGGCGAGAGAGGATACTCGTGATTCTTTCCCAGTATAATTCCAATTTTCCTTTTTCGTCTGGTTTTGTGAGCTACGGGCTCCGTTGATTAAAATAGATCCTTCCAGTAAAACGTTTCATCATTGATTCGCGTTGTTTCGAGCTACCTTCTGCTCGAAGGGGTTGAAGTCTTTCGTTGGATGCTCCGCGTCTCGACCACGCGCTCGGTGATAATAAATCTCGATGGGCATCGGATACAACGAAAAAATCGACACACGAACGGGTACGTTCGATACAATTGATTCGTACAACGCAAGAAGAGTCGCGTGACTTTCGTCGTGGACGGGGAAGAACGCGGTCTACGGAGGAAAAAGAGGCGCAAGAAGAGGAAGAAGAAGAGAGAAGAGTCCGGAGTTTCGCTAGTGTTTCCCTCGAATATGAAACGCTTTAACCGCGGCCACGCGGATCCGTGTTCGTCTTGACTACGAGTCGCGGCAGAGCAAAGGGAGTGCGCCTCCCCTTCTTGAGAGATGTCTTCGATATCAGCCCAAGGGGTCGTCGAAAGAGCCAGCGCCGAGTTGACCAAGAGAATCAACGGTCTGGGGTTGAGAACGTCCAAACATCATGGTCTGTAAATTACCAAATTATTATTATTTATATTCTCCAACATTGCTTGAAGAAATCTTTTATGTGAATAATTCATACAATGGAAACAATCATTTGGGTCAACAGTAGTTGACATTTTACTCTATTTTGATGTATGCAAAAGTAATGGCTGTGTTCCTATTATAAGTTGATATCGATTTGAAATTAGTGCACTACTATTTCTAGCAAATTGCTACACGTTACATAGTTAAAATCGACATCCTTTTGAATGAAAACTTCTTCAAACGTATGGTCTGTTAAAGAACTGCTGTTAGATTAATTTACGATCATTTTTGCATAGAATTTTTTCCGGTTATCATACAACTTACCCAGTATTTTTTCCAGTATTTTGTAATATTTTTTTAACCTTCGTGCCAATCAATTTTACTGAGAATAATTCGCAATCAATAACGAATCGTTCGGTTCAGAGCTAGCCCGAAGTTAACTCGACCCTAACCCAGATCCAGCATATGTTCATTCTCTTTGCGCCTCGTTTTTTTTTCTTTTTATTCCTTTTCTACTCTTGCAATTGTCATCCTCGTGGCCAGCTAGTTACGTCAGTCTTCTCGTCTCTCTCATATTCCCGAGCTAGACTTTTGAAGAACCGCCGAAACAGAGAGATTCTTGAATTTCTTCGCCCATCATTACGTAATCCCGATGACGAATTGATTTCTGTCGAATCCGCAACCCCTAGCCGCTTCCTTGCACCCTTTCTTAATTCCTTCCCTGCGGACAACGTATATAAACGTTATTTAAAACAGATCGTTCATTGTAGACGATCAAGATGTTAGCATTGAGTCACAATGAGACAGAAATTTATTTCTGGCCAGATAACTTATTAATCAAATTCATTTATCACTTTAGATATAAATCAAGATTACTTATTATTAATTCCAATCGTTATTAATCCTAAAACATTTGGATCCACATATTCTCCCCTGTCTTTTAGCCAGAAGATTTAATTTTTTTCGGTATACTGATCGTTCCCAACAAAACCATGCCCTCGTTATACCAATTTTCTTCGAGGATCGGTCGTTAAACGGCCACCAGGTGCTTTCAGTCGCAATCCAAGCTGCAATGGAATCGATAGCATTCGTCCTCGTACACGTGGAAACGTAAAAACCAAGTGCGTTTAAGTGTACCTCTCCCCATGGCCCTTCTCTTCGATTACCCTTTTTTCTTCTGCATCGAATTTTTCCTCAACGAAGACTTTAACATCTTGCTTCATAATTTTCTGCAACATCAAGGCAAACAAAGTATATTGAAACGCTATACATACCGTGCATTCAACGATCTTTGACTATGCACATTGTAATTAGCACTAAATTTGAATTGTAAGTTGCGTCACAAGTGTGATATCGCAAGGCAAGGGGTTTGAAACAAAAGACACGGTCGTCTACGTGTCCCGTGTTCGACGATTCAACCGCGTAGATTTATTTTGAAGCGTAAAATAGGCAATCACGGTGGCTGAATCGTCGCCAACACGTAGGCTGGCTGATAAAATCGCGGAGGATGGTCCAACGCTCCTCGAGGATAATTAATCATCCGTTTTGCGCTGATCGTCGCTCGAAAATCCGCTTTTAACGCTTCTTGAAGAGTAAATTGTCACGATCGGCTACGATCGATGTACCGATCTTCAAAATCACCTTCAATCCAGTGGAAAATAACTCTTCTATTTCTTGCTACTTCCGTGATTGCTTCATGAAGAAATTGATTTGCATTCTAGAAATAAAAGAGATCAACATTAATGTACATACGCAAAATTCCTCTCTGGATTTTGTAATTGTAAACGCGTACAAAATATTGATGTACATATGAATAATTTAATATGTTAACGATGCAAGCGGAGGTCACTGAAGATCTACATTATGAATTTATTTTTGTTAAATGATTAAAAACGAAGGAAGATAATACTGAATGCTGTTAAAATTATAATAACAGACAATTAAATTATAAAAGTAAATGATAAATAAAGTGATATTTAAATTGATAGATTGTTGAATACCAAAGAATTTTTAATATCAGAGTATCTTAACGAACGAACTTTAATTAATCTGTAGCTGTTGACATCGGTAAACATTGATGTAATCATCCATGCCTGATTCCGGAGGAAATTTTATACAACTCTAACGATAAATAAAATATACATCAACAGATAACATTCATTTGAAGTACAAATATTTTCTCATCGATTTGATTGGCAATCACTCGCCAGTCCAACAGGACTTTTTTAATTAAAATTTATAGAGAAGAATATTTACGGAAGCTGATCCATACACCGGCGATAAATTTAAAGTTGCCAGCATTTCAGATTGAATTCCCGTCTTTCGCCTCGAATACTCTGCCTTTAAACGCTTGATAATTTCAAGGAATTATTCATTTTATAACGATATATCGTTGGCCTAAAGTAACGATCGAAGAGGGTAGTTTAATTGCGAACGATGGGTGGGCACGATTCGCGAAAAAATGCTCGTCACGCGATAAAGAGATAGACAGAGGAAATAGAGACGTACTCGGAGCCAAATAGGACGTACAGCTCGAAAATAAAACGAGAATAACTGCTGCATCTTTGCCGAGTTTACCTTTGCAGAAACGCCTTTAATGCCACGCTCGCCAATATAATTCTACCGGAGGAAAATGCTTCGTAAAAAGAAAAGAGAAAAGAAAATTGATTCGATCACGTTTACACGGTTGATCCAAGATCTCGTTTCAATCGGATGAAAGTCATTCGAAATAGCCATTCTCTGTCTAAACGAAGTCTTTCATTAAACTTAAATTTCTCCTATCCCTTTAACTTTCTCAATACGCTTTAGAGAACAGTGATTAAAATAATACAAAAATCAATGCGGCAAGTCAACCTTCTAAAATGTAAAGTAACATTAAAATAAAAATGAGAAGTTTATTTTAACCCTTTATCTGGTACCCGTGTAATACCGAAGGTCGTGTATGTCCTACCATCGACCATTTCATGTTATTTATATATGAATATGAAAAGTTTATTGTTTCCAAGATATTTGGCTTGTTATCAACTATTTTATTAAACTCCTCAAACAAACGTATGAAAGCTATGATATAGTATCTGTGTAAATATGAATATGTCAAGTACGCTTATATATCATTTTAATGACATTAAATGGCTTTTATTAACGCGTTGACTGTCACATGGATTAGTAACGTTAGCTACCACGCTCTGGAGGCGTTGAGAATACCGTCAAACAGGGTATTTTTATTATTCACAAAGCCCGTCTATTATTTTTCCTAATACTCTATTGTTTCGAAAAGTTTCGCATTCACGTATCCTCCCGGCTTAGGAAATGATCCGAAACGGTGTCGAATAACCGGAGAGAGGAAAACATCCTCTATATTCGTACGAACGATGGCATGTTTCAGGTGGGGGAAAGGCGAGCGTCATGGAACGCGTTACGAACGTGTTTTGCGGTAGCGGAGGGGTTGCCTATACGAATTTGCAGAGCGCGAACAATGCGAACGCAACCCCGGAAAAGCCGAGCAGGAGCGTACCAACATCGATGAGTAATATGCCAGCAGCGAACAACAAGAGCCTGAATAGTAGCAACACACCCAGCAGGGCCAGGATATCGAGGAACCGACCGAAAAACGTACCGCTCGCAAGCGGTGGTACAGGAGGCTACGTAGCACCCGCCACGTGGGATCAACTGATGCAAGATGATCACTTCCTTGGAAAATTCTTCCTATACTTCACCGCCGTCGAGAGGAGGATCTTGGCTCAGGTGCTGGATCTTAAGCTTCTTTGCTTGGTTCTTCGCTTATGTTCAACTAGATAGGATTAAATGTAACATATAGTAGTGAACAGGAATTGGTTCAAGGGTTTTAACACGTTCACAGTTTGGGATTTGTAGGCATTCACCTTTCGTTAATTAAATTGCGAGGTCTTGAAAGATCGTAGGTGTCTTCTTTTACAACTGTGAATGTGTTAGGTATCATTAGTAATTAGCCTTATTACCTAAATCTTAAGAAGATATTTTAAACGCTATGAATGATGGAATACTTCAAAATTCACTTTTCAGTATTTTCGAAATACACGTCCAAAGGTTGGGAGTGCAGTTTACTCATCTGAAAGAAAAATTTCTTTGTTAAATTGCAAATTACATTGCTACCCGTTTCGAAAACACAGCGGAGAATTAGAACGTATTTTTCTACCATTTGAGACAAGCCTGATACCTACCACTGATTTACAAACGAGTCACGAATAGGACAATCGCGAACAGAGGACTCGTTGTGGCTGTAAAGTTGCGCAATCGTCATCTCCTTGGACGTGTATGAGCGCATACGGGTGGAGGATGATTTTGCTTGGTCGTAAAATAAATCAAAATGATGGAAGACATCGGAGAGAGACGCTCCGTTAACTAGCTTGTTTGTTTGGAAGGCTTTAAGCTTCTTGGCTGCGAATAGATATTACTGTTTTATAGTCGGAATCACTACTTTGTTTCACTAACGGACAGTGAAATTCCTAATATTTTACAACTAGTAATTAATATAATTTTTGTACAGGTATGCACAAGATGGAGAGACATATTGTACGCTAGGCCAAGACTTTGGGCAGGATTGGTGCCCGTTATTAGGTGCCGCGAGGTGCGTGCTCTGCCACCAAATTCGCGTACACGGCTCTATGCCTCGTTGGTGAGGAGAGGGTTCCATTCGTTGGTCCTCCTGGGCGCTTCCGACGAGGACATCCCAGACCTGACGCATGGTTTCCCCTTGGCGCAGAGAAATATCCACTCATTGTCTCTGAGATGCTGTGCGGTTACCGACAGGGGTTTAGAAACCCTGTTGGATCATTTGCAAGTAAGTTTTTCCATGGAAATCAATTTAACCTTTTCACCGTGACAGAGAAAGGATTAATCGTCGGCAATACGAAATTGAAAGGCAACAGATTTTCCTAATTATCTGGATTTCCATATTTTTAGGCCCTGTTCGAGCTCGAATTAGCCGGTTGCAACGAGATAACGGAAGCCGGCTTATGGACTTGCTTGACACCTAGAATAGTGTCGCTCTCTTTGTCGGATTGTATCAACGTGGCAGATGAAGCTGTCGGTGCTGTCGCTCAATTGTTGCCGAGTCTCTACGAGTTCTCGCTGCAAGCTTATCACGTAACCGACGCTGCCCTAAGTTACTTCCATGCCTCGCAAAGTAGCTCCCTAAGCATCCTCAGGCTCCAATCCTGCTGGGAGCTCACCAACCACGGTGTGGTCAATATCGGTAAGAATCCTCCTCTCAACGGGTTGAAGCTACAAATTAAGAAGATTGAATGTCACTAAAGTTATTCTGACACAAAGATATTACTGAAGACTGAACGATCGCTGATGCAGAAAATTAACGTTTACTCCGCGGTACCGAATGAAACACGCCAGATGATAGAGGCGAAACAAAATTTAAGACCTTGAAGTTGCAAGAGCAACGTGTAGAAAAGGGGACGATTGGGACATCGTTCTGCATGAATCCAGGTAGAAATACGCGATGACGATACCGTGAAATTAAGTCAGCTGGTGTACGTATCCGGCGATTATAAATTTAGAATTAAGGAACACAGCTTTATTTAGCTTACAAGCTGTCAGCGATCGTTCAGATTCAAACTCCTAGGTGAGTTGATGCTCCGAGGACAACGACCGGATGTCGTTATTTATACTACTTTGCGTTCGGAGATTCCTGGACATTTTCAAGCGGAGATGCGTGTAGCATGATAATTCTTAACATAGGAAAACAATTATACGTGGGTCTCAATCCTTTGTAGGCTAGTTTACAGTCTTCGTATCAGTGAGATCCTTTTCAATGAAAGTGTTAATCATTTACGTGCTAATTAGCCAGGAACACATCTCCCGTGTACTCTACTTGCTCTTAGTTCATCGCTTTGACCTAAAATGTATTTCATATCAGATATACGTATAACATATTTAATTCCTAATTTTCATAATTTATATCATGTTTCATCCTTTGTCTTCTCTACAGTGCACTCCTTGCCAAACTTGACCGTCCTGTCGTTGTCCGGCTGCAGTAAGGTGACGGACGACGGCGTTGAATTGATAGCTGAAAACCTGTCGAGGCTTCGTTCCTTGGATTTGAGCTGGTGCTCGCGAATCACGGACGCAGCCTTAGAGTACATCGCCTGTGATTTGAATCACTTGGAGGAGCTTACGTTGGACAGGTGAGATCCCCTTAACCGGGACATCAGCCGGCAAACAGGGAGCACCTTAAATCGCGTTAGCCCGTCATTTAGCCGCGCTGAATCCGTACGATCCGTTCGCGCTTCATTCATGTTCTAAATACTGAACGTGTTAACAAGCATTCTATTTAAGATCGGTCATTACGCAATAAACGTGAATCATCCATCGTGGAACGTTCAGACGTCTAAGGAGACGGAATTGCAATCTTCTTAAGCGACCGATTCCCCCGATGATCTACGACGCTTCGAACGTGTTTGATACACGTTTCTTGGCTCGATTACAGGACTTTGATCGTCTGCGGTTCCGTCTTCGAACGTTCATGCCAATTTATCGTTAATCGAGACGTTAACGTGATCATCGTAAACCATCATAAAATAATGCTCCCTCGTTTATACTTATACCAACGATAAGTCTAAAGATTCGATGACATAAAAATGGTACTTTCTCACTTAGATGTGTCCACATCACCGATATTGGAGTGGGCTACATCTCAACAATGGGATCGCTGAGCGCATTGTTCTTGAGATGGTGCATACTGCTTAGAGACTTTGGACTTCAGCACTTGTGCGGCATGAAATCCTTACAAGTACTCTCAGTGGCAGGTAAGATGAATCTAAGGCAAATTCTCTAGAACGGTGTTCCATATTTCCATATAGAAAGAGGATAAACATATTACCCTAGTAAAGCAGACCACGATTGGAATTATTCTGACATAAACCTTCCGTTTCCTCTCTTGCATATTAATGCTACTTAAAACTTTCAGCTATTCGATTACATTCAAGGACTGATTACGTTATCAAGCCACCTCGCTTATCCATTTCACCTGAAACCGATAAAATGTTTTTAAGTAAAACGAATCATTGAAAATATATTCATTATCCACAGGTTGCCCGTTGCTCACGAGCAGTGGCTTGTCCAGTTTGATACAACTTCGTCATCTGCACGAGCTAGAGCTAACCAACTGTCCAGGAACGTCCCAGGAGCTGTTCGATTATTTGCGTGAACATCTGCCTCGCTGTCTGATCATCGAGTAAACGATATCGTAGGAGGAGCAGCGTAGCTCCAAGGGATTTCTTCGCGTTCAGAGCCACGGACGAATTTTTATTCCTAGAAACCAGACGACGAGAAACGAAGCTGTTTCGTGTTAAGCAATACTTTGAGCGACGAAGGTGTGCACGAGGAACCGAGCCGATGCGTCGTACGAATAGAAGAGAAGCATTAATTGACGTCCAAACACGCGAAATACGAATGCCAGAAATGTTTTTCTCTCTTGTATAACGATTAAAGAAAAAAAAAAAAAAGAAAACGGAAGAAAAGACAAAAAAAAAATGATAAGGAAAACGCTAGCCCTTAAACGTGCAAAAGTAAACACGATACTAAGATAGAGAATAGGAATTTCTTTTCATACACCAGAGCTCCTATTACCAAACTGCACTCCTCTTTTCGCCGATTGGATCTAGGATGCTATGATCGCAATGGGTACATTTTTGTTACTTCCGTCAGCAACGAGAGGAGACAAGAAACCAGCCAGGTATCCAGGTTTATATTGTACAGAGTTTCACGCGTCGCTTGATGATAGAGAAAAATATAAACGATGAGACAGTTTAAACTCGTAGGTTCTCGCTGAAAAAGAAGAAAAAGACAAAAAATAATAAACGATGACGAATGTAGAATTGTCAGACGAGGCGTCAAGACAGACTCAAATGAAAATAGAAAAAAGAAAAATAAAAAAAAAAAACAGTTAGAACTGTGATAAAATTTTTATTATACGTATATTGTTCAACTTCGACGATTATGTTTAGGGCGTTGTTGATCCCGCTTGAAGAAAGTTGTAACATGTTAACTGCCATAGGGGGGGAGGTCATCGACACCGTGGATTCAACATTACTGGATAACTGGAAGAAAGAAAGATTAGATAGCATTGATATTATACTAGTTACGCCAGATAGCAAATAGAAAGCCTTACTTGAGCAATTGCAACTGTTGTGTGCTATATTATACAAGGACGTTTTCACTGTGGCAGTCAACATGTTAAAAATATGCGCGATTACAACGCGTTGCTTTGAGAAAAAGAGTTGCATAGAAAAAAAAAAAAAAAAATGAGCAGAAACATTCCGGTTATGATTGCGCAGATTAACGAGGGGTTTTTATTTACCAGCCGTACGATTCGCGTGATTTGTTCGATGATACGTGTTGCTAAATTATAAAAATGAAAATAACGAAAAAAAGAATGATAAAAGAAGAAGAAATTAATGATCATTGCACATCTATGTATTGTCTAGATGAAGTTTTTAACTTATATTTTACCTACGTATATTCTGCTGTCATGTAATTAATGTTTCCTATATTTAAGGCTTACACCTAGCTAAGTTCTCGAAATGTTTTTTCATTAAATGTAACGGATGTATCGCAATATAGAGAGAGACGTATTTTATGTGTTTAATACCGTTAACTGTTTCGATGATTACTTGAGACAAATCAATGTTACACTATGCTCGAGTATCACCGCTCCATACGTGGGTGTACTGGATGAATTTTATGCCATCGTTGGAATGGTACGGGTGCAATGTTTTTCTTTTTTATGTTGACGAATAAAATAACTATCGATTAACTTATTACAATAACGTTCAGCATGTCCTCGAATTCTATCGAACTGAACTTATTTTTTGCGTGTTACCACATGTTTAGCACATAACGTCTTTGTATATATTGTACAAATAATGATTAATAATTCTGTTACCAATCAAAACTAAATATAAATATATCCGCACAGTGAAAGTTCTATCGAAAAAATCGGGGTTGCATGCGACGCCAATCACGGTTTTAACATTAAGAATGAAAATATGATTACACGATGGAATGTGCTGTGAAATAAAAATTTATTGATCTGAATTTATTTTTATACCATTAGCTGTTTTCCCACCATGTTAGCAATCCAAGACCTGGTTCATCGATAGCACCCTAGAATTAAGACAATGATACGATCAGAATGTAAGAATTGTAATGAATACTTTATCAATTAGTCATACATACTCCTAAAGTGTATGGAGATGTGTTTTTAGATTCTGACTTTTCAACACCTTCCCCAGACATATTTGGCCCAGTAGGTAATGCCTCTGTGAAATTTTCGCTCACCACTCTGAATCTTATAATTTCTCCTAAAAGTTCTCAACTGTTATTATCTTATATCTATTATTATAGATTATTGAATACTTATTGAATACCTGCATCCATAAATAAGTCGTGCTTTTCACCATCCCCTGTATCATACTCCCATACCCATGCTTGTTCCATTTGATCAAATCTTGACGGATGCTGCAGTTTATGAGGTGGAATTACAATATCTTCGAAAAATCCTAATGTTACTGCAAAAGTTCGAATTTTTTAAATATAAGCCTGCATTAGCAACAACATAGACTTTATGATATAAATGTTACCATGAACACCATCAACGCTACAGCTGCGTATTTTTCCTATTAGAATTTCTTCCATAAACGGACGAAAGACAATAAATCGAAATATTACTTTGGTATGAGAGGCGCCATCGCCGGGAAAAATATACGATTCCTCGATTTTTGTTATGTCGTGTAAAGCAATGCAAAGACCAACATTGAGATAAACCTTGAACAAATAATTGATTAGTGATTTAGCAAATTTAAATTAGAATATACTAATTCACCTTATTAGCTAGTTTCCTGTTAAGTTCATCGGTAACAGCATCGTTTAATTTTCGTTTGAATTCCCATGGTGGAATTCTGACTGTGTCTTTCAATTCTGCGAGGACAAACATTTTTACGACATTTGATTAATTTTAAACTAACGAAATAATACTTGTTATTTTCATTTACTAACACAACATTTATCTTTTATTCCTTTGACAAATGTGTGAAACAATATTCTTGTTACACATTCTTATGAATTCTAAAGTACAACATTAACCTCCATCGGTGACTACAGATCCAACATGACTGGACATGCTTTTGTTTTTCGAAGGGTTTTGAATTTATGCCTCGAAACAGTAGCGCCATCTATAATACAATGGCGCAAACTACTCGATAACTTACCGACCCCGGCAGTCGGTAAGTTGTCGCAGAGTTTCCGCTGTTTTTCGATAGATGGCGCTGTCCCCTGTTTCGGAAACTCAGTCGGTAAGTTGTTGAGTAGTTTACTATCAAGGAAACCAGCAACCATAACATAACCTTTAACACATGTGTTTCAAACATGGATATTGTACAGTCAATTTTAGAAAATGATGCTCAAGAGAAAGACCCACGTAAATCTACGGTAGTAAATAAAGATGTTGACGTTGAAACAGATGCAGGAACTCTCTTAGTATTGGATTCTAATACCCTGGATCTCAAAGCACTGAAGTAACCTACAAATTCATCTTTATGATACAAGCAATTTTACTTCAATCATATTTGTTTATATTAATTGCTTCCATGTATTTTCTAGAGCTCAACAGGAACCGTATTTAAGAAGTTTAACAAGGGATAATGTGCAACTACTGATTAACAAAATTTGGGAACTACCAACAGAACGTATTGATGAAGTGATAGTAGCAAAATTACCCAAGCCTCATTTTGTATTACCAAGATCTCGTCAACTTCCAAAACCAAAACCTTTAACTAAATGGCAAAAGTTTGCTAAAGAAAAAGGTATCAGAACTAAGAAGAAGGGTAAATCTAAACTTCAATGGGATGATGAATTACAAGTATGTCTTCTGTATCTAAGTATTCTACATGTATCTTGAGCATATGAGTATATGTATTTTTGATATTTTTGTTACAGAAATGGATACCTACATTTGGTTATAAGCGTAAGACAGCTTTAGAACAGAAAGAATGGTTGGTAGAAGTAAATGATGAAAACAAAGCCATGGAAGATCCATTTGCTACAGCAAAGGCAGCAAAAGAAGAAAGACAGTCTAAAAATGAACTGCAAAGGCTGCGTAATATTGCTAAAGCAAAGAATATTAAAATTCCAAAAGTAGGACTTCCTACTAAAGAACATTTCCCAGAGGCAAAACAACTCTCTCAGGCCATTACTATCGCTCGTACATCGACAGCCTCTGTTGGCAAATTTCAGGATAGGTAATGTTCAAAATATGATATATGAAATAAATTCCATATTCACTGTATAATATGCACAGGTTACCAAAAGAAAAAGATGCAAAGGGCATTGCTAAGCAGGTACCAGGTATGAAAAGAAAGGCCGAAAATGTTCCATTAAATTTGAACGACGAGAAGAAACGGAATACAGATTTAGCAGAGAACATCCTTAAAAGTAATACTAAAATCTTTCGCGAAGATTTCTCTGCTCCAAAGTAAGTACTCAAGTTTCTGAAAGTATCAACATGAAAATCACAATGCATTTATAAATTTCTTTTATAGAACGAAAGTTAACGAAACAAAAACAAAGACAAAGAAAGGTAAAAAAGGAGTAAAAAGCAAGGGAGCAAAGAAGCCAAAAGGAGGAAAAGGAAAACGTGATATGCGCCTTAAAGTAGGTGGTAGAAAACGAAGATAAAGGAACTGAATGCTTGTGTTACTTTAAGCACTTGAACTTCAACAATTACAAGATTTCAATGTAATTTTAATATATAACGTTAAGTACCTATATTAACATTAAAAAATGTTAAAATAAATAATATTGGTATATATTAGTCTTCCCTTCTTTCCTGTAAATAAGTTAATTGCATATTCATTCCTGAATTACATAATGAAAAATGTAATGATTATTTTTGTGATTAAAAAGCATGTCGCTGTCACTGATAAGATTAATTGAGATTAAATAGAAGAAAAAAGTGGAACATAATCGAAACATGGGTGGTGTTACAAGCCGATAAAGCAGGTTGTCCCTTAGCCACAGAATCAGGGTAATGTGAGAAAGGTGAAAGGTCAAAAGCAGTACGGGATATCGACTCGGGGAACTCGAGGGGGCGAGGTAACCTGGCAGCGGGTACGGGGGAGGGTAAGTGCGAAAGCGGGTTGTCCTAGAATCTGTAAGGAGTTCCACCCCGCATGTGATTTTATACGTATTGTATATGTATACACGTTCAATGCCATCTGAACGAAATACAAACGCATTTAGATACTTCATGTAATCCACGTCAGTCAAAATTATCAATACATTAGATGATTATATTTCAAATTTTAATTATATGCAACTCTTACATAATACCACGAAGGTATTATTCCTCCTTTAAAAATGCAGGCAATTCTGCATGATATACGTAATATTTCGTTCGATGCAGTAGTACATTATACACTTTACCCGTCCTATTTGATCATCAAACTGTTAAGTATTGACATACGATGGAATTCACCCCCAACAGAATAACAAAAATCTTACAATTTCAATCTTCAATTTACGAAATTCAAAATTGAATTTCGTATCGAAAGTGATCGTTAATCGATACGAACTTCATCGATATCGATTTAAGTACGACTCCAACGACTTACGACGCTGAACCTGAACCTCGTTAGTTACAAAAGTGAAGTGAAAAAATACCTGCTATATTATCAAAAATAACTGCTACCAATTATTTAATCTATCCAATTTGCTTTTTACAAACTGAAAGGGAACTAAAACGTATTACTCGTTGTAACTGGTTTCACCTCGGGCTATACATAAAAATCGAACGAGGTTGCGTCCGCATGCGGTAAGTCAATATCGATAATAATTGTTGGAATACCGGTTACTGCATTAAACCAACTAAATTATCGTTTATAACCATAGTTCAGCAGAACGTATGAACCTGAAAAGTGTCTCAACCTTGGGTAAGTTTAGATATTCGCATAAGGCGAGTGAACGAATGGCGTACATAATCGAGCGACGTAACGCGCTTGCGAGAACGTTAGAGAAGGGGTTGTCGAGCAGGAGGGTAAAGAAGTAACCGCGGGCTGACGGGTTGTTCAGTCGGTGGTTGCTCGGTAGTAACGGGCGCGTCCACGAATTACGAGCTAACACGATGGAGGCTGCGTTAATTATAACGAACAAGTGATACGCGCCGTGTGTACACGGGGATCGTGTCCTGGATATTCGTGTCCCGCGTATCCCCTGTCGCGCACCCCTGCTCCCCCCTGTGTCCGTGCTTCTGTGTGCGTGCGGGTCCCTCTAACGGTAGTAGTTTGGCATCTCGCTACAAAGAAAAGAAAAAAAGCAAATAAGAAAAAAAAAGAATAAAAAAGTGCAATTGGACAAAGAGAAAGGCACAACGAACAAGAAAATGTCGTCCACGTAAATCGAAGGAAGGCGCTTTGGGATAAAGAGAGAGAGAAAAAGAAAGAGAGAGAGAGAGAGAGAGGCAGTTCTCGTACACGGTGCAGTGGTTTACCCTGAGTCGTTGGTACGCGCAGCCTTTTGGTGTTGCTGGCTGACTTGACGCCTGCTTTTGCTATTGCTGTCGCTGCCGCCGCCGTCGAACCGTCGCCGACGTTGCTGCAGCAGTTGCTAGCGATACGAAATGAACGGGAAAAAAAGAGAAAGATCATGTGTTAATTGAGAGGGAGAGAAAGTGTGGGAGAGAAAGAAACAAATGTAGCCTTCATTGTTCCGTCGTCGTCGTTCTCGTCGTTGGTCGTCATTTATTGTATAGAACGCTCTGTCAATACGCGTTTCCCTAATGCGAACCTAAAAAAGAAAAAGAAAGGAGAAAATATAATAAATGCGATGTGCTCGTTGGCCACCAGTCAGCCTTTTATTTTTTTACGCGCTTCTTCGTGTCTTCTTTTTCTTTTCTTTTTAGGAAGTACATCTTTGCATTGAAATAAGCAACTCGCTAGAGAAAAGAAGTAATCTTTTATCCTTTTAAAAAAAAAAAAAACAAATTCGCACGTTCGGCCGATTACTTTATAGGGTGCCGCTCGAGTTGCTTACTTCGAGGCAATACTGTACTCAAGTAGGGCAAACTGCCGTCCAGTTCACCGTGGATACCGTTGGCTTTTCTATATTATTTTCCCTGGGACTTCATATATTATTTCGCTTCGTATACCCTTTTCACTTGCTTCGTGCACGGACGTATCATTGCATGTGCATTACATTTGTTTGCTGACCCCGATACTGGGTTATACATGGTAATTATCTTTACCTACTTGCTTCTTTACATGGATTTAATACATCTCATAACTAATATAATTTTTTTTCCTTTTTTTAGTACCGTTATAATTTTATAATAATATCACGGCTTTCATGGAAAAAATGATAGAGGAATATTAGGACAGAAAAACAAAGAATAGGATGAAACAAAGGAAGGCAAAGATAGAAAGCAGAAGGGCACTGAAAACGAATGTAATGAATCGCGGGAGGGAAAGAGTGGCGAAAAGGAAAATGTCAGGGTGGGATAAGAAGGGGTAACTAGAACGTGTCACGGCGTAAAACAATGAAGAAGAAGAAGAGGGTTTTTCGATTTGTTACATTCGTGTTCGAAACTACTTGACCCATTGACGGGTCAAGAAGCTGAACAGAAAGGTGTCAATGCGGAGGTCTCCTCCTTGTAATGCTCAGATCAGAAAACTTGAGAGCTTGGTGGTAAAAGAGAGAAAATTATTTATGTACATATTTTTTAATCAACGAAAATGCGATTAATCAGGCTATTTTTATGTTTTTGAAAGAAATTCGTATAAATTAAATTTGTTCATTTTAATTTATGTTGGCAAATGTTCACAAGGACAACTGTAATTTCCTCTTTCTGTAAAGAGAAATCTCTTAGCATCTTCCTGCTTACATATCCCGCGTTATGCTTTTAGCGCTAATAAGGGTAGATATTAGTATCTTGTATCTCCTAATGTATTCATTATTATACATTACGTAAAATACTTCTGATTCACTTCAAGTATCATTGAAATCCTTCTTTCATTCTTCAAAAGCTATGTTATTCGATAAAAATTAGTATAAACAGTATTCAAATGGAAAGGATTAGTTATTAATAGTATAAAAAGTACGTTTAATTGGAGCATTTAGTAAGTGTAACCACCGCTTCTTGTGTTCAATATGCAAATATACGTATAATGCTGTAAATAAGATGCTTTTCACGTGCTTCTCGCTAGAATAGAAGTTAGTCGGTAGTTTAGTATGACGGCCGCCAATAGCAGGCGGATGTCCGTCATGTTTCTTGCCTTTCCAGAAGGAAAAACACACAGGAAGACGATGCAAAGGGATCTAAACTCGTAACAGAAAGAACGCCTGGCCCGAAGGCGTTAAACCGGGAAGAGTATAATCGGGGTGCGAAGCGATGTACGCAGCTGCGGGTGGTGCCAGTATAGCGAACAGGAGGAAGCAGAAACGGTTGCAGCTTAACAAACGCGTCGCCGAGGGTACGATCCCGTCGCGGTTGAAGCCGATCCCAGCGGCTTCTTCTCAGCACCACCAACACCAACACCAACATCACCACCACCACCACCACCACCACCATCCCAGCAAGTTTGCTCGTCCGCACGTTGTTCCACCATCTTCCACGCAACAACCACCACAACCACCGTCATCTGCATTCCATCCGAGCATCGATCGACGGCGTCATGTCGAGAAGTGTCAGCAGGTTGCACCGGTATCACCGATCCAATTCCCTATATCACCTCCACCGTTGTCTCTTGAATCGCCTAGTTCGGTCACCTGCGCCACTAAGTCCAATAATTTCCCTTTCCCGCCACCATCGATCCTTGATCTCCGAGTTTCGCCATCTTCATTGGAGCTACAGGTGGGTAGATTGTTCAGCGGTAATTAAATTGCTCCTAGGGTCGTTTCATTATATTCTCTATCTATTTTTTTAGCTCTGTTTCTCTTCTTTCTCTATCACATACACACACACTAGTCGCTGTTGCCTAGGTACTTACCTGATCACGTTTTATTAATCGCAGTCCTTTATTCAAGTAATTAACAAATCCTCGTTGCACTTTGCACCTTCTATTGCTGGCACACCTTTACTTATAACATTAGGAACACACCATCGATTGGCTGTCTGGTGGCGTATGTAAAGCCCCGCGCTATAACACGTCCTCGAGCGGCACCAGGTTCGTCAGCTGGTTATCCATCAATTGTAACTACAATTATTTTTTTTTTTATAGTAATTAACATGTCTCGACTGGTTCCTACCAGCGGATACGAGCATCTACTAATGTTGGAGGCAGACGATACAATGTTAGGAGTAAGTTGTAGTGCCTGGTACCAGTCGCTATCGGGGAAGATTTGAGGAGGAATTCGTGTGCTTCTTTTTTGACTGGGGAAAGGAGAAGGGAAAAAGTTTTATTTATACTGTGTATAAGAAAAAAAAAAAAGAAAACAGAACTGGAAAGGAGAAAGAGGAGGAGGACGGCCGATCTTAATGATCAATAAAATATACAAATGAATGAGCGGAATGCAGGCTGCTTTATTGATTAGAAGGGAGAAGCAACGGTTACGGGGGGGTAAGGTGGTGAACTTTAGAGAATTACCCTCAAACTTGGCCACCAGACTTATTCCGCCGCTTCCGCGATATCCCCCACGATCTTACGTTTATGGGGTAAGTATCAACCATACCGATATGCTGTATCATCAACAGTAAGCTAATGGCATCAGAGGGTAACTGCTGCTTCCCTAGCTGATTATCTATGCATCAACTATATACCCTTTTTCTGGGAAAAGAAATTACATTTGTAGTGTATACTTGATGTTTATCCCCTTTTTTACTTTCTCTTATCATAGAACGGATCAGTGTTTTCTATGTTTATTAACTGTTTATTGAAAAAAAAAGAAAAAAAATGTGATCATTAAAAAGAAAAGTTAAAAGGAGATTAAAACATATAAAGAAAAGTTTCAATTTTTGATATACCTTTGTACCATTTTATATCAACTTTTCAGTAAAAACATAAATAAAATTTATTTTTACCTTAGAAATGCACGTTAAATCGGTTTAATTTAGTCTCTTATATTTCAAACTTTTCATTGAAAGTTTTATAGTGAAAGTTTCATTAAATATAATACATATGAAAGAAATAAAAATCATGCATTTCAGATTGATATTATGGTACAGAAGATTGTATTCCATAATATTCAACATTTAATTGCTACTAATTATATATTTAATTAATTCTTTGTTGTCAATCAGAATGCAATGATTACAGTGCACTTGTCTAGACAAGTTCTACGACACATGTACGTATAAACGTTTATACACATCTCAATTGGTTCTTTGTATAAAAATTTATCTGTATTTTCTTTAGTACGTGCATGCATGTTTTTTACATTATTATTTATGTGCTGGGTAACGAGGAAAGAGAGTATTAATTAAAAAGTATCTTGATATAGTACATAAATAATAGAAAATATGTTTCACATGATAGAGAAAGATGTAAACTTTTATATATATATATATATAATTATAATATAATGCTTTTATGTTTTATATTTATTTATATTTTGTATAATAGTATATATATGATATTTATTATAGAAATTAAGAGAAAAATTAATTAAGATTTATTTAATAATGTAGATTGTTCAGAATTTTTTTAGCCAAAGTATAATACATAGTTATTGAAAGATTTGATAGATAATTAAAGTGTTGAATGATCTCAACTGTAGTTGCTATAAATGCTTATAACAACAATACCTGAACGGAAAATAATTTCAGTGTGGTGGAGGACCTGGTAAAGCAGCATGGCAGGGGTGCAGCAGACCTTCCCCCCTTCCTTTGTCTCCTATGTCGCCTCACGGATGTCGTGGAGATGGTTACAAGACAAAGCAATGCGAGGCTCATCGACGATGGATGAAAAGAAACAGGGTAAAAACACTTATTAGTTATAATTTAAGATAGAATTTTAAGTAAATTAATAAAGTTCCGTATAAGTACCGTATTACTGTTCTCAGATAAGAGACGCAAGCTATTGCTATGGAAGCAGTGGAGAAGATGACGAAGATGATGGAAGCAGTAACGCAAACCGTCGTAGAGGAGAAGTTAGTGCGGCAGTGAATACCGTACTTTATGCGGGGCTGGGAACTACAGCGCTCGGATTAGTTATCTCGTTTGTCGGCACTGGAGAGAAAGGATTCCTCAGTCCGGAATTGAGGCTGGTGGGTCCTTCGCTACTGTGCGCCGGTTTACTGTGTTGCCTATTTCGGGTGCTGCTCTGCCTCTGTTTATGCCGTTGCGGTCAGTGCCGCTGGCGGTTTTGCCACGTTGCTTCTGACAAAAAGGAAAAAGTGAGGAAAACGGACGCGCGTCCGGCTGGAACATTACCTACCGCCTCACTTTTGTCACCAGCGCAACAACAGCGACAACAACAATCAGCCATGCCTTCGAGTGGCGCTGCATCATCATCAACAAAAGCACACGAGCTCTTGCTCTCTCCTGCCCAATTACCAGAGTGAAAACAACCATTATGAACGTTTTCTACGAGAATCTACACGCTGATTAACTGCCGGTTCTTGTCTAAAATAGAATATCTTGTTTCCATTCCGACCTGAACCGTTTTCGCAAAAGAAAAAAAAAAAAAAAAACCACCACAGCCTAAATCCTAGTTTAATTGCGAATACTAGAGCTTTAAAAAATAATAGTGAAATAAACAATCGGCTATGTTTTTCTACCCCTACCGTGTTTAAAAAAGTAAACAAGTAATTACTAACGAGTCTTTAACTGCTTCCTGGTTTATTTCCTTCCACGTTTATAGTTTCTTTACAAAGAATTGCCTAAATTTAATTCACCTCCCTTACCAAACTCTGAATCCATTCATACTTTGTTTCTTACAAATGTAAGTTTAGTTTACCCATCAAAACTGATTTTACAGTCTTATGTAAAACACAATCGTACGTGAGAAAAAATATGCTACAGTTGAGATAGCTGTATCGCGTATCGCATTCTGTATCTTAATAATTTATATTAATATATCGTTTTAACCTGTTGCGATCAGGAAAGCTGGAATTGCATTTGATCGGTAGACGTGTAACTATATATTACAGGCGTATCCGAAGTGGTAGCACTAGAAGCAGTCGCGGCAATGGCAAACAACTGATCTTCGTACATAGTTCCTTGTGGCTCAACTTTTCCATTGCCTGCCGGTGTACCACTCCCTGGAGGATTATCACCTTTCGTAGCTTCTCGGTATTTTTGTAGATACACTTTTAGTGGTTCTACGTAATTGTCAAAACCAAGAGTCGTCATGGCAAATAGAATGTCTTCACCATTGATAGTCTTACGTTTTTCCATATGACACCGATCACTTGCTTCGGATGTAATAAACGATATAAATTCGGATACACACTCTTGAACACATTCACGTGCATCTTTTGCTATCTTTCCCGCCTCTGGTATAGCTCTTTTCATAATTTTAGCAACATTCGCTATCGGCAGAAATCGGTCCTGCTCACGAAGAGGACCTCCACCACTGCCGCCTCCGGCTCCTTGTAAAGGATCGCTTGTTCCATGATTTGAATCATCCGTGTTTTCAGGATCATCTGAATAAAAATAATAACCTGTTCGTATAAGTTAACATTGAAAATTGTTAATTATTTGAAAGCAATAATACAATAGTTGTATAATTATAGTTTATTTGTGTTTCCATCGAATATTTTCAAAACATCGTTAACCTACCCTCCATGTCGTCCGATTGTACACTGATATATGACGCAGAAACACCACTACCGCCAAGAAATGCTGTTGTACTTAAAGGTCCTCCGTCGTCACCACTTTCACCACTATTTTCCATTTCCAGTTAAGTTTATACTGAAGATACAATAAAAATACCTTCAATTCCCTTAACCTTTCTGGACCTTTGTTTTCGCGATACTTTATAACATTTTTCTGGCATAAACAAAATTTGCAGGTAGATGTCAACAGTTAAGTTTCTTGATACAACTAGCGCCCCCTTCCGGCAGAAAATCAAATTTTGACTGATAATTTTATTTTTCCTATCTTTTAATTAACGATTTTGATATACAATTTAAATTATATTGTTTGTTTAATCCAGTATTTGCTTTTTTATTTTTGAAACTACGTTAAACGTAAATAAAAGCAAGAGAATGTTTAAGACAAATTCACAGGAAAGGTGAAACGTAAAGTATAATTCATAAAGTGTCTATAAACGAATCTCGCAAGTAGAATAATATTTGTATAGTTTCATCGTACACATATAAATATATGACAAGTAGTTTATTTAAAATTGGTGAATATGGCTATGTCAAGTATTTTGTTAATGCGAAAAGGGTTTTTAGCGAACGGTAAGCGAGTTGTCTTTTATCCATCATATATGCCAATCGCAATTCATACGCGCATCATTTTGATCCTGTCATTTATTGTTTAGAATTTTGTAAATGAATTATCAAATACACAAGACAAATATTACAAATCGTATTAATACGTGTAATAATTGTGTTTCATTGTGCAATTTGTATACTATATATTGTATGTCTATAGTAAATGCGCACAGTTTTCATAAGCAGAGCATAATATTCTTAAAAATTTCACCACAACTCTGTAATTCATTATCTTTTACAATTATTTTCCTAAAAATAATGTAATTTATTCATCGTAAGTTTGCGGAAAGAGTGGTATTTAAATACGTCGAAAGTAAAGGTTATGAAAGTAAAGGTTTTTATGAGCAAGGAAGATTGTTAACAGTTTAATATTTGTATGACAAATAATTTTGTTAAAAATGACAGACCCTAAGGAAAATGTAACGAACAAATTTATTAATGACTTAACCGATTACTTGAAGAAAAACAAACTCAAAGAAGTTTTAAATCTCTTTGAAGACAATAGTTATGACAATATCATTCAAGAATCTTCGTGGTATATTGTACCAATTGTATCTTCTCATCTTACCAATGAAAACACAAAGTATAATGCAGAATTAATTGAATGCTGCACAAAAATATTAAATATTATAGTAGAAAAATGTAATCCTTCTGAGACTGTATTAGAGCTGTTAGAACAAGTAGAAGGTCCAGAGATTCATGTGAAATTTTGTATAGTTCTAAAGGTACTTAATAAGTGCCTCAATAAAATGAATAATAAGATGAAAGCCATAGAGTGGTGTAGCAGTACAATAAGATCTTATGTTGACAGTTTACCAATACCAGATGAGGATTCCCCAAGTAGTACTATAACTATAAATAAAATACAGAATATTTATATCGTGATTATATCATTCTTGGAACCATTAGTGGAGGAAGCAAGATTAGAAAATTCAGAAAAGTGTGCCACATTGAAAGATTACCTTGCGAGTATCCTAATTTTTTTGATGGGAAAACCATTGAGTCATCTCCCAGAAAAATATTTAAAACAGTCTATACCAGAAAAGATTGTAACTCTTGTAAGTCAAATAACTGGAGATTTGCTTTGGTTTTTAAATATTGTGAATTTAAGAAGTAAAAAAACCAATTCTAAGAAGAAATGCATAGAAGAAGAGTGTCATAATCTTAAAGTAACACTTTTTGAATTAGATGAAAATATATCAGACTTAGCATATGCTAACTTTTATTTTTATGTCATAACAAGGATACATTTATGGGAGAGAGTACCACAAGTATATGACTTCCAGTATATTTTTCAAGCATGTATATATCTTATTATTAAGCTACTTGAAGACCAGGAAACAATTGCAAAAGGATTAAGTTTAATGGATCAATTATTGAAAAGACTGATAAGACGTTCCTTAACATCAGAGTTACTGGAGCTTAATATTTATTTACAGTTGTTTGATACAATTGCAAAGGTGATGATCTGTTATTTTAATAATAACAAAGAAAGGAAAAGAGCTTTAATCATATTTCAAGAATATGTTGAAATGTTTGACATGCAAGCTAGATATTTAATCGTTTTTCGGTTGTATCAGACTAGTAAATACTCAGGTCTGCTTAGTTTAACTACTGGGATAGTCAAGGATTCTGTCATTGAATGCCTTCAATCGGTACCACTTATTCCATATTTTCTTGGTAATAATTTAGAGTCTCTGATTAAATTAGCTTGTAAATTACCACATGAAAGAGCATCAGACTTGGTAGAATTATCTGATGAGATAATCACTAGCTTAAACCTTTTGAGATTTCTATTTATTAGAGACCAACAGAATCAAACTGGAATTTGGAATTTAGTAGATGAATTGGAGAAAGATTATTTACAACCACTCAGAGAAGGTATATATTTATGCAGAACACACTGGAAGGTGAAGGTAAAGGATGTAGAAGAACAAAAAAAAGCTATTAAAGCAAATGCAAAAACAGAATTAGAAAGGAATGTTATTGAAGCACCATTACCTGTGGGAGGTGAAAAATTGTCAGCAATACCAGTCCTAAATAAACTTTCATTGTGCTATCAAGCAGTGAATGGGCTTGATGTAATGGAAAGCATTTTGATTAGAGTTAATGAATGCATTATGAATAATCCTCTTAAGTAACACAGTAATAGTACTGTAATTTCAGAACAATACCTCCATATTTTTAATGTGTACATTATTTGCTGTTAAATAAAATACTTTTTCATTTGCAATTTATTTATTTTGACTTTACCCTGTAATTTACTCGTTTCGCTATTACTAATTATAATTAAATAAATATATATCATTTCTTGAAATAAAAAAATTAATTTTAATTTTATTAGGTTTTAGAAGTTTATGGACTTGTAAGACATTACTCTCGAATCAGACTGAAAATGCAAATACACAACAAACAAGTAAAGAGTATACTAATTGTAAGGAAAGCGACGAAGAATATGAAAAAAATATCAAAACAAAAATTCTTGCTGCATCTTTAAAGTATGTTCATGATCTAGGATGGAGCCAGCAAGCTATCAGTGCTGGTAATTCATAATATTTTTTTTTTCAGTTAAGTAGATGAATTAGAAGCAATTTTGTGTGTGAGTAAATAGGTGATGTAAATCCCATATATTTATTAAATGTATTTTAGTTATAGTTTCAAAGTATAATAATATATTGTTTGCATCTAATACAGACAATTAATAAGTATATGTACTAAAGGTGCAGAATCTATTGGGTATCCTGGTGTGGTTCATGGATTATTCCCTAATAAAGGAGTAGATTTGGTTCAGTACTTTTATTTGACATGTAACACAGAATTAAATGAAATCCTTATGAAACGAGCAGAGGCTACTGAAGAAAATTGTACCAAAGGAGAAAAACCATTAGAATCACAAGTACGCGATGCCGTTGAAATAAGGCTTAGAATGGTGATTCCATATAAAAAGACATGGCCCCAAGCATTAGCTCTAATGGCACTACCACCTAATGCACCAAAGTCATTAGCTAATTTACTTACTTTGGTAGATGACATTTGTTATTATGCTGGTGATAGATCAGTTGATGTAAGAATATTTCTATAGTTTTGTCTTCTATGTGTTTTTATGTTCAATTAAAATATTTTGTATTGAAATCTTTTTAATTAGATCAACTGGTACACAAGAAGGGTAGTATTAGCAGGTATTTATAAAACCACAGAGCTGTATATGCTACAAGATAACAGTGAAGATCATAGACAAACTTGGAACTTCTTAGAAAGGCGGATAAAAGATGCAACACAAATTCATGCATTTTTCACAACAACTTCTGATATAGCCTTACCAGATCAAGCCCTGAATCGTGTTTCTGAAACAGCAAGTGCTGCTTTTGTTACAGTAAGTTTTGGTTAAATTTTAGTATTATTTAATAAAGCAATATTGTAACAATATTCTTATTTGATGTTGTTTCTCGACAGGCACGTAATATACTCGGACTGAACTGGAATAGGTAAACTAAATTTCAAGTAGAAGAAGAATAAACTATTGGCTATTTATAGAAATCAAAGCACGTCGAGTATTTCTTTTTCGAATTTATTTAGTGCGAATGAAAGTATACTTTTGAAAAAACGATGTATATACTTTCAGTTGTACAATGGAAATATTAAAGAAAATGAAGATTTAAGTTAAATTAACAATCATATCTAATTTATTTTAGTACCATATTTTAACAAATTCTGTACAATTGAAGTCAAACTCAATAAATATGAGTTATTTTTGTGCAAGATATATAAAGATATAAACTGATAGAAATATAAATCTAATAATATTTAACAATTACCCTGCAACACTACAGTAATTAAGGCAATATGATCCCTTTCTTTCATAAAATTTTGTCCCCATTAAACAAGGGAAGATCAACTTGTACCTTTACCATTCAATTGAGCAGAAGATTGTTTTATTCTAAACAATGTATTTACACAGCCAAGTACTTCACAGGTTGATTAAACTTCTGATTATGTTTAAGAATATAACATATTTTATAATGAAACAATTCATGCAAATTAAAATTATTTTAACTATAAGTCTCATTATCTATATAAATAAAACTGATATAGCCATATCAATCAACTTTTATAGAAACGGAGATATCTTGTACATTCAACAATGAGTATTTCAGTTTTTATAAAATAAAAATGCTCATATCTAATCTGTTCTTACCTTTCAAAATCAAATTTTTGTGCAATAACTAGTTTACATGATTCAATAATCTCAATCTGTAAAAATTCGTATCACGGATATTATAGTACGTTTCACGTTTTTTTTTTTCTTTTTGCATTAATAATGTGCTTCTTCGATATAGCCCTTAATAGTTTTTGGTAAAGGTAGTTTATGAATATTATCCAATCTAGTATTTTGACGTATAACGAAACGACAAAGATACTGTAAGCTTCGAACTTGATTAAACCTGCTCACTGGCTTGGTTAATCTTACAGGGAACGATGGATGGCCAGGGTATTTAGGCCGAGAATAACAAAATACTGCTGACTGACTAAAATTCATTGAATAGTTAATTAAATCAGCTACTGAACTAAATCCCTCACTTTCACTTTGGTTACATAAAGAAAATAAACCACCGCTATGTTCCATACGAGCATGGAGCAATTTTCCAGATGATTTAAAACTAAGCGTCAGGACGTATCTGTATGAAAACAAATATTAAAAATATTGTACATAAGTTGTCATTTAAAAAATGCTTCCAATAAAAAGAACAAACCTATCATCTGACGAGTCCCTGACTAAGAATGCACCATCTGGTTCGGACATAAGTTTGGCATCAGCTTCGGTTCCCGATATTGGTCCCCAATACCATCCATAATTGCTTAATTTAAGCAGCTCTTCTGTAAGGCTTACCTTTGCTTTATCATTATTTATATTAGATTCTGAAATTTCTTCAATATTTTCAACTTGATGCTCCTCAGCAACTACAGATTCTATTTGCAGTGTGTTGTTATTAGAGAACAGATAATGCATATTAGGAATAGTTTCATGATTATTATCTGATTGATAATTGTCAACAACTTGCACGTGTACTGATTCTGTTTTTGTTTCAATATCAGAACAACCTTCTACTGCTTCATTTAGATTGTCCAAAGTACATTCATTTTGTGACAAAGTACATTCATCTGTAGCAGTTAAAGATTCGCTGCTGTTCAAAATATCAGAATTTTTCTTAATATCTTCGCATTTATTATCTGATAAAGTGCTCCCTTCAACAGAAACTGTACATTTATTCTGCTGAAGTGTTGATGAATCACAGTTTGTATCATTCTGCAAACTATATGTTTCTTTCATCTGGAAATATTTCTGTTAGATAGAAAATACCACTAAAGCTTTTGTATACTTACTTTTTGTTTCGAATCATGTATTGTCAGCTTCTTAATCTGCATGTGTCTTTTAATACCCTTGAAGACGTTAAAAGACCTTTTATTAGAAGGAGCATTTTTAGTCTTGGATTCAATAACTTTTCCTTCTATCAAATCTTTTTTCTTCTGGTTGTTTTCTTTTTTCAATATATTCTCACGCCGTGAATCACGCTTCCAAAGGAAATCAAACGTTTTTACACTCAATTTTCGTGGCTTCGTGTCTAGATTTGACGGTTTTTCTGCACTGGTAGGTGCAGTCGCGATCGTTTCCTCCGACATTTGATTTATCATTTCAAATGTCGTGCGATCCTTCAAACCAGCTCCAAATCAAAGAAAGCGTTCGCTTCCACTATCTTATCAAAAATTACTTCACACGCCATCTATTCCTTATCCCGTATTCTTTCAGTAATTACGACCTTTTTTCAAATTAAAAACTTCTCATTACGTTCCATCGTTTTGTACTTATCCGGATACTTTTCTGTTGACTAACTGCAGCAAATGCTTCTGCGTACTTCTGTAAATTTGTTCAAAATTATTCCCTACTGCGTCCAAAAATATTTTTCTACCAATCTCAGAGAAAAAGTTCCTACCATCTACATTATTATTGGTTCGCAGCTCCATTACCAACACAAGCACCATTAATTCTCTAAAACGAAGAAATTACAAATAACACAGTTCTTGATTTATTTATCATTTCCATGTTTTTAAGGTACTTTCTTCGATTTATACTTTGTCAAGATTTAACTTAATTCAAATACAAACAAAATCTGTTTAAGTAGATGGTTTACTGATATTCAGTCAAAGAGGGAAATACTATTTTAATATGCACCTTGTAACCTCAAATGTACTCTTTTTGACACTTGTATAAAATAAGAAGAGATTTTCAATGTTATTTATCTTTAAATGATAATTATTATATATTACAAAAATGAGTGATTCTGAGGATGAAAACTATGTTTCCTTTGGAGTTCCTCTTGATCCTTTAGATGAAGGTAATTAAAGAGATATAAATATTAAAAGTTAATCATAAAATTGTTACATTCTGACATGGATTTTTTGTAGACAATTTACCAAGGAAGAAACCTGTAACAATTGAAGAACAATGCGCGTATGATGCACAAGGTAGACGTAGATTCCATGGAGCATTTACTGGAGGTTTCTCTGCTGGATACTTTAATACTGTTGGCACAAGAGATGGCTGGAGGCCACAGCACTTCAAGTCTTCCAGAAGTAGCAAAGCAGGAGGCATTACCCAATGTCCAGAAGATTTCATGGATGAAGAAGATACAGGGCAATTTGGAATTGCACCAAAGGGTATTTGTGCTACCAGTGATTATACTGACCATGGGCACAGAGGTGTTAAAAGAGAGAGAATAAATCGTGAGAGCAGTGGTCCTATTCCTGGTACTCCAGTACTGAAGGACCTTTTGAAACCTGTGAAGTAAGTATTATGAAGTATTATGAAGTATTAATTTTAATCATTAACCAACATATAATGTAACAGAGAGACGGTTGGCATTATGTTACTGAAGAAAATGGGATGGAGACCGGGTCAAGGTATAGGATCTAGAGTTACAAAAAAAGAAAAGGCTAAAATAAAAAGAAGGAATGCAAAAATGAAAGTATTGCAACAAGATTCCAAGAAGGCAAACTCAGAAAGTAGCTCTGAAGATTCAGAAGATGATCACGAAGATGTTACATTTGCTCCTGATGATTATGAACCATTTAGGTGAACTCCACGTTTCCATAATATGACTTTGATAAATAATAAACAATAATAATAACTCTTTTATAGGTGCAATCCAAAAGATAATTACTTTGGCATAGGATACAGTGGTTTGGATAGAAGAACCATACTTTCTGGTCATGTAAATTTATTTGATACTCCCGCATTCAGTGTTCAGGATAAAAATAAAAAGTTATCAATCCATGGACAAGCATTTGGAGTTGGTGCATTTGAGGCCGACGACGAAGACATATACGAGAGGGAGGACATGTCGCGTTACGATTTTTCGCTCGGTCCTGAACGTAAAACGAAGACGAGATGGTCTAGCGATAACAGTTTGAAAAATGATAATTGTTTAGAAGGTTTTGCATTGGCAAGCGCTAAATTGCAACACAAGAAGATCTTTCCACCACCAGAGTTACCCAAGGATTTCGTGCCGATGCACGCAGTTAGAAAAAGTAGATTCTATCCACCGACTGATAACATTCCTCGTGCAATTGAGAACGGAAAACGTAAAGAACTTACAGCTGAGGATAGGGCTAGGATACTGGAGGAAACTCCTAGTTCTAAAAAATTATCAGAATCTTACCCAAATTCAGTCCCATCGGTCGCCTCTAATATCATTACTAAAGTGTTAAATTTACATGGGAAGCAACGAACAGAGGAAAGGCAGAGAGAGGAAAATCAGCGAGTTAAAGCAGCTACTTCATGGATGGATAAATTGAATGCACAAAGTTTTGTTAAGGGAGGCACCGTTGGTCTTGGTAAAGATTCTGAGGGAAGTTTGAAGAATCTAGAGGAGTTTAAAGATTCCTTTTCAGCTTCAGAGGAACAAAGTGGCACAAATAACTTAACCGAAGATAGTTTCATAAACAAGAGCACGATGAAACCATTTTTATCTGATCCTGATAAACAAAGACGTTTCGAGCAATATTTAGTTTTCTCGGATAAAGGTGAAAAGGATAAACTCGAAAGTATACAGTCATTATCGATGACAGAATGGGACAGGGAACACGAACGGGTTGAATTTGAGCAAGCAGCTAAATTATTTGTAAAGTCAACAAACGAATATGTCACCAGTAAATTTACACATGCTTCTGAGTCTGTGAGTTCGGATGCTTCTTCAGCAAAAAATGAACAAGATAATGAGTTGAAACAAGCTGTAAAGATGAAAATGTTTGGTAAATTAACTAGAGAGCGCATAGAATGGAAACCTGCGAGTATCGTTTGCAAAAGATTTAATATTCCTGAGCCACAGGGCGGCTGTGCTCCACCAGAAATGCAAAAGAAAACAGCGAAATTTTCAATCTTTGATTCCATAGATTGGAGCAATTCTACGAAATTTTTGAGAGCTACTGACACCGTGTCAAAGGAAACTCTTGAAAGCACTGCTCCATCAAAAGAAGATAGCGTTATTAATAACACAAATGTAGATATAAAGTCCAATAAAGATATTCCTGTTAATAGTCAACAAGCAATAGAGCCTGTAACTGAAAAAATGAGAAATTTTGAAGCTTCTTACGAGAAAGTTTTTGGCAAAGAAGTCCAAGAAACATTTCCCAGAGCTACTGAAGTCAAAGAAAATTTAGACAACAAGTTTGATTCAACTACAGAGATTCCAGATGAACAAGCCAAAGATGTAGAGAATGATAGTATAACGAAAAGTAAATCGGAAGAGAAGAAAGATCTTTTCAAAGCAATTTTCTTAAGTAGCAGTGAAGAGTCTGATTCAGAGCCAGAAGAAAGCGTGGATAGCGAGGTGGTGAAGTCGGTCCTAATCGGTAAAGTTCCAAGCGAGGTGAATGTAAACAGAAACACCTCTCCACCTCGGGGAATTTTCGCCAAGGTGGATCTTGATAGTTTAGTTGCTGATCCTAGATCCAGTACGCAATCAAGTGAAACAAAGAAAGAGGTAGATGTAATCACGGTATCTGACACTGATTCAGGAAGCAAACAGATTAGCGATACCGGTTCAAATCCTCCAGAGGTTCAGTTGTTGCCTGATATGTACGGACCTGCGCTTCCTTCAAGACTACTTAAGAATGAAGCTCCTCCTGAACCAGAGGCGTCCAGTTCACAAACTTTTAAACCCGTGTTCAGAAGTGTTGTTGTACCAAAACCCAAAACAGATTCTAAGGTAACCGGTGTGTGGGTGGAGCGAACAAAAGTGAAGAAGTCGAAGAAGGAGAAGAAGAAACATAAACACAAAGAGCAGAAGAGCTCGAAACACAAACGGAAATCGAAGAAGGAAAAACGTGGTCCGTGATGGGGACAGTAATAAAGAAAGAAGATATTGGTAGAGGAAGTATTATCTTTTTGTATATGCTCCGATACACGTAACTGAGCAATCTCTTTCTTTTTTAATTGCAGTACCATTTGTTGTAATTGTACATTTAAAATCGCTAATGCTAGCAGAGAGCAATGATTCAGCAAGGTACTATAAATTTGTAATTTAATCATTTGTCTGATGTTGTGGAGTTTCTTGATACTGGTCTACTTTGACTTGAGGTGCCAGTTTTCTTCTCTACACTGAAAATAGAGAAACAAAATTATTTTGTCAGTGACAATTTCATTTTCATTCTCTAATTTGTACATACTTATATCATAATATTAATATTAAATCTTAGTTGATTATTCGACTGATTATTGTATTGTTTAAAAAATAGCATTCTTTTCAAAGTCCCCTTCGTTTAAATTTTTATTTTTATTTAAACCAAACCATACCTGCTGCCTCTCGAACCTCGTTTGAACATATCCGTTAATTTCTTCTTCAGATTTTTCTTTTCAGTCTTCTCCGTGATACTAGTTTCGGATCCCGAGGTCTATAAACAAGAATCATTAATTTTACAATTGTAAAAAACAATGATTAATATATTTATGATCTGTGTACCTGAAGAGAGAGGTCCATGGAAACGTTTGGATCGTCTACGCTGGCTGATTTAGTTAATTTTGTTGTAAGCTTTTTTATTATTCCTTTACCGTGTTTCTTCTCTCGTTCTAACATCTCGCTCTTCGTGGAACCAGTGGAGAGACGACTAAAAATTATCGAAAATTAATAGATATATTCTTAAATATGTTACAGATATTGAAATACCTATCGACACTAGAATCTCTCTGTAAACTAAGCGTTCGTCCATCAACTTCCGAGCCTTCCAACGATTGCAAGCTGGACATGTTGCTATCAGTGCCCCAAATACGTGACTACAACCAATCATAAATTAAATATTCTATCTGATATAATTTTTACATTATATACAACTTTGTTCCGTGCATACTTCCTCGTTTCGTGCGGTCGTCTGTTCCAAAGACAAGCTCTTTCTCTTCAAACGTGGTTTTGAACGAGCTGTTGTTATTCCTTTGCCTGGATCACTCTCAACGGATGTTGATCTGATAGTGTATAATAATCATTGATTAAATCTAGTCAAAATATAATTAATCATATTAATCTTCACCTTTTGCTGAGTTTCTTTAGCCTTGTAGCATTAGTTTCATCAGCTGCTTTCTTTGATTCCTTCAACTCCTTTGCCACATCCATCAGCTTTTTAATAGTGTATTCCAATTTCTCTGTTCTTTCGCCAAGTTGTGAATTTGAACCTGGATATTCAATACAATCATTGATTTAAATCATCTAAATGAAGGAATAATGATGATCATACCTCTTATGTCACCCTTTGCGTCCAACATTGGCGATGATTCTCTTGATTTTGGTCCCTTTAAAGTATCAAAATAGATGATGTATTTTATGAATAATAACTAATTATTTTAATGTAATGTACCTTTAATCGTCTGGGTGGTGTAGGTGTGTAAGTACTGGAATTTCCATTTTCAGCTATGCCATTCAACTCAGGGAAGAATTTCATTAAATCATTGACTTGTTGCAACAGCACATTAATATTTCTTAGTTCAGTTTGTTCTTGTTTACTCTTCTTGAAGATAGCATCTTTTAGTTCTTCTCTTTCCCTCTCGTGTCGTTCCTTTTCTCGCCTCATCTTTTCGTTACTGGTCCTTAGTTTTGCGTGGGCGTCTCTTAATTCCAGTAAATCACATTGCAACTGTAGGAAGAAATACATTAATTTTTAAACCTTTCACATCATTTTTTAATGAATATCTACCTCCAGCAATTTCTTCTTGCTCTCTTCCTTCTCTTCATCGTATACCTTCTTCAATTGATCCTGTCGTCTCTTGTTTTCCAGTCGTTCTTTTGAACGTTCTCTCTCAATCTGTAGAGAAAAATTTTAATATTAAATATCAGCGAGGATGGCTTTAACTTAATACATACTTCAAACAGGGTTTGTCTCAAATCCCTAGCCAGTGTAGCTGTTTCTTGTAACAATCTCTGATGCTCCTCCCGTTCTTTCTGCCAAGCCAGTTCCATGCGAACTTTTAATCCTGGGATCTTTGTCCTGCCACTGGCGATCATTCGTTCCTCCTCCAGCTGTAATATCGAAAGAAAATGAAATATTTTAAAACCTGAAGAACCAGGCGTTTACAGTTTTACCTCGTTGATTCGTGATTGCAATTCAGACACTTTAACATGACTAGCTGATTTTTCTGATACTAATTCTGCTTTCAATCTAGATGTCTCTAATCTTGTTTCAGACAGTTCATCTTCCAGACTGTTGATCTGTCTTTCCAGAATCAGTCTGCTGGCACCAGACATTTCTTCTTCCTATGAAAAAAAAAGTATACTCTTATATTAATATTGCTACTATTCATTATAGTAAATAACAAACCTCATCAGACTTTCCAGAAGATGCATTAGACGCTAATCTGCCTCTATTAGACTTCAGTTCTCCAATTGTTTTCTGAGCACCCTCCAACATATGTTTGTAAGTGTCGCGTTCACGTTTGTATCGTGATAATTGATTTTGAATAGTTTGAATCTCGTCATTAATAGCCGTGATTCGGTGCTCGTATCTCATCTTGCATTGTGCCAAATCAGCTTTCTTAGCTTTTTCCATGTTTTCTAAAGCATTCTTCAGTTTCCTAATTTCTGACTCCAGTGCATTAGTATCAGGCGTTATTGCTTGATGAATTTTTGACACTGCTTCATAGTCTTTAAGCTTGTCAGAGAGATCGTCATTCTACGAAATATAAATTTTTAAAAAATATAATCATTTTCTAGTAACAATTTTACTTACCGCTTTCCTTAAATCTTCCAATCGCGTTACTAAAGTATTGTTCTCTTTCTTCAAATTGCTTATGTCGTTATTCAGATCTGTTATCATGGCTCTGTTTGGCAACTCACTTTCCTTTAATTTATTCTGAAAAATATTTCTACATGTAATTTTAACGCTCTATTTAAAAATATTTCGTACAATGTGAATTCTTACTTGCAAAACGCCTTTCTCGGACCGCCATTCGCTTTCCTTCAATTTGACGGTCTGCCTTAGTGTTTCTAGCTCCTTGCGAATATTAATTAATTCAGTGTTTTGTTCTCGTAATTTGCTGTAAGTAATAGAAAAGTAAAATGTCATCTTTTCTTAAAATTAAATTGATAAAGATTGGAAGATTAATTACTTATTGAGTGCTTCGTTATCAGCCTCAAACTGCGTTTTCAATTTTCCAAGTTCAATGTACTTCTCATTTAAATTATTATACTCCTGTTCACCCTTCTTCAGCTCGTCCTCCAAATCTGAAATATAAGCCACTGTTACCTGATATATGTAGATCATTCTGACTTGTTTCTTCGTATCATAGTAAAACAACTTACTCAAAATCTTCTCATTATACGTTTGCCTCATTTCGTTCATTCTCTTTGCGTTTAATCCAGTCTTTTCCAATGAATTGACTTTCTTCTTCAGCATGGACACCTCAGCTTCTTTGGATTGTTTCTCTTGATCAATTTGAGACAACAGTTTCTCTTTTTCTTTCTTTAGCTCAGACAATTCTGTGGTCAGGTTGTTTATTTTTGTGGAGTTGGAGGATTTTGCATTCTCCAGTTCTTTTTTCAGACGTTTCACCTCAGCATCGAGTTTGCTCTTCGTTTGTTCCACCTAAAAAGATAATTTTATTTTATAAAATTTATACAATTAACTATTTCAACGACACTCACAGACGTCATTGATTGAGTCATTTTTGATTCCCTTTCAGTGTAGGCAGACAAATCGTCCTGCAATTTCTTGTTCTTCTCTCGTTCTTGGGATAATTCTCTCTTCAGCTCGTTTATCGTCTTCTCCATTTTCTCGCCTTCCTTTTCTGACGATTTGGCTGTCTCTAAATCCTTCTTTAATTGAACGACTTCATTGTACACTTTGAGCTTTTCTGCAGACAATGAAAGTAGCTTCGATTTCAGCTTCTCCTTTTCCTCAGACAATGCTGTTTTCTCCTGGTCCCATGCCTTTCTTTCGGTTTCCCTCATGTTCACAGCTTCATCTAATTTCTTTTTTACTGAATAATAATAGAACAAGTACATAGTAGAAGCTTCAAATATCAGCTTGTTTAGATCTGAATAGTAGCTTACTGTTTTGAAGATCAGTATTTTTGTCTTCAGCTTTGGAGCCTGATTGCGTCCTCTTCTTATCTTTCTCGTTTGATAATTCCTTGGTGACGTTGTCTAGCTTTTCTTTAAGCAGCTCGTACTCGTTCATAAGCTTATCATATTTAATATAACTGTCTTTGGATTTCAACTCTTGAACGTCCACATCTTTGCCATCAGAGATGTTTGTGAAAATGGTCATCAGGTCTCCTGAAAACTAACTTCATTATTCCGTGGTTCTTCGCGAAGTAAATTTATTTATATAACTCTTTTTATTCAACCTATTTCTTTCTCCATTTCCTCCACCATTTTTTTAAGCTGCACTTTGCTCGTCAAATCCGTTGCTTTCTTCTGAAGTCTACCTTGGAACTCGCCCTTGATCTTCTTCAGCGTTTCTTCAACCTTTTTCACCTAATACGAACAATCTTTTATCATCGATGATTGCGAGTTTTAGAAGCTTCACGGAGTATTGATTACCTCGTCATATTTCTTTTCCAGACCGCTTTTCTCACTCTCCAGTTCCTCCACCTTTCTCTCGACTTTTCTTAGCTTGAACGACAATATTCGACAGTTCTTATTAGACTGTTCCAAGCTCTTCCGAAGACGAACATATTCGTCTGCTTGCTCATCCCTTGATAAAATCAAATATCTTCATATCACATACCTACTGATCTGATTAATCATCAAAACAGAAGAATTGGAAGTTTTTTAGTAAGAGAACCATAAGTAAGCTACAGTGTACTTTCAAGTCACTGTACATTATATAATTACCTTTGTTAATTAATTTGCATTCATATTAGAGACTCAAATGGAAGCGGTTTGACAGAGAAAAGCATGAAATTGTGTGTAAAGATTGAAAGGGTTCGACGACAGTATTTTATTCCACGTACTGCTCTCTTTAAAAACGCGGTTCCTCTTTAGTTTATTTTGCTTTTGATACAAGTACAATTAACATGTTGACTGTCAACATGTTCATAAGGAACCATGGATGGGAAATCCATTGGTGACTCTGATGACAGTCAATGTGTTAAGATATTTAATTAATAGCCAGAGGAACTGGTTTACCAAGTGATCAAACATCCACGCGTTCAGTGCAGCTTTGGCGAAAAGCAATGCAGTCTTGTTGATGTCTTCCGTCCAAATCGTCGTCCTGCAACAATTCAGACAGCTTGTGTTGCTAAAAAATCTTTGCTAACTCTTTAAAGTCTTCCCTTCGACATAAGCTACCTTTAAATTCTGATTGAGGAAAAAAATTCGATTTTTCTTTTAAAGAGGTTCATGATCAATTTTGATTTTGTCGCAGTAAGTGGATATTCGTTGTTATCGACTCCCTTCATAGTCTCGTTATCGTTTTGTAAAAAGATCAGTGGCAATTCAAGCACGTGTATGTTATTAACATAAAGAAAAATCACACGAGAGCGAGTCGTAATTCGCCGTTGTGGAAATTAAATTTCTTTATTCGTTTGGTTATTAATTTAAATTCAGACAAACCAGTTAGTAGAATGCTTGCTCTCTTTCTTTTTTTTAAATCATCAATTTCTTGATCCATGGTAAGATCACAGGGTGTTAAATCGAATTTTTTTTTTGCTTTCAATCTAGATCCTCTACAGCAGCTTCACATGTTTCAAGGAAAGGCAATAGAATTGTGAAAATTCTTACGTATAAGACAATCATTGGCGTAACTAGGTAAGGGCCAGGGTGAGACTGACCCACCCCATCCAAATATCCTAGTTACACCAATGAAGACAATCTCATAAATTAAAAAAGAAACACATAAGCCAAATGAACATGCGTCAGCGAATGAGTATCTGGATTACCTAAAAGTATCCTGTAATTCATATATCTCTTCCTCCAGTTGACGAATTTCCTTCTTCATGTCTTCATTTTCATCCATCAAAGTTTCGCATAAATTTTCAGCTGCCTTTAATTTTGATCTTAGTTCTTCCTTTTCTCTATCTCTGTCGCCCCTAAACAACTTTGAGCCTGTTTCTTTCTCCAACTCTTTTACCTTGCTCATTAGGTTTGTTTTCTCTTGCATCAACGCTAAATATCAATAAAATTTCATCAGTTAACACGTCCAGCCCTCGGTGGACTTTGAAAAACTGTAATACCTTCGTTCTTCTTCTGAAGTTTCTGTAATTCATTCGACGACGCTTTGTTAGATATGGTTTCCATGGTTGTTAATCTTCTCATCAAGATTTCGCTTTTCTCTTTTTCAGCTTTCTCGCATCTCGCTTGCAGCTCGACCAATTGTGCCCTTAGACGGTCCATCTCGCTCTGAAGATCATACATTGATTATATTTTATTTTATTAAAATCTATTTCAACTTCTACTCTCAGCTTTGCCACTTGCATCTATTTTCTAGCATTACATATTGCTACATCAGCTGGCACTTAATAATATAATATAATTGTAATCAATTTCAATTAGCTGTTTCATCTTCAAACATAAGGATACTTTATACATATAATTAAGATGTTGCGTTCCTCAGCAATTTACATGGATGGATAAAAGATGTTAATGCAAAGATAAAGTACTATATGTAACAATAGCTTTTTTGTACAGCAGGGAAATATCCAATAATGGATACTTGGAGTGTTAGTTATTTAAACGAATCAAATCTTCAGTACAGTGTCCTGCATGACGTTCAGCGCAATTTAAAAAAGAAATCAGCGATGGAAAGAAAAATTGAGCAAATGGGATGCAGATGTTTGGTATCATTACTTTCTCCGTCGTCTCTTCCTTTTCCATAAGGTGATCCTCATTTTGTATCGCGCTTTTCGATGAACCGATCTTCGACTTTTTCACCTGAATAGAGAAACAGCAATTTACGAGATACATTCGTAGACAAAGGAGGTCCGTTTCTTTGCTATCACTTTTTTAACATGAACACCTTGAGGGAGTAAAGTTTCAAGGTAAATGGAATTAGACCAATAATAAATATTGGGAGTGATAAAGGAAGTTTCAGGGTCTCTTGATTTCTGGATTCAAATCTGCTGCTGTAATAGAAGCTGTTCACAATTAAACTAAATACTGTAGAAATGTTAGGAAATTTAGATTTGATCAAGTCACAATAAAGGGCAGTGAAAGATTCTTATCTCAAATATTTCGTAAAATAGTATTTCTGTAATAATCTTTCAATTTACCTGAATTATAAACTCAACATCATTTTCAGAACTACCCCCACCTCTGTTGGCTATGACCTCTCTGATCTGTAATTTCGTTGGCCTCCTTGCTACAAGATAATAATTTAATAAGAAAAAAAGATGTTATTTCAAAAGTATTACTTTCAAATAATCACCATTTAATCTTTCTTCTTCTTTATCGATGGCAGAAAGATCCATAAGCGATGTCCAGCCGGCTGCTGCCGGCGACGATTCTGAACTTCCTTTGAAATCATCTTTTGCTAGGTTCGTCGCCGACGACCATACCCTTTTACCATTCTCTGCAGACCTAATGAATTAGTTTAATTTCAGTTCAATAGACGCAGTTACAGTAGATGCTCGTTATATTGCCACGTGAGGGATTTGATCTTACTAGTACTACTCTTCCACCGCGGCAATATAACGAGAGTCTATTGTATTCTGAATACAATTAATAAATTTTATTCTTTAATTTAGCTTTGCATCATTTGGTGATGATCGTTAGTGACCCTGAAGGTAGTCGTACCTTCCCGAAGATTGTTCAAACGAAAGGCTAGGCGTGGACGATGTAATATCCCTTAAGTTATCCTTCTTACCCCCGTGTTCCTTATAATCCCTAAAAACAAAAGAAACAAAGTTATAATTGCACCAAATAGCCTTATATTGAATTTATAATCACAGAACACAATTTCATGTGCCTTCTACATCCATAAAAAAAATGATACCTGAAGCATCGTTTGCAGCGGGTCGGCCACCGCACTTGAGGATGGAAACCGAGGGGGCAGAGAGGGTCTCCTTTCTTCGACGAATACATGTGGTGCATTCTACGTGTAAAGACAAGAGATAACATTCGTGACAAACATTCAGACATTAGTTAACTTATATGTCTATTGTAACGGTACACCATTGTACATAATGATATTATAAGTCGGGTGCGTACAACGCCATAGGTTAAATACGGTGTCAGTTTACAAGAGGAGTGGCCGTGTAAAACGATTGTGTTTGTAGAAATAGAAGTCACAGAGGCTCGTTATTTACACAGATATGCCATACATTGAGAGGGTGAGATTATCCTGCTGGTTTCAAAACAATAGGTAACTTTAAGAATAGCTTTTTTAAAAAATATGAAACACGCGAAGTTCTAAGTTCTTCCGTGCCTTTTATAAATTTTTAAGAAAACCACCCTTAATGTCATCTACCATTTCAGCATGACATATATGACACACGAAATATTAGATACAAGATGGTAGTACGACGAAGATACATTGACAGAGATCCTGGTAAGTTTCGTACCACCGTATACGCGTTTCGTGGAAAATACACGGGACCGGAAATCGAATAGCTGAACGATTTCCGACAAAGCATATCTTGTACAGGGTATCACATGGAGCGTCGTTATACCCTACCAGGCCTGAGTCTAACAAGAACTAAAGGGCTTGATAGGGTCTACCTAAAAATGAAACCTTGAATTAATAAGTGAATAAAGTTTCGTAAGAAAATTAGGCGAGACTTAGCGAATCGCTTGGCTTACTGCAAATCGTGAAATACTTGGCAAGGGATAAATGAAAATTGACTTGAAACAGTGCTTTATAGATAGTAGTAATATGTAGGGAAACCTAGAATAGAATGAATAATCTACGTATATTCTCTGGTAACGCTAAATTTTCCAATCTATAAAATTATCCAGTCATCCTCAATGGGTAAAATTCTATATTTGAGGAGAGAAGAAAAAAAATTCCATATCGATTGACGTATACTCACTTGATTGCTATTCAATCAGGTACAGGGGTGCGATATAAGTTTAACTTCGTTAGCAATAATTATACAAGACGTTCGGATATCCACCCTCCATCTTGAAGAAGCAAAATAAGCTAACCGATTTCATATTAAACAACTACAGCGAATAAACGATTCACTTTGCCGGGAAAGTAAATTTGCTCAAAGTCCTCAGCCGATAACCCGTGGAATCGTTTACATCTTTCCCTAATTTGTGTTCGCACTAATTTTTTAAGTTTTTCTTTTTCTTTTTGGTGCCTCGTTGTCCACGACAATCGCAATGTCGATAGACGTCACTAATAGCACTGACACGATGCTGCTATTACAAGGGTTAGACCGTTACTTGTCTCGGACCAGTACGTTTGGTAATTTGGAAGATTGCCAGGATATATATTTATCTCTAGCTATAAATATAGTGCGCCTCCTTACGAGTATTTTACGCACGCATTTTCACAGACGTAGTCTATATCAGCTAAGTGCTTCTTTTACAAATAATTAACTTATACTACAGTAAAAGTGTCATATTACTGAGAAAGATTGGGTTCAACAAGCTGAAAGTAACGTACAAATCATAATTTTTTATTTCATAAACACGCGCTTTTTAAAATGGTACCGGAAGCGCCATCTCGATGTACTATTACGCAATACTTAAATAGTTCTACTTTTTACCAGTAGATAATGAAGAAAACTGTAAAAAGTGCCCCCTGGCGTTGACAAGAAGAACTTCAAAACGAGTCATTTTTGCGCTCCTTACCGACGAAACAAAACAGCTCACTTTTAGCATAAACCAGTAGATGGCGCCAACTTGTTTTCCCGCGCAATGGCAGTCTTTTTAAGATATAGACATTTTTAAAATGGATTTACTCAGATACGAAACCTCATATGACAAAATATGATTCCACATTTTCGACTTAATTTTTCATTAGAAAAAGATTCAAAGCATGTTATACTAGCTGTATGCACGCGTATCATCATTAATCTTCGAATAATTCAGTGTGTTCGACGACAGGTGGGCAAAATTTTAAGGGGTGATTCTAGGGATCAAAATGAGACGAAAATCAAGAATAACGAAATAGCGTTTACGGCTTCGTTTTCCAGTAATTAACATTTAAAAATTCGAGTAAAAAGCGCCTGAAACCTGCAACCCGCCCAGCACCGACGACTGAACGTCATGTCTGCAGGGGTCGGTACAGTCATAATCAAGAATCGGAGCAGTATCGAGTGTACCGACCCCTGCATACCTGATGCTCAGACGTCGGTGCTAGGCGGGTTGCAGGTTTCAGGCGCTTTTTACTGGAATTTTTAAACGTTAATTACTGGAAAACAAAGCCGCAAACGCTATTTCGTTATTCTTGATTTTCGTCTTATTTTGATCCCTAGAATCACCCCTTAAAATTTTGCCCACCTGTTGTCGAATACCTTGTATATTGCGCGCCAAATGTTAATGATGCGCTGTTTCCTTTTCTTTTAATTTCTTTAATTTTAGGAAGGCGGTTGGGGTAATAATTTTAATATTATTATTAATAGTGATTTTATTTCAGTCTATGGTTATAATTCCGTGGCGAATTTCTTAAAACGTAATTAAGTAACCTTCGACGGCGATAATTTCGCGGTTGTGCGAGCTTTCCCGATTGATTGCGACCTCGAAATCAAACGGTTATCCCTGGCACACGTCTGTGTCGCGATGTGGGATATCCCCTCCAGAAAGTAAAACGACGGAGAAGTCGAACCGATGCGCTTCCCCGGTACCTGGCCACCAGTCGCGATTTCAAATTATCCGGTTATAGAGGTGCGAGCTTTTTTCGTCGCGCGTGTTCACCAACAACACGGCGATGTGTTCTCGCGTTTCGTTGTTACTTTTCTCGTTCCTGTTGCTGTTCACCGGTTACCGATGCGAGGAAAATGTCACCAGCGTGACCGAGGAGAACGCGTTGGCGAAACTGGTGAAAATGTTTTCGAAACCCGGAGCGTTCAAACGAGTGAGCCTCGAAAATAAAATAAAAACACCAATACTATTCCAGAACCCACGCTATTACATTCGAAAGTGATTAAAAGGAAATTTCTACGCGAGAGTGCAACTGTTCTTTGATCAATTAAAATCGGTTGTCTCGATGATTTCAAACGAAAAACAAGAATTAATTATATAAGTAATTTAAAATTATTGCAAGTTTTTAGAGATACAAGATAATTGTTACGTGTTTCCATATAAGGTAAAAAAAAAAAAAAATGATCTGGTACTTGTTGGACCACCAAAGGACGAGCGTAAACAATTCGCTGTTAAAAGTACCGGCACTCTGTGTTACATAATAAAAATTGTAATCGAAGAACGTACGTGCACGCACTGTTCTGGAACGGTTACACGATCTTAATACCGTAATAACAACACGAACGTAGTAATTTTCCTTTTAATAATTCTAATAATGCTTTTATAATATCTCGTTTAAAACGATAACATTGACAATTTATAAGTTCTCCTATCCGAGAGAAATTAATAATTTCTTGCGCTTGTATCGTTAACTCGACGTCTATTAATTAGCGATGCTTTTAGATAAACGCGATACTCGGTGAAAATTCGATCGAGGAGTCTTTCACGTCCTGTCCGAAAGGCGAGGAGGGTCTCGAGTGCAGAAGAGCCGAGGCGAGGAGGTCCGTCGACTGTCCTCAAGGTAATAATTCTAGATCTTCAAAATTTGCATTTCTGCCTTCTCCTTCCGCTTCTCAACGTCGTGATAAAACAATCCTTTCTTGTACACAATAGTGATGGTAACCTTGACATAGCCGCTCCCAGACATTGTTTGCCCACGTTAAATGCATTGCATCGCGTGCGAGAATGTTAATCCATCGACTGAAGTTAACTTAATTTTGAATACAAATTTCTATAAATAATAGCGTTAAATAGCGTGATACCAACATTCGTATCTTTAACACTTTTGCTCAACTTGCATAAGAGACACTCTTAATGGCTTCATTAGTGTTCTGAAGACTACCTTAACAGGTGATCTTCCGATTCTCTTTCGCGACGTAATATTAACCCCTTCGCGGTTGAAGGATATTCATTTGACGGTAAACTTTCACCAGAACCGATTTCAGTCCAGTTTCGTTGCTCCATCGAACGATAATTCTCTTAAAAAATAATTGAAACATACATTAGAGGTAAATGCATACCGCCATTAATCAGTGAAATGAATGGAGACTGAATGCATCGCGTCTTGTAATTTACCATTCGATGTGATTTAGTGGGACTCGATAATAAATCAAATTTCCTGGAACGACAATTTGCCTTGAAGATGCGAATATAAATACTAACCCTTCGTTGGAGATGTTGCTTCACGACATACTTTCACTATTGATGGCTTCGGAACGATTCTCGGCTCATCAGTTTCCCCTAAAATTCACAAAACGAGCAACCAGAGTTTCCTACAGAATTTTAAACGGTTAAACGATTGGTATTCGAGATTCGCCCGGTGAATTTTCAAGAATACAAATTCTAGAGAAAGTATAAAGGATAATACTTCAAAAAAAAAAAGAATGCAATTGTTGAAGCATCTGAAAGATTAGTGGCGCGCCTCGATTCTAGACCAGTTCCAAGATGAAAAATCCGCACGTGCGGCGTACACGACACTCGATATGCATCACCTTTGCTATGCTCCTCTTTCTTCCTCTTTAACATTACGCTCGTTGCGCTTAACGTACGGCATCAAGTGTCCCGCGAGTGATGCAAGCGTACGCGTGTAACGGAATCGCGATGGATAGTATTCTCCAGGGAGAAAGAATAAGCGTAATCTACAATAAAAGTCAAAGAGAGGAATTGTAAGTCTTAACCCTCTGGCCTCAGAAAAAAAAAAGAAAAGAAATTTCGCGACATCAGCTAATAAAACGGAAGATTAATTGGACCGGTCACAAGTTTCACCTGTGCGCCGTCACTTCTTTTATTTCCAGGCGACTGTTACTGTTACAATTGTGCGGCAGCTGGTCCTGAATTATGGGCATCCTGTTGCCGTGAAAGCTTACGTTGCTGTTCTCATCTTGCCGCGGCTTGCAGAACCTGCGATCATCCCTCGTTGTACCCATTCTGCTCGAAGCACTTCAAGAAATGTCTGATCGAGCCTAACGAAAAGAAGCAGAATTAACGTTAGTCAAGAAAATTGTCGTTTCTTATGGTACTCGAAAAAGGATACAAATCAAGGATTAAAAAAAAAAAAAAAAAAAAATAATGGGACAACTATGTTTGTTGAACTTTGAGCCGCAGAGGAGGCAGTGATGAACGAAAGTGTATTTTACCTCTTCGATTGCTTGTACACCCCAGTGCAACGGGTTTCTTTCGGTTAAGGGAAATGGTGGGGAGTGGAGCTTGCAGAGAGTGGTGGAATGTTCTCTCCCCTTAACTAATGAGCCTCGTTGCGCGAGACTGTACGTACAGTGCACAGATAGAGGTGCAGTACCTTCGATGCATTGACAACTGGCATTACCTTATATTAATTAACGAGATTTTAATTAATTTTGAAAACTGAAACTTTACCAGTTGTCAATGTATTAAGACGAACTTTGCTGGAATGAAAATGATCATAATCAAATAAAATTTCTACCAATTAACGAACACAAATCATTTTATAGACACATCAGTTTCATTTTTTCATATCATACATTACTCTCGAATCAGGTGTTGCTTTTGACTGCCAAACGAATTGGACTTTTACCGAATAGACAAATGGTTAATCTTTTTTTTTTTCTTCTTTCACTTCTGAAAATATTATCGCGGCGTCTCGTTCGCTCTGAATGGAAATGTTCTTCTTAAAAATGTCAATTAAAAAGAAAACCCCTGGTGGTCCGCGTGTGTGCACGTAACAGACCGAGTTACCTCGAGTAGCCTAACACTCAATCGCTATCTTGCATAAGTTGAAAGTTTTACATCGAGTTTCTAAATATAGTACTTATCTTTCGACTCGCTAAACTGGTCCCCGTGTCGTTTATTTTCTTTTTCTCCGCTATTTCGTCGGACAGCCAGGAACTAAGATGCCGCGATAAATTTGTACCTGACTTTGTGAAACGTCGAAGACCCCGTGTAGGTCGTGTGTCGATCAACGTATGTAACTTCAATTTGTTTTTTCATTTAATCTACAACGACACTGTGAAACGCCATCGAGAACTGAATAAAATGAAAGAACAAAGAACAGAAAGAATGTTTAAGAGTTTGTAATGACGAATTCTTGAGCGTTCTTTAGGTCAATTTACAAACATAGTAAAAAAATTAATAGTACCTTCTAAAGACTAACGATCGCAGGCATAATCCCTCGCTCGTATCTTAACGATTACACTTAAAAACGAAAATGAACGTTCGAACCTTGTACGTGACGGACCGGATGTAACACGCAGGCAGTTCAATTTCCTTTCTTTCTTCTTCTTCTTCTTCTTTTTTTTTTTTTTTTCAATACGCAAAAATCCATTGATCGATCGTTTACAAAGGTTCATTTCCTCGGTTGAAAGTTATCCTTTACAGTTAGGCAAAGATAAACATTTTTCTCTGTGAACGGTGTTACGCAATAAGAACACGCACACGTACGTATGGTATATATGTATACAACAGAGAAACAACGTTTCTGAGAACACAAATAAATCATCACTCGTAATACAATCATTGATTAAGCTTTATTCGTGTAGTCTCCAGAGTATTCGGTATATCTGTACTTTTTAGCTACTAATCCTAGAAAATTTGTGGATGTAGGGAATAGGGGGCAGAGAGATTCTCAGGTAGCCAGACTTAAGATACGGTGTACGAACATTTTTGGACGTAAAATTCTTGTTCTTCTTATTTTTTTCCGTTGAACAACATTCGAGACTTGATCCGAGTATTGATTTTCTTTTCTTTTACTATTTTTCGTTATAGTTCGTGTTCTGCGCTCCTCACGAAATATCAATTTTGTTTCCAAGTACTTTCGAAAATATTGTTTCACAAATTTCGAGGTATTGCTTTAGCCGTGTGAAATTATAACTTCGATCCCTGTTTTCACACTACCGTCCTGCATTGTCGAATTTCCAACGATAAGACTGTCTATTTTTATTTATAAAATTATTAAGTTTCGCACTTGAGAGCGGTTCAGTTCGTAAACAGCACCACGCAGAGATGAAAGACAAGACTAGAAAGGAAGATAGGAAGAAACTTAGCGATTGTTTTCTTTCTTTCGAATCTTACGCGAATTCGAGGCAGTCGAGTATGAGTGATGGGTACACCTGCGTGCAACTGAGGCTTCTCTTAAGAAAAAAATGTAGGGGGAGCAGTCTCCCGCCATTTGCCTTCATTTTTCGGAGTCTAACATAGAATTTCCGGTCTTCGCGGTGGTACACCATTTTCCTCTACGTTTCCTTACAATTAAGGAAAGCCTAAATTGCACGCTTCGCTTTATTCATCTTTGAAAGAACGATATTTCGCACGAAATAAGGGAGGCTGGTGAACAAACGCAATTATTACAAAATAAATACGAAAATCTATCAAGGTTAACACCGCACCTACCGCTGATCAAATGCAACGGACAAACACTGTCGCTTTATAATCGAATGACTAAAAATTGAACGGAGTAATCCCCATAAATATGTAGGTTATGCGTTAAGAGGCCATGCTCTCCCTTATTTTTACCGATCAACGAATAAATACCAGCGAATCGTGTTAACGATTAAGGTGGATGACAGCGGTAGGTAGCGCGACCTGGCAACAATGACGTTTGACAATGACATTATTTCGATTCTCTTACACAAAAAACACAGATCTTGATCTATTATGCGATCGTAGACTTACTACGGTGTTACATGTATTATTCAAGTATGAGCTCAAAATCTATCCACGTAGTACAAAGAGAAGAGAGAGAGAGAGAGAGAGAGATAGAAAGAGAGATAGAGAGATGATTATGCTATTTTAGTTTATTAACTTGTATCATATACCGAGAAATATCAAGACTACAGTAACTATATATTTAGTGATTCGGAAATGTGACCAAGATCGGTTTAGCCGGAATCAATGAAATCAGATTATTTAGTGGGGGGTTTTTGTAATAAGTATTGCTGGGACGTGTGCCGGAGATATTTTAACTCTTGTGAGTGCAGATACGTTATTTTTTTTTGCTTTCCTTTTCTTTGAGAGAGGATTTCGTAAAAATTCGGCGTGTTGCCAACTTGATCGTTTTCTTTTCTTTTTTTTTTTTCAGAAGAAACTTCGGATACATACGACCTGTTAAATTCTTTAAATACTTTTACATCGATGTGACACATGTAAATCAATCGCGCTTAAATTTTACACCCTAATCGACAGGTTTTCGTTCTTTCATATCTCTTTTTTTTTTCTTTTTTCTTGTGTTACATATATATATAACATATATATATCTGTATATATATTATATATACATATTTAATATATGTATTTCCTTTCGTTTAATTTAAATCATCATCGCCGGAAAAATCTTTGTTTTAAATACATTCTGCGCCTCTTATACGAACCAACGACTTATTACGAAATTTCTACGATTTGTGCGCGAATGACACTCGTGTCACTCTAGTTTAAAAAACACGCTGAATACGTATCCTATCTTGTACCGACAAAAAACATTACTATCACTCCCACATTCATTTGCCTGACTATCACTGACACACACTTTCATTATAAAGATCATCGTTTTTCTTTCTTTTTTTTTCTTTTTCTTTTCGTTTTGTTTCTTATCGTAGCCTACAACTCTTTCCTTGTTATAATCGTCTTAAAAATACTCACAGTTTGAAGAAAATAAAGAGATATACACAGAGTACAGGTACCGCCGATGGTTGCAAAAATCATTCAAAACCAGCGACAAAGGTCGGCTTAACTATATAAAAGGGCCTAAAAAGATCCCACCATTTTATCATTTGCTTCGCTGCTGCGTTGAAGCGCGCGCGCACGCCTTTTTTTCTCTCCTCGTTTATCACTACTATATCGTTAATCAACCAATTTATAAATCACGTAACACTCATTACTGTCCTTAGTGCCTTATAAATGTCCACTTGGTTCTTTATACGTGTACGTATATAACGTTATAATTGAAGCAATTATATTCGTTCAGGTGCATCCAAAAATCATTATGCACTTTACTCCAATCGATTGACATTATTTATCTATTTTCCGTTGGGGTATCGTTCGATACCGATGCAAGAAGAAAACAGATACCGTTGTTAAAAACCAATTACATCGATCATCTTTTTCTTTTTTTTTCCCCCGTCTGGTTTTCATTGGTTGCAAATATTCTTTCTTTCTTCCGTTTCTTTCGTTTTGAAGCACAAAACAAACGATGGTAAACATGTATCGTAACTGAAAGCTTAGGTTCTCCGAGACGGTGAAACCTTCGGGTAACAATAAATTCACACTCACACGTCAATGCGTATTCACAAATGATGATCCAAGTAATCCTTCCTCACAATGATACAGGAAATACAGTCTGTCCATTGTTTTCCGATTTGAGCTTCACTTTATAATAAAAGATACCAATCTCGTACGATTGGTACATTATCCTATAAACTGCCCTGAAGACGTGACTGTCACATTCCATTACAATATTTTCCCCTTTAGTACGACGTCGTGGAAAAATGAATGCGAGTATCCTTGCTTCTCGATATTCCTCTAACACAGCTCTGCAATTTCATTTATTTGCATTTACTGTACGATCTCTAAATGCGTCTGGTTACGTTTTCCAATTATGCGGGTGGGCCCGTGGCGGAGCTTGATTGCCTTGCGCTTGAGACGCTTGCGACGGGATCATGTCAAGCAAATATTGGCGTTGCAAATCTGCCGCTTGTCGTTGTAATTCAGCGAGTCCCTTACCGCCGGCCTGCGCCATTGCTAGCTGATAAGGATACAATATTGAGGTAAACGGTGGCATCATATGAGCGGGAAGAGGTTGATGAGGTGGTAGACCTGGTACAGGATTTTTTGCCAGTTCTGAAATCAAAAATTCATTAACGTTCGTTAAAGAACAACGAGTTACGATAAATTGTTTCGATAAAGGACAATTACGGGCATACCTCTGAGTAACTGTTGCTGTAAAGCAGCTGCAGCAGCAGCATGATGTGGACCAAACTTTCCACTCTCTGCTAATTTAACCAAAGGATGCTCTTGTAGTTTAGGGGCTGGTGGAGTTGGTGCTAGCGTCGGCGCTGGTGGTACTTGCGGTGGAGGGGCTGGTGGTGTTGCTACTCTTCTTGTAGGAGTAGCTGCTTTAGGAACTGGTTTTGGAGCTGGTGGATCTGGACTTGGACAAGCTGCTTGTGCCAACCTTTGTTCTATCTCTTGTTCCTGTTGTAATGCTTTCACGAACGCCGTTTTTAACCTGGAAATGTATCGGTACGCGTTAGAAAATATCTACTTACAATCTTTCACGAATACGAACAGGACCTACCGATTAGTATGCTCTGCTTTAAGAGCCTTCTTAACGTTCGTCGTTACACAGTGTTCACATATGACTCTAGGATCACGACCTGCCGGAGGTCTCTGGAAAGTTGCATGCTGTCCTCTCGGACCTTCTTTTTTGCCACCAGTCACCGGCTTCTCCCACTTCCATACAGGTGTAAAGTCCGTTTTACATTGAGTGCACTCGAACGGTTCCGGAGGTGGTGGAATGGCAGGCTCTTTAGTGATAAAATCAACTACGTGCTCTAAGCCGACCAAATATATAAACTCCGTATTAGAAGGATTTGGTACAAAGTGCATCTCTGGTGGCGGAGGTTTCGGAGGTGGTATTTGTAATAACGTTTTTTCCAGTTGCTTTCTCAAAGCCAATTTAGCAGCCGCTTGACGTTGCGCGGGTGTTTGATTATCATCCCTTGGTCTTTCCTACAATTTCAAAATCGAACATTAGGTACATACACGTACATTGAACGAGATGCGTTGTAAATAAGTTCTCTATAAAGTAAAGTAGCAGTGTTATAATAAATGCAATACACAGGAAGGAGAAGATGGAAGATAAGAGGGTTAAATAGAGCACAAAAAGTAATATTATTAAGGAAGGCCAAAGAAAGATGGTACAATGTTTAATAAAGAATTAGACTGGCAAGAGACTGTACATATACTTTTACTGGTGGATATACCTGTTCTGAAATCACAGGTGTGCTTAAGGATGCGGTGGTTTTATTTTCTTGAGATCCAACAAGCAGCTTTGTGTTTACAAAAACACAATTCACGGTTATTTACATAGTTTACAAATAATGTAAACAAGTATAACAGTTTGAATAATAAATTTATTTAAAAAAATATCGGGCGAATTGTACCTTACTTACTTGATGTGCCGGCGAGGGAGTAGGATCTTTAGTGGACCTCTCAGTTCTGTCTGCTGGTGCATGATAATTTGATACATTTGGTGTCGCGCTTGGTGGTCTGCCCCTGCTAGGATGAGGTGGTTGCGGTATGACCATGTTAGGTGGCATTCCAGTACTAGAAGTAGGGCTTCGACCAACTGTAGGTGGTAGTAACATTCCAGGTGGAGGAGCATGTAAACTACTGCTCCTACTTGGCGCAGGTTGTCCTCTAAGTAAAGGTGGTGGTGCTTTTGCTGTCCTAAGACTAAAAAAACAAACGCATTATTCCAATGACTACAAATATAAAATGTATTGTAATCTTTTACCTATGAGCAGCTTGTTGTACCGGAACTGGTGGAGGTAATTTACTGGGTACTTTGGGTACAGCAGCAATATTCTCCTTCAATTGTTGAGATTGCCTTAACTTCTTTAACAACACCAATTTCATTTCCTCAGATCTAAGTTCCTCCCTTAATTTTCTAAGTGTCCTTTCGCGTTCGGCTAATTCATCCGATGACAACTCTTTTATCGGTGGCAGTGGGGGCATATCACCTGATAAACATTAATTTCAACTTCTGTTAGTCATACGATATAATCTGCACAAAATATCTGTTAAGTATTTATAAAAATGTAATATGGGTATACGTGTGATTCTACTGAACCTTAGTATCGAAACTATAAATAAATTTGTTATTTTTATCGTTAACCTTCATCACTGTCTGCATTTCCATTCACGTAACCATTTATTCTACGTTCATCAGGAGTCTCTGCGTAACTTATTTCAATCCTAGGTCTAAGATTACGGCGTGTTTTTCTATCGTCCCCAGATTTTGGGGCCAATATGCCTCTTGCTGCATTTTGAATGTTACGCGCTTCAGGCATGTTGTTATCCACGTTAGAACTTGCTGACAAATGTATGCCTAAATCCAGTGGACCTCCTACATCACCAGAGTTAACAGTGATCGATGGAGAATTTCTCCTGCCACTGCTGCTGGAACCATAATGTATTATGAGGTAAAGAAAAATATATATATATATATATATATATATTTTAATTGAACAAAAGAAATAGTGTAATACCATAAATTGAATATGTAAATAAATATACATTGAAACATGGAAAACAGGAAGAAGTTCAAATGAATTTGCATAGAAAAACTACTATTTGCCATAACTGATAAGGAAACTTGTATTACTAAAAATGATATTATCAGCAAATATTATAATGCATTGCATACTTCTATTGTTGATAACTAGAGTGTAAAATAGCCTCATTTCATAATCAGAATGACGTAAACAACAGCAATTTTAAATTGACACAGTTTTTAACAATGTACCTTTATAGAATATTATGATCAACTGGTTGGATACAGTTGGAAAAACATGAATAAAAAAAAAGTATTTTTCTTATAATTCACCTAACACTCAAGTCCACCACCGCATCCCCGTCCAAATCCATGGCTTCCATTCTTCGAAATGCAGAAACTCTATAAAAAAAAAAAAACACACACACACACACACAAATATTTATTAATAACTTCGATTAATCTGGTTGATTTTATAATTGGATCGATTTCAACAATAACGACGAACGAGATTTGGTAGGAAAAAAACACTACCAAAGAAGCGTACGCGAATGTGTGCGAGAGGGTTTCGCAATGACGTGATTTGAAAGCGATAGAAAATATTCGCCGGAATAAAAATAACTGGGTTACCAAAATCTCCGTTCGGGCATTCCCGTTCATATGCACCGGGGCATCGTGTTTCCCTCTAATTTCGATGGAACGACCGTTCCAAAGGAACGAAGGACGCGGTCACAACACAGTAGGCACCACCGGTAACGCGATCAACTCGCGGACTAAAACGCGCGATGAAAGATCGTGTCTAGCTTGCAAGGCGGGCGATCGGCCGATATCCACGGAAGCAATGTCCTAACCTAACCTCCGTGGAATTCAAAGATGTACAAGGAAGAATATACGTTCTTCGAGATCGTACACGAGGAATAATATTGGCGGGCTTTATTGGGCCGCCGGCAGCGCAATAGGCCGTATCCCCTTCAGGTTCCCCCCGATTTACGAAATCTTTTCGCAAGGAATTTCGTGGCGGTACGAAATCGAAGAATTGAATTTGATGCTTCGGAAGTGGCGTCTCGGCACAATGGCAGCTAAGCGTAGCGGTACAAGACTGTGGAAGGGGGGAAGGGTGCCCTGTACCGCGAGGGGAGAGGTACGGTCGCACATTAATTATTTCTCCCCTCACCCCGTCGACGGTCTAAACCCCCTACCACACGAGTCGGCCACACTCACCCACACGAGCGACATCGGAACGGGCTAGAAACCAATCTCTTTCTCTTTCCCTCTTCCCTATCACCCTCCTCCTTTCTCTTTCTCCCGTTCTCACTCTGCGGATTTTCCCGAATTTCGTCTCCGTACTTCTCCCTTGCCCTCGCCTCCTCCCCGCGCCCTTATGCCCTACGGAAAATCGATTTTTCGACGGAGTCCCCACTGCCGGCCTTCCCGACCGGAGGGACGAAGGAGTTGCAATGTTTTTGCAATGTATTTGATATCGTCCACGCATCTCGTAATTACTATTGTATCGAGAAACCGAGCGCGACCTCTAGGTAATACGACTCTATTTACTCCTCGCTTTTCTTCGCCTCTGTACGCTTGCGAGTAATACCATCGAGAGGCCAGTGTTTTCAGCAAACACGCTGTTCTTTCTTTTTTCTTTCAAATACCCACTATCTCTCCGAGAACACGCTTTTAGAACATCCTAACGCAAAAGAATTAACTAGTTCACGGAGTTTCTCTCGGATCTCCCGCCTTGCACACTTTCCAGATCACGTGACAGAGTAGGATCTAAACTCTCGAATTGATGTCACAGCATTTTTAATTTCCGTTTCGTCACTTTACTCTTCGACCGGCAAAGAAGTATTCTATAGAAATTCCAACTGCGCGATCAAACCCGTACCGTTTTTTTTTTTTTTTTTTCTTGATCGACGATTTCATTCAACGATGCGTATCTAAGAAAACCAATATATACATACATGAAAGAATTTTCTACTTTGTTGTTAAAAAGCGTTTTCCTGTACTGTGTTAAATCAACAGGAAGTAACGCGCGATGTAAATGGTGCAGAACGCTGGAACCAGTAGGCAATACGTAAAGCGACCTACGGCAATCTTACACTTTCTTCCTAACCTAATAAACGAATGCCACCGTTGCAATAAGTCGATGACCTAATCTTATCGCCAAGTCAATTCGAAAGCGAGTCAAATTATTCGATTGAAAACAGAAACAATAGCTCATCGTTTATTCCGTAATTTCTCGTTGAACTGGTATACACGATCATCGATAAAAAAAGAAAGAGAAATAGTAATAAAAAGTGCATGCAAGCAAATGGTATAATACTGATCATATTGGTAATATCGTATCAGTTCGATGTCTCATCGTTTATCGTTTCTTTCTTGCATATTAATAAATTGATATTGCAGCTTCGTCATTATACGTGTCGTGGTTGATAAAAAAAAAAGCATCATAATTCATTATTCGAAGGAAAAATATCGAAATTATTCGATGAGGATTAATTAGGCATGCGATTGAAAATATCGTGGTTCGGTGGTGTCGAATGTACTAATACAAGGAATGCTCGTGGCCGACGTGTGACGCCAGCTCACACGACGACGACACGCGACTGATTCCTCTTTATGTTTCCGCGTGCACAACATATTTGCTACTACATTGATAATCGCACCTTCCCTGTAAAACGATTCACGGAGTGTTTTGACCCCCACACACGGTCTTATATACGCCTCCCGCGTTCAGGAAGGCATACGTACCTGAGAGAGGAGGTCAATCAAAGTTGCGGTCCGAATTTTGTGCGAGAATCGTTTTGACATACAACACGATCGCACAAAACGGACAGCAGAGACATGTAGATAGGGCAGGCACGGTGTTTAGGCAGACAAGGCAGCCGGTCGCTTTCCACTCCACTTCACTCCACTCCACTACGATATATTACACTCTCTATACTATCGCTTACGTACAATGACATGGCGCACACCACATCACTGCAGTCAGTGCACGCGTACACTTTGCTTCCCTCGAGAGTCCCTCCCTATCACGAGCACACTTCACCGCCTCGCGATCATACACGCACGATTTCCGCATGTTTGCACGAACCTTTTTCGTGTGACATACCCGACCATCAATTTACTCATCCGCAGAAAGTTTTTCTTCCGTTTACGCGATACAACGTTCAATCGTTGGGTCCGGGGTGAGACGTGGCCAGCAAGTGATAACCGCGAAACGATCGTCGGAATCGTCGAATCCCAGACACAACCTTGAGCCGCTACCTTCCGCGCAAGGAGAAAAAATTCACACCGCCTCTGCGCAAAAATTAACGAGAGTGATTCAATATGGCGGCCTTGTCCGCCGTTGATGTCTTCCCCTCCTCCATCGCTCGTTTCGCCGGGCATCGTCGCCGTCGTCACTCCCCTGCCCCTGTCCCTGTCCCTGTCCCTGTCCCGGCCACTGTCTCTGTCTCCGCATCGGAGGTGTAACGCCGTGGAAGGGGGACAGGGTGGCAGTGGAGAGGAGGGGAGTAGACAGTGGATCTTGTCGCCCCCGTTGGCCCCCGGTATCGTTTGTCGGGAAAGCGCCGCCAGCTACGGGGCTTACCGGAAGCACCCCACGGACTTTGTAAATGCTCTACGAAAGGGGCTTGACAGTCGTCTAAACAAATCCACGTGCTTCTGCGCATTCCCTTCCCTCTCGAACCTGCACCGGTAACCGCCAATCGGGCATCAGCCACGATGGATTGGAGGGTATTTCAAATCGAATCACTTCTCAGCAGGGCTTTACACTGGTTCGGTTCAGCTCTCGCTTTCGATACCGTTACTGCTTTTACCAATCCAGATCTATATCTTATTGTTAGATATCAAAAATGTGACATTTGATTCGAGATTAACATTCAAACAGATGGAAACATTTCACGCGAGCAGAGATAAGAAATAATCGGATTAACAATAATAGAATGTAAGATTAGAGATAAAGTTTAGAGTCTTTGTATCGTCTAGAGTGAATGAATGATACCAGTGTATTTAATGGATTTGGATAGATGACCTCTAATTCGGATGTGAAATAATTTTAATTAGTCAACTCCGATACATTACTTACTGCTTAACGAAAGATTAAAAATGAGCAACTCTTAATTGCGGGACACCTATTTATAGAAATGATCATTTGTTTACTCGGATAAAGAATGCTATTAATTTTCTACTCTTACCTTTTTCTTTTACAAACAATATCAGCTGGACAGGTAGCAGAATAAAGACGATTACGTTTTTATGCCATGCACGATTTTTATTTAATCGATCGATACATCTTTTAAAAATTGATTGATACTTGAGAAAAACATTTGATTTCTATCATCGAAGAAGTGGTGTAAAAATCAGATACCGGCGTACAATTCTACGGGATGTCGGATCGAAAGAATACTGATTTTTACGTGACAGATTTTCACTAGGTTTTATCGCGCCATATTACAAATGCTCGTTCGAGACTCTATTGTCCACGTAGAAGAAACATAGTTAAAAGTAAAAGAAACGTACAATCGTGGACAATTACGGATATTAGCTGCGTTTACGATAATAGATTTCTATCGTTCGTGACAAACGCAATAGCTGACTTTGAATATCGTTTTTTATTATATAAGCTCATCCATCGACGAACGAAATCTGTCTAGTCGGTTCAGCTTGTTACCTTTTTATTTTTCCGAACAAAACGAAGGGAAAAGTTTCGGTGTCACGAACGACAGGAAAACTAGCTGGCCGGGAGTAAGACAACAGGCGCAGTAACACGAGAGAATTTTTATAAATACACATAGTTCGCTGCAACAGGCTGCAAGCAGATTGGAAAATCGTACTGTTTAAGGAACGTATCGTATTATCGGGTGTCAAGGTGTCGCACAGGGGCAATCGAATCGAACGAAAATCGACGTTCGTTAACAAGAACAAATAAAAAAAAAAAAAAAAAAAAAAAAAAAAAAAAAGAAATAGATACAAGATCGTATTTATGTACGAAGGTGTAAGTACAGCTTCTAGTTTACTTGCTCGTTCCGGTTGCCCGCGTGTACCTGTGCACCTGGAGCGTGATTTCACTGAAATGGACGATCAACAGATAACGCGTTGAACGTACTTCACATTTACAGACAAAACATTGTTAGTACCTATATAATATATATACACATCTATACAGGGTGTCCGGTGAAGTATTCGATAAACTTCGTCCAATTGTAAAGAAAAAAATTCATCAAACACCTCACCGGACATCCTGCATAATGTCGAGGATGTATTCGACCATTTCGTCGTCCAATGATTCCCGCCGAGACTACCTCTTTTATCGTTAACCCTTTAAGTGCTATGAAATGTCAGACCCTTCTGGGACGTGCTGATACAACTGATGAATTTTAGGTATTTTAGGTATTCCAAAGCCTCCTCTTACAGTTTGATCAAATATTATTTCATTTATTCAGATTAGGTCATTTATTTGTGTGTTTAAGGGAAAAGTAGAAACGAGATCCTACCCTAATCTCTGACTAATGGAACAATCCTTTCCCCTACACTTACCCGAAACTGTAGAATCTAAACAAAGGAATAATATTTGATCTAACTACCGATCTAATTACCTAGCATTTTGTCAAAAGTATTCAGCACTGAAAGGGTTAATAAGTTTGATCGCGCGCGAAGAAGAGAATGTTAGAAAATCAGGTACCACGTTGAATACCGACAAGTCGGTTTCGCGAATGTTCCTCGGCAGGTTACATAGCCGGAATTATATCTCGCTATTAATTGCATGCTGGTGCATAGAACAGGAGAGGACTTTCCCTGTTCTAATATGCTCTTTGCAAGATGCAACAGAACCGAGATGCTCGATGTCGAAACGTTCGGGTCCGCGTGCAAACGGAGAAATTGGACCGCGAAAGGTCGAGGGCAGTAAAGATATTTATTTATATTTTCCCTTTGCACGGATATATTGCAAGAAGAATAGGACGATGCAACATGTTCGACTTGCGATTTCCTCTCTTCACGCGCTTGCACAATGTATACGCACTTCCGGTAATCAATGACTCTATCGAACGAGTTCAACGAACTGTTTCCGTTTTAACGGATTAGGAGATCGACTTTGAATTCGTACACGCGATTTTTCGCCGTTCGATCCACTCGCTGTCCATGGTGGTCCGTTAAAATTAACTTTCTTTCGGTGCCTTCGCGATTTAACCCTTTCGCTGATTATCTTCTAGTTCTCGTTAATTATCTGTCGTCGTAGCGAAAGGGTTAACGAAACATCTGAATCGCTGAATCTGAAAAAGGTGAGAGGCACCGAAAGAAATTCGCCTGAATTTTTACGAACTTTCATGCAAACTTTCTTTATGAAATTTACGTAACATTGAAAGTTGAACAATTTAACACGTTGATTGATACAGCGAAGACGAGTTGTAATATACATTGATACTCACAATTTATTTATTTATTTATTTATTTTTTTTCTTTTTTTTAGGTCAACGTGTTAATCGCTAACGCGTTGACTACCACGGTACACTGGATATCAAGAATGAACTTTTTATCTAATTTTTCTATTTCCAATTAACTTCGAATTAACTGAAGATTAATTTCGAACGCGGAGAAAGTCTGCACCATTTGGCGAAGATTGCATTAGGATGAAACTCGTGGCAGTCAAAGCGTTAGAATTGCATGTTTGTCAACGAGAAAGTATCATTTTAATACTGATATCTATTTCATAACGAAGAAAATTGTAAAGTGTAGGACGCCAAGCAACACCTGTTTACGCATCGAAGAACACGATGGAACTCCGGTTCGATACGTCTTATGAAATAATTACCTCGTTACACGACGCTTTTTTTCACCTTTCTTTTAGAATTCAACTGTTCGAATACTTTCAAGTAGACACAGAGTCATTTCTACGATCGATTAACCAAATTTAACCACGAATGGCGGTCACTGAGACAATGATTAAATTTAATATCAGACTGTTAATTAAGTAAAGTTTATCTTCAATGATTCGATATTTACCAAACCACCATTCCTGTAGATTTTTCCTCGAAAAATTTCAATTTTTAATTTCGATCCAAGCACCATTGTATAAGCCCGGGTCAGTTCGACCCATCTCCGCCATTCGGGGGTTAATCCGAGCAATGACTTTGGAGAGGAACCGGTAAAAGCGTTCCTTTCAACACGTTTAAGCGTCGTTCACACACGCACGCACACACATATCGATTCTCGTTCGTTAGTTTGTCATCGTCAAGTAAAATAACTTGGAAAGTAACGAAGAGATACGCAGAAATTGATTGGTTCCTTTATTTAAGAGATCTTAAATCGAAACGTTCGTGCGGATCAAACCAGTTGACAAATTACACACGTCTTAAAATCAACGCGAGAAACGATTTTCATTTCTGTTTAAAGAACTCCAGTTCCAACTACTTTCTTTCTCTATACACTTCATCGAAGACATTAGATTGCTGCTAAAGTTCCATCGGAAAGTTTAAATACCGGGTCATTTTTGACCTACATCTTTTCACGAAAATGATCCAGATAAGCAGTAAATATATAAATACGAAATGTGTAAAACGTCTAAGACCACGAATAACAAAACGAAATAACATTGTATATAATTAAAAAATATATTTGTAAAACATTCGATTTTTAAACCGCAAACATTATCAGATAATATTTCGCGTTAATAAAAAATTAAAACACGTATAACGAAAATTCAGCTATGGGGTTAAAAGCGTCCTATATCGTCGTGTAGCGTTAAAGCAGATAGAAAGAAATATATGGCACCAACAAACTTCCACTTAAATCGCTATACCGTATAATTTTATATAGGAACAAAGATTCTATACAGCTGTTATACAACTTGTAATTAAAAATTTCACATAAAATATTCTAAAAAAAAAAAAAAATTAATTCTCACTCAATTTTTTTTTTTTAAATAACAATCAGAGAACTTATGCAGCAACCTAATGTTTAGGCAACGTTCGCAAAGTCGCGCGCGCATCTTATCGTTTCAGTAGAAAACTCGCGGTGCACCGAACACAGGTTGAAAACACGTTCTGCTACGATTAAAACTGTGTCGTGCATAACAGAGGCCACGTTTTGTCCATTAGTTCACGATAACGTTGCTTTTTCGTGTTTCTTTCGTTTAAACAGCCGAGAGAACACGTCTGAATTAAACACTTTCATCGTGTTGGTTAAACAAACCCCTAAGGTACCCGATTATTTAACAGAAGGGTCAACCTGTTAACCGGTCGAGACGAGTCGACTCGTTGATTTCATTGATTTATACTTTCGGCAGGTAACATTCGAGTTTATCGAGAGATCTTTTGCGGACAAAACGAATAAATTTTGAGAAAGAGATCGAAAGATCAACCCGGTCAACGCGTTAACTCGCGCGCGGTGTGTATTTACATTATTTGCGCGAATTCTATTGCACTTTGTAGATATCACGAGACCCGATGAAAACGTTAATTTCAACGGATCGCGTTCGCGCGTGTCGTTCGAAGGAAGAATGAAAAATAACAGAAAGTGCTGTTGGTGAAACGACACGAATCGTTGAAATGCAAGTCGACCGCGATAATTAGGAAATATACAAAACTAAACGCTAAAACTACGACGTTTTCTTTTTTTAAACGTGGAATACCGAGACAACCAGCGTAAGGTTGGTTCGCGCTAACGAAACCGATTGAGCACTGTTTTCCGTTGAAACAAATACGCGCGGTTCTAGTCAACACGAAACGCTCACTCTTTTTCATTCCTTCGTTTTCGGCTTCGAGTATCGTTATTATTGTAAATAATAATGATAACGGAATACTCGAGTGAAAGAAGAAGAGGCAATAACGCGTCTCGAAGATAACAATTTACCCCACCGTCGAGTGATCACCCCGTGCATTCTCAGTATTTTTAGCGCGACGGAACGAGAGTTGTGATTCACTCGCGTAAGTGTTGCTCCGCTCCCGTAACGCGTTTGTAAGTTAAATCCGATTCTCGCGGAGAAAAGAAACTCGTATCGAATCGGAAAAACAAATCTCCAGGACCGTTGTTTTTTGGTTTCTTAAACACGTTTCATTAACCACTCTTGCTACTTTGGATACACGCGTGCGCTCGTTTCTATGAGCTAGGACTTTCACGTTCCGTTAATTAATTAAACGAGAATACAACGCTACAAGAAGACATTCATCGTTTTTTTTGGGCCCGGTCACGTTGGTTTCTTTTTCTTAATATTCTCTCTTACGTCGAAAACGTTTGTTTCCTCCCCCTCACCGTTCGTAATGGAAGAAATTACACGGCGGATTAAGTTCCGTCTCCTATCTCGCGATTCGACGATAATAAAAAATAGCTTGCTCGCGTTCGCTATCTCAGCCCTTAATAAACTTATATACATATCTAAACGCTGTTTTGGTAATATCTTTATTAATAATTGTTTTACGGTGTCGATCGAGGAGCGCGCGAATTAATGGAATATCGTTCTTTCGTATCGGACGAACCACGAAACGTAGTTGATAGACGGCGGTAAATGTTGAGATTGTCCGAGGATCGTTTTCGTCGTTTCACGTTGAATCGAGTCTACCATCGTTGACACTATATTTCTTGCCTTCGTTTCCCTCAACGCGGAACCATCGTTTTTTGAAATTTACCGCCATACGTGTTACACGCCTGCCCCTTTCGATTGGAATGAATTATACACGCGTACTTGTAAATTAATATTTGTATAGATATAAGGATATAGATATATATCTATATATGTATATGCATATATATATATAAAAAAAAAAAGAAACGTTGCTGGTGCAGTGTCTGAAAAGCGTTTTTTTGTTTTTTTTTTTAAAAAAACAATCCCATAAACAGAACGAATCAACGAACGAACTTGTTTCTACGTAACTCTCTGTTCGCGTGAAATATGCGTTTATTCGTAATTGCCGGTTTCGTTCTATCGATCACTTAAAACCATGTAAAATATTTTGTTTCTTTTTTTTTTTTTCTTTCTTTCTTTCTTTCATCTTCTTTAGGAACTTATAATACTATACTCGTGGCGTACGACGTCCTGACTTATCCTGAGGTCACGTGGGAAATCGGAACACGCGATGCGCGTAACTTCGAACAAGGATCTCGATGGAAATGTACTTTTCTTTTTTTTTTTTTTTTTTGTTGACTCGATCGGATCCGTTTGAATCAGCCCTTTCGTGTAAATTAATTCGTTCTTTCAACCTAACACGACAGCGACGATTCCTCTGCTCGAAATTAATCAAGGTATATTAAATTAATTCTATCGATATCACGAGAGGCTAAATAACGACGGTAAAGATTACACCGCGTAACCCTTTCATTCTCGCAGCTTCGAGTGGAATGTCAGATATATGTTTTAAGTAACGTTCGAGTTTGATCGAATTTGATCGAGTTCGAAGGAACACGAAACTTTAATCAAATGTTTCCTCGCTTGGCAACGGTAATATATTATTCGATTGAGAAGCGTTCATCGAAATCCACACGACAGCCGAGCGATCGTTCGAACAAGGATGGTCAAGACGGTTTTGTACCCACTGCATTAGTTAGACCGGGCTATCTCGTCGAAAGACGGTCACCATCTGTCGATTATTTCATATACACGCGACGAACATTTTTCGCACAATAGATCTTCTAAAAGCATCTCTAAACATTTTCTTTTTTTTGTTAGGAATTGCATATCTCGCGTATCGTTTTCCTAATACACGTAGGATCCCGTCTTTCCCCTGTACTTTTTCTCTTTCGCTCTTCATTTTTCTTAGATTCTTCTTAATTTCCCCCCTTAAAACGCACGCTTGATCTCTTTCTCTCTTTCGCCACCTATTCTCGAGCACCCTTTCTAAGATTTTATAATTTTTTTTTTTTTTTGTATCACAGATGTTTTCTTCTCGATTTATCGTCGCCCCTTATTATTTATCTATAGCCCACTCGATATAACAAAAGCAAGGGACACGCCGTGGTCGCGTTATTTCCCTCGCTGTTTCGTTCGTCATGGTGCTAATTATTATCATCATCTCTCTTTGCTATACGTAAGATTTTCTTTGTCCCGCTGAGCCGACACGATCACAGATCTCCTCGTCTTGTGCCATCATTTTTTTTTTTTTCCACGCGCAAGAATACACACGATTCACAACTAAGGCCTGCCTTAGTACAAAAATATACATTCGCTTCTTAAAAAATAGATCTTAGCATTCTGTACTGGCTAGCGTTCGTTTGATATTATACAGTATTTTGATTCTTGGCAGGCTGCTTAAAGTTTAGTACATATTTTATCGGCTACGAGAACCACCGGTCGAGTGAGCTCTTTTTTTTTTTATTCTTCTTTTTATTCTTCACGGGGGCGTTTGTTCGATCTAAACACTAGCTGGCGCACCATCCCTTCGTTTTTTTTTGTTTTTTTTTTTTTAATTAAAACGACGCCGCATATTCATAAATTCGGTGTTCGCGTGGCTGAAATCATCAAGGGGCGAATCGACGAGGGCCGCGAGCTAAGACGGAAAGCTAAAACGTACGTGTAGTAAAAAGGAAACCGTTAAACGAGCAACGATCGTGGAGACAACCATTATACATTATTCGATAAAGTACAACAGATTGCAAAGTAGGCTTCCTTTAATTATAAAGTAAACGCAGGGAGGAGGAAGGTTTCTTCTCCTACGCTTCCTATTAACCAGAGAAAACTTAAATCGCAGCCGATCGTACACACACGCAACATCGATGTGATCAATTTCGTTTCGATGATTCGCGAACGATGCTTTCCGTTTAGTCGGGATCGTCCTCTTTTGCTTTATGAATATGAGGTCGGACATTTGGCGACACGTGCAGCTCACCTAACTGGTGTAATACCTTTCCCGGCAGGTTCAGTCTTATGCTTGGTTTGTCGCGACGCGTTTATATCGATATTAATGTGTAATTGGGTTGTGCCCGTTTGGTTAAGCAGCTGCACGAATGCCGTTCTTCTTTCTAAAGACTTTGTACACAGTGAATTCGCAGAGATGGTACTACGTATCTTTCGATACCTGGTTTTTTTTTCTTTTTCTTTTTTTCTTCGTTTTGTTTCTGCATCTATTATTCATTTGGATATCATCGTTCTTATATCCGAACGCGTATCATCATCTTTCGTTAATTCCGTTCTCTCTCATACGTTATCATTTCGCAACGTCATATGTTCTTTCACTCTTTCTCACTCTCTCGCTCTCTCTCTCTCTTTAGACTCATACGCCGGGCACCGTGCCCGCGAGTATACTGTTTATGCGGGACTTCGTTCGATTACAAAAAAAAAGGAAAAACCACGAGCAAAATTAAAAAAAAAAAAAAGAAGAAGAAAAGAAAAGAAGAAGAAGAAATAAAATCGAACCTGTTCGCGCAACAAGTTTGCGAATTTTCATGACAAATTTGCCGGACTTCTATAGAACAGAATACACGCGCACGGAATACGAAATGAAAGGGCACGAGAGCGCATACCTTAATACGGCGCGGGCATTTTTTGGCGAGAGACACGGCCAGGTGTTCCAGCGAATCGCCGAAAAATGTCCATTAAGGTGTCTACGATTTATTTCTTATGGTGGCTGTCGCGTATCAGATATTTTTTTTTTTTTTTTTCCGGTAAATTTATTCTTACCGCGACTCAGGTACATGTTAAGGCCCGTTCATCTTGTATAACAGCTTAAATCGTTTAAAGAAATAGTTTTTCACGTTATCTTGTGCCTAGCCCTTAATCGAACCTTTCTCTTTTTCTTTTTTCTTTTTTCGTTTGCCTTCGAATAAACACGGCTATATATTATTTCGCTCTTCACTTTTCTCTTCTTCTCTTTCCTTTTTTTTTTCCCCTCCTTTAAATTCGGGCGCAACTCCGCGATTTTTGCGCGTGTCCAATAATTTTAAACGCATGAATGTATGTACAGAACCACATATAATAAAAAAAAAAAAAAAAAAAACAATGGTATATACGTGACTACAAGTACGATACGTGACGATGTAATAATAATTACACAAAGGCTCGAGAGAGAAAAAAAAAAAGAATGTAAATAACCTTTCAGAATAACAAACTGTATACACGGTTGTTCTTTTGGTATTATTTCTTTGTGTTCTGGTGGATCACCATTTTATGTTTTTCTTCTGTTTTAAACGTTCAAAATCGTCATTAATCGCACGACAGAAATAGATGCATGTGGCATCCAAATATTTAACATTTAAAGATCGACAGATAATACAGATATACATACATTATACACATACACGATTAGCAGCTAAATTCATCTGATTTTTTTTTTTTCTTCTTTTATAGATAACTACAATTGTGTTCGTTTTCAGCGGTCGCTAAGAGCACGGTGAAGAGACGGTACATATTTTTTTTTTTTATGGAGGTTTATACAGGTTCTTTAACAGGTCATCGAAATGATGTATCATCACCTCCATTCTCTACTACGATATACAAACTCTGTTTTACCACGTACCACCAGATTAACCGCACTCTTCTCGGCGCACATTCATTTAACATTTGTACAAGAGCGTCCGATTGGTTTTGGTATTAAAAATAACCTCGGATCGCTGTTCGACTTCTTAATCGAGTGCATCTTTGTATATCTGCTGCACAAAACACCGTTTAAACTCTTTCGCGAAGTCTACTACTTTTTTAGTTACTCTTTCTTACACTGCATGCTCTTGGCGCTCGCTTGATCTAAGTTTCCCATAGAATTGGAAAAGTATTTGTTAACATGATTTTTTCTTTTCTTTACTTACATACGTTTGGAATTTCGTTACGGTTGCCAGTGGCTCATGGTGTGAAATCGGCCCCCTTTTCTTCGTATTTTCTTCTGGTCTCGTATTCTTCTTCTTTTTAACTTGGTAGGATGATCGCCTCTTACCGGTAGTACATTTGCCTTCGTGCGTTTGAATTCCACTTCTTCCATGACATCGCATGTCACACACACTCAACGGTCTCTTCTTGGTAAGACCTCAAACGTTTAATGATGTTTGAATATTTTTTTTTTTTTTTTTTTTTTTTTTTTTAAATACTTTTCTTTCCTAATATTCATCGATGAGAAGAACGATCATTAATACATATATTGCTCTTGTTCCGAGACCACCACTGTTAGCAATGAAACGTGATTCCATTACCAAAGGTTTTTCAAAGAGAAAAACCAATGCGAATCGCTTCATTCTCCGTTCTGATAAACAAAGACAGGGGGGTTGATTCATACTTAATTTCGATACCCCGTTGTATCAATTCAAGAAAGACATAGTTAACTATGGCTTATCATGCTCTCGTAAGAACTGATAAAATCATTGTAAAGGACAACTTGTGTGCGTTTTTAATGCTCGCCGTTTAAAACTGGAGCTGTGTTTTCTTACCTAACAGGCAATATTGTATCCGTTAGTTACTGGCTTTGAACTACGAATTTACACATGTTCGCTGTTCGATGTTTTCATCCGTAGTTCCCATAAAAACAAATCTTATAGAAAAATAAAAGATTTAACTTTTATAACTTTACTTCTGAGAATGTAGCTCGCCCAGAAATTGTTGGAGATGTCAGTGTACGATATTTGGGAGTAATTTTTGTTTTTGTTTTTTTCATTGCATTGTGTTGAAAATTACTTCTGGTCGCAAAGGACCAATGGCATGATAACTTCTCTACTGTCACCTCCGAAAGCATTATTTACAACTGGAGGTAAATCCGCGTCGCTTAATAGTTTCCACCGACGCCCCATTATTTCTTCTATTTCCTATATAATTAAACACTAATAAACTCGATGGAAGACAACTAAGAAAATCATGATTTTGTTAATCTCAAAAGATACGTAAATATTTAAGAATGGTATAAAAACTTACATGTGTAATGGTCTCAGCCATATGCCAGGATTCATTGTCAGATGCAATATATCTTTGTGCAAACACTAATGATTTCAGAGAGCATCCTCGTAGACGCGCAATAGCTAGCAAGTTTTCTTGATAATATTTGTGGCCAATGAATACAATTTCCACAAGTTTAGTACACTTCCATGCAACTAACACTAGTGGATCAGGGCTGTAGCAAAGTATTAAATGCATTTAGTAATGAAATAGGTAGAAAAAAGTAGCATAATGCAGAAATATTGTTCACCTATCAGGATCATCTGGGTCATGAGTTGCTGGTTCAAATGTTATTCTAGGTTCCATAGAATCAATCCATATTAAAGACTTTAAAGTAAGCGAATACCAGCTAGACAGTCGATGTAACGCTCTGATATTAACGTTTTCGCAAAATAAAACTTTTAAGTGTGTTAGGGGCATGGAAGGTCGAAGTATATCGGTGTCCAACATTTGAATACCGACATAAGAGTGTATAAGATTCAATCGCAGCTCGCATTTTGGGCTGAAATTAAAGAAATCTAATGAGATACTTAAATTGTTTCGTCGGAATGATCATAGACAAATTGTCTCGACGCTTACTTTTTTTGAATAAAATTTTGCCAAGCGCTGTCTGTTGTTCCTAAATAATGGTCATTCCAACCGTGCACATGAATTACAAGTCTTTCCATCGTGCCATTATCTAATGCTTGTAGTAAATAATCAGTTATAAACTCATAATCTAGAGTTAAAATGGATAATCTGACAAAGGAACTAAAAACGAATTCATAATCGAATTGCAAAAAATCGTAATCATCTGGTTCATCTCTAACCGATGCTAAACTAAGAGTTGTCAAATGTTTAGCATGGTGTAAACGAAGAGGTTCCAAAAGCACAGCTGCGCTCGCCGTTAGTTCTTCTATGCATCCTAAACTCAAAGCTTCTAAACGATTAGACGTCTCGATAATTTTTACAAGAGATTTGATCAGCGGAGTAGTATATCCTGGACTGTCATCATTGTCATCGTCGTATTCAAACGAGCTACTACTAGATTCCAAAAACAATTTACGAAGTTGCCTGTTACAACTCAATTTCTTTAAAAGAGATAATGCTTCCTCTACAGAATGGTTCGGGGTATCACAGCGAATTGTAACTTCACGCACGCTAAGTCCAAAATTTTCTCCCAAACATCTGAAATGAAAAAAACAATTAAATAGAAACGATGCTCTGACGTTTAGATTGATATACAATACATTAGAATAATCTTTACATACTGAGACCACAATATACTGTCTTCATCTTTCAGAGCAAATGTAATTTTTCTCCAAAAACGGGGATGAAATAAAGTATACCTCCAATTTCTACAGACCTGTAGAAATTTATTTTAATGAATTATTTTTAATGTTTATTTGTAAGGTGACAGATACGAAAATAAGAATAGACGCGTAATTAAACTACGTAACAAACAGAACTCGAAAGAACACACAAGATTCGACGTAGAAGTTTGATTACCCACAATGTCAGGTCAGAATTTAAACGGCCTTGAGGAGGAAAAAAAAATTCAAGAATACCTGGGAGGCTCTTAACCGGCAGTTGTGTGGTAAATATGAGAATATTTCCTGCAGGATAACACTTGGTAGGTTATCCCAGCACGGATTATTGTCCTCTTGCGCCATTTCTGTCGTACGATTTGCACCTTTGTAGGACGAACAGCTGTTTGCCTTCACTGAAGACAGCTGCCCCTCGCACTTTCTTGACGTTGCCTTCTCTGTCGCGTCACTCTCAACCGAATTTTTTAACTGTTCCAAATATACAACATCCCCATTTTCGGCGCGTATCATATTTAACCAGTTATAGGCGACCTATATCCTGGATTTTCTTCGCAAAATCCTTCGGACTCGGTCACCCGTTTGTTCGAGGCGAGCCTCCTCCACGAATGAAAATAAGAGCCTGACGTGTATTGCGCTCTTACCCGTAACTTCCAACAGCTTTAACTGTCGTACGGGTATGTATATATGTATGCTTATACGCATGATACGCGTCAAATTCAACTTTCTCATTGGTTAATCTTCTACGCATGTCAACTACGGATGGCGTGTAACATTTTGACAACCGCACGATACTTATTCTCCGCGCAAATCGGATAAATTTCGCTTTTTAATTGTACACACATAATATTTACATGAACTGAATAAACACTGATAATTAAAGTCAAGTTTCTTCGTTATTTTATTATCACATCGGAACTGGTTGATAATTTTTATGACAGTATAATTTTATATCATATATGTATAAGTTATCGTACAAATACTATGTTATTACGTATAAATCGAATATTGCGATCCAAAGAATAATAGGCGTATAAGGTAGACGCTTTTTTACGTATGTATAGCTATCGTAAATCTGATATGAAAGATGAGTAATATCAACACTTGTATGTACATACATATACGTTTTTTTCCTTATGAAAAACCTTTTCTCATTGAAATTGTGACTATTTTGGATAGTGGAAGACAGCTTTCAAGTGTAATACGAAATAAATTTCGAAAAATACATATAAACGATTTGTTGATATATTCTGCGATTTATATTTAACCATTTTGCGTAAATTGTTTTGATCGTGTGTATATGTGGTCAATACATGTAATATACCGCGAAACAGCAGTGAAGTCAAAATGTGTTGAGATGGTAGTCGCTTATGCCGGGTAAACACGGAGCTCGCGATGAAACGTCAATGCATAGTGCCGAGCTGTTTTCCTTCTTAGAATTTATTTTACAAATGACACGGAACAATGACGAGCTCGAGAATCCAAATAATAAAATACTTTATATTTCTGTCGATCTTCCTATTAGCACAGAGTGCAGTATGCGATGGAAACTTTAGGGTAAATAGGACTGTACCTGATGGAACTGTAAAAAAAGATAACGCACATAATTCGTTAGAGAAACAAAAAGTACCGCAACAACATGCAACAACGATTGATGAGGGTAATAAAACGGTAAACGATACGACCTTAAAAGCAGACGTTAATAAAACTAATACACAAGTCACAGGATCGCGAAAAGAGGTTAGTCTTTAAAATAATGCAATGTGATTTTTCAGTTTCTGCTATTCTCTTTGAAATTTTATAAAATTTAATTCAAAATATATTTTACTTTATGCGCATATTATTTTATTATTTTTCAACAGCATGTGGGCGAGGGACATACAACTTCTTTAAATGTTGGAGCTCTGAAGCGTGGATTTTATGTGTTTGTGGGCCTAAGTGTTCTTGTCATGGCCTATATCGTGTTCCGTAGCTTTAGGTATATAATTCCTATTCATTTGTATAAAGATTTTTTAAACTGTGTAGTTAAAAACAAATTTTTAACAGATTAAGTAAAACACGTGCCCAAATGGTCAGAAAGTATGGTGTTCTTACACACAGACAAGATGTTGAAATGAGACCATTACCGTTAAGCGAAGAAGATGATGAGGATACTACTGTTTTTGATGCCAGTAATGTTATGACAAATAATGTTCAACATCAAAATTTATGAAGTAAATCAGCATAGAGTATGCTGATCATACTATCGTGTAAATTTTTATTTGTACAAGAAACTTTCTTCAGAATTGATGGTATTTAAAAAGTCAAAGTGTACATCACCTTGATACACACAATATTTCCTGATTATTTTTTCATATAAAACTGCTTGTTTGCATCTTTTAAATTCCAATATCAGATATAAATTCAAAGATGCACTTATCTGTATAAATGATGCTTTATGGCAATAGATGTTTTCTATTAAATAAAAAATGAGATGTTTTTATGACACTTCTCTAGTTTCTTAATATAAGTAAGTAATGAAAGAAAAGAAAACTTACATACTCGTTGCTTATAAATGAATAAATGATGAGTATCTATATCTACTCTTATACAGACTATATTTTAAGTAAACTGTGTTGTTATAATTGAAATTATACAAATACAGATTGTCTCTATTTTATTTAATGCCACATGTTTAATAAACATTATCTATAAAAATATATTTATCTGAATCTTTTATTAAATATAAATCTATAAAAGTTACAAAAATCCTTTTTGAACTGCATGAACAATAACATCAGCCAGTCTAAGTCTTCCACTTTTTGACTTAATATTTGACAGTGTCCATATATCAGCAATGTCTACTGCAGTATCATCTTTTATAGCATCTAAGTCGAATATATCAGATTCGTCTAACAGACTCATTGGAATAATCTCTGTTGCAAACACTAGACCAAATAGAAATTGTTCTTTTACCTACAATTATTTAACTTGGTTAATATTATCAAAAAATGTACATCATCAATGACATAAACGTGATTCACCTCTTCCATAAATGTACTCCATGGATATATATTTTCAGGATTTGATCCAAGCAATTTTATAGTTTTACAGAGTTCATTGTGATAAAATTTTAATAATTCATCAAACTGTGTTTTCCAAACAATTTTATCAGTGCAAGCATAAATAAAAGTTGATATATCTAAAACTGGACTTGCACATCTTGTCAACTGAAAATCAAGCATTAAAGCTTCGTTTTCGTTTGTCTTTCTAGTCATAAAATTTGGAACCCAGCAATCACCTTGAATTATCACAGATGTTGCATGATATTTACGATTACAAAATTCAGCAGCTTTTTCAAATAATTCATCAAATTTGTAAGAATTAAACTTTTTTTCTGCTTCACTGCCAGGATATTCCATAGCTAAAGCATTCTTAGCAATACCTACTAATCTTTCCTGCAGAAATACTGAGTTAATTTTCAAATGTTCCATAACAATTAATATTCTATAATTAATAACAATGATTAGGATATTACATAAAATCTTTTATACCAATCCCAATGATTCATACTGAAGTATGTTTCATCCAAATTTTCTATAGCTTTCATAAATTCTTCTTTTCTTTGATCTTTACATGCAAAAGAAGTTGCATGGAATTTTGCTATAGTTTTTAAAATCATCATACATTGGTTTTGATCTAGGCAATTCTGTCTGTCTATAGATTTATATCCTAAAGTAGTTACATCTTCCAATGTTATGTAATCATTTTTACCATCCATAACAGAAACAAAGTGACGTGGTACACATAATATTTGACTTTGTTCTTTATCTCTTACAAATTCTTCCAATTTAGGGAGCACCTGAAAGAGGTATACATGGTATTGGATAATAGATGAGTTTGTAGTAAAAATAGAATCAAAGTAGTTCTCACCTGAGTATAAAATATAATCTCATTGTGAAAAAAATCTACACTTCTATATGTGTTTCTTCTACCAATATTTTGTGGTAAGGATTTCACCACCAAACTAACTTGTATTTCTTTACCATCAACAATCCCATTAACTTTAATTTTATTAACAGTTGATAAATAATTATCACCTTTAGCACTGGCTTGACCAAAATTCCAACTTAACACATTTACTTCTGTCCCATTATGTACAGTACATAATATATTCTTTAATGTTTCTTCTGTGAAATGACTGCTTACATCCTTTAATTTTCCATAATCTTTACTAGTATTAGACATGATAATAATTAAAATAATTGATATTTTATACCTTCAAGTATTAGAACTGATTCGATTCACTTCTGATAATATCAGGCTATCAATCTGATAGTCTTTTATCAGATTACTGTTCTATTCTCCTCTCCACTGATTCCTACAGTTTGAGTTTTATTCATAAATTAGTCGCTTTGCATTGAGCGCGTCAGTCTGTCTTCAGTCCTCAGAGGTAAGGGGTTATGCTCTTATTTTTCGACTGTATCGCCATCTATACGAAAATGGCGCAAACTACTCAACAACTTACCGATTGATTTCCCGAGAACTAGCGCCATCTAGCGGAAAGAGGTAGAAGTAAGTTGTCGAATAGTTTGCGCCGTTGTCGTATAGATGGCGCTAAGATAAAATTTTTTAAGTGCTCAATGTAAAAATAATCATACATACAAGCAATGTAAGATCTAAATCTTTTATTTGTATACATGATTTATAATACATGATGGTTAAGTAAAATAGTTGTAAATATTTCTATTTATTTATTCCAAAACAGATGACTAGTACAGAAGAACATAAAATAGAATTTAAGAAAAAGCCCAAAAAGCAACTAAGGAAACGACATGTATCATCTGATGAAGATGATGAAAATGAGGAAGCATCAGTCAGGTAAACAATAATCCTAATTATGTGTACATGTAAAATCTAATTGCAAGACTATTACTTCATTTAGAGAAAAAGTGGAGGAGATGAAAATTATACAGAAGCTTCGCGAGCGTCCCAAGGGTGTAAATGTTGTTGGATTAGCACTTGGGGAAAATGTAACACCTGATGTAATGACAGTAAGTTTTGTAATTCTATAGTTAATAATGAATACTATAGAAATTGTTCTTTCTAAGAAGCATCTTTTTCCAGTCAGATCCTTTTAATGTAAAAACTGGAGGAATGGTAAATATGGCTGCATTAAAAAATACAAAGCTTAAACAAAACGATGCTTATGAAACAGGAATAGGTACACAATTCAATGCAGAAACAAATAAAAGAGATGAAGATGAAGAAATGTATGTAGTATATAAAATATATTATCAAACAGTTACAAAATTAACAAATATTAACAATATTGTATTATAATTTTTAAAGGGTAAAGTATATTGAGGAAGAATTATCAAAAAGGAAAAGCAAAAATGAAGACAAAACAGAAAGTGGATCTAACAATGATAAAGGATCCTATTGTTCACCAGAAGAAGCAGCATTACAAGCAGTACCTGAACATTTAAGACAAAGTTCTGCACATAGAAGTGAAGAAATGCTTTCAAATCAAATGTTGTCTGGTATTCCAGAAGTAGATCTTGGAATAGAGTACGTTTTTTTTGTTAGCAAACTACATATAAAAGAAATCGTATTTGTCATTGAAAACTTTGGTATATGTTATAGAGCAAAAATTCGTAATATTGAAGCTACAGAAGAAGCTAAGTTAAAGTTGCTTTGGGATAGGCACAGAAAGAAGGATGGCCCTTCACAATTTGTGCCAACAAATATGGCTGTTAATTTTGTACAACACAACAGATGTATGTTGTATATTTAATGTTTCTTTGATTATTGTTTAATTTATAAATTGTCTACAATTAATATCTTCATTTATTTTCAGTTAATATAGAAGACACAGATTTCCAAAAGTCTAAACAAGATTCTGATGACAAAAAAAAGGTAGCTGTTCCTCGAGATGATTTTAAAGGAAAAAGGAAGGACAATGGAGAAAAAGCAACCGATGATTACCACTACGAACGATTTAAGAAACAATTCAGACGATTCTAAATTTTAATAAAACCATTTAAATAACAATTTATGTATTTCTTTGAAATATACATATAATCGATTATAAATATCATGTGAAATATATATGTGTATAATAAATTTCGATTTATTGTTAGTAACAACTTGTTTTAAATGATTACTTGTATACCCAAAAATAAAACATGTTTTGTAGGAAACAGTTTTGTGTTTCTTGTAAACTTGCCGTAAGCCTTGATACGATCTTACGACGAGAACTAGCGACGTCAATTGGTGGTGGGGAAATTGCATCGAAATTCGATCCCTTTAAATTTCCAGTAACTATTATTTTTCCTTGTACGCTCTTATAACTATGAGTTGTGGATTTGTTACCTGTGGCCCAAACGAGGCACTCGTGGTGTCAGGTAAATAGATTTAGGCTGCATCTTGTCTGCTTTTATGCGCCTCAAATAACTCGACATGGGAGGAGTACTTTGTCAATTAATTGATTTAATACGCATTCGTTAAAAATTGAATTACACGTTATATCATCAATTACGTTTAATTAACTATATATATTTAATATAAAATTATGTTATTTCATGGTCTAATTAATTGTTCATTTATTAGAAGTATTTTTACTTGGATTTAAAAGACACCGATCGTAGAGATACATTAAAATATAATGGATTTTCGGCTCTTCTTTTTAAGGATGCTGCTACAGCAAACCCCTTTTGGTACCCGGTGGCCGAGTTTTTGTATGGCCAATCGTTCAGCAAGTGCAAAAGTAAGTAAATTGTTATATTGTTAAAGATACAAAACTAGCTTATTGTACAAATGTTACTTTTACATTTTGTATTTCTTAGAATTTCATTAAACACCATGACTTTACAAGTGGAAAGTCCTACTGTGTATACATGTCAAGGTGTACCAATATCTGTAACAGGAATTGCACAGGTAATGATTCAATATCAACTACTAACATGCAAAAAATAATTATATATTACAACATTTGTGTATTTGTTTAAAGGTCAAAATACAAGGACAAAATGAAGAAATGCTTTCTACTGCATGTGAGCAGTTTCTTGGAAAATCTGAAGATGAAATTCATAATATTGCGCTTGTTACATTAGAAGGGCATCAAAGGGCAATAATGGGAAGCATGACTGTAGAGGTACAATAAACCTTATACTATTATGATTAATGAAAGATAGATACAAATATTAATTGCATGTACTTTACTCCATTTATGTATCACAGGAAATATACAAGGATCGAAAAAAATTCAGCAAGGAAGTTTTTGAAGTAGCAAGCAGTGATCTAGTCAATATGGGCATTACTGTTGTGTCCTATACATTAAAAGATATTCGAGACGAGGAAGTAAGTTCATCCTGTTTTTCATTAAAAAGTATTTATTTTGTATTCAAAAACTTAAGAAGAAATTCATCCAAAAAGGTATACTAAAAACTTGAAAATGATAGCAATCTAATGTGTTTTTAAAATCTTTTCAACAGTGATCTGTTATTAGAGTATACACTCTTAAAAGTCCCCCTTTAAGTGGTTGTATATGTATAAGTACTTTTTATTAATATCAGTTAATCTAGTCCAATCTTGTATATCGTAAATATTGAATACATTTTTGTTTTGCTACTTGCAGGGGGCAAAGGTACGTTCAAATTTTGTTTTATCACTACATATAATGCCAATGCACTGCTCTCCAGATGAAATTAGTAAAAATCGTTACTATTCAGTTAATGAGGGATTTAGAGCATATATCAAGTATTTGCTTCAATGGTAGCATAAATCTTCTACACACATTTGTAAATCTGTTCTTCAAATATGTGTGTGTGATATTTTTTATTGTATGCTGTCTTTGTGTAATTCAGGCCTAAATAAATTAAGTGCTAAAATTAATGTTATTATTTAACATTTTGAACGAAATAATATCATTATTAAACTGTATTGTGTTAAATTATATTTATCAATTATTTGTAGGGATATCTTAAAGCTCTTGGAATGGCGCGAACTGCTGAAGTAAAACGTGATGCGAGAATTGGCGAAGCAGAAGCTCGCCGAGATGCTCAGATTCGCGAAGCTATTGCAGAAGAACAAAGAATGGCTGCGCGTTTCCTTAACGATACTGACATTGCAAAAGCGCAACGGGATTTTGAATTAAAAAAAGCAGCTTATGATGTTGAAGTGCAAACTAAAGTAAGTATATCATTTCTATCTTTGTTTAAGTAAATGGTAAATTATTAATTTCTAACTGTTCATAGAAAGCAGAAGCGGAAATGGCGTTTGAATTACAAGCTGCAAAGACAAAACAAAGAATTATGGAAGAACAGATGCAAGTAAAAGTGGTCGAACGCGGACAAGAAATAGCTGTACAAGAACAGGAAATGTTGAGACGCGAAAGGGAATTAGATGCAACAGTACGACGACCAGCTAATGCCGAAAAATACAGGTAATTTGTAAACGAAAGAAACTGTTAAATAGATATTTATAAACATTGTATTTACAGACTAGAAAAAATGGCTGAAGCTAATAAAATGCGTTTAGTAATGGAAGCCGAAGCAGAAGCTGAAGCTATCCGAATTCGTGGTGAAGCAGAAGCTTTTGCTATTGAAGCAAAAGCTAAAGCAGATGCAGAACAAATGGCAAAGAAAGCTGCTGCATGGAATGAATATAAGAGCGCTGCTATGATTGATATGATGCTTGATACACTTCCAAAGGTTGCGGCGGAAGTTGCAGCACCATTATCACAAGCAAAGAAGATAACGATGGTCTCTAGCGGAAATGGAACTGTTGGAGCAGAAAAATTAACCGAAGAAGTCTTTAACATCGTAACGCGCGTACCGGAACTGGTTAAGAATTTAACAGGAGTGGACATTGCAAAGGTAAAGTTTGTTATATAAGTTAATATTCGAAATATATTGATACATGAAAACTTTATATATTCTTTTTTCCAGTCTGTTCATGCTGCTTAAACAAACGATACAAGAATTTTAAATACTTCCTGACCACATCCATAATTATATGAAATATTTAATGAGTCTTTGATACATCATTTATTTTAATATGCTGCTCCATATTAGAGTCAATTTATTAATTTGAATTTCAATAACATTTAATTGGATGAAAAGTTCAGTATTTTCACTGCCAATTACTTGACGATAACAAGTTGATATTAATTAGTGCCAATTTTAAATGAATGTTTTAAAAAGTAAAAGATATTTCGTATAAATATTTGGAAATAGATTATAAACAATGAATATGTCCGCACAATATTCATATTCCATTACTTACACGATATGCAATAGATATAACAGTAAATGTCTGAGTTACAGGGGCAGTGAACGTGTATTTTATTTAACCAATATTTTATTTTTATCTATAATGTAAGTTAAAGTTGCAATAAAACTTTTATTTTATTATTTTTTTAATTAATCTTTTATGCACTTAGAAGAGAAAAAAAATTGCAAATATATCTTTTTGAAGTCTCGTATTGACCAAAGAAGGTCCAGTTTTGTCCATACGTATATAACTTTGCCACTATGTGCCGAAACATTCCTCTAATATGCTATATGTACCTTTTAAATGTATTAACATAATTTAACGGGTATGAGCATTTTAGAAATGGTGATGCTACTATCTAATACATTCAATGTGGTTTGATGTTAAGTAATTTCGTCTAGTCCCTGAAATTGAAATATCTCCACTTAAGTGTTTAGTTATACAATATTTCCTACACTTAAAAATCTATTAATATATTTTACGTCGATTTTAGCTAGAATTTACTGTGATCTAAAACTCTTTGTACGAAAAAGAAAATTAGTCATAGTTCTTAAAACACGTTTGGGAGCTTTGATGACAAAATTTGTATGACCAATTTAACGCCTTAAATTAATGCAAAAAAAAAAGATTCGATTTTATGTAAAGCGATTAAACGTTAAAATCAAATCAGCTGTGTATTAATTTACCTACCCTGTTATAATAAGTTAAAAACAAAAACAGAAAACAATAGAAGTTGTAAACTGAAATGCTATAAAGAGGCTCTTGTCAGATATGGGTTAATAAATTTTCTTCATTTTTTTTCACTGTCTTAGAATTGTTTGATGTAAAAAAATAAATGTACGAAAACAAGTTGTTTATAAAAACTGTTGACAGTATTAGTTTTCATCCAAATTAGTTTTACTTTAATGTATTCTAATTCATTCTTAAGGACGCCTATGTCTTGAAATTTGCACTATGGATGCATACAAATCATTTTTAGTCGATTTTTTAGCTGGTGGAATATCTGCAGCTGTTTCTAAAACTGCAGTTGCACCGATAGAAAGGGTAAAGTTGTTACTTCAGGTGCAACATACCTCAAAACAAATAAGGCCAGAAGATCGGTACAAGGGTATGTACTTTATTTTTAACTAAAATGATTTATAAATGTTTCAAATCTTATTGCAGGTATGATAGACGCGTTTGTACGTATACCCAAGGAAACTGGTTTTCTCAGTTATTGGAGGGGCAATCTAGCTAATGTAATTCGATATTTTCCAACTCAAGCCTTAAATTTTGCGTTTAAAGACAAATTCAAAACTTTGTTCTTGGAAGGTGTTCCAAAAGATGCATTTTGGAAACAGTTTGCTGGAAATTTGGCATCTGGTGGAGCTGCTGGAGCAACATCCCTATTATTTGTTTATCCACTTGATTTTGCACGTACAAGGTAATGCATTCCTTCTTTAACTTTAAATAATACTAAATGTTAAATATACTTTACAGATTGGCAGCAGATATTGGCAAAGCAGACAAACGAGAGTTTAAAGGTTTAGGAGACTGTTTGGTAAAAGTTTTCAAGACAGATGGTCTTTTTGGATTATATCGTGGTTTCAGTGTAAGTGTCCAAGGAATCATTATTTACAGAGCAGCATATTTTGGTTTTTACGACACTACAAGAGGCTTGCTTCCTGATGCGAAAAACACTCCGTTATATATTAACTTTTTAATTGCCCAAGTAAATGATTGCTTATCAAATTATTATGCTTAATTTGAATATGCTCACACAATATTTTTTCAGGTAGTAACAACAACGGCTGGAATCATATCGTATCCTTTCGATACGGTTAGAAGACGCATGATGATGCAGTCGGGACGTAGTAAAACCGAAATAATGTACAAAAACACATTGGACTGTTGGGTGAAAACAGCCAAAGCAGAAGGTGTTGCGGCTTTTTTTAAAGGGGCTTTTTCAAATATTCTTAGAGGTACTGGAGGAGCATTAGTTTTAACATTATATGATTCAGTTAAAGACCTAATTGATGCAGCACTGAAAAAAGGTTCAACCAAACCTTCGGAATAATATCTTTAATTTAATTGTGATACTAAAATAATTTGTAAGATCAAATACACTTTTCTGCAAATGAAATTCGAATTAATTGCATATTAAAATTCTTCAGTATAAATAACATTCTACATAATATTTAAATTTATTTTGAAATTAATATTTCGTAAAAAATATATACGCACTTACTAATAAAAATAACACATTGTTGACACTTTATTGTTTTATACATTAAATCTGATGAATTTTAAGATTGCTAGACATACATACCTGGTACAATGTGAATATATCAGCTGTGACCTAATTTACTGGCATTTACAAATAGATGGGGTTCTAATAATTTAATATACATATATATAACATATTCAGAAAAAATTAGATGTAGAACTTTAAATGCCCACAAATAAATGCCACAGCCTCATATCACTATTTGTTATGCTTGATTTTTGTTTAGAAACAAAGGTGTATAATTTAATTAAGCATGGTATGTCTGTCATAAATATTACGTCGCTGCTCACGAACTTGCCGTTTCCATTTATCTTGTTGATGACCGACACGATTCAATACATTACCTCTTTCACCCATAGGATGAGATGTTCCAGGACCAATTGATGAATCGTCCTATCGAAATAAAAATATAAATATTAAATTGAATTTGTAACATTTTATGTACATACATAATATATGTAACAACCCAAATATACATACATCAACATTATTATGTTCATGGTAGCCAATGTTTGTTGAAGTTTTATGAATTGTTTTGTTCAATAATGGATCCAAACAGATTAAGAATAACATGTAAATCACTAAAAGGGATATAACCCAAATAACAAGTATTACCACTATCTGAAAACATACAATTATTTCATTATTTTTCTGTATCAATTAAATTAGAATAGTAAAATAAGAAACTAACTTTAATAATAGTGGTATTCCTATTTTCATACTTGCAACCACATCTCGAACAAAATATTTCCTCCTTGCCTTTTAACTGATCTCCTACCTTTGGCAAAACAACACCTTCGCAATTACTGTGGATTAAAATTTAAATTAAATTATGATATTGACCTCGCTTCACAGGTGTTACGTATGCGGGATTAAGTTCTCTATATTAAATAGGAATTTCAATTACCATTGAGAAGGTGGAACATTTATGATGTACGTTTTTCGCACTAACGATGATTGCGCTGTATTTACCACAGATGAAACATTAGGACAAATGCACTTACATCTTTTATCGTCGTACTGCGCCTACAATCGTTTGTAAAAATTATATATATTAGAAAAATTAAATGTCAATATTTGACTAACTGATATACTAACCTCAGATTGTGACAAGCATAACAATGTGACTGCGGTTACGAGGAAGATGTGCGTCAACATTATACAGTTACACGTTGCATCCAGACCCGTTTCTTTTTTAATACTTTAATGTATTTAACTCGCAAGCATAAAAACGTCTTTAGAAACAAATAAACTTAATAAAATTTCACCGTTTCGAAATACACATCCCGACTGTCAAGCAAGCAGCTTGAATCACAGACAACGTAAATAAATACGATATACGACGAGTTTTCGTTCGTAAGTAGCGCCATGGATGGCATTTCGTTGAATGAATAATACGATCTGAATTACCGGCATAGTCAAAGGGCAATTTTTTAATTTTTGCCTCATTTTTTATGAAATTTTTACCAAACTGTTTGTACAAATCTTCTCGACGAGTAGTTGTTTTCTTAAAATAGTTTAATAGTTATTCAAACTGATACGACAGCCATTTTAATTCAAATCTGATGTAATGTAATTTTCTTTACATGGATTTATTACATTTTAATTAAAATAAATCAACATTCTTAAATATAATACATTAACTTACATCAATTTTCTATTCATATTCTCTGCGGTTCCATGTATCCTTATTAATATTCGTTTAGGTTTAGGGCGTTCGAATCATGCTTGCACACTTCTATAATGATTATACCGGCACATCCATTCCGCTCTGATTCACACAACTCAAACAAGATTCAAAATTCAAAGCGCACTCTGACATCGTTTAAAATGAATCACCATACTTTCTGAGTATACTTAATAAAATTATATGGAATATTAATCACGACTATACCATCGATAGACCTATGTAAGTATACATATATATTTATATACCTTTTTTATATGAATATTTATGCATTAGTATTATGTAATGAGTAATGAAACGTACAAATGGACTGGGCAGTCGGAGACTTGCCATTGCACATTTTATTTTGTAAAATAGATCTTGCACCATTTATTATCACAATTACAAGAGCGTTGTTAATAACCATCAACGATGCAAGTTTTCTCTTTGTGTTCATTTCCCTTGATAGTACTATGCCTTCCATGTACTCGTAAAGCGATCATAATCGTATAAGGAGCTTCTTAAAAAAAAAATATCAACCAAGTATTATACCTTGCAATTAGAATGCAGCTACATCTTGTTACTCATGCAAGAGTATCGTTCAGAATGTAAAATGTTTTATGAACTCTGCCAAGCTATGATCCCGATTAATATAGACAATACGACCACTCCAATAATTACGAGTACACATTTTTTCTTGCGCAGTTTATTCTGATACATACTCGCTTGCCTTACATGCGAAGTAGCCTCGTTCACAGATACTTCTGTTCTTTCTACAGAAGCTTCTATAGAATCAATTACTTCTCCTTGATCATATACTAAAGCACCAAGATCTTTAAAGATTTGATTAATATCACTAATATTGCTCTGTAAAGACAATAATTATGCATTTTAATCCAATATCAGAAAGTCGACAATCCATTTCTCAAATTGAAATATTTACCTCCAACTGTCTTATGCTTGCTTCTTGTTCTTCTAACATTCGTAAATTTTGTTCCTCCTTTAATTGTTGTTGCTGTGTTTGTTTCTGAGTTCTACTATCTTGTAATTCTATCAATGTCTCTTGCTTCTTCTCACCAAATGGAGCAATACCTGCATTTGCTTTAGCTTTCCTAACCATTTCCTTTTCCTTGGAAGCTGCAAGTCTTTGTACCGCCTGAAATTTTATACATATTAGTTAATATAATCATTATTGTATATTAAGATGATTGTCTTATCATGTAAGTTTATAAATGAGTTTGTTACTTGAAAAGAATTTAATGCACTGGTAAATTCATCTTGAAGACGTTCTCTTTGCATTTTACGTTGTCTTTGTTCCCCAGGACTAGTGGAGCCTGAATTATTAGCTAATATAGCTAAGTCTCGAAGAAGTACACTAGTATCTTTTGCCAACTGTTGCGTATAATGCTGTATCTGATGCCTAAAAACAAATCAGTGATCTTAAATATACCAATTTTGGACACTTACAAATTAAAACTTACAGTTGGTTTCGAAGTTCTTGGGAGTCTGTAGAACTGCCCAATTGATTAACCATCTTTTGCATGGAAGACACTGAAATATAAGTCAAGATGAGCACAAAGTCTTTCTGTATCAACAAAATTAACACGCTTACCATTTTGAGATATCTTCAAAATTGATGTACCAATCGTTTGAGACAGTCTACCAAAATCTTGTTCCCTTGCAGGGCCACCATTGTGGTACGATGAGAATCCAATATCCATGTTGACTTATGTTTTAATTCAATGGGGTTGAAAGTATTGGAATATTATTTTCTGTGTCAAATAATAACCTCGTTGTTAGAGGTTATTCGTTCACTGGTTAACACATAAAGTTAACCATTCGTAGTAAGTCACGGTCGTAATTTTTTTTTGTTGTATTAATTGAATTTAGGATTACTGAATTCGAGTACGCTGAAAATACAGAAGAATGAATAACACGATGACAGTTCGAACGTCAAAGATGGCAAATAATGATTATCTACTGAGTAGATTCTACTCCTATTCCACTGCTGTCAACAAAATGACCAGAAAGATGATTAGCTTGCAAGATGACTCATACAATTACTAACGAAAAATTAGTGATTTCTCTGATAAAAGCTATATATATATATATATATCAACCTTTATGTTGTTCCTCGAAATAAATCAAGTTCACTGTGGGAAGCTCTAAAACTTCAGGTAAATCGATAAAGCCTAAGGCAAGTCTTAAATGAATATAGTTGTTACCGTTTGTCACACCGTATGTAATACACGTAGTTCTACCGCGACCATATCAAGATAAATAAAAAGCCTCTCCTAAAAGAAAAACGAGGCCATCACGCATGTGAAATCGTCTTTACTGACTGATTTGTGAGAAAATTAGAGGAAGGTAGATTTTTTACACACAGTATATACATTATGAAACATTAAATTTGATTAAATTCTTTAGCGGTGAAATGAGGAAAAAAATCTCTCTATCGTAAGGTCTTTTATTAGACTGTATAAACATTTATTACATTTTTCGTGTTTATTTGTTTACAAATTATATTTATATCTTATTGTGTAGTAATAAATACTTTATTCAAGTCGTCGAATAATCACATTGGTCGTTATTACTAATTAAAAAATATATACAAAAGTATTTACAAAGAAACAAACGAGTGTTTGTCATGCGACTATATACCTCATTAAAAGAACTAGTAAACTAGTAGTTTTAGAATCAGGGTTAATCAGGGTTTTAGAATCAGCTTAATTCATCAAACGTGTGATTTACAAATCAATGAATAAAAGTCGTCGCATTCATTTTGTACGTAGAACGATTTTTAAAATGTAATTATAACATCTTGTGCATTGATTACGAACATTAAAAGCGCTGACATTACATTGGTAATTAAATACAATTGTCATAGTTTGAAATATATGACATGGAGCGGATTTACACGTGTATCATTTGTCTTTCTTTTTTTTAATAAAATAAAATATGCAACTCATGATTTTAATAATGAAAGTGTGAAGTCACACGTTTAGAATATTTCATCCTATCTTGTATAATAAGAATGCAAACATTCATGTAAAAAAGGTACTCGCATTACGCATAGAAAAGTAATTATACACACTGAATGAAATCATGATATCATCGATGAATATACAGGGTGTTCGACAATAGGTGGAAGATTTTTTAAGGAGTGATTCTAGGGATCAAAATAAGACAAAAATCAAGAATGACGAAATAGCGTTTGCGGCTTTGTTTTCTAGTAATTAACGTTTAAAAATTCGAGTAAAACGCGCCTAAAACCTGCAACCTGCCCAGCACCGACGACTGAACGACTGAAGATCCGCAGGGGTGAGTACAGTCATAACCAAGAAGAGAAACAGAATAGCACGAGGTAATGATTCTTGGTTATGACTGTACCCACCCCTGCTGATCTGACGTTCAGTCGTCGGTGCTGGGCAGATTGCAGGTTTTAGGCGCTTTTTACTCGAATTTTTAAACGTTAATTACTGTCTAATTTTGTCTTATTTTAATCCCTAGAATCACCCCTTAAAAAATCTACCACCTGTTGTTGATATGTATACGCATGAATTAGAACTTAGAATCGTCCAGTTATTTCAAGGCTGAGTTTTGAAGAGTACACAGAAATTTTCAAAATATTCTCGCCTAATGTCATGACCCCGAAAGAACCTACGTTAATAAATATTTTGAACTAACTACGTGTTTGTTAATCGGACACGGTACAATTGTACATATAATATACAGATGAAACACATCGTTATCGTACACATGCATCGATATAAATAAAGCATTATATCAGTTTTGATTATCTCTCAAATCACTAAAGCGTCGAATCATCGACAGCAGAAATCTTTTATCGTCGATTATTGTTACATCGTACTTTCAGTGGATTGTGCTTCGTTTTTAAGTTACCTTTTTTTTTCCAAACAACGTCAACCGTTTAAAAACTTTCTTGCGTTATTTACAATATAAACATTTCAAGTAGTCGAAGAAAATAATATTTAGTAATTATGATTAGCGAGGTTTATCAAGTGAAACCACAATTTTCTCTGTAAATCGATAGCTTCACAAATTGGAAAACTGCTGGTACAGCATCATCCTCAAACTGTCCTTATCACGTATATTGGTCATATAAAATCATTCATCATTTATAAAAGAGACGCTGCATATCCATATACTATCCACAATTCACTGCAAACTCGATTGAGGTATTCCACATTAGTATCGCAGCCGTTAAATACGTTTCTTTATGTCAGTTCTTTGGTCTTTCAAAGTTTCTTTGGTTTCTCTTCTCTCCCTTTTTCTATTAATTTCACTTTGCGTACGATCCCTCGGTCAACTATTGTACACTATAACCAAGGTTGCAAATTGATTTATGAAAAATTAATTTAACCTTCGGATCATAGACTAGTCTCTTCGACGGAACTCATTCTCTCGAGCTGTCGTTCTTCGTCGATGCCAACAAAATACGTCGTGACGTATCCTTTTGGTTTGACGTACGTGTTTCCTCGAAGATGGCATTTAACGCCTTGCTGTTCAAGAACAGCCGCGGTATCCGTTGTAACCTGTATAAATGATATTCCGTATCTTCAAAATTAGAACCACACGAAACGCGGGTAAGAGATGAAGTGATTTTTGAATAAGAAATCGATGGGTATTCATCAAACCTGTATTTTTCCTGGAACACCCGTCGTGTCCATTCTTGATGCCATGTTAACAGCATCACCCCAAATATCGTACAGTGGTTTCTGAGCACCCACTACACCGGCTGTTACTTCTCCATGTGATATGCCGATTCTTAATCTGAAGAATTGATTTTTCTAAATGATTTAAGTTTCAAGAATATGTGTCTACCATAGAGATATAATACACACTTATATGGTTTAGTTCGATAGAAAGATCTGCCGTTTAGTTTACTGAGAACTGCCATCATTTCCACTGCAAACTGAGCCATTACTTTCACCACGTTCTCGTTGAAACTTTCTTCGCTTTCTGAGCTTCGCATTGAATCACGTCGAGTCGCTTCTAATCCACAGGCTGCCATGTATGTGGTACCTAAACGAAATACGATACTCTTTAGGATTTCATCGTGTAGAAAGAATGTTTGTCCCTCAGTAATTATTTACCAGCAATCTTGATTTTTTCAATTCGACAAACAAAGTACGGTTCAAATAATAATTTGTCGAATTCACATATAATCTCGTTCAAATCTATCAAAACGTTGCTTTCATCGATGGATACATCGGTTAACGAAGCAAACATAACAGCAACGTTGTTGTGTGCTTCGTGGTATGGCTCGTTCTCTTCGGTTCTATTCATGTTTAAGTAGAATTCCGCTGTATAAAATGTATATCAAATATAATTACACCGATCATTTTCAACGTTTCAATGTTATTTAAGCCAACACATACCAACGTGTTCTGGCAAGATGTTACGGAGTAGCAGTTTATTGGCGTTCCTAGTATGAAACGCTTCGTCCTGTTCCTTGGTTAATTGACGCTTCCATAGATAATCTAATCTGCTCAAGTATTCTGCCTGAATAAATTATGGGAAGAATTCAAATGCATATACAACGTGTTCTCGAATAAATAATGAATATTTAATATGAGAAAACTTACCTGGCGATCGATTAGGTGCAAAGAAAAGGTGAGAAAAACAATACTTAAAATGTGAGCCAGTCTTGGTTCTAGATACGGATTCCAGCTTTCACCTGACTGTGAATTAAATTAAAAATTAATTCCCGTCAAATAATTAATGTCACGTTAATAAAGACATCCGCAAGAGTTACCCGAAACAAATTCGAACGGTGTATCCAAACGTTCCACGAGTAAAATGCCACCACCGCGATGCCCATTACTAATTTTATAAGGTAATGGAGCCTCAGAAACAAGAAACTTGTTAGAATTGCCAAGGAACAAGTCTGTGTCATTTGCTGGAAACGATTATTGTAGGATATTAAAAAACACCATCTTGTTTACTTGTAAAGTTGAACTAAATAGAAATCTACAGTAACACAAGTACCTACTAAATAATCTTACCCAAGGTGTAGCTACGCATTCGAGCTTAGAAGCACCAGGTTCTGCCACGCTAGACGTTATGTTGTTGCTTGCAAGCTCGTCCACATTGTTACATTCAAACTGAAATAACACGATTATCGAATAACAAGCTTTCTCTTGATTATTTATCACGTGGCATTGAACTTACAATCATATCAAACATGGCACACGCTGCTAACATTATCGTCATCACCAAATACAATATTGTTCGAAGAAACGTGCTCCATACCACCTGAAATCCAATATGATCGTTGTATTAAGTAACGTGAAACTTATGTAAAGAAAATAAAAAAGATTTTTATAAACCAAAATACCTTTACACTGGTTTGATACAAAAAGCACAATAATTTGTTACGAGGGTGTGGAACGTGTCCTTCGTGTTCATCGTGCGGATCTTTATATCGGTTCCACGCGAAATGCATCCAAACGATCGGTATTAGAGCAATCAAGAACAATATCGCAACCGAGTAACTGATTGTCGTACTCAAGTGCCATCTGAAAGATGATTACACGTTTCCATGATGTAATAATCCTAATCAAGATTATTAATAAAGTGCTTTATAAATGGAGCATACTCAGAGACGGAAATTGCTGGTACCAGGTAAATGAGTCCCATAAAGATTAGAACAAAAACAGCGGAGCTAACGTAAAATTTAAAGAGAGGATCGGGTTCCTTCAGGAACGGTATCTCCCAGTTCCACTGTTGAAAGGTCAAGAACAAAGGATTGATGTGTTCCCATCTGCACCATTGTCTGTAAAGTGATTCGAAAATTTATTAGAAAATCCTTCGATTATGTTCTCCACCTATATATCAACTTAGGCTTCCCTCGGCTAAGTGGAAATATAGGGGAAGGTGATTTGGAGCCGAGTGTACCGGTTAACCGGTCATTAACACAACGGTTAAATTATCCAGCGATAGTACTTACTCCCACTTAGTGAGGGGCATTTGCTTAATAGCATTTTCCATCTCCGCATCTGCGGCTTTTAGCATCAGATGATAATCTCGCAAACAGGAGTCCATGAAATGTGTCCGACGTCTATAAGTGCCGGCGAACACGTCAACATGATTATTTATAGTGGTGGTCAGACGTCTGCTGTTCCTCGGGCCAGAACTGCTAACGTTACTGGTACGTACGTTACTGAATCTCACGTAATGCTTGTTAGCCACCGGAGGGGAGTCCGGACTGATGACTGTCAAGGTGTTCTCGCTGTTCTGCAACAAGGTTCGCCTGTCAACGACGCGAAATACTTGACGAAAGTTCGTTCAACGATTAATGATGAGAACAGTGGCGTAGGAACAGCTCGAACGTAAATGTTGGATAAAAAATAATAATGAATCATCACGGGCTTCCTACGCCACTGGGAAATACGCACCTGCGTGGTAGGCGAATCGGGAGGAAGCGAAGGTGTGATCAGGTAGCTACGAATTCCGTATTTCTTCAGCACCTCGTCGTTTATGGAATCCACCGGTACGCAATCGTACTCGGAAGCATTAACGAGATCCAACGTTTGCTGCGTAACGTGTACCTTGCCCGGTTGTCCAGTTTGTTCCATTTTATTAGCTATAACGACGTCGCGTGACCAAACGTCGTACTGCCATTTGTTGGCACCCAGAATTCCAGATATTATGTTGCCCGAGTGAACCCCTATTCTCATGTTTACATCCACACCGCATTCGCGTCGAACCCTACCTCTCACCTCTTTGATTATCTTAATCATATCGAGTCCTGCAATTCGTTCCAATTAAATTAATGCTAGTTTAGTTTAACGCGTCGACTGCCTACGAGGCGAATTGAAGCTTCAGATTAAAGTATTAATCCTTAATAACCTTGATGATCTGTAATATCGTGGGTGGGCAATAAGTATGGCTATTTCTATTAGGGCAGTCAACGCGATCAGCTGTACCTGCGTACGTCAAACTATAATATTTACCTAAATCCACGCAGCTTTTCGCATGCTGGGAATTCGGTGTTGGTACACCGCTGACGCAATAGTAGCAATCACCAAGAAATTTGATTCGCAGAACATTATGCCTTTCGGAAGCCTCGTCGAAACTACCGAACAAGTCGTTTAACGTCTCCACCAGTTTTCGTACGGGTAATGTTACGGTCAATCCAGAGAAATTCACCACGTCAGCGTACAAAATGCTCACGTTGTTGTGCGTTTCGACGCATAAATCGCTGGAGAACAAACGATCACGTGTATTTATAATTAAGAAAAGGGTTGATAGTATAAAGAAGAAACATACTGATGCGGTCGTCCTTTAGGCGGTGGTTTCTTGTGTTCCTCGATAAATTTAAAAATATCACGAAAATCTTTCTTGATCTTCGCGGCTATGTGCTGCGGTAGGATGCTCCGCGTCAGTTGTTCCTACAAATATTTACGTACAGTGGTACGCAGAGTTTTGTAACAGGACTGTAATAAAATGTATTAAATAAAGATAAACATACCTCTTGATCTTTTTCATAGTTCAATCGCAGCGTCGATTCAACGCACTTCCGACGATCGAGGAAGGATCGTCTAATAACGACTTCGTTCATGAATCTAAAGTATAATCCTAGCCCATTTACGCAAATAAAATATATCGTGTCTGTAATGATCTGTAGAAGAAAATGATGTCAATTACAAATAACGCTGTAACATAGTGACGCTTAAAATAATCGGAGAACGATGGATTTTGAAATGAAAGAATGAGAATTGATCGAGTGGCCTGTGATAGATTCATTTGATCAGGTGATCCTCTAATGATTTCAAGCGGCACATTATCGTTTTATTTATTCGATTAATTTTCAATGCTGTTGCGTCAACGACACGCAGGTGAATTTACCTTGGTCGAATAATCGAACGTGTTTCTGTAAGTGATTAACGATAGGGTGGCCAGGTAACACATGGTAGCCGTGACGCCTAATATGAATGCGTGTAGATTTTCCGTGAGAGGTAGGAAGACGTAACAGGCGAGAAGCGCGTGCGTTGCGTACGCTGGTCTGAAAAAAGAAACGCTGTTAAACACATGCAGGTATACATACATATACATATGCGTATATAGGTGACACAGGTGTGGTATAAATACGTGTACACACGATAAATTCATGTATACAGGTTCGTTAGCGAAAAAGGTAAAAACGACTCTCTATTAGCCGATTACTAGACTCGATTTAATCGTTAAAATTACACGCGTCTAATTTATATTGACCTCTAATTACCTTTTACGTGTAAGGGTCATAGATAAAAAACAAGATTGAACATAGAATAAAATAATTAGCTCGTCTCATTGGAATAATCAGAGATAATTATTCTACTATACGAACAGTATTATCCCTCTTTTTAATCGAATTGCAATTCACCGAAATTACAATTTACAATTCGTATAAATGTAGACGAGGAAATAAAACAAAGAGAGAAAAACAAGTTATAATAGTATCAAGATTCAACAGAAAATAGATTCATTAACTCGTATTCTTGGAATTAACGAGAGATAAGAATTTTAATATACGCAGAGCGTTTTATCCGCCTTTAATTAAATGAAATTCCCCGAAATAAAAATTTGCAATTCGAGTGAAGAGGAAAACCTAGTCGTAGTTGTATCTCACGGGAGTGTTGCGAGTATAATATTGATAAGTGGTTCACCAGTCTTTCGTAACTGCGGTTTTAGAGGAAGTAAATCGAAGCTGTCGGTCCGAGACGACGAGAAACCGAGCAAGGACGTCGATGATAATTAAACGACGTCCTTGTACGATTAACCCTCGATCAGCCAATATTGGGTCAGTTTTGACCCAAGGTTACAATGGAGAGTCTATTAATGTTTGGTCACTATGAGCGGTGGGAACTTTATCCCCTATATTTGCCATTTCTTGAAAATCTACTGTCCTGGATTAACGCAGGCTTCCTGATATGCTTTTGATTTTAGGATACTCTTAGGAAAATCTAGGGAGAACCAGGGAAAGTCTAACATAGAACCTCTCATCTTCTTAGCTAAAAAAAAAAAAAAAAAAAGATATAGACAGATAAGGCCAGTGATGGAATATTCCTTCCTCTACATTTCCATCAATTACTGAAAACTTAAGTCACACTAGATTATACTAAGTACTATAATTTCAGATCAGAAGGATTAATCAAGCAGCTTCCTTCATCTTATTACCTTATCGGCGGTAATCGGTCATCAGCTTGCTTGAAGGTGTAGTACAATGGAACGGCCAGATCACCGACCACCAACAACACCACGATCATACAGGACAATATAACGGATAGATAATTGTTTCTGGAGATGATCTTCGATCTGAAGGATAGAGCGATCACAGGGCAGAGCAACGCGCTCATCACGGTGCAAACCACCACGTCCGGCACACAGTTCTCGATGCTGACCTGGAGAAAAATTAGGTCACGCGTTAAAACACTCCGGGTGTATTTTCGTCTATACGAAATACGTACATATATATACATATATTTTTATAGGCAGCGTACCGGTGATTTTCATGTACATACACCGGCCAGCTCTATTAATAGGAACGAAATGACTGGCCGCTCCTTACCAATAGAAAGATTATCGATTCAATGGGAGTTGCAGATTCTGACGTGACCGCAAGGAAAAATACGTATATCGGACATGATATTCCGGAATCGGTATCTCATTTGATAGAGTAGCTTCTTGGAAGGGGGGAGATGTCTCAGTTACTCTGATTAATAGTATCGAACGCGAGAAATCCAATTAATCCTTGGTGATCCATATTTATAAACGCATCGACTATACATAGTTAAGAACCCTTTACGAACGACAGAGTTTCGTCCAAAGATTAATCGTATGTCTTCGTTATAATTACTGCTATACGATACGATAATCAATTTCAAACAATAGCTAATCTCAACTAATTTACATATGTAGCAAATTATGAAAGAGAACATAAAAAGAAATCTTCTTACAAATAAGTTAATAAGTGTTGTTTGAAACTGATTACTCTACGTATACTTTCTATATTTACTGTACATTTCCTAGCCAACTGTTTCGTTTTCACCTTATGTATGTACATACATATGTACGACGTTTAGTGTTTCATTTCGCTTACCATTGTAATCAGAATCAAACAATACGTGATTCCGAGCAGCAATTGTAGTAGAACGAAGAGCGACAGATAACCATACTGAAGCCTCCTCTGGTAAACCGTGAACAGCTTCTCTAGGCTCTTGTATTTGAACTGTTTCTGAAAGTGAAAGCCCACGTGAGATTATGTATTCGACGTGTGACCGACGATGTTTGAACTTTCTACACAGAGTTAACGTTAATAACGATCAACACGAGTATCGATCCTGTTTAATGATTTCACAGCTGACTATCCGGACGCATTAAGCCCGCACATTGTTAAAAAAGAATCGATTTTTAACTCTTTGCATTCGGAGTTTACCTTCCAGGAATACATAGCGAGTAGGATTCTCATTTAAATACATTTCTCGGATGCTCGAAAGTTTCTGCTAATTGTAATTACTAATTTTCTTACCTTCCGTGAAAAAATATATATATATGTATATAATTACTTTATTATCCACGCCCGAGTGACGGATTGCTGAGATAAAAATGAATTGAATTTAAATAATTATTCTGTTCTGAGTTACTATTAAATCGACCTTCACAGTTCGAGGATACAAATAATTAATTTTAAAATAAGAATGCAAAGAGTTAATAAGCAAATTCGAGAATAACGTTAAGAAGTAATTGACAAATTAAAGGCACTGCGCGTACTTGCCTTGTCAGTTTTTCGAACGGGATTAAAATGCACAAATCACGAGTAGCAAAAAAGAATGCAAGAAAAATATACGATATCAAGTGTTGTTTAAAAGTTTGCGCACGCAAAAATAGCGTTCTGTTTGAAAAGCCGAGTATACTCGAGTGGGCGCGATCGTTCCGTTGTTATCAATCGCGTAAAATAAAACCTATCCGTGCACCACCGACAAAATAGTCTTACAAGAGGAACACTCTAACCGGAGCAGCCACTAACAAATCATATTTCTTTTTTTTCTCTCTTCCGTTCGCATAATCTTCATCGAGAGAATTTCACCATCGCACGTGCACAATGTTTACATTCAGTATATAAAAATATTTCTTTCAATGAAACTAATTAACATCACTAAACGAGAACGATGGAAATACGATGATTTTATAAGAAGATTTCACAGAGATGATCGACACGCAACTAAACGCGAGGTACGAAACGAAGGAAACATCCTTCGACGTTTCCTACGCGACGACCAATATGGAATCATATGCAATTGCGTCATTGAGAAATACACCATTCGCTCGATATCAAGAAGAAAAAATGAGTAGAACCATCGGTGATGCTCGTATTAAATCACACGGTCGCACCTTCGCGCCTCCGCTAAACGTACGAGTGAAATCGAACGACTCGAAACTCTTTTCCCTTTCGTCGAATGACTCACGAATGATATCTTAAACGTATGTAGAAGAAAAAAAAAATGAAAAGTCTAATTATGTATCGCACTGAATCCGCGTTAGCCCATTGATAAGGAGGTCGACAGGAAACCCCGCGCGCGTTCCCAACGTGCTTCTATCTCCGCCAGTCACCGGCGGTCTGATGCAAAATCGGCGACGGTGCGACGTGTGCGGCGAACAGCCAGCATGAATTTATGCGGCTCGTAAAGCACGATAAAAATCGTAGCGAGTATCGTGGGGCGCAGCCGCGCCTTTCCGCCCCAACGTTCCAATGGTTTCACTCCTTTTTTCTCCCTGACTTGTTTCGCGAGAGAGCGAAATTTCGCTTATTTCGTTTCAACGGATACACACGGAACAGTTCCATCTGTGCTGCTGTGTTCCGCGCGTGCGTTTTCCACGAGCCCGTTGCAGCTCGTGGCTGCGAACCTTTCGGTCCGGCGAATATTGATCTTCAATCTCGAACGGGCCCGACCGACCACCTTCTATTTCGTACATTTTCTCCTCCTCATCGTCGCGACGAAATCCCTAGCTAATTTGTAATTCGTACACGAAACGAGCTGATAAACGGTGGAAGCAGCTTGCTGGTTCGCTTGGTTCATCCGGAAGTGAATGGAGATTGTATATTGGAGCTGAAGGTTGAATGGTTTTTCGGGAGAGATAGTCCTTGATGCTTCGGTTGTTTAGAATCTGGAAGGACGATGATGGATGGGCTACTTGTTAATCTTCTTGAATGATAGGAGTGGTTATAGACTGCTTCCAGTGCTTACCTGTTGTATATAAAAAAGCAATAATTAGGGATGGATATTTTATAGCGTTGTATTAGTAGAATCATCCAGCGTTTTCTGGGAATTTCGGTGTTCTATAATACTTTTGTAAACATTCAATGTTTACTTCCTTATAATCTCTGGGTGGTCACGAGCTATGTATCATTCCGGTCTTATATCCCGTCGTTAGAGAGTGAGAAATGGACCATCGGGTCAAATCGTCTTTCCACTGACATTGTGACACTACGTCTTCGTAGAAATCTGTTAAAAATATACTGCAATTGCTATTTTCTAACATAGTAACATAGTTCATAGACCATTTTTCTTCCTAATTTGATTAGATAAGCTTCCGTGTAACTAAATATCAACTTAGTAGTTCGAACTTAATAAACATTAAAACAATGCGAGCATTTTATCAAAGTAAAAATGATTTCTCAACAAATAATCACGAGAATTGCACAATACGATATCCTTGATTCACTTTTACCAGAAGAAATCAGCACAAATATTTAGTCTCGTTTTTGACCGCGGCACAGTTAATCTAGACGCACTGTCAGCGATAACTTTCAAATAAAATCGATATACCGGGTGATGAAAAATGTAGGATTTTTCCAGAGAACCCATAAAGGATTTTCTTAGCGCCGGTTTAAAGATTTCAAGTGTCACGCTATCACTTCACTTCCATGCGAACGGATTACGACGAAGGACGTGAACGAGATTGAATAACATATTCTTTTTTTCTATTCCTCTTATCAAACGTTTGTTGATATCAACTTGATACTACAATAAATAAACTATTCGCGCGTTGATTGCTCGTTGAAAAATTCAACTTTTCCGTGTAATCGAATTATCAGGAAGGAAAAATCCGATATAATATCGAACTACTCTTCAGATTCTTGGTTAAACGAGCGAATAGATAAATCGTCGATAATCCAATTGCAATTTCACGGAAATCTTCACGGTAATGGCAGATACCTGCTTCTCTCGCGTACTGACGCGCTTTCGTGGCCCTCCTCTTCCTTATAATTTAATTATCATTCGCGCTGGAATGTTTTTCAAAATGTGCGAACCACCACTAAACGAGCTGAAACGTTTATCTATGATTAGAACGGTGCAGAAAGGAGAAGAACTCGAGTCGACGTGTCTACGTCGACAGGAGAATCGTAAATGGTTGAATTAAACTTACACAATCGTGAAACGAAACTTTCTTCGTTTCGAAGGATTAATTAAATTGATCGAACATACTTCCATATTTACGAGTAAGAATTACTAACCCTTTCATTGTGAACAGTTTCAGTTTTATGACCAGTATTAAACGGAAACTAATCAAACATCGGGTCTTAATGATATTTCATATTGTGCAGTAAAAATTTGTTAAATCAATATTGAATCATGAAAGTATAATATAGCTATCAATTTTATGATTATTATACAAGAGATCCCATCAAGGGCTGATACGATTCGTGTTGAATTGAAACGCACAAAAAGACCTAAACAAAAACTGCCCAAAGTGTTCATCATCGTCGCGGTTAAACTGCTACAGGTATTCTTCTTGTATTAAAAGGAAAAAATTCTTGCACGCTCCTTTGCATAAAACTGCCTGCTTATCCTCGTTCGAAGAACAATGCTACGCGTTAGTTTCTCCATGATAAAAGGCACGTAGTTTAGAATAAAAAAAATCTATGCACTCACTCTCAAGTTGGACCAGGTCCATTCGTCAAGACTGTTAGGCGAGACGATGCGACCGTCGCCCACCATCTGAAGAGAATTCAAGGATGCTCGGGTGACCAGTTCGAATTCCATTGTTCCACGAAGGACTACTTGTAAAAAAAAAAAATGCTGGACCGATCACAGGGACTCGATCGATGACCACGTAGGCGACGTCGACGACCACGACGACAACTTCACCGCTGTTCGATCCATCGCGGCTACGATCCACGAGCAGACTGATCGTACGTGGAAAATGACTCACCCTGAAGCGGCTCTCGGCTTCGCTGGCCGCGCTTGGTGTCACTTCTAAAACACTACCGTGTTAGAGCACCGCTTTATCGTGATAAGGGAAATGGGCCACTCTAAACGCCCCTTCTCTCTCCCTTCGCGAGCAGCTTGTTTCCCTGTTGTTTTCCACAACGGGATGCCCGAGCAAACGAACCGTCGCTTTTCCAAGCTTTCAACCTTTCAGGGGAGCGTCATACGCAATGGCCAGGATAATAATAAAAGTTTTATCTACTTTGGCTTGTCTAAGATCACGCTGGCCTTTTCATTCTTACGGTGTCTCCTTTTAAAAACGTCCTTCATCGGTTTCCTTTTAATTGCAGAAACCTCCTACGTTTGCCTGGCGGTCGATTGCTCTATAAGCTTGGCCGAAATCGGTACTGAAATTAAAATGATACGATCTCAGAGTAAGCAACATCTCAATGTGTTGACTTTGCCAAAGCTGAGCGCCGATGACATTTGTCTCATCTCTTGGTGCTCGATGCATTTGGAATAAATAGAAAATAGACTGAGAAAAAGTTAACAGAATTCATGGAATGACTTTCTTTATCCGAGTATCTTTAGAACCGGTTCACGATTCAGAGAGACGTTTCTTGGAAACATCAATGACCCGACTTTTATGAGAGATGCTCGACTCACGACTATGATTCATTCTTGATCGATCTTGATTCGTACAGTTCTATTCTCTGGTAATTTCTCGACATTGAGATATCAATCGCTTTGACCGTGAAGTTTTCACAAAGGCGTGTAGCTGATGCGAATCTTAAAACATTCATTCTTTATAACAGCTACCAGGTGTATTATAAACGAAACGAAACGGATCGAACAATCGTGAATTTCAATATCTATAAATATGAATGAAAAAACGAGGAAATTTACCATCGTCGATTACTATCATCGAGCGTGAAAGTGACATTTACGAGCGGCAACAAGCATGATCATTGTATCACGCTCGAGTACTCCTCGCTACCGGAAATAATGTGTGCATCCATGAATTAAACCCTTGTCAATAAGCGTAAAGGTGTTTTAACTTGGATCAAACTGTTTGATTCGTGGTATTGTTACATGTGCTTCTATTATAAACGAAACATCAGGACGTACTCTTGGTATCCTTGGTATCCTTGGTATCCTTAGATCAAGAACGATAATCTTCCAATCATTCTGAATTCTTACACCACCAAGTTTTCTAAAATTGAAAATAATTAACGTTAGCGAGTGCATAGATAAAGCGTTAAAATTGAGGAACTTGTATAATAAAAAAAAAAAAGGAAAGAAACAGTAATTTGTTTCAGTCTCGACTCGCGCGACAGTCGTCATAAAATTACGGCCTATTATTCTCACGCGCGAAGAATCAGAAATTATGCATGACGATTTAAAAACACGGAGGCCTCCCACCGTGATTCCATCCAGTCACACATATTTTAATCGTCGAATCTTAATTGCATCCTGCCTTTGCCTCTTCGCATGCAACCAGCAGCGTGAACACTTCGTAACACACGTCCTTCCGGATCGTTTCATCGGCCAAAAGCAACAGATCCATTAAATTAACGACACCCGAAGAAAGGATACCAATTGACCAGTTCGTTGCAGGTAAAGTAAGAAGGAACGAATCGATTCAAAATACGCAGAGAAGTTTGTTTGCGCGAGCGGCTTCGTAGCTATGTAAATATTTGTCTTTTTAAAAGCTCCAGTATTTTATGCGCTAGATCGTCAGGAATTATTTATGAGTATAATTTTCTAATTATTTCCTTCTACATCCAACGGACGTACACGATGAAATTCGACAAATCCATCAAACTTTAGATAGAAGCACGAACGACCGACTGATAATGACATTGTTAGATAAACAACCAAATGACCCGCGCAGTCGAATGAATCATGAAATTGATCGAACCTTGTGACTAATTATCGTGTAGCAAAAAAATGTGTCTCGCCTTCTTTTTCTTTATAATTTTATGAGAGAAAGGAGGGAGGTGTAAAGAAAAAAAAAAAAACTTGTTACGGCACCTAGACACGGATAATCTGTTCGTTCCGTCGATGATTAGCAACGCGATGATACGAAGGAACGTTTAATCCTATCATTTAACGATTGCTATAGTGTCCTTCGTACGCGTGCAAATTCATCTTACGAAATGGAGCAACGATGGATTTCTGCTATAGCGTGCCGCAGTCAAAGAGTTAATATTATTTGCATACAGTTGCATGCAATGGAATATTGCATATTTCAAGACTTTCAGGATTCGAATGAATTTTAAAGTGATTCGAAACTTTCTCCATACAACGAACGATCCGATGCGCTTTATAGCCCGTCATTAGGTACCAGCAAAGAAGTCACGTGCTCGAGAGATTAACTATAGCACTAGCGATGATATCCAGTAAGACAATAATACACGCAGCAAGCCTGATAAATGAAAACAAATATTCTGAGATATGAATGGGTATCGAGGATAATTAATACGCTAATTGTAATCTCTGCTTGGAGCGTATCAATTATAAATTGTACTACATTGTTCCTTATCGCTAATGATCACTTACCACGGTTAAGCAGCTGGTATCAGCCCTCATGATATTCGTAATTATCGTCGAACTGCGCTACAGCATCCACAATATGTGCATTTCCGTTATATAGATACTTTGTTCGAATAGTTAAGCGGTGGATCCGTAGAATTTGGACGCGTCGAGCTGTCGCGTCCAGTATGCCACTTTCGTCTGACGAAATTCTACGCTAACGATATCTCCATGAAGCATGGTAAGGTACTCGACAGGTACAGAAGCAGTGCCATGGACATGGGTCGTACACCTACGGTTCCTTTTCGATTCGAGTCATGGTGGAGATCCCAAGGACGCTCGGCCAGCATCAACCACGCGATATTCGTACACGTACAGGGTGTCCAAGAATTGCAGTGCGCTTCAATGTTACGGAGTCTCTTGTTAAGTTCTCCGATGCTTACGAGCTATGTTTCTTACGCGATGAAGTTACTGAAAGTATACAAGGTTGAGTTTTAATTAAACTGAAACTTATTCATCTATTCTATGTTTGATGATTTCATGAAAGGTAAATGTTTTGATATTTCACAGTCGTTTGGTTTCGATCATTCTTCCCGCTAATTCATCCAGGTACAGTATCGCTGCTTATACAATTGGCATAACAATCATTCCGGTGATTTCTAAACGTAAGAACGAATCGATTAAACAGTGAAAAGAAAATGATGTTTTCAAAAGTATGTTGCTTTTAAAAAGTGCAACTGATAAACAAAGAAATATTGACAAATTTCGATACACTGTGTACATACAGTGAGTAGACACTGTTCAAAATAGAATACCTCGGTTAAAATTGGTGTAAATAACTTGAGGTTTTTTGAGAAGCTATAAAAATTAATTCACTAAAATATGTATTTTCATCGTTTTGAAAAATTACAATTTGTTGAAATCTATTCTATTTTGAACAGTGTCTACTCACTTTTCCCTTTCGCTGTACATACGCAGACTCGTATACCTGTGGGTTTACACACATTTGATCATCGATGACTAACTCACCCGGCTCAGTGGCACGAAAAGAACCTCGATAACGCTTTATGACTTCCGTTCTCTCGATGTCAGAAGGTCGTCGATCGGCAGGTGAGTATCTCAGGATGATACGCGTTAAACGAAGCATCATCTGGTCGTGAAACTCATTACAACGGTACACGTATACGGAACACTTTCTCCAAACGTGTTGCACACTTTATAGGATGTATACTTCATATTTGAATCTTGACGTATAGATACGAGAACGTCCCCTCATTTTGTGGATCGTTTCGTTTCGATCACGTGGTACGTCAAATCGGTCCGGTCGATAACGATGAATTCCTTCTTTCCCGAGCAACACTGTTCAATTATAAATTCAAATTAATTTGTAATTTCGTGCCTTTTAGATATAATCAAATTTGTACACGTAATAGTATTCGTACGCAATAAGATTCGTATTATTAAACATTGATCTTGACGTGAAATTCCTCATTATCGTGTAAACAACATTGGATACGCGTTGTATTTTCTCTGTCACGTTGTCTTTTGAGCAGATTGACGTCATCGTTGAATATTTCAATTTTGGAGCACATGTGTGCACCTGTGATTCGATCGATCCAATAATCAATTCCGTCGGTAATAATGAGATCGACTGCTCTTTTATGATTCTTCGATTTGCAAATCACCTAAACGTAATCTATTTTAATCTTTCTCACGAATTTAATATGCTTATTCATTTACTGATATTGCGAATGATTGAGAAAAAATTATACGTACATGATAAAGTTTAATATGTACAGACAAATTTTTACATTTAAACGATCCTTACTTTTCTATGATTGCCATCTAAGTTAAGGCTTCATTTTTGCGATAGAATATACCGATATATCTTAGGAATGTTTGTGCATACATATAACAGTTGTAATTTATGTTCACAGACTGAAATCGAAGACACTTGATTAATAAGACGAATGTTCGATGGCTTCCTAAAAACATGACATACTACCGAGTTATCTCGTGTTTACAGATAAGTACCGATAGTATCGTTCAAAGCTCGATATCTGAGTTTACCAAAATGTTGATGGTTATTTGAAATTTTAACATTGAAATTCTAGAACATTAGTTAGTTTCGTAGTACACTTAACAACAGTTGATACATGTTTCAATAGGGGAGTTTTCATAGATAAAGAAACACAAACAATATTTGTAAAAAAGGGTACAGTGCAACAATTTTATTTTTCAAATATTACGTTTATCTTCAATGTATACATGCAATACTTCATGCTACACATAACATTATGGGATACAAATAAACATAAAACCTATTTGTCAAAATGTTTGCTATTCTATATAAGATTTCTTTAACGCCTACTGTATATCTATTAGATTTTGAAATTTCCAATTTCCATCATTGGTTGCAATATTAATCTTCATAACTGTGCTGACTGAAATAACTCAAATATTTCAAAATAATATATAAGTTTGTTAAAAGAAAAAAAAAAATAGAGAGAGAGAGAGAATCAACAGACTAGAATTTAATGGATTGTCTAATCAGTATACATAGCACCTCATAAATATATGTTCCCACCATGAAATCATTATGTAGTTTTATGAAATGTGAGTACCAAAAATAGGCTTAAACGGAATACACTGTTCTGTTTGATTAATTGCACTTAGTCAAATGTCTGGTATTATACATCTTAAGCATACAACAAGATTTCCATCATTATGAGAACTCTTCGATATTGGACATATGGTATAAAATTGTAAACTATTGTAACTAGTGGTGAAAATCTCAATATTTTTCATATAACTTTACGAGACACGTTTCGTTGATCACTTTCTTTAAGATAACAATATCTTCACCTATCAGTCTGCACATTATATGCAAAGCAAAACAATAAAAAATCGTTGTTTTCGAATTCGTTTCGAAATCTAACAAAATGTACGTTGAATCTTCGTTGCAACATCTACCGGGAGTTCGGCGTATGCAGCATTCCATTCATTTGGGAAATCTCGCTGAGCGGATTTGCTAAATTCCATAACAAAATTCTTTGCCTCTGTGTAAAAAAATATAAACGTACAGTTTAATTACATGTCACGGTAATATCTTAATAGTTAAATGATAAAAAAAGTATTATGTAACGTACCATCATCGGTAGCTCTATCCTCGTGTAACACGCTAATAGCTACCTTCAGTAATACTTGCATATGAGGTTGTAAGATAGAATGACCGGCTTGATACAATGTTAGTATGCTTCTAAACACTGCCTTGTTCTCTTCAAAATCTTCTTTTAACGGTAACTGATTAACAAAAACTGGGAATACTTGATCAAGAGGCAAATTAGAATAGTTAGCGATGATAAGTCGTGCAATTGCACCGACTACATTATCACGAGCTCCTGCGTGAGATTCCTTAGCAATCGCACCTGATAAAACTTGTAAAATATCAGGGTAATGTCTATCAAATTATTATTAAGGAAGAAAAGTTTAAATTTTCATCAAAGCTTGGAATAAGATATTAGAAGGATACGAATAAACTGCATCTTTTCCATGTAATGCAAGTTCACCAATTCCATAGATCGCATTATTACGAACTTCAGCACTTGGGTCATCTGTAAGCCTCAAAAATATAGGAAGCAACTGAGGTATGAATGCGGCTACCGTATGTTTAAGCCCTGAGAAACATTCTGAAATTGTACCAACTGCAAAAGATCTTTGGGCTTCAGATTTATTTTTTTTCTGAAAATATTAGCTAGTTTTCAAAATGTAAATATAATATCAGGAAAAATGTAACTATGATTAAATAGAATCGTACCAATCTTTCTAAAAGCATCGGCAGGACAGTTTGGAAATAAAGTGCAAAATCTTCTGGAGGGATTATTTTTCCGAAATTAGACAGCACATCACCGGCACATTCAATTAGTAATTCATCTTGCTCAGCTTCAGTGTCAACATCTTCTGCTTCCTCCTGATCTTGACATTCCGTCTTACCTATCATAAATCACATTCTAGCTAATTATTATTAAAATATGAAAAATAATTCTGGGCTACATATTTACCTGACATTACGTCTGTAACACAATTCATAATAGCATCTTTATGACCTTCTCCAACAAGAACATCTGATTTTATTTCTTTCAAAAGCTCTGTGTAAGCATCTAAACCGCTAATAGCTACTGTTCGTTCGTCGCCTAATCTTATTAATTCCGACAGTTTTGGAATAAATACAGAGAGAGCTTTCAATAAAGCCTCTTTTCCTTCGTTAGTATTAATTTTTGAGAAATTAATGCAAAATTGTAGAATAGCATCGATCACAGCTTTGCGAATATCTTCTTGTGGATAATTAATTAATTTGAATGTTTCTTCAAAAGATTTTTCAAGATACGGCAGAAATGCTTCCTCTGTATGCTCTGCGATTTCTTTCAACGCTAAAATTGCTTCTTCTTTTTCTTCGATGTATGCATTCTCAACACTATAACCCGCAACATCGTCGTCATCGTCGTCATCTTCATTATCTGTATTTTCAATATCTTCTTCGTCATTTTCATTTTCATTTTCACTAAGATCTTCATAAACGGGAAAAGCAGAGGTTTCATCCTCTTTGAAGTGAGGCTACCAAAAACAGAATAATATATTTCTGCACGTGTTTCCCATTCCAGTATTCATTATCATTATACAAGTTACTTACTACTATGCCTTCTGAACTTTGTATGCTTGTTATCATGTAGTCAACGATTTCTGGAAGAGCAGCTGCAATTTCCTTTTTCATTATAGTACTAATCGAAGCAAACAATCCGTAAATAGACTTTTTCAAATCTGGATCTTCGGTTTCTTTCAATAATTTCATTCCAAAATTAAGAGACCTACCAGCCAAAGGTGCAAAATTTTTATCACCTATCGTTCTTGCAATTACACCAAGAGTATCTACAATTGTAATCAACCATTAACATAATTACTATACGTTATGTTGATTAGATAAAATATCAAACACACGAACCAACTGCTTGTACTTGAAGACACATGGTTTCTTCTGACTGTTTCTCCGAAAGATAACTATCAAGAATGGAAACAATTCTTTCAAAGTATGGCAACATGTTCTCTTTACTTGCCATGGCAGCTGAACCTATAGCGCTTAAAGAAAGTTCTCTAACATGAACAGGAGTATCTGCACTTAGAATTTCAAAAAGTCTTTCCATCAAAGTTGGTAAATATGGCAGAAGACTTTCATTCAAGTTTTCACAGAACATTTCCAGCGCATAAAACATACGATCAACCGAAGGCGGCTCTTTCTTTTCTTGCTTAATATGAGCGCATATTTGACCAAGATATTCGAATAACACCGGTAATAATTCAGATGAATATTGGGAAATGTCAGGTTGTAAATGTTCAGAAAACTGTCCAAGAGCAAACAGTGCAGCATTGCGTACCACGGGAATGGAATCGGTAATTCCCTGACAGGTGCAACGCAAGAAAGATTCAAGATATTTAGTACGGATATATTCTGAACAACCCTCTGCTAACACTGCCATCGCTAAATATGATGCTTTCTTTGCATATACATCTGTACCTTGAAGACTAGGTTCAATATAATGCAACTGTAAGAGCAATTTCATATAAATTAATTTCGTACGCTATGAAAGATTGCTGAAAATATTTCAAATCATACCAATTGAGGAATTAATTTCTCTGGCGGTAAATTAAGTGCAAGTAGATCTAAAGTTTGGGTAGCACAAGTTACAGGTGTATTATCTTCGTTATCACCGCTAAAATAAATTTCATAATTATCATCCTCGGGTCGTGTAGACATAAGATTGAACAAGAGATCTATAAGGTCATATTAAAGAATTAATATTTTGTAAGTAAGGCTGTTTATAATATTATTATACCTTACCTATAATGGGTTCAACTAGTTTGTGTTTGATTATGGCTTTCTTTTTTGTCCTAGCCAACCAGCCAATAAAGCTAACTGCTTTAACTCTAAGAGCATCGTCTAATGATTTATTACTAGCAATAGCAAGGCACATACTGACAAGAGGTTTGACATGAGGTGCTATTACAGACACTGCATTCTCACACAGTTCATCTAATAGCTCAAAGCATTCGATTGCTTTATCTTCGTTAGTAGCGGTAAGCGATTGAATTGTAGTCATTACTCGAGGCATCATTTGATGATAAGCATTTACCATCTGTAAAAATAATGCATTATTAAATACAGTTAATATCTTTTGTTACTTTATTAACAATTATCTATGACCTACCATTTGATCACCTTCAACCAAAGGAACAAGGTTCTGCATTATTTTTAAAACATAATACGCTACAGGATTTCCCAAATCTTGTAAACTATTTAATGTTTGTGCCAAAAGAACTGCAAGAGAACCAACATGAGTAAGATACGCATCGGGTGCAATTTCTGTCATAATTGACAAAGTATAGGTTCCCAACTGTAACAACATGATATTTTATATGAAACTTCTTGGAAATTTTACAAAATATGTTAGAGTCTTTATACCTCTTTATCATTTAAATTTTCACTAGTAACTAGCTGTTGCACAAACTGTAACACCTCTGGCCATCCATTAGTAGGCAATTCATGTTTTACAATTACACCAATTAATTGTGCAATTGCATTCTTTACAAATTTTTCTTGCTCATTTACTAATGCCTAAAAGACAACAGAAGCTGAATATATTATTAACAAAATATAATCCCTAAAATTATATTTTCTTACTTGTAAAATTACTGATTTAAATTCAGTACGTATATGTTGTGGTAATTTTAACCAGTGTTTTCCTTTTCCATAGCGTTTTCTAAGTAATACAGCAGCGTACTGTCGTATCTAAACATACATCATCTTTTATTATAAAAATTGATAATGAAAGCAACATGTTCATATAGTAAAAGTGAAATACCTGAGAATTTGTTGAAGTAACAATAAGTTGACATAATGCTGGTGTACTCTCTGGTTTTTTAAAAGCTTCTCTAAGCTCTGTTGTTCCCTATAAACATTTTATCAATACTATATGTTAAAAGTAAAATATAAAAATCTTTGTCAACAGGACCTTGAAGACACACTTGTATGTTCAGCCTTTTTTAATATTAGAAAGGATTACATGGCATGCATATTAAAACATCAAAGGTATGAACAGCAAAGAAAGGAAGACAGGAAATAGAATATTTTATTCGTTTCAAGTATACAAGGTACATGAAAGAAAAAGCATCTTCTGGTAACGTTAATAATGTTGATTAAATAAAATAATTGATTTAATTTGAAGTGGTTATCAACAGGAGCAGACACGTGTTTTGAATGTCACAAAATTTCTTTCTATTATTGAGTGTCATTCCTCTAGCTATACCTGTTGTATTGTTGCGTTATCGGCTACGAGTAACTTCAATAATATTTCCTCCATTATTGCTGTAATATTGATAATAAAATATGAATTTCGCAGTACTTTAGAGCAAAATAGCCGGCTGTCTACTACCGCTTTTCTGACCTGTTGGTGACGTCCTATAGTTGGTCAAAGCGCATGTGTAATATTGCGTGTATCAACTGCAAAGAAAATTTCTTCAAACCAACTAAAATTACCATAAATTAGATTGGATATTGTAAAAAAGAACACGTTGTAAAGTAAGTCAAGTCCACTATCTTTCAAAGATAAATGTTTCACCAGCCTGAAGGATTTCTTTCCACTTAAACATCAAATCGTCATAAAGATCAGAAAATTTTGCGCCCTACTGTACAGTTAAAGGTTTACATCCTCTTCAAGTTTATAATTAGTGAAATCCTATAACAATCAGAAAGAATATTGTATTATTCTAAAGTAATTAATTTAATAAGCTGAAAACATTGTGCAAGCATTATTTTTATAGGATTTTTACTTTATGTAACTGCGCGCTACAAAATGGTATCAATGGCGATATCCATTGTTCTTTGTTTCACCGCTAGATGATGTTAGTAGTTAGTATTTTCAGTGCGCGCTTTCTGATAACGTATCAAAGGTATTTCTTTTTATTTTTACTATTTTATAACTACTAAATATAAGGTATCGTTTCTATTTGAAGCATATTTTTCATGCAGATCATCTCACGAGTTACAGTAAGTCGAAAAACTCAATCATTGCAAGAGAAGTAAGCAAAATTCAATTTCATCAGTTTCGATGGTGCCCATGAAATGTAATTTGTTGAATTACCTATTTTAATATTCTCACAAAACTGTAATGCCTTTATTCGAATTATATTTTGATTGCAGGAAGCTCTGCTGGCGTCAACGAAGCGCAAAACATTTATTTTAAGAAAACAGGCAATTTTCTTTTGCTTTCGACTGTCCTTCGCCACTAGATGGTGGTGGTAACGCCATTTTAAAAAGTTCAGTTACAAAAGGGCGGTAGTTTACTAATTCAAGTAATAGATGTACGAGTAAGTAATTTTGAAATTTTAGATGTAGATTATTAATACGAATGTTTAATAATTCTGTTGTAGATTGGAAACTCCATTTGTCGATGAAGAGATCATCAATGTTGAAAGAATATTTAACATATATCTGTTAATATCGGTAATAATGAATTTTTTTTTTCTTTTCTTGTCTGTATAGTATGAGTTGCGAACCGTTTGTCCTGATTTCGTCTAGCACATCGCATCGTACAGTTTATTATTTTAGAGCGAACCCCTTCCTCCTGTGCCTACCTCTCTTTTTACTCCTTGTTCACCCTTCTTTCGTATCGTACCCTCTCTGTTGCTTCCTCCGTTTTTGTAAATGCTCCAATACGGGCGCGCTCTGAGATAATGCAGTCTCTTGAATTCCTAGGATTACTATTTTAAAATTTCACGGTAAAAAGCTATAAACAATCATTAGATTTATATTGTTTTTCAACGACAGTAAGCAACACAGCCGCAGTTTAACGTTTAACAAATTTTTCTTTATTTCAGGTAAATATCAAGAATATATACTACATAACATATTAAAAAATAGAAGATGCTTCGCTTGTTGAAGCAACATATATCACGTTCGGTGGAAAAGTATCGCAGAAATATGAACTTGAAAAAGCACAGCTAGAAGACAGCAAGATGACCTGTCAGCGGCCTCGTTGAGCGACTCCTCTTGCACCTCGTGCATGTTCGTCGTCCGATTTACATACTTGCATTCCAGACGACGAGAAAGAGGAATAGCTTTCTTTTTTTTTTTTCGTACCAATTTAGTATCCGGTTCACGCGATAGTACTACAGAAGTGAACAAATATTTTCAAAGTTTTTACACTTTACTATAAGAATTAAAGTAGAAACACACGACAGAGAAAATTCAATCGCGTTTCTCACGACGAACAGATTCAGATTCACAGGCAAGGATGAATCTTATTGCGAGAAAAATCTTAATGAGAAATTAATGTCGGTTATGAATCTGTTTCGTGTAAGCCGACACCACGTGCGATCTACCATCTTGCATAGCGAGAGTTCTCTAATTTATTACATAAGCAATCTCCTTTGCCTCTTAATTCTCTAAGACGATTCAAGGGAATAACCGATAGATGGTTAAATCGATGAAACAAAGGGTCATTTATCTCTCAAAATGACGATGCTGCAAAACTTGTAGCTGTAATCATAGTCAAGTATATTAACAGGATATATTTTATAGTGACCGTAGATACAATGAGTACATTGTAATCGTGTTGACTATACATTTTTATACAAACATAGATTCGCCAGAGAAAATGAGAAAGAGCTAAAGAGAGTTTAGCCTGATTCATCGCTGAATTTCCTAAACGCGTTCTTTATCCCTTTTCCTTGACCACGATAATGATATTGTCACCAAACTATTTTCGGACATGACAGGCTGGATAATCGGATCACGTTTCCGCGAAGAGGTGCAAGCACGTGATTTTATGGTAACATCTCCAAAAGAGCCGGCACTATTTGAACACGTGACAGAAGGAACCTCCAGGAAAACTCCATATTACTCAAATAAGTATATCTTTGCTACCCAAAAGGAAGGCTCCGAGACGTGTTCGTCATTTTTATGGCCGGGACAGGCAACAAGCTGTTCCAATAGAAATTCGTTCGGCATTACTATAGCAGCAAGTTACTATCTTCTTTATAGCCTCCTGTGAAGGATCTCGAGGCACTGGCTGGTTCCTCTTTAACTTCTCTGGAAAAAGAAATCTTGTTTTCTCTGTTCAGGAAGAGAAAATAATGAAATTACCAAAAATGTACATCAGTAGGTTTCTGTAAACCTGTATCATTAAATTAAAAAAATCATTGAAATTGTAAAGAGTCGAAAGAATTTTATTGTAGGTAAGGAATGATTGAAGCTACGGAGAAGAAGATCTTAAGTGACAGAAGCGAATAATACGAGCTAGCGAAAAGCATAAATCATATTCCGCGGGACGACGCTTCAAACTGTCTGACAAACCAGAGGAGTTCTCAGAATTCGCTTGTGGACGAGAAGCAGGGGACTAGGAAAGAGCTTGCCATTATCAACAAAAAAGAACAATTCTTTATCGTAACCGCAAAACTAACGTCACCTTGTTAATATTTACTCCATTCGGCTTGATACATGCATACGACAATCGTAGACTCTCTAATTCGATTCGCAATGAAGAGCTTAAATTAACAATATTTTTATTCGTAGCTATATAAATATAAATAGGAGCTCAATGTGCGCGATCATCGAAGCGGCTGGCTGAAAAGAAATGGTTTTCTTTAGCCAGGCTTGCGAGGTGTACAACACGCTTTCGATGATTCTCGAGCACGCAATGCCATTTTCTTTCTTTTCTTTTTTCTTTACAACTTGTACATACTTGGTCTCTCGGACAGCAGAGTCTATTTAACGTTTGCTCATCGCAATTGTTTCAAAGTTTCATCGACACTACGTTTACAAATTGTAACACGTTACACTTTGTTTCAGGTCGTTTCACATACTGTACTTGATCTGATCGTAATACATCGTCGTCGGTGGTGTGGTCGTCGTGTGATGAATGTTCGAAGAAACTGTACCGGGTATGTTTGATATACTCAATCCACCGATGTTGCTCAAGTTGAGAGAGCTTAGAGAGCTTAACGAGCTCAAGGTAACCGATCCAGCCGGATGACCAAAGTAGGACGGTTTACGGTCGATCAGTCCACCCCCGGAACTGTTCGAATTCGAATTCGGACACTGCATCTTTATCCCTGGAACACAAGAAGAAGCACGAAATCTTTTTGTCTCCTCGAACGTTCGTATACGAGAAACAGACAAAAAATAATTACGGTAGTAAGTAGTTTGGTAAAGCAGCATGTAAGTGCTTAACGAGTGAATTTTGGAAAAAATTTCAATGGTCGAGACCACACGTGATGCGACCAAGAGAGAAAGAAGGGAAAAAGTCAAAGATCTCACGATACGAAATCAGTCCTTGTATAGGTACGATAAATCTGAACCTCCGGCAGCTCTCGAGTAGTTCTTCCTCAAGTGCACACTTCACTCGTGTCTCGACTGTCGTCTTTGTCTTTCTATTCCCTTCTTTTTCTTCTTCGTTTTCTCTTTACAACGTCTTGGCTTCTGTTCACAGAATCCACGTTCGCAATAAGGGAAGGAAAGGGAGGAATTTTCGATTTTCCATAGAAAGTCTATTTTCCTCGGTACTGTACCTTCAAGATCAACGACGTAACACGATTTTAAAAGCAACGAGCGTCTCAATGGCAATTGGAGTCCGGTTTAATTCCAGATCGAAGGCAAGTGTAACGAGGGTTTTAAAACGGCGTCGTGTGTGGTCTCAATGGCAGTGCCGTCAGTCAAAATCTCTTCCCGTCTCTCCTCTCTACCCGTTCGTACGAAATCCGAAGTTTCCTGCTTGCCCGAGCAATCTGTTCTCGCGCGCAAATTTCTTACTCTCCTTTCCTCTTCCTTTCAGTCGGAGCGTAACGTCGAAATACGATGGCAGTAAAAGAGCACAGAACCGGCTTCCTCGGCGAATATCGGAGCCGGCGTTACCAACAACGATGCCGTAGTAGAGAGATCGCTCCAGAAATACATTCCAACAGCGACGGGGTAGAAGAAAAAGGAGAAAGAGGAAAACTGGGGCCAACCGAGACGTCTGCAGATTGATCTCGTTTACACTTTACTGACTGAACGCCAGGAGATGGAAGGGAGGAGAAAGGGTTGCGTGGGTGGCACGTTTATCCCTTGTCGATTTCACGATGTATCGAGGTGGAAAGAAGGAATAGATTGTACTTATAACGGGAGTGTAGGAATGGGAACGATCTGTTGATCGGAACGATGGATATACAGGCTTTCCTAACAATATTGATATAAAATTGGAAGGTCAGATTTTTTTTGAGGAAAATAAACTGGTTTCTTGATTCACGCGGTATAAATATACTCCGTAGTTTTGTTTTCAAGATATATTTTAAAAACTGATTTGCATATCGTTTGATAAAATTATCGGTTCGTTAGCAAGGGGAATCAGCGTTCGTTACTATCTATACAATATCTTGGAGATCAGTGAACTATGAAAGCGAAGTCGATCTTGCGGAGAGGTTTAATAAACGAACGGGCTAATGTTTGAGGTGGCTACGTTCGATGTACTTAGATTAAAGAACATCTTGTTTACCCCACTTGTAAATGTTTACGCGATAAGCGATTTGAGACCTCACTTTACCAGCACGCGACTACCGGTAACCGATACAAAAAACCGTGTATTTTCGTTCTTCTCGATCATTTGTTTATCACACGATCGAGCATATAGTACGCTGTTGCGTTTCATTCGATTCATTCAGAAACTAAATGAACGTAAATGAAATACCACAGATTCTTTTATGAATTCGTTATTTTGCACACGAATCGAGGTAATGAACATTTGACTTTTATAATACAATTTTACAGCAACTTGTAAAACAGATATGTAGTGATATTTTAAGATTGCTTCGCCATGATATTTGGTACTGTGTAAGACGAAGATTTTACTGCCAATAGGAAAGGGACGTTTAACGAGCGTTTAATTGTCGTCTACTTGTTAACCACTGGTCTCCACGGTAAATTAATCCGAACGTCAAAATTTCGTGTCACGCCCTGTTACATATGTATGTTATGTTACCAGTTACGAATTATGTCTTCTCGCATGGCGCGTGACAGGGAATGTCACCGGGACTAATAGGCGCTGTCAACTCCGGTGATTTCGTGTCTGTCCGCTCCGCGAGAAGTGTACTTTCGACGGTACTATTCAACGAAAACTGACTTTTAAATTTACTCCTCCAGGAAGTTATCACTTCCTGTGCACCTCTTCGGTAGAATCTAAATTTCGCTGTAAGGTTCATTAACGTTGAAGATACGAAAAGAATCGAAAAGCTTTAAAACACCGTACATTTCAATGTGCCTAGTAATTGTGTGAATGTAAAACGTGTCGAGACATTTTTTGAACGAATAGCCTACAGTTTTACGGTGCCCGACCCGGCGCCCATACGGTCGTAAACTGTCTGCGATTTTCCACATGGCCACCTCTGACTGTTATGAATTGTCATTGTTGTCTTCGACTCCGGGATCTCGTGTTAACCTCGTGATGTCTGGTTATTTTTTCTTTGAAAAGGTGAATCGTCTACGATATTCTCAATCTCGATCCCGAGAGGGCCGCGAAAAGTGTTTTCCGTGTGGTCGTCGCGATTATCTTTGTTTCTAATTATTATTACGATATAAGTTAATTGCAATATTCGGAGAAAATTAAATTATCCACTCACCGTTATCCGTTACAGGTGTCTGACAACCGCTGTGCGGTGAGCTGACGTTTCCAACAGGACTACTGTTCCCAGTCTGCTCCGGAATTCCTTGCATGGCGACGTTTACATTGTTCCCGGTATTGTTCACGCCAGCAAGCCCGTAGCCGACGTAATAATCCTGTCCGGTTGCTTGAGTAGTCGGTACCGGATTAGACGGGCACTTGTAAGTCATCATAGTATCGTTCTCTTTGTAAACAGAGTCCGCATGATGTTGATGATCCTTTACAGAGAATCCTTCCGTGGCCGCCTTGTAGGCGAGTTGATCCTGATTCCTGGACGCGTATCCTGGCTCGCTCTTGAACGCCACGATCTCACCGTTTCTGTAGACCGACGGTTCCCCAGTCTTGTAAGTGACTTCCGTCGTCTTGTAAGTTACCTCCGCAATGGGTGGGGTCTTGTACGTTGCCTCGGGGTAGGCCCAATCGGCTGACACCGGTGCTCCAGGCGCGTACATCGCGTACTCCTGGTAATTCTGATACTGATTCTGGTAACCATTCGCGTACTCCATGCTTCCAGGTGTTAGATTCTCGTAACCGGACGGCTGAACGCCGACCGGACCACTTCCGGCGAAGTATTGAGGATACTGTGGCTTCAGAGCTTGACATTTGCGACGGAAACCTCGTGGCCGTCGACGGAAACTTCCCTCTTCGAACATGTACTCCGTCGAAGGATCGATCGTCCAATAGTGACCCTTCCCTGGTCTGCCCAAACCTTTGGGCAGTTTAATGAAACACTCGTTCAAGCTTAAATTATGTCGCACCGAATTCTTCCAGCCTTGATAAGCGCCACGGAAGAAGGGGAAGTGTTGTTGCAGGAACGAGTATATTTCCGAGAGGGTTAATCTCTTTCCAGGACTAGACTGAATCGCCATTACGATCAACGCTATGTACGAGTAGGGTGGTTTCTCCTGGCGACGCGCACCTGGCTTCCTTGGTAATTCTGTGCTGGATGGATTGCACATCAGTGGGTCCAAACTTTGTTCTTGGTTCGAGTTGCTGGTCATCGACAAGCTCGTTCGTGGAACCACCGAGTTGGAGTTGGCATGGGCGACGGTGGATTGATCCTGGAGATGCAGACTCGTCTCCGATTCGTTTTTCATGGCGACGCTGGTTCCGCGAGGTGTCGACGGCACTATCACTGTCTGATCCATCAAGTCCCTGGTCAGTCGTCACACGGTGGTAAACATTCTAAAAACGTTCACTTCACCGACCCTCGAACACGAGGCTAATGTCACTAATTATTATCACCGCACCGTTAGATTTAGAGTAACAGTATCTACGATATCCTTATTTCAGATCAAACGAATTTGATCCTCAGGATCTCGTTGCTAGCATCGAGCACTGGACACTTCTTAACAATCCACCAGTTCACGGTATATTTACTATTTATGTTTGCCACGGCGTAGAGCGATTCGCGTGGCAGCCACGCGTTTAACTCGGTAATCACAATAAGAAGGAAGAGGAGAGAGGTCGTTATTTACGTGTGGTCGATGTAAATTGTTTGCACGGTGCCGCACGGTGGGGTCAATTATTTAGACTTGCCACTTGGCAGACGTTTCGCTGATGCGCCGCTAAGTGTTTTCGGATGACTGGACCCGGAGATCAACTTCGGACCTGGTGGAAGCTTGGTACGACGCGATGACGCGAGACACGCCGTCACGACCCCAGCTTCGTCCCTGGTGGGCGTAACCAGCGAGGGTGATGTATCTTGGCTCTCTATTGGTTGCTGCTTAGAGTTCAGCATTGAAGCTCGTGGTCGCGACCAATAGCAGATGTCTACAATTTTACAGTGTCACGCTTGATGACATTAAGCTTTAGATATTGAGAATGATTATCAGACTCGCTGATCACTTTGTAATTGATAATGATTACATAAGCCTCTTAGATTTCTTTATTGCAGAAAAATGTTGCGGATGGTTATTGGATTGTTTTCTGATTGTCAGTGATGGAGACTGTTGTCTGAGGCTTCGATATTATTAGAAGGAGAACGAGGAGGGTTTTTATTTATTAGATGACTATTATAATTAATTGAATTAGGTACACTATTGATCAAATTTTGAATGTTAAGTATTCTACTTTACACTCTATTTAATTCTAATTTTATCCTTTGGATAAATTATTTTGAAACAATAGAAATTTGTTTAAAAAATTGTGGGAAATTAAATCAACAATTCAAAAGTAAATTCTATTCACTTTAGTACTCTATTCTTAATGTTGCCTCTAAAAATGATCGCTAACAAGTAACGAATTTAACAATTTCAGAACACAGCGATTCCAGACGGTTGGAAAAATCTCCATGAAACGATTGGTCCACCTGTTGGCCAACGAAGCGGCAGACTCATGCTCCGCCCGCGCATAGAACCGCCCTCCATCATCCGCTTCGATCTTCTCTTCGAATCGCTGCATCATCGGTTTATCCTGAAATCAGTGTCGATTATCTAGAAATTTAGCCAGTGATGTCAGTTTCCGACTGAACCGACTCGTCATTACGAATCATCGATTCGTGCAACACAAAATGTCGATTCTCCACCATTATCCCTCTTTGCAACATTTAAAACCTTAATGATGTAACAAGGAATTGCATAAATTTTCAAATATCCGATTATAGCAGCAGGTATGTTTAATTTAAAATTTTGGTACTCTGCTTCAGTTCCCCTAATTTAAAGAACGGCAACAGTGCCCTATATTATTCTTTCGGTTCTATGAACTTTCATTTCTTATCGTACAGTATTTCGTCACCACCTTGGCTAGATTACAACGATCCGGCTGTCAATTAACTCGTTGATCGGAGCCGATCGAAGCGAAATGTTTATTCGTCAAAGCACGTGACGAGGTGTCGAGTAACTGGTCCTGAAAGAAAGGAAGCGATCAAGGCTTATCATGAATTACGGCTCTCTACTTGAGTTTCCGGTCGGGATTTCGCTGCATCGAACACGTAGTCAAAAATGTTCGCATGAAATAAACGAATTCATTTCATTGTTAATGGATTATTATATAGATACTTATCAAAATTGTTTACGTCTAACTTTTTCAGTGAAAGGTTTTAAATGAAATGTTATTAGAAACGGCTTTCAGCAGATTATAACTAAAATTCATTTGCACTTGTGCTTAATATAAACTTTGCTTTTGGCGATAGATAAAATGAAGCAAGCCTTGTAATTTCAAAATGGCTAATTTTGTTAGGTTTCCCAGGAGTTTTTTATTTAACGCATATTGTAGAACAATTCCTGATAATTTAGGTTTCAAGGAAAGCAGAAATTCAGTGACGTAGCATCGAAGGAGCAATTATTTAATGTCATCCAACGTCCGTCCGACGATATCATCTGCCCTGCGCTCTTTAGACCACGAATTCTCAAGAAGTTTGTTTGCCTTACAGCGAACGATCCGACGAAAGAGGAGCGTCACGGCCATCTTGTCTTTGCCTTCGAGCTGAATCCCTGCAACGGCTGGTTCCTTCACTCTAATTAAACTCATCACGATATCGCTAAAACCTTCTCGTATGTATTTCAAATTAATTATATATCCAAAATTATCCTGAAAAATTATCCTGAATCGGTAAACATGTTTCTTCCAGCTAAATTCATTCATTTGTACTCTAAATTAATTTAGCTTAACAAAATCTCGATTTCAGGATATTCTTAATTTCTAAAGAAATAAGAGACCACACTCTTCGAAGCGTACGAGACTCTTGGCAATGGACCTCGTGCCTTAAGGGTTGAAAGTGAAGTGGTCGTCTTTTCTCTTAGAGGCCAACCCTCCGGAGATAGTGGCGCCCAACAGTGTTTACCATTTTTACTGCTTCCAAGATTTCCTCGCGACGTTTTCTGCGACAGCTTCAAGTGGCCCTTGGAAAATACTATGTAATTGAGTCCTAGATGTCTAGGAGGAAAAATTATATTGAAGAAAAAACATCCAGCTCCGTTTCTGCTTTGAGACGACAACGCATATTGAAGCTATCCGTTTAGGTATAAAATTTCGGTAATGACCTGAAGATAAAGTTAATCTTCATCGTTGTCATTTGCTAATTAACTTTATCTTTCGTGCAGTAATAACTAAGACACAATCTTTATCAAAAAAGAAAAATGTTTTCCCAAACATACGTCTGATATTTTCCAAAGGTTTCGCATTCTTCTTTCTCCAAAGGTATTCCAATATCGCTCGAAATCGCGAGACAGTAGAGGCTTGTTTTTTAAAGATAAAACGCGGAGCACAGGGTGAAGACCACCCGAAGAAAAACCCGGTTTCGGTCGCACGTGTTCCCGTAGGAAAACCGCAGACCGGAACCAGACATTGCGGCCGCCTGTCTCGCGTGCACGAAACGAACCTTCCGTCTGTTTACATCCGGCGGCGTAGCCATTTTAATTCTGAGTGATTCGCTTTTCAAGAGTAGCGAGAGCATCGAAGTTGTCCCTTGCTTTTATAGCTTTAACCAACGGTATTATGGGTTTACTAGTTAACACGGGGTAAGAAGAAGGGTTGCGCAACTTCCTTTATTCGTGGAACATTCGTTTTGGAATTCGAGCTTCTGACAACGGCTCCCTGAATTTTACTTTGTAAAATTGTATCAAAGTTCAAAGTATGAAGCTGAAAATTGAAAACTTCAAAACTAAATTTTAAAGAAGTTCAAGAGTATATAATAGGATCGTGACATCCGCCAAGTAGTTGACGGACTTCCGTTTCGACGATTGTTCAACGATTTACGCGATCTCGGTTGCTCGACGAGGCCGAAGTTAGAGTCTCACTGCTTGTGGAGAACACGTGAGGCTCTGACGGCCACCCAAGCGGCCATCAGACGCGCCGACGATATTCTGTTTACACGATACCGTAATTTTATACCGCTGATCGTGGGTGCACGTTACGAGCCCTATGTTCCTGTCGCATCTTTAACCCCATGTTCACCGCCAGATTTGTCCGTGTACCTGTACACGTCTTCCGTTTCGATCGTGCTGAGTAAATGCCTTTGAAAACCAAAGATACTTATGCGAACGTAACTCATCAATTTATATTTCTTTTCGTATTTCAAAGAAAATTAATAGTAGATTTATATTTCAGAGCATCCATCAGCGGTCGAGTACCTGTCGGATACTACCTGAGCTACTCCCGGAGGTGAATGCGCCGCGGCATCTTTTAAGGAAACTGATATCTTTTCTCTGGTAACGGCTCCCTGTTTTCATTGCCTTTTAAACTGTATTTAAGACAAACAATTCTCTCCCCTCTCTTGCTTTTGTTGTCCCTCGTCTCGCGTCAAAAGAACGCGACGACCAGTGGAACGGGTAAAATGGATCAGCACGTGGTTGCCATACCTCCCTTGACTGTATCTTAATTTCAGGTCGTTTCTCACGGGCATCCTTGAGACGTAGACATCGGGGCGGGCTGTTTTCACCGCTTTAGAAAAATCGAATCGCCCCGAAGAGCGACAAGCGAAGGGTGAGAGGTCTACGTTGGTGGTAATCATCCACGATCGATCTCTCCAGATGCTCGTAAATTTCTGTGAAACCGACGCGCCGTTCGTCGTGGTTTCCTCGAGCACCGTCTAATTTCCCCTGGATTTCTGCAGTCCATCCTTGGCGTACAGTGTCTGGATAGTGTTTCTTTTGCGTAAGATCAGGCCTCGTCGGTGGAACAGTTCTAAAGAGGAACGGAGAGGGAATACCAGCTCTCAAAATAAGACATGTTTATCCGCTGATGCTGCTATTTTGGAAAGCGCGCAAGTCCCTCTCCTATACGTGTAAGTTTCTATCAAGAATCTCCCCTTGATTCCCTCTAATACTCCAAAAAATCTCGAATTTCACGATTTTTTAACCCTTCGCAGGTATTCTGGATCATTAACGACAGAAGATGAGAGACTGTATAGGTATAAATGAATTATTTTTATTAGAAAAATTTTTCAATATTCGACAACTCTACAATATAGTAGAGACTTTGAAAATTTTTTTCCAATTTTAAAAACGCGAAACAGTCTAGTTCGTCGAATCAGAATTAGCTTCGATGCAACAGTTCATCGGACATAACAGAATCTCTCGTGAAAGAAGACTCAGTTTAGTAATTTTTAAAATAATCGCGATAACGTTTCGTTGCATCAAAGGATGATTATTTTCACGTGAAAGCTCGTTGAAGGCACGTTGTAATAGCGCTTGTCTACGAATGAACGCCTTCCTGCTGCGTAGAAATTTTTCACTAACCGGGACGCACCCCCGTGGTGCTTGGTTGTTTACGCAACGTATGTACCCCACTTAATCCAGTGTTTTAGTGTTTAGATCTCGACTACCGTAGGGGGTTGCACTGACACGACCTCTCCGAGATTCCGTCTCTACGGTCTTTCGACCCTTTTTTTTTCTTTCCTCGCCTCTCTTTTCTTTACCCATGAGAAAAAAGAAACGAGTCTTGATTGCACACCGTGTAAGCAACCTTGTTGTCGTGTGGTGAAAATGATTAATGATTTTGAATGAAAATTTTGGGGGAGCAATTCTTGAAACATATTTCAAAGCAAAGTTGTTTATTTATTTTTCGTAAAATAAATGTTTGTTTTTTTTTGCTTAGGTTTTATGTACTACATCTATTTTACTAATCGCAACACGATGGTGGTACATTGTGACGCAACATCCTCTAAAAAAGCTCATACCTCTTCATGAAATATAATTCAACGTGGGCAGGGTAAGATTCAAACGATTTATTATTCGCGCCACCACCACAATGTTTAGACGATTACAATCGGTTCTGGCTCGGGACGCTTTATTTCACATCGTTCCTCCGACTAATATTCCCTCATAACTTCCAAGTAACAGCTTGACGCGATGAATACAAAACGAACAGCAAATAATCGCGAAATCTACGGCATTTTCACACTCGCTTGATTTGCCCTCGTAGCGCTCGTTCAAGTCTAGAACGAAGAGCGTGTTACAGCTGCAGCCATCTTGCCGGACCGACATTTAACGGCATCGTTAAATGTTAACGACCGTTTGTCAAAAGACTCGGCCTACCGGAATAGAAACCCGGGCACCGTGAACACACTGTGGCCTGGCTTACGAGTCGATGGTAACTGTACGCGATTTTTTGATCCTTAGATTCCTGAATGTTAGGAAAAAATTTACCTCAAAGCATCAACAAGTATCTTTGGTATTTTGAGGATCGCGTTAAAGTCATTAGAAGCCTCCTAAGATAGTACTTTTATTTTTAATAAATTTTATCCATTATTTTCACAATATTTATTATATTGTAACTCTATGTGCCTAATGTGAATATTTCTAATTAGATAACAGAATTATTTTAAATTGATAGGTTATAAGCCAATTAGTTTAATTTTTGCTTTATTGAATTTTAATCAATGATTTGTGATAATGGTGATCCTTGCGAAACGAACGCCATCTTCTAAGAATCTTCTTCAACAAACCGGAAGTTATAAATCTTAACTCTTTCTACCACCACTCGCCCTTTTCATTGATGGAAATCTTTAAGGTCGGTTTTCTGGTAAGATGCTGGCTACAGTGTGATGTAGAAACAGACAATACTTTTGCTGTCTTCTCTATGTTTACAAGACAGAGTATCGTTACGAGCTTTCGGACGTGAACCATCTGTTTGGACTGTCCAGCGGGTACATGATACCAAAAAAGTATCTTTCTTTCCTACGTCACCCCTTGACAATCATTTTTTTAAGAATTTGAAAATTTAAAAATCATACTCTTCTTTTTTATGATAAAAGGATTAGATGTGGAATGATGTAAGAAATAATTATTTAGAAATAGATAAATATTTATAGCTTGAAATGGAAACAGTTTGATGAAATAGAAAAATAACAATAAGGATAAATCGGATATTATAGTGTAGATAGGAATTTTTAGTAAGGGCCATAAAATTTAATTTCAAAACTAACAATGATTATAATTCTGTTTGATCAGTAATCAATGTAATAGATATTCTACATTAATGGACAATCGATAAAGAGGAAAATTGAAAGAGGCGATAATTTACAGTCGGTGAAGTTGGTTTCCCTTTCACAGACAGTTGCTATATAGAAAGTAACTTTATCCACCGGTAAAGATAGTTTAGAGTTTTTCCCTCTAGATGTCGCTAATCGTATGATAATAGTAACCCCATTTTCATTGTGGTTTTAAATCAGTTTCGTGAAACAAGTGTTTAAATAAACAGTCTCAGTTATTATTAAACGTAATATGTTTTGTGTACAATTTAAACAACATCTCTGGAAGTTCATAAAGTAATTGGAAGCTATAATAAGGTACAGTAATCCCAGAATAGGTAAATTTGTTTATTCCAAGATTGCAAAGTATTATATCACGATGATTCATAAAGTTACGTGATATTTGGTGTAATACATAAAACTGAATCCTTAAATACTTTATCCTAGACTAAATAAAAACATCGTTCGAACCCTCTGTCCCAACCTGTTCACCGACTGATTTCGTATATTTTCTGAATCAATATTGAACCTTTCGCGTGACCTTGGAACAACAGGTAGGTTAGTTAGATCGAAACATCTTAATCGCCATTTCTTTTTTCTAAATTTCTTTTTTTGGAACTGAACGAATTATAGTCATATTTATGTCCCTCGAAACTTTCGATTTAATGATCGATTGCCCAATACCCGAATGACTCTAATGTGCGATGCAATTTGCATATCAATAGAAACACGATGAGTCGACGAAAAATATTTTTTCAGTTGGGAGGTTGCAAGTTTGCTCGCTGAAATAATCCTTCGAATTCCTTTTTTTTTACGAGATATCAGCTGGAATTAAAGAATCTTTTGTCATGTATTCGATACGTGAAAAATACTGCTATTGTTCATTAAGAATGTTTGTCTCGTGCAAACAAAATTTTGGTTACCAAAGGACCCATTATTAGCATTGTATTGCAACAAAGAAATTTTTGTTATTCAGGATATCGCTTTCCTCTTAATTTTCATTTTTCGAGTTTCTATGACGCGATCGTTATCGATATCCCACGATATTCCAGAAAGAGTCGTAAAAGCGTGGAATGTTGAAGTGCTCACTTCACGCTTTAAGGACAACTTCGACGAAAATCCGTTCAAGATAGTTTTGTTCCGGACGGTAAGGTGATCCGTAGGTAAGGTTGCCAAGAAGGTCGTGGTGAAAAAATAATCGTAACGTCTGTGAGGCTGTCACAATTAACGTGGCTGGTAATAAAATGGGAGACGTACGAGTATACACGTCACGGCGAATCCAAATATTCGATTTCGGCCGCAACCCACTTATAATCCTTCGAGTGTTCACGCACTTGAGTTAATGTTGCCACTCGAGAGACAAGCTTGCGCTGCTTCTCTGTTGCAAAAGGACAGTTATCGCCTTATCAGACATCGAACAATACATTTTGTTATTATTATAGATTGCAAATTCTTTGCAAGAATGAAATTCAGTTAACCAATATGTTACTTTTTTATTTAGTGAAAGTTAAATATTAAAAAAATAACCTAAAATCCTTTCGTGTTTGTTTCATGTAGGTATCGATGATCCAGAAGAAAAGAATCCTTTGAAGTACATATTTAGCTGTGGATTCATTTTTTGTTAGCTATGTTATGTTTTTAACCTCTTCGACCTTCGTTGTTTCCAAACTGCAACTGCACCTACGTTCTTATCAGCAAAAACAGATGCCATCGGTATGGTACATTTGTTTAACCCTGTATTCTTGTCTGTTCTTATCAAAAAACGTACTAATTCGAACATCCGAATTTGGTTTTAGTAAATGCCCGTCGCAAAGAACATTTGTTTCGGCTTAGACGGAGGTCCACACCCTTGTAGGTGGTTGCGACGAGAGAACCTCAACCCTGACCATCTGGAACGACTTAAAACACCGAGAACGAGAAAGAGAGAGAGACAAGGATGAACCCTTCGAAGTCCTTTTCTTTGGCCTCGTGCCCCTTTTCGTGTCCACCTTGAGATATACGTGCACGAAAAGGGACGAGTCGGATCTGAAAGAACGGTCAAGACAAGCCCTGTCCCCATTCACAGAGTGTGGCTAGATTAACTCGTAAATGGGTCTAGATTAACCTGTGGATTATGAATTCTGTGTCAAACATCGCCACCAGTCACTCAGCGGGAAAAAATCCGTAGATTAGGCGATTTAACACTGAATAACGCCACCAGTTATCCTAATATGGATAATCATATTCTTTGAGAAATCCCAGTTCGATTTGGAAAGTCCAAATCTTGACTTGAATGGAACTGTTGCACAAAGAAAAGTAAGGAAAACAATTAAGTTACAGTTGAAGATTGAAGTTTTTCTGATAAACTTCAAGATGAACCGTTGTCGTGTACCATCAGTTTGATGCGACGAATAAGTAAGACAAAAAATTGTAAAAAGTTATTCTTGCAGAAAGAGGAAGGAACAGAGGAAGTGGAAGAGATCCGCGGAGGAAGACGGAAGGAGAGAGATGGAAGGCGGGAATAGCGTAAAGAAGGAAGAGGGTTCGATGGCGAACGACATCAAAGAGAAGCGACAACGGATACGCGTAAACCTCGAAGCTGCAAATGCCGAAAAACCGACAGAAGTTCGAGGTAACCGAGGCTTTCTCAGGAAAACTCATCAAAGAGCCGTGGATGGATAAATGTAACCGGCCGTTTAACGCGAACCCCTCGCTAATTTTAATTGCCGTTTGATTTACGTCTCGATACGTTCTTTTTCACGCTTTCCTATTTTCTTTTTTTTTTTTTTTCTTCTTCGTACCACGAAGATTTCCTGTTCTCAAGCTTTCAGCGCATACGAGTGGAGGAGAGAGTTGTTCGTAACGCGAGGGAAAAATGATGGACGCCGTGAAGACAAACGGATACGGATCACCGTGATTTGTCGGCAGTGCAGAGCGATCATTTGTCACGACCTTTAATTGCAGATGACACGAGGTAAGTTCATGATTCTTGCATGCATCGACATCAACACTGAAGCTCTTACTTATTAAAATAGGCGTAATTAATTTGTGCATATACAGGTGTCAAGAATTAAAGGACAGTAAAGAGTTACTGCGATAGAGCGATGAAGAAAGCAAAGGACGAATTCGTGTCACACCTTGACGCACAAAGATCAGTCCCGTGGATCGATATTCCAGTTCCACCTCCTTCCTCGTTCAGGTACGTGTCAGAACTAGATTCCGTTCTTCTTCCTGTTTTCCACGACTATTCTATCTTTTCTATACATATACTCAAAAGAACACGGAAGCGTCGTAAGTGTAGACGCAATATTCGGTTTGGTTTGATGCCACAGTCCGTCACCCCTGGGGCTGTTTTCACACAAAACAAAGAAACCCATCCCCTTTCGTCGATATTTCCTCGTTCCTGTCGTCGTCTTTCCTTCTCGAAGGGCGGCTCTCATCCACCCCACCTAGCGTACCCTTTTCTTCGTCGACCTGCGCTTTTCTTCGATCGTGCCACGAACGCACGCGGAAGTTCAGGGCTGCGAATATGGACGTAGGGGAGACGAGGTAAGCGACGTTACCATTGGTTCACTCGATAGACTTTCAATTACGAAAATGGAGCTCTAGGGTAGGGGTTAGGGGATGAAGAGAATTAAAGTGTCGCTCGTTACCGAGTATGTTTGAATTGAGGTATAATTTGGCGGCAGTTTTTCGGTTAACTTTAGGTTAACCATTAGTTTATTTATTTGGTTACCTATAGAAGGGTTCAGAGGCGTTGTTTTTAAGAATATAAAGTTGTAAACGGATGCTAAATTAGACACAGTGTAAAAACTTGAAAGAGACGATAGTGAAATGGAAGCAAGTAAACAGATACCGAAGAACGAAGATTTTTTGTCGCTCGGCCAGTTTGGACCAAGTTACCAGGATCTCTGAAATACTTTCGAAGAGAAGGAAAGAAAGAACGACTCCACTCGTCATCGTCGCCGGAGAATGCCGTCTTTGGCAGACAGCGTGGCACCAAACGCTGTCTATCCTCTTCTTTTTTTCTTCGGGCGTGGTAATAAGGAAGTGGGCCCGCTGCTTAAGAAAACAGAGAGCCGCCAATATCGGACAGGGCCTGCCCGGCTGCCTGAGAAAACAGTGAACCGTTTTCGGAATCCTGGCGGAGGATACGAGACGACTTAGCTTTCCATCATGAATGAAAACCGGGCTACTCACGAGTTGTCGTGGAAAGCACCGAATACGTTGCCGACGGACAGAAATATCCTTGGCCACGTTACGTTTCGACCACTGAAACATCAAACGTTTTAAATACATAGCGTTTCCTCATCGATGCAACTTGCTTCATTTATGAAACATCTCATTATCAATATTTTTATCTTCATTTACTTGGCCAATGTCCACAACTAATGCGTTAATTAACGAGAAGAACTTATGTTAGAGTCTGGATACAGAACGAACTTCCAACTTTCTGACCCAGAAAGATGTAAACGATCGTCTTTCCGGACGGTTTAGCCGCAAGACAGCGTGGCACCAGTGGTCAGAAAACGCCCAGAAGCAGACGGTCACCGCTTAATTAACGGCCTGACGAAAGGCAACGACAATTAATACGACCCGAGCTTCCTTTCGCTCCCCGGCTGGATGTTGCACGTGTGAAATACCAGAGCACCGATATTATTTGTCACGCTTCTGTCACGCGATATTTTTTTTTCGGATCCTCCAGTCAGCATTCCATTGTACATACACACGCGTGAACGCAAAACAATGCGGCGATTAGGTAAACAAACAATGCCAGGTACCGAATATACAGCATTATTGGCTAAACAAAGCGTGGCTGTTAGATTGTTTCTGTTTTGAAACAGAGCAGTTTGCTTTCGAAAGGGTTTCCAGGACAAACCCAAGTAGCACTAATGATCATTTTAACAGAAAGCAAATATTTGAACGTGGTAATGTACATAAAATTGTAATTAGAATGCTTCAGGACTAAAATTAATCAATTTTGAAGAAAGTCTGCAATTAAACGAAGGATCGAACGATCCTGCATTCGTGCCCTATCGATCTCTGCCCTACACAAAGCAGAACTCGTTATCCTTTCTTCGAACGATGGCATCTGTCTTTTGATTATAACGAGTTGCCGTGCAAACGACAGAAACTTGGCTGCCGCGAAGGTGCAACAGGAACATTGTGTACCTTTCGCGGGGCGAGTTCATAATGGGTCTTAATGGAGCTGACTGTCAGTGGCGAGTTTCTTCGTGCCACGGTAGCAGCCTGTGACCGGGACAATGTGTGCTTGCTAGCCATTCCCGTGGCTGGTTATTTGACAGGACGTGTCCACGTACACGTGGACACACGTATGGCCATGGTCATAAATAAAAGGTGATGGTCGAAGTAGGTGAAACAGTGTGCGACGAAATGGTTGATATTGTGCTGTCAATTGTGACGAAGCGATTGTAATTGAAATTGTGTGTTGGAATATTGAAAATTGTTAATACGTTTATTGAATTTTTATTATTTCTGACGAAATGAATTAATTTCTTAAAGACAATTCATCTATAGTTGGTCTATAACTGGTCCATTGGTCCTGCGACAAAGTCGAAGTCAAGGCATTCAGAGAGGGTCGGTGTTTTGACACGATGGCACCTCGGAGGATAATCCTTTAAACGGCCCCGACGGGTGGTCCTCGCGAGTCACCTTGCTCGCAGGACCTGCCTCGCCGCTTCCGCCTTTAATCCCGTGGCCCAATCCGGCACACGAGCACTTCCTGCCGTTCACCGAGCAACGAAAGTCTGCGGTTAATCCTGCGAAAGTCTGAGAGCCCTAGGTTGGCCGCACTTTCTGTGTACCTTCGTCGAATAAGCGTATCTGAAAGTGTGAAAGTTGATTAGTATAGGAAAATCGAGATAAAGATACAAAGTGGAAGAAATAAAGGAGAGAAAAAAATATGGAAGATCGTAGAAATCAAAATCTATCGTTCGACCTTCCCAAGGTTCCCATCTCTACGGTAGAACCTTTGTCTTTAATTCCCAGCATCCGGTTCCGGTCCTTATCTTACGTTACACATGTAACCTTCTACGCTATTTGGCCCATTGTTGGCCACATGTGCCTCGTCTCAAGAGGTTTGCTTATGTTGGCCCACCTAACATAGCAAAGCTATGCCCAGACTCGAGTGTAAACTTTGCCGACAGACTGATCCTGGAATTCGATTGCATCTAATCGCTCTTTGCCAGTGATACGACTCTATTTAAGTATCCAACATAAGTTCGGAGCATCTCGAACAATCTTCCATTACCTTCTATGCTTTCTCTAAAGCGTGCGATAAAATGAAGTTTACAATATTAATTAAAATTTTTGCTAGTACTTCTTAATGTTAAACAATTCTGTATTTCTGGGTTTGTACTCGTCTAGGTAACAAAGCACCGTTACCTAAGTGCACGTTCGTGTATACGAGATGTCATCACAGAAAACAAGATTTCCACGAGATTCGCGATCCCATGGTTTCCGGATCGACAGAGCGAACGGTGTTCATTCTGGCGTGAGTTTGAAACTCCTCGAATCTCGTATAAATTTTCTACTACCGTCGAGTTTCCCAGAACGTATCTGCGTAACCAGACGGGGATGAAATTAATTGCCTGGTTAATCTCTGAGAAAAACCTTCTCTGATCATAAATCAAACGTAATTTATTCCTTCCCTGCGATGGTGCTCGGCAACTTTCTCTAAAATCAAATAACTCGTCGAGGAATAAAAGAAAAGATTGCGATTCGTAAAAAAGAAGACGATGGTCTCTTCGAGTAGAAGGCGACAACGAAGGGCACAATGGCCGAAGAAGGTTGAACGTGAAATCCATCGGAGGCTGCCGATCGGTCAGCGACATCTAATAAACGAGTAAATAATTTCGGTCACGTAGCACGCAGCCAGGCCAGTCACAATGGCAGCTCCTTAAATAGGATTATATTAAGCTGTTTCACCGGCTATGAATGGCGAGTCAAATGGAGGATCGTTGGTGGATGTTTTGGTAGGCGCGACTACGTGAGCAGTGGACGGCAATGCCGATGCTGTGCCACCAAGAAACTTACGAAGATGAACACCACGAAGAAGAAGAAGAAGAAGAAGAGGAAGAAGGTAGTTGACAGGTGAATGGTCACGGGCAACTCTGTTGGTCCCTTGTCCACCAGCTTTCCCACGTCCTGCCGGGCTTAACAATTGCAGTCCTTTCTTCGTGCTTTTCACGCCCTTTCCCTACCCTTCGAAAGTTTGCGCAAGTTTCGAAGAGATTATCGAGTGGCTGGTATTCCACTATTATGTACAAGTGAAAATTGGTGATCATCTTTCTGCTGCGCGATCGCGGAGCAACGTGAACTAGTTTCAGCGAATTCTCGAATTTGCTCGCGATATTTCAAGGAAAAGTGGATCGCGACGTTTCATATATCAGACAGAGCGCACCGTTAAACCTTTCATTTTGTAGAGTATTCTGTAGCTCGTTTGCTTGGACAAGTAGGTTTCAATTGAATCTGGGTGCCCATAAAATAGAGGGCTTTCATCGGATACAAGGGACGACGGCGGAGCGAAAATTTCGACGAAACTATTTTCGAAGCCGGGACGGTTTAAAAAGCCCGCCAATAGGAGATCCTCGACAGTCGGACCTGTCGTTGGATCGCCGCTCTTTGTCGTCGAATTATTTTAGCGGCCGATATTTCCATCCGTACTGCCACCTAAGCGAGAGGCTTCGGGCCAAAGTCAACATAGAGCGAGGCGTCCTCTTTCTCGCTTCCTTTCACCCCCTTTCTTTTTGCCTCGCTTTCCTCCTACAAACTACCAGTCATTCGATCGCGTAGTTAACAACTTTTCGTACCGTATAAATAATATATCAGAGAAATGCCATTGATACGACCAAGCCTCGACGAAGTAAGAGTTTTCCTTTAAATTCTGACTGAACAATCTATATTTATCCCGATTACGTTGATCGACGACCGTTTTAAAATAACCTTGCATTTTGTCGTCGGTTAAATCGGCAAAATTTCTCGGAATAGATCCGATCAGCAGACTCGCGTTTGACGCAACGCGGTGTCCTGCTTATTCACCGTGGCCGAAGTTGAAGTTGCCGGTCGAGACGACTCCACGGATCCCGTCCCTCTATCGGGACGTTCATAAATCGGTCGTTTGCCGTGTTTCCGCGCGTACAGAGAAAGCAAACAAGAGATAAATCAACGATAAAACGT